TGGCATATAAGTCGTGTGCCATTACATAGACCATGGGCAGAATCCAGGTTATGTAGGAGTATGATTGGTGCCCCTACTTTGAGGCGGAGGTGATGAGGTGGTAGGGTTCCACCAACATCTAGTGAATTAAGAAATTCAACTGGGAACAGCTGCTGGGTCTCTGTAGTTGCACCATCAGTATCTGCAATTGAGTCAGCACTATAGTAGTTAATGATAGTGCCTGGTAGATGGTCAATGATCTTGTTATTTAGATCATTCACTGAGGCATTAGTTGGTGATAGGATGCTACGATTGACCATATAGTTGGCTTGATTATAGTGATATGCTAAATTAGTATAAATTGCATTGATCAATAGCTCAACATTATCTGAGGGTATTACAGTACCCACAGGTAATTGGATTTGGTCATATTCATCACTGGGTAACCTTCCTTCCCCAACTTGAAGTAGCCAGTCAGCAAATTGGATTGCTGTACAATCCTGGGCACCAGCCCTAAGTTGGAGTCGCATATTGGTAGTAAGGTGTAGAATTTGTGCTTGACTCCATAGTGGAGATCGGCAAAGAGCTGCATCAACAGTTTGAGCTCTATTTCCCTTTGGAATGACTGGGAGAATTTGGCGGAAATTGCCACCAGCTACTACTACCTTACCTCCAAAAGGCTGATGCTTAAGGGCTGGATCAGCAGAGCACATTATATCTCGCAGTGTGCGATCAAGGGCCTCAAATGTATGCCGATGCATCATTGGTGCCTCATCCCAAATAATCAACCTTGTGGCCTGGAGCAATGATGCCAAGTTAGTGCCAAGGGAGATATTGCATGTTGAAGTACTATCTACAATTAGTGGTATCTTAAATGTAGAGTGAGCAGTTCGACCACCAGAGAGAAGCATAGCAGCAATGCCAGAGGAGGCAGTTGCTAAGGCAATATGGCCTTGGCTCCGAATATGGGCAAGGAGAAGCTTATACAGGAATGTTTTGCCACTTCCTCCAGGGCCATCAAGGAAGAAAAATGTTGCTGTAGTATTAGCTAGCCCTTCTACAGCAGACATAATGGTATTATAGGCTGCTAACTGCTCAGTATTAGCCATACGAAGCATCTGTTCAGTGCAATCAGTAAGCTCAGATTGATTAAATGATAGCTGCTCACTAATTAAATAGTTTTCAGTACTATCACCATTTGCATGTTCTGGTATTGGAACTGGCATGCCAGGGTAGTCGCTAAGTGAGCACCCAGAGTGGAGAAGAATAGAGTTAATCTCCCTAAGGGCACTGTTAATAGCAGATTGCTCAGCTGCTTCCTGATTAGCTGTATGCATGAGGGCTCTATATAATAGATCATCAATTAGGCTTGTCTGGTGCTGTATCCACAGTGCATATGGGTTTACTGGGTTTTCTTGAGCAAGAATAGTGGCAAATAAATATCGGAGTTGGTGACCAATCTGGACTTGTGCAGCTTCATCTAAGCACCTAGCCCATTTGCGGTTATCTTCAAGCAGGCTAAGTGCTATACAGGCTTCTCTAAATGTTCGATAAACAACACCATTGATAGTCCTGAGATTTTCAAATGATATTGCACCATGAACTACATTGAGTAGCATTCGGAGGTAGAATCGTTCTCCAGCTCTAGGAGAAACAAAGTAGATATGCCCAATTGTACTGCCTCTCTGCCTTGGCTTCCAGACACGCTGTTGGTGATTCCAGACAAAATGCTGTGGGTATTCAGCATATGTATATGCACGGGCCTCTGGGTGGGCAGCATTATAAGCAAACCACTGTGTGAGTGTAGTATGTGCAAGGTGCTGCTGGTTAACAACTTCAGAAATAAGCTCACCATCATGAAAGAGAACCATTTGCTCCCCTGGTAAATGGACTTGAAGTCGTTGAATATCGGGCTTCTCCTCATGTAGGCAGAATGCAAAAATTTGCCAGATTGCCTCAGAAGTAGAGATATAGCGGCCATCAACATAGCTCTGGATCTCATTCTCAACTGCAGTATTTGTTGTATCAGTTGTCCTTGCCCTTGTTATATGGAGAGCTGCACGATCATGGCCCTTGTACACATATTTGAAAAGGTATTTGACAGCAGTGATTGAGGAGCATACCTCAACATTAATATGTGCCTCATACTTTGCAGCTAGATAAGGGTTATAAGGTATAACCCATCGGTTATCAAGCTGCATTCCTCTTATAGAACCAAACTGCCCATCCTCACGCCGTCGATAAATCGGGTAGCCATTATTGGTGATTTGTGTGGCCTCTGAAAAGAATCTTGGGTAGCGCTTTGTGCAGTTGCCTTCTCTTACACATGGTGCCTGTGGGTTTAGTGGCCCGCATGGCCCATGCATCATTGAGGTGGCAATAACTCTAAAGAGCTGCATATTCTGCTGTTCATTAGGAAGCTCAGCACATACCACTCGGTCGATTTCTGTGATAATTCGGTGCTTTGACTCACTGTCCAGAATAAGCAGAATATGTGCATGAGGCAACCCTCACTTCTGAAACTCAACAGTGTAAATATGACCAGCGACCTGACCAAAAATATGCCTCTTTGTTAGATCTTTAATCAGTTCCTTCAGCTTGATATTGAAGACACGAACTGTTAGATCTGGGCGATCAGCAGCAGATTGTCCAGGGAGTAATTCGGCCTGTACCTCCTGCCAATGGGGGTTGCAGGTGAAGGTAATAAATAGGTCAGGGGGGCCGAATGTCCTCACAATAGCCATTGCATCTTGATAGAGCTGATACATATGGCGGGGACCAGCAGTATATGAGGATGGCAATATCACTCTACGACCAAGGTTAGCACCAACCATATCAGCTTCAGATAGCTGGACAGCATCTTGAAGGCCTATATATAGATAAATATATTTGATTAAAGTTAGCAGCAGTTTCTTACTATTATAATAATTCATACTAAATGTGCATTAACCAACAACAACAACAACAACAACAACAGCATCATTTCTTACTATATTTTATATATGATTGAAACTAATACATACCTTGGTACATTTCAGCACGAATATTGTCTTGGTTTCTTGCATACCATCGTAGGCGGTTGCTCTCAATAGTGGAATATGCATCGACAATATACTGCTGGAATAACCTCCTACTTAGGTGGAGGATTGGAGCTGCCTCACCACGAAACTGAAGCCGGTAGGCATAAAAGGCCATCTGAGTTACACGGCTTTGGCGATGGGTTCCAGAGAGTGCTTCATCTCTAACACCATTCTCTGAAATCTCTGAGACGTTATCCTGGGCTTGGATACTGTCTTGGCGTGTATGCCAATGACCTGAAATAGGAATGTCAGGATGCCAGCCATCCTCCCCACGTGGGAATAGAAGCACATAGTGCAGTGCAGCATAGGCAACATGTAGCTCTGAAATCCGCTGTAGTGTACCATTAGTTGTCCGTAGGATGATATCACGGCCATTGTTCGTAGATTGGCCATCGGGTATAATTGCAGCTACTTCATCCGCTGTTGGTAAGTTGTAGCGACGCGAATCGTTATTGCGACCTGCTGTAATTGCTATGCATAGCTCAGGGGATGGATTCTGCTGGACAATTTCAGCAACCTGATGGAAGCGAGCAGCATACGGATTGACTGAATGGAGCATCTGCTGGAGGAGAGACAGAGTATTCTCATCAAGTCCAGGAATTGCAGTCATTCGATTTGCAAGCTCATTGGCAGTGTCGTAAATATACAGCTGTGCATACTGTGGCTGCTCGTTGCCATATACTGGAAGTAGTGATCCAATTCTATGGTACATCTGACCACGAACTCGAAAGTTAGAGACACCTATGATATGATGATGATATGATTTGAGATTTGAGATTTGAGATGAGAGGAGATGATTCCAACAATTATATAGCTATTCATAAAACAATCGTAGAACATAGAACGTAGAACGTAGAACGTAGAACGTAGAACGTAGAACGTAGAACGTAGAACGTAGAATGTAGAATATAGAACGTAGAACATAAAACATAAAACATAGAACATAAAACATAGAATATTGGTACTTACCACCATGATGCCTGCTAACTTCGCCATTAGCTACTCCACCTGTTGAGGTAAAGGAGAGTACCGAATTATACATTCGGATATTTCGCTGGAATTGCCGCGCTTCAGTGTTAGTGCCAGTCAATAGTCGAAGTAGTATTCCTGGTGGCGGTTGCAGAGCTGGAAGCACTACAGCTCCACGTGCACAGCAGATCTGAAAAATTGGACGTGTCATAGAGGACTGCTGGATTCGTTCGGCAGTCCATAGCAAGGCACTACAACTGGTGCACTGCACATCCATTCTTCCAAGTCGGAGAGGTAACGTGTGTGCACCAGATACCTGCAATGCAAGCGGCAGATGTGCACCTGATGCAGTACGCTGAATCTGTCGTTGAGAAGCACGCTGAGCCTGTCGCTGAGAAGAACGCCGTCTGTTAGCAGCATTGCGGCTCTCATTGCTCTGCATTGCCCGTCGTCTCCGACTTCGTAATCTTTCCTGTTCAAGTTCATGGGAGCGGTCCCCCTGAGCACTCAAAGCCCTCTGACGTTGGCGTCGTGCACGATCAGCAATCCGACGACGATCAGAAACCGAGGCATTATTCGTACTACTACTATTAGAATAGAATACCATCGTTATTGCTTTTAAATGAAGGAATAAATGAGGAGTATATAAGTATATATCTCAGTAAAACAAAGTCACAGTAAACCACAAAAATATTTAGAGAGAGAGAGAGAGAGAGAGAGAGAGAGTATGAGTGTTTACAAAAAGAAAGTTTATATATATATACCAGGTTTTCTTGTCGTTATCATGACACTTGACAGGTATAGTAAGGTATTGTATGATTGTTTAACAGGTCACATGCATATTTAACAAAACACGTGCATATACACCCATTGTTAAACTAAAAATTTGTTTTTTTTTTAACCAATTAAATAATTTCTAGCGGACGGTCGGACACTTTTTGGACTATAAAATCTTATATATAGGTAAAGATAGGTAAAGATGGTACTAACGGATATTTCTATTTTGTGCATGGCTGGGGGTGGCGGGCGATTGGACAGCATGATGCTTTCAGTAAGGCTTGACTCCCAGCACCACATCCCGCGTCCACCCAAACACAAAGAATACCGCCGCCGACGCCGGGGCTGCCTTGACCAGCGCCGGCGTCAGCCCACGGAACAGCGCCAGCACGCCCTCGGTCCGGGCAATGCTGACCAGCGCATGCGTCATCCCTGTATACTCTGGCAGCGCGCTCTTCGTGAACTGCTGCGTGCCCTGCACCTGCAGGCGCTTGCGCACGAGGTCCAGCGGATACACAAACGTTTTGCTGATAACCGCCGCAGTGCCGCCCAAGACCGCGTCCTGCATTGCGTCCAGGCCCTGTAGCACCGGCGACGACGACACCAGGACGCTACGCCTTAGGTACCGATACCCGGTCGCCAGCATGTCGTAGCTGGTAAACACCGCACCCATGTACGGCATGATCTGCAGACATGCCGGCCACAGCCCGCGGTAGAACCCACGCACTCCTTCCTCTGCGTGGATCTTGCGCACCGCCCCCAGAATCGACGTGTATATGCGGCGATCCATGCTCTGCGCGACGAACCGCGTACGTAGCAGATCAAACGGATATGTCATCGTTGTGGCAATGCCTGCCGCCAGCGCCCCGCCCACAAACGACCGGGCCTTTTTGGGAACAATCTAAACATGTAAACAGGATAAATGAGAAGCCATGCTGTCCCAATACAACCCCCACCCAACTACAGCCGCCAGCTCGCCAGTACCAGGCTAGGCTACCATGCATTCACACTTACGTTTGTCTGCGCCATCGCCCTCTCGACTGCCCCAAATACAAGAAACTGAGCTGCACCATACGACAGGTACAGATACTCTGCCGACAGGTTGCCTTTGAAGAACCCGCGCACGCCCTCCCGCTGCATAATCTGCTTTGCACACTCGACCACCCCGTCTGCCTTCAGGATCCCAAACGACCGACGCCTGGTCTCCAGCTGCAGCGTGATCTTTATCACATCAAACGGCGCTATCAGTGCCCGTGAAATCAGCCCTGCCGTGGCCCCGCAGAACGCGCTTTCCAGGGACGTCAGTTGCCGGGTAGCTGTGCCCGATGTGAGCAGCGCACTGCTCTGCGGTATGTCGGGTTTGGCCGGTGCATCGAGCGTGCGGGCGGATGTGTCGGTCTTGCAGGGGAGTGATTGTCGTGAAGCCATTTTGTGTGCAGGGTTCTGTTTTTGCAATGAAAAGAATGGAAATTTACAGCAAGAGGTAAATGTAGAGGTGGGAGAGAAAAACGGAAGCGTGCGAGAAAATTTCCCGCTTTTGAACCCGAAGTCACAAAAAATGCGCATGTGCCACACTGATCCACTAAGCTTTGCCCACTGATGCGCTGATATTACTGACCTCCCCCAAGAAATGCTGGCCATGCTGAGTATCTCTGACCTGGTATTGGGCGCTTAGACTGTGGTGGCTTTTACCTGTAGCGTCTGCCTGTCAGATCAGGGCGAGGTTGGTGTGCTTTCCCACGAAGACTGCACATCATGGTCTTCCTGAAGGGCAATAAAGTGGTGGCATGCTGCGGAAATATTCAAAACTAGGTAGATGATGGATTCTGGCCAGGCACTAAGGGCACAGACCTTACAGCCTGAAAACTACCACATATATGTTGCTTTCCTGACATCCTGGGTAAGGTATCTCTCGAGCGCAGGCTCAGCCTCGACGGCAGCAACAACCTTGGCAAACTCGGGCACCTTTTCTGGCTCAAAGTAGCTAGAGAAGCCGTCGTTCTTGACCTTCGACTGGGACCTGATAAACCTGAGGAACGCGTACAGAGCAATGTCAGCGTATGAGATCGAGTCGCCGACATAGTGGCCGTTGTTTCCGTTCGCTTGCAGCGCCTTGGTGTGGAACTTGATCAAGTAGCCTGCTAGCTCGCCGAACATCTTCTTCAGATTGTCTTTGAAGTCGCCATCAGAAAAATGGTAGTCAAAAGCTGCGTTCTGGAGGTCAACGAACTGGTCACGCAGCTGCTCTTGCCGTGCTGATGCCTGCAGCTCAGTCGGAAGGAGTCCGTACTTGTGCGCAAGGTACCTCTCGATGACCATCGACTCGGTGAGCTCAAACACAACCTCGCCGTCGCTGTTCTTCTCGAGCAGGACAGGTAGGCGGCCAAGCGGCTGGTCGGCCTTTGTCACTGGCCACTCGGGATGTTCCTCGGTCCACTCGACCCCCTTCACAGTAAGCAGCAGCCGAATGGTCTCGCTGATACCCTGCAGGTCAAAGTAGCGGAGGGTATAGGACAGCGAGTCTTGAGTAGACATGGCGACTTGAATATGCTTGGTAAAACGGGGCTGTAGTTTGTTCGGTTGCAGAAGAGAGCCTTGAGTGAGACACAGCCAGGCTGAATGGCTTGCCTTAAATAGCTGATTCCCCATGGTTTACCCTTTATTTTGCTCACGTATATGCTCGTATGCACCCATCCCATCTCCAAGGTTAACAAGACTGACTGAAAAAGAGGAGGGTCCGGTCGGCCTGAGGCCTGATTTTATCTGGTTAGATTGTTGGCATGGTGATACGGGTGGATGTGCACTCTAATGCCAACACCCCTGTTATCTACGCAAGTAAGAGCGTGCCTACTGCGGTATTCGCTCTGAACGCAGCACTGCCACGCCTGAAATAAGCCCTGTTGTGATTGTTGAGTGCATTAGAGCAACGGATCGGCTTGGGTTTGGGGGTGCAATGCCATACGTTGGACACCTAGTACTGCGCAGCATACTCCAGCAAAGCCAAGGTCTTATTGCCAAACGTGTAAACAGAACTAGCTCTTTCCAATCTTCTCCTGTATCTCAAAATAGCTCTGCAGAGCCGGGTCCGCTTCAACAACTGCCACAAGCTTCTTGAACTCGGGTGCCGCCTCCGAATCAAAGTGGGCAGCAATCTCAGCCGACTCCTCCTTCGCCGATTCAGCACGGATGTGTCTGATGAACGCATAAAGCGCAAGATCAGGGTATGTGGTCTTGTCGCCGAAAAGGTGGCCATTGCTGCCGTTGTCACGCAGCGCCTTGCCATGGACCTGACCCAAGTTTTCGAGAATCTCGGTACACCTGCGCACCACAATATGCGCAGACTCTCCACCAGCGTGCATCGCATAGCTCATAGCGACCATGGCATCATAGAGTTGGTCTCGCAGCTGCTCCTGGCGAGCAGCGAGCTCGGGGTCGGACGGGACTAGGCTGTGCTTGCGCAAGAGGTAGCGCTCGATGACAAGCGACTCAGAAAGAGTGAATAGCACTTGTCCGCCTGAATCCTTCTCGACAAGAACGGGCAAGTGCCCAAACGGCTGCTCACCCTTCTTCTCTGGCCACTCAGGGTGCTCTTCGGTCCATTGAGCACCGATAGAGCACAGCAGAAGACGGATGGTCTCGGCAAGCCCAGGAAAGTTGAAGTAGCGCAGGTTGTAGCTGGTAGAGACTATGCTTGCCATGGTATGTGTTGTTTCGAAAGATATGCTGATGCTCTTGCTGGTGATATATGGAGCTGAAGGAACGGGCGGTGCGCGTTTATATAGATCTAGGGCTCTGCCACGTTCTGCTAGCCTGTATCTCCCAGAAACTGCTACGCAAGCAGTTTTCTTCCTTAGTAATCTGCATATACCAACAAAGTTATGAAGCGTGCAAATATGTACGCAATAATTGGCTTGGCATGGCTTGATACAACGCCAAGTCGTCCTGCTCAAGTAGGTGCATGAACGGCGATGCACACCAAGCCTGTCATAAAACTTCCACATATCTCTGATCGATTTGCTATCGCCGGCTTGTGTTGGTTTCCAGCTAATATCCGCTCTGTGCTGTAGCTTATGAGAGCAAGAAATGTGGGAGATGAACGTTACAGTGCTGACACCATACCAAGCATACGCAAAACATGTTGCTGTGCACGCCACTTGCATGTAGTAATTATTGCTGTGTAAGTCAGCTGCGGTTCTTGTTTGAGAGCAACCGAATGGCTGTCGCGATATAAGTACCACGGTGCATAGCGCTGCTACATCTCTCCACCCATGCTCTAGGTTCACTCATCCTCATAATACTGGAGGCTAGCCCGTGGATGCCAGCTAGCTGGTAAACGTGCGCGATCTGCCTCCACTTTCCTCAAATTTATTCCGGCGCCCCGCCTCGGCTAGCTCATGACAGCGCACAACATTTGTATATTCAATTCAAAGCAGATGCCAGTGGCTGCTCAGTACACTTTACCGATTTACAGCAGTGCTTACCCTTTTTGTTACATTTGACATGATCATATCCACATCCCATTGCTAATGCTCCAGGCTAGCAACTAGCCCCTTGATTTGTTTGACTTTCGGTTAGGAGATCTGCCGTCCTTTTCCCCACTCACCCATTGGAACAAAATCAAAAACATCGACAGCTCCACCTTGAGCGACCTTTTCCTTTAGTCCTGTATATTTTCCCACTGCTATTACTTTGCAACTATGCACAAGGTGTTGACAGTTCCGCTGATTATAGAGGGGATCTTTGGCTACCTATTCAGCGACGCGCTTGGTCTGCAGGCAGAACGCGGTGACTCCACATCGCTGAAGGCAAAGTTCAAGCTGGCAGGCGTCTGCCGCTTGTGGCGGAAGGTGCTTGGCCATCGTATCTTCGACCAGCTCTGCTTCCGCATTGGACACCGTAGGACCCAGGAATCCAACAACAGCGGATCTATCACCAAGACCATAGTGGCCGGCGATCGATATGTCTACCGGACAAATATGGATATGGTTTTGCCGTCGGTTCCTCTGCGCCGACTCGTCCTCCATATCGGCAAGGGAGATGTAGTCACAGAAGAGATGGTCGAATTTCTCACTCAGAGCGTATTTGCTGGGCATAGCTGGCCGTCTGTCCAAGCCGTATCGATTGGCATTGGTACGGATTTTGGATTCGACACCATTAACAGCACAAGGTTTCGCCAGTTGGAGCATGTGGTGCGCGCTATCATCAAATGTGCACCCAACACTATCGACTTTGCTATTGTATCTGCCAACATTGCCGGCCCGCCAATTGACTTAATGGCGGCACTGGGCGGCAGTGCAGAAGGTATAGCATCGCTGAAGCTACAGTATTGTGACACAACGGACTATTCGCGGCTAGTCCTGCCAGCACTGACGGCTCTGTCTATTACCACTATGCATGCAAACAACGTGCGCTCAGTTCCGGTCTTCAATCCCGAGGTTGTCCGGTGCCTCGAGTTTGCCGCTGTTTATTCCGATTCGCTGCTCCATGCGTTTGTCAGAGGAGCGAGCGGTCAGACTGTGACATTCCCGCAGCTTGAGAAACTGTATATAACCTTCACCCCAGACATTAGTGGGCTAGATTCCGAGGGCAGGTGGAGCGAGTACCAGTTTGAGTTCCCGAAGCTGCGCAATCTTTATATCGACCCCAAGAATACGCCCCACTGCACGGTGTCAGAGGTGTTTTCGCATGCGCCGCTTCTTGAAACGCTCAGTGTATACGGCAACCAGCAGGCTATGGTTGGCTGGGACCTGTCACGGTATCCAATGCTGCATACAGTCAACATCCGCAGCGACAGTCTTTCACAGCCACTCAGCATGGCGGATATGCACAAGTACTTGCTTGGGCCAACATCATCTATCCGCATGCTCTCGGTCGCCACAACCAGCCCCCTGGATTTCGAGTCTGTTCAGTTCGGATGCATGTTCCTCTGCACGCTCGAACTAGACTTCATCGTGTCTCGTGCAGTGTTTGAGCATGTTTTGCCGCAGCTCCTGTACCTGAAGCGGATGAAAGTATATTACAAAATCACGGCCTGGGACAGCAGTGCAGATGATGGCAGCAACAGCAGAATGCTGGAGGCTGTACGCAGTGCTGTATCTGCTTGCCCAGCTGAGCCGCTCAGCACCTCGCTCCAGCAGCTGACTGTCTGTGATGCGTATCATTTGTATGGCAGGTCGACCACCACGAATGCATCGTATGGGCCAGGTGCAGCACAGGTTATTGGCATCGCAGCGAGGATTCCGTCGCTTATGCGGATGAAGTTTGTGTGGAGCACTGCATCCGACAGGATGCCCCTCGCCGATATCTTTGCAGATGAGAGGGTTCAAGGAGCAGCCAGGCATTTCGCTGATATTGCCGCTTTTGACTGACCAGGGGTAGATGCAAAGCAGAATATATCCGTGTATGTCTGTAGTGATGGGGAGGCGAACAGGATTTGGAAGGCACTGGCAATTGGACTATGAGCCACAGCACTAGCGGGCATTCACAAGTTGGGTCGTCTGAGTGCTGGTTGTTTCTTAGTGAGAGAGCAAAAAGCGGTGACTCACAACCAGAGATCCACGTTTCTGTTAGAATCAACCGAGGCTTTTTTTTTGCTGTGTTCGCTTTGCTAGGCGGGAGCAGAGAATGCGTGATATAGAGCAGCCTCCAGAGCGCATACCCGACCGGTCTCTTATCTCTACAAAAAACTATATCCATTCAATTTTTCCATACTTGCAAGAATGCTGGTACCAAAGATCACTTTAGGTTCAAGCGATGAGCTCATTAGAGCGGCTGGGGTTTTGCCTTGGACTCTGTATACGGACGCACAGCAGGCATTGGGGCAGGTGTCGGGCTGGTCGGCGGTGATGGCGCCGGCCACCGAAGCATCGGTGCATGATCTGCTGAACAGCGGGGTATCGGCAGCCATCGTCGACTCAACAAGCGCAATCCCGTCCGATATCGACGTATCACGTATTGCGCTGCAGTTCCCGGTGGGTTCACTGCCGCAGGTGAGTGACATTGGACGTGCAGGAGCACTTCTGGTGACGCTCTCGCAGCACAGATCGAGCAGGCAGAGCTGGGGCAGGTCAGTGCAGCGGCCAGCAAGCATCTGCTGGGGAGTTCCGGGCCGGTGCGGGTTCTGGTGGAAAGCATTGATGCGTGGACACTGGACTTGATTACGGCGGTGCGGCGGGCGGGCGGCTCGGCGGTGGTGCCGGTAGAGCAGCTTGCTGAGCTGGGGCTGGCAAAGGCAGTGATTGCCGGTGCTGGGGTGGTGTCGGATCGCAGCGACGGGCTGCTGACGACGGTGGTGGTTGATGAGCAGCGCGTGTGCCTGGGCGTGGTGTACTCGAATGCGGAGAGCCTGGCGGCGGCGCTGTCGACGGGCGCTGGCGTGTACTGGTCGCGCAAGCGCGGGCTGTGGCACAAGGGCGCATCATCGGGGGCAACGCAGGCGCTGGTGGGCGTGTCAGTTGACTGCGACAGCGACGCGCTGTGCTTCACGGTGCAGCAGCACGGCGCCGGGTTCTGCCACCACAACACACGCACGTGCTTTGGCCCGGCCTCGGGGCTGAGCCAGCTGGCGGCGGTAGTGGAGGAGCGCAAGCGGAGTGCACCGGCGGGCTCGTATACGCAGCGGCTGTTCAACGACGCCGGTCTGCTAAAGGCCAAGATCCTGGAGGAGGCGAGCGAGCTGGGAGAGGCCCAGAGCCGCGACGACGTGGCATTTGAGGCAGCGGATCTGCTGTATTTCGCCATGGTCAAGTGTGCGGCCCACGGCGTGTCGCTGGCTGACGTTGAGCGCAGCCTGGACCTGAAGCACCGTAAGGTCGCCAGGCGACCGGGCAACGCCAAGCCGCAGTGGGCTAAGGCTGCGGGAGCTGACGGGCCGAAGGAGGTGGTGCGCACGTCGATTCTGAGCTCGGGCATCCGCACAGCGCAGCCCGGCGAGCCGATCCGCATGCGCGTGTATGGCGCTGGCGAGCTGAGCACGGCGGAATACGACGCGCTGCTGCAGCGGCCGATCATCGACTCGGAGGAGATCATGGGGCGGGTGCGGCCAATTGTCGATGCAGTGCGGGCCAACGGTGACGCAGCAGTCCGTGAGTTCACCGAAAAGTTCGATCGCGTCAAGCTGGACACGGTGGTGGAGCGCGCGCCGTTCGCGGTGCCTGACCTGCCGGCAAAGGTGCGTGCGGCCATTGACCAGGCGTACGAGAACGTGCGTGTGTTCCACGCGGCACAGCTAGGCGGCGACACGCACGTCGAGACGATGCCGGGCATCACATGCTCGCGCTTCAGCCGTGCCATCGAGCGCGTTGGGCTGTATGTGCCCGGTGGCTCGGCGGTTCTGCCGTCGTCGGCGCTGATGCTGGGCGTTCCGGCGCAGGTGGCCGGGTGCCGCGAGATCGTCCTGGCGACGCCGCCGCGTGCCGACGGTACAATTGTGCCCGAGGTTCTGTATGTGGCGCACAAGGTCGGGGCGACGGCGATTGTGAAGGCGGGCGGAGCGCAGGCAATTGCAGCGCTAGCCTATGGCACGGCGACAGTGCCCAAGGTCGACAAGATCTGCGGGCCCGGTAACCAATACGTGACCGCAGCCAAGATGCTGGCGCAGAACGACACGGCGGCGATGGTGGCCATTGATATGCCGGCGGGCCCGTCCGAGGTGCTGGTGGTGGCCGATGCGACCAGCAACCCGGCGTATGTGGCCAGCGATCTGCTGTCGCAGGCCGAGCACGGACCCGACAGCCAGGTCGTGCTGCTGGCCGTCGATCTGACCGACGCGCAGCTGGCGGCCATTGAGCAGCAGGTGCATGAGCAGGCCGAGCGCCTGCCGCGCGTGGCCATTGTGCGCCAGTCCATTCCCAAGAGCTTCTGCCTGCGCGTCGCGTCGCTGGCCCAGGCCATGGACTTCTCCAACGCGTACGGTCCCGAGCACCTGATTCTGCACAACGACAATGCCCGCGCCTGCCTGCCCGACGTCGTCAATGCCGGCTCGGTGTTTGTCGGCCCGTACTCGCCCGAGTCGTGCGGCGACTATGCCTCCGGCACCAACCACACCCTGCCCACCTACGGTTTCTCCAAGATGTACTCGGGCGTCAACACCGCCACCTTCCTGAAGCACATCACCGCCCAGGAGCTGACCAAGGAGGGCCTGGCCAACATCGGCGAGACCGTCATGACGCTGGCCGAGGTTGAGGAGCTGGAGGCCCACCGGAATGCGGTGGCCATCCGTCTGAAGGACCTGTAGGATGACAAAAATAAATTCCAACGAGATCGTCCCCTCCCCCTTGCTATCTGTGGCATCGTCTCAAATGCCGGGCGTGTCCCAGGCCAAGGGAACCGGCCTTTTTTCAATATACCCGCTGTGTCAGAACCTTAACCCCGTGTTTTTTGCTCCCCTGAATGCGGTCTGGACTTTTTTCCCCTGCGATCGCAGGCATGGCTTTGTGGCAAATTCAGGCTGGGGGCATGTTCCACCGCTTATTGGACGCACTCCTCCTGTGCTCAGCCGATTTTCCGATCCCTGCGAGGCTTCGGCCCTAGGGTATGACTTAAGCACACTCTCTAGAATGGAACTGGGCCGGCAAGAAAAAACCGCAACCCTTCTCTACTCCACACGTAATTATTTTTCCCACCCCACTCTTGCTTTTTTCCTGCCATCTATTTATTATCATCCATGTTTTCAGCGCCAGTAGCCGCATCCTGTCACCAGCCGGTCAGTGCTGGCGAGCAGCCGATTCTAAATGCCCTGATAACCATCCGCAACCGGCTTGCGGCGCTGAAGAAGGACCGCGGCAACTACTACAAAGCGGATGAGATCGTGGGCATGTACAACGAGCTGCTTCTGATGGTGCAGGAGCTGCAGGCGACGCGTATTTCCGAGCATCACGACGACGACTCCTTCAAGAACCGCGTGGACTCGGTGCTGGACGAGTGCTTCCAGCTGTTCTCGCTGTTCTACCTGGCGCTGGGCAAAAACAAGGAGATCCCGGCGACCTATGTGCAGCTTGTTACCATTAAGCAGAACTTTGAGCTGCTGAACGAGACCGGAATCTACACCGACGGTAAGTGCTTTTGTTGTTGTCTGTATCGTCGGTACGGGCAATTTTTCTTGCCATTTTGCGTTTCTGGCACAGGGACATCACAAAGAAAAAACCATCCGCTTGTTCCCTTCCCGCCATGTCATCCCGGGGCAACAGGGCTCTTTTCTTCTCCCCCGCGTCACCGCCATGCCCCATGAGCCTCGGCCACTTAGCTAATTTTATTCCCTTTTTAATAGCCGATTTGGCGCCGTTCCAGAAGCGGCTTGCGGAGATTCGGAATCTGGTGAACACAGAAATAGCCAAGGAGGATGGCGACGACCTAAAGGCAATCGGCAAGCAGCGCCCCGAGATGCTGCTGGTGTCGCGGCGGCTGCGGCAGTGCGAGAGGGAGCTGGCGGCGCTGGAGCACACAACGCAGGTGATCAGCGACGAGCTGACGCCGACGTACGAGGAGCTGGTGAAGATCCGGCGGCGGCTGGCGGCGCTGTCGCTGCAGCCGCACGAGACGGCGATCGGAGAGGCGCGCGAGGTGCAGAAGCGGCTGATTGAAATCGACGACCAGCGGGTGAACGACCGGTTTGTGCTGCAGGACGGCTCGGTGGCGGCCGGGCAGACGCAGGTGGTGGGCCTTTTGGAAGAGTGCTTTGACAGCCTGCATGAGGTGCTGGTGGAGGGCAGCTGCGTGCCTCCGGATCTGGCGCCGGTGTACTCGCGGCTGCTGGAGATCCGGGCGCAGCTGGACAAGCTGCTGCTGACGAGCCGGTGGACGCTGCGGGAGACGGACCTGTGGAGCTACCAGGTGCAGCTGCAGGATATCGATGCGATGCGGCGCAACGGGCAGTTCAAGGACTCGTCGGGGGAGCCGGCGCCGCAGCAGGCGCAGGCGGTGCTGAACTTTTTGCTGCACAAGTGCTACAACTACGTCTACAAGCTCTTGTCGTCGAGCGAGCCCGTGGCCGAGTCGCTGATGCCCGTGCATAACCAGCTGCGCACGCTGCGGCGGTGCCTGCTGGAGGTCAAAAAGTACGGCGGCCCGCTGACTGCGCGCGACCTGTATCCCTACCAGATGAAGCTGTCGAGCATCGACAATCTGCGGACCGACGGCAAGTTCCTCGACGAGGAGGGCCATGTGCCTGAGGGCCAGGGCGTCGTCATGTCGCTGCTCAACGAGTGCTACGATCTGATGTACGAGCTCATGTCCACTGACGTCGACGAGTAAGGAAATAGTAGTGCTTAGATTTTTTCATCTGCTGTGTTTTTTCTTGTCTCTATCATCCCATTTTCTAGTCGGATCGGATCCACGTGACTGCTCGCCTCTGCTGGAGGCTCCCAACACCCTGTTCTCAAAAACACAGCCTTCCTGCCCTCTCTCCTCTCCGCGCATTTTTCTTTATTCTTTTTTCAAACCAATTTATTATTATTCGGTAAGCTATTTTTCTCTTTGCTCTGTACATATACTTTTCTTGTAATCTAGACACGCGTCTTTCTTCTTATTCTCAGTCTCTATTATTCTCCCTTCCCTGCTCGCTACAAAAGTCTCAGCAACCCGTTCCTCTTTATATTTCTTATGATGCTGAACCACACCCAAGCGTGTTTTTTTCCTTTTCTCTTTCTTTTTTGATAACGCGTAACTGGGATCCGCTTACAAGCCCAGAGCGGGGGTTGCTTTGAGGCTGTTTCTTTTTTTTTTTTTTGACGCGTTCTGTTTTTCGCCCTCTCCATCTCATGTTCTTATAGTGAAGAAAGAAACATCGCTGGGCGAGTGTGTTTTTCTTGTAGATATCTCTTCTCTCCATCACCCACATTTTTCTATTATTTTTCTTTTTGCCCAAATAATCAGCGGGGAGAATCCCTTTGTATTCATTGTCCTGTTTCTCTCCATCTTGCCTTATTAGTGATCCAAACCATGCCTTTTGACGACGAGGAACTCCGCTCGGCACCAGACAACAATGGGGCTGCAGCCGGCGACAACAACGGCACGTCAGGTGGCAACAGCGGCAGCATGGGGTGGGACATTGACCCGACTCCGTCCATGGGGTCGCCCAGGGACAAGTTCCGTCGCGAGCGCGACAGCCCCGACCGCCGCGACAGATTCGGCCGCGACCGCCGCAGCCGCAGCCGGTCTCCCGAGGACTCGCGCTCGCGCCACCGGTCGCGCTCGCCCATCCGCCGCCCGCCAGCCGGCGACGACGGCGACCGCTACATCCCGCACTACGAGCGCGAGCGCGGCGGAGGACGTGACCGCGACCGCAGCGGCGACCGGTACCAGTCGGGCGGACGGTACGGCGGCTATAACGGCGGCCACCGCGGGTACTCTGGGCGTTCTGGTCGCTCGGGCCGGGGCGGCGACATGGACGGCGGCTACGGCAACGGCAATATGGGCGGCCGGGGCGGCGTGACTGGTGGCATGCTTGATCCGCGGTCGTACGACCAGGTGGTGCCGTTCAAGTACTTTGCCGAGTGGCTGAAGACGCAGGACGGCGGGCGGCGGCTGGAGCAGGACGAGATCCGCGAGCGGTACGAGGACTACAGGCGTGAGGCCCTGCAGCGCCTGTACACGCAGTTCTATGCAGCGCATAAGGACGACGACTGGTTCCAGGAGCGCTTTGATCCGGAGCGCCGCAAGGAGTACATGCAGGTTCTGCGTACGCGCAAGGTGGGCAATCTGGAGGACTTTATGTCGAGCCTGGCCAGCGGCCGGTACGACAAGCTGACTATGACGGCCACCACCGAGCAGGTGATGCAGCATGAGGTGAACCGGCGCGACCAGTCGAACATCAACCGCCTGGGAGCCGACGACGACGAGGACGACGACGGCGAGACGTACTGCCTGTTTGTGCGCACTGTGCCGCCGAGCGTGTCGCGTGCAACCCTGGAGGAGGAGCTGAAGAAGCAGGCTGGGTTCAAGTACCTGGCGCTGTCGGAGCCGCGGCAGGACAAGCAGTACCACCGGTTTGGGTGGGTGCGGTTCGACAAGGGCACCGACATGGACAAGGTGCTGGAGAACCTGAGCAACCTAAAGATCGACGAGTTCCAGTTCCATTTTTCGCGACACACAAACAACTCGTCGGCGGCGATGCGCCTGGCGCCGGACGTGGCCAGCACCGAGGAGCGCCTGCGCCACGATCTGAAGCTGGTGCGCGAGGCAGTCAAGTCGCTGGACGCCCGGACCGACACCGAGGTCTTCCATGGATTCGACTCGGTTCAGGCCAAGATCAAGGAGCTGGGCGGCACCATTGCCGAGGATGCCGACGCCGACGCCGACGCCGACGTGGCCATGGATGACGAGGAGGGCAGCGCCGCGCGCAACGAGGACGGCGAGAGCGGCGAGATCAAGGGCGATATCGATGCGGTGCGACGTGAGCTTGATCTGCTGATCGAGTACCTGCGGCGTGTGCACTACTACTGCTACTACTGCGGGCACACCGCCGACAACAGCGAGGACTTTTACCGGCGGTGCGCCAAGCAGCACCTGCGGCGGCCGCTGGGAGCGAATGGGCGGGCGGCGCCGTCGGGCAACTGGACGCGCAACCTGGACAACCGCAACGACGTGATCATCCACCCGCTGGAGGCCGAGCGGCTGTATAAGGAGGGCGGCAAGTCGGTGGAGCGCGAGACCGACAAGGAGCTGGACAAGCACATCAACTGCCTGGACGAGGGCCGGTTCCGCTGCCTGCTGTGTACCAAGCTGTTCAAGGGCGACGCCTTTGTCCGCAAGCACATCCGCAACAAGCACCCCGAGGCCGTGCCCGAGGAACTGGTGCGCGACATTGCCTTCTTCAACAACTTTGTGCGCGAGGCCCCGCACTTTGTGCAGCTGGGCACCGGCGGCAACCTGGCCATGGGCGCCGTGGCCGGCGTCGTGTCCGGCGGTGGTCGCGGCGGCGATCGCAATGCCGGGTTCATGTCGGGCATGATGATGCCGGGCATGATGATGCCGGGCATGATGATGCCAGGCATGATGGCCACCAACCCCTACATGATGCCCGGCATGATGCCCGGCATGATGCCTGGTATGATGCCGGGCATGGGCGGCCACTTTATGAACCCGATGATGCAGATGGGCGGCCAGATGTACAGCCAGCAGTTCCGCGGCGGCCGCGGCAGCCAGCGCAACGGCGGCAATGGCGGTCGCGACCCGCGTGCTGTCCGGTCGTATGTTGATCTGGATGCTCCGGCCGAGGGCGAGCCGGACTTTGGCTTCTGAGTCTGCTTACCAAATTTTTTATTGCTCAATTCAAATAAACTCTCCCCCCACCTTCACATCTTTGCCTTGGCGTGGCGGGCCTCCTGCATCCTCATGCTGAACTCGCCGCATTCGCCGCGGATCAGCGGGCGGATGAACTCGTCGTAGCCGCGGATAACACCCCTGCTGTCAACCTCGGTGGTGTTGAGCGGTTCGCTCTGGATGGCCTCGACCAGGCGGTCGTACGCGCGGCCGTCGCTGGCACCCAGCGCCGAGTTGAGGTACCAGTCTGGCCAGCCAAAAGCATCGACCAGGGCCACGGCATTGCCACGGATGCTCTGCAGCAACCGCAGGTACTCTGCACGCATCTTGTCGAGCTGCGCGGTGGCCAGGAATCCGTCCTCGACAAACTCGCCCAGGTCCGTGTAGAGCACCAGATGCAGCGCATGCAGCTTGGCCAGATCCAGCATGGCCTGGGCCGTGGAGCCATCGAGCCGGTGGTGGGCGAGCTCGCCAAAGAAATTGCGAACGACAAGAACCTGGACGTGCGCGCGCGCCAGCTGCGCAAAGGCAATCAGCTGCGTCTCCCACCCGGCGCCATCTAAATGCGCATCGCCGACTGCGCGCAGCAGACGGGCCGCGCGGTGCTCGAACATGGCAACCAGGCCGTTCGGCGAGAGGATATCCTTGGGCCTATCCTCAGCGAGCGCAGCGGGCGATGCCAGAAGGCGGTAGAGGTATCCAACCGTGTACTCCTGGGCGGGCAGCACCTGCTTGCCGGCCTTTATGGCACGGTAGATCTTGAGCAGATAGCTGGCAGCCTGCTGCGTGAGCAGGACGTTTTCGCCCTCAAATGTGTTTGTGGCCTGGTAGGTGCCCAGGGGCTCGGAGATGCCGTTGAACATCGAGTAGCCGTGGCCGCCCATGGACTTGCGCGCGTCTTCGGAGCCGTCCGCAACCACCTTGGTCGTGTAGCTCTTGAGTGCCGACGAGTACGCGTGGACGTCGGCCAGCAGCGAGTCGTCGCCGTTCTGCAGCATATCCATCAGCGTGTGGTAGTGCCGCCCCATCCAGTGTCCAGTGATGCTGAATGCATATGCCTGCGCCAGCAGCGGCAGCAGCCGGTGCTGCTGTGTCTGGTAGTCGAGAACCTGCGGCTCGCCGCCCTGGTACATGCGCGTCGAGCCCTGCCGGCGCACCACCGAGTAGCGCACAGCAATGGTGATGGCGCGTGAGAGCGCCAGAGACGCAAACTCGACGATATGCACGCGCACATACGTCATGGTGCCGTAGCGCAGCCTATCGTTGAGCGGCTTGTGGTAAGTGCCATCCTGGTCGACCTGCGAATACCCCATGAGCATGTTTGTGCGTGGAATCCGAACCTGATCGAACATCGCCCAGCCATTGTCCATTTGCCCCGCACCGACCTTGGGCCCAATGTCCAGCGCGCGGATCCCTGGCAGCAGCGTGTGGTCGTCCAGCGACCGGATCGGCACCAGGAACGGGTGTGCCCCGTACGACTTGCCGTCGATGATCAGCTGCGCGACCACCGCCGCGTGCGTGCACGTCTTACCGAGCGCCCCGATCCAGTACTTTGCCGCGCTGGCCGTCGGCGAATTGATCACCCACTCGTCCGCCGCTTTGTCCAGCGTCGCTGTGGTCTCCAGCCCGCTCAAATTCGACCCGTGCCCGAGCTCCGTCTGCGCATAGCAACCCAGCATCCGCATGCTCTCGGCCTCGCTACCCCACCGCGCCCATTGCTCCTTCGACGACTGATTGCGCAGAACCGGCAGGAACATGTCGATGTGCAGGCATGCCGGCACAAAGTCGTCCACAAACAGCTTCAGGAACAGCATCGACTCCTCCTGGTCAAGTCCGTACTGGTTGCGCAGCTCCGCGAACCGCTTGCCCTTTGCCAGTCCGCGATGGAACCGCTCTGCGCGCGACAGGAACTCCTGCCCGGTCTTAGAGAACACCGGCTCTTTGGCCACCAGACTGGCAATCCACTCGCGCTTCGACAGCGACTCGGCGCCGCCGTGGAATAGCTCCTTCACCTGCTGCTGGTTGATGGTCGAGCCGGAGCGCTCGCGCTCGATGTCAAGTGCCTGCTGGTTAGACATGGTTTAGTGTACAATAAATCGATTATAAATAATTGGATACTCCTTGCAAAATACCAAGACTGCAGAAAAGAAGACCTTACTGCCTCTCCCTCCCCTTTTAATGCATGATGGGCGGTCACTGAACGCTATAGTCCGCCGGAGGTTTGGCTCGCTCCGAGATCCCCTAGCCCACAGCTGTACGTGCGGACATGGGCGACAAGGACTGCTAGCCGCGAGTATGATGCGCAAATAAAAAATTCGGTTCACTCATTCAGGCTTTTTGTCTCTTCTGCTCCGGCTGGCTCGGGCTCACTTTTGCTCCGATGGCCCAGAGACGCCGTGGTGAAAACCTGCAACAAAAGCTTTGCCTGACCAGTTGAGCGCGGGACTAGCCAAGAAACCTGGCCCGCATCGCTAACCCCCGTCCCAGCCTACACATCAGGCAGACCGCAAAACAACCTCTTCGGCCGTCCGTCCATCAGCGGGGAAGTAGTGTCCGACAAACCTGACCACATAGATAATGAAGCAGACAAGCACCATGAGCGAGTCGAATGTGTATAGTGCCCACTCGCTGCGGTATATCGCCCCGCCAAACCCGCTTGCGTAGTTGACGATCCTGTACACCAGCCGCACATACAGCAACAGCGTGGTGACTGTCAACACCTGCATCAGCCTTCTCTTGGCTACCTCCTGCGTCTGGTCGCCAGGCGCCCTGACAACTGTCATCTCGGGATCCTTCCACACATACATGACTGTGACCAGAAACGCGCCAAGAAACAGGAGCTGAATGCCAAGCCCGATGAGAACGACAATCTGGCCTGCGTGCCGAGTCGCCCTTGGAGGCTCCATGCCGCAGCCCACCATCTGCAACACGAATCCTACGATGTCCGAGGTATTGTACACCCAGGATATGAACGACGGCCGCAGATATATCGCCACATTCTGCTTCTTTGTGCGTTTCGTCACCTCGCGCACGCACATGTAGTTGAACAGCGCTAGGGCGTTGGGTGGCAGGAGCAAGAACAGATCCATGACGATGAATAGGCCCAGGTGGGGTCGGTATGTGCACACCACACGCATGATGTATCCAAGCGCCTCGCCGACTGCGGCGCCAGTCAGAACGTACATCCATTTGGGTGCCGACGTGTTGAGAATCTGCACTACGAGGATTATGCCCAGCGAGAGAAAGAGCCCGATCATTACCTCCGGCAGCCCGTGCACCGGCACATACGAAAAATACTCTGCCGCTCTCGGGCTAACAATTGACATAATAAAATTAAAATCAATACAGACAAGTAGAAAACAAGCACTCGCTATGTTACAGGTACTGTTGCCAGGGGCCGTATGCACGCTGCTGACATCAAGAGCCCAGTGGGGCGGCGCCAAGCACTGATAAGTCCCAGTGGCGCCTCCCTTCCTTAGCTACAGACTGGCGGGGCGAACCAGCGACGGTTTCTAGAAGAGCGGAAATCCAAGACCTCCACCTTTTCAATGGCTCCATTAACGAAGGGCTTGAGCAATCCGTTTCGCCAAGTGGCAAGGATTTTTGCACTATATCATGCGCGCTGTCCAGCGAATAGGCAGATGCGGCTTCTGCTCCGCTAGTTACACCAATGCAGATATGCGCACATGCACAGGCTTGCTGGCCTAAATATCTCCAAGGCTATACTAGGCTTTCACCGGCTAGGAATCTCTCAAAATCGAACGGCTGACACACTTGGACGTCGATATCCACATCCGCCAATGCCTTGATATTTTCGCAGTCCTTCAGGTTGTCCAAGAATTTCTGCTGAGGGACAAACTCCTCAGCTTTCTCAAGTCCGAGCACATGCAGCCGCTCAAACAAGGGTGACTGGATCATGATGTCGATGAGCATCGCCATGCGCTTGTTGTAGGTCGCGTTCTGCGTAAAGTCCGTGTAGTTGTTGAGCACAATGGTGCACAACGACGGGCTGAGCTCATCTGATGGCGTCTTTGTCAAGTGCGCACGCACTTTATCCAGATCTGCCGTGTCCTTCTGGAGTGCAAACGAGTATTCGATTACAAGATTTCTCAGCACTGGGAGCTGCGCGACGATGTGCCGCAGCATGTGCTCGGGGGCGCATTCCGAGATCTTTAGTGTGGTGAGCGACGTGCACCCAGAATCGCACCGGGTCACTTCCTCATGTCCCAGCTGGTGGATATTCAAGATCTTTAGGTTCGATGCTGGCCTAATCAGCACCGTTTCAAAGTGAGTATAATGCGGAAAGTGCTGAGGACCGCCCCAGCACATTGCTACCATCTCCAGCATTGGATACTGTGTGATATCAAAGCTTTCGAAGAACTCCAAGTCGCCAACTGCGTCCAGTTTCGTTAGCGGCGCTGCCTTGGGCATCCACATGATGTTTGGAGGCGGCCCCTCAACGGTGTCAACCCGCAGGCTGTATAGCTTGGGGAAATCATAGTGGAATTTCTTCCAGGGCCCATCGGTACCTCGACCGGCTCCTCCTCGAAATCAAACCGCACGTCCAGAACCCGGAGGCTGTCAAAGGTAGCTGCATCATCTACCGCGGCTTCCTTAAATGCCTTGAAGAACTTGTTCAGCTTGACACTGGCTATATTCAAGATCTGTAGGGTCTTTGTCATGAGCCCAGGCATCTGGAGCCCCACCTCTGACGTATTTTTGTCAACATACAAGCAGGCTAGCCCTGGAACTACCAGCCCAGCCGTGCTGCAGACACTGCATAATTTGAAATCCAGGCTCGTAATCTGGTCGGCGTACTCGCCCAACGCCTCCTTCAAACCCACGCACAACTCGCTTGGCGACTTGCTGAGAGCCCTGAAGCGCTCGATATTTGGCGCCTTGGACAAAATGTACCTGATTACATCCCCAAGCGGGGTATAATCGGAAGAACTGACAGTATAAAAGGGAGACGACCGAACAGCAATAGTCAAGTCCTGCACACTGGGCCAGCTGCGCGCCCCAAACTCGGTTTCGGCGAGGTGATGTGGGGTCAGGCTCGGCATTACCTCTTCATAATGGATACCCAGGATAACCCGGCACGGCTGGATCCTGGCTGGGGCAAAGTGCAAGGGGGTCGAAACAAGCGGAGCTATGGTTGGCATACTGGGCAGTGGATTGGCAGCTGGCAGTTCAATCTCTTCGTCGCTGAGTTCCTTGGGCTTTTTGCATTTGATGCGGATGAACAGGTCAGAGTACATCTTTTGCCCAACGATTGCCCGCCACTCCTGACACACCTACAGTATCTCCAATACATCAAAGAGCGTAAAGAGAATGTTGTCGTTGAAGATGACTCCGGACACATACTCATAAACATAGTCTGCAATTTCTTGCACGATTTACGGTGTTTGTAGAACAGGATGCATGGCATATTAACAACAGCTATTGTAAAAGGGCAAAAGCAAGACAAAGGAAGAGGTTTATCGTGGGTTTACAATGGTCATGAGCTATCTGTTACCGCTGGTTATACGGCTGTGCTACTTATTGTGATGTAAGCCAACAGAGATACATATCTACGCAGCACCATGCATATCCAACCGTCCTGCATACCCACTCATCTACAAAAGAGACAGCCCTCACCCTCGCCGATTGTGAACGCTGTTGGCGAATCCACAATTGGAGTAGACAAGTTTTGAATTCACCTTACAGAGAAAATCAAACAGCGAGCTGCTATTTGACCATATTAGACTTATCCAGCCACATGTACCGCTCGCACTTTTGATGCCTTTGCAACATGTGAATGGCCGTGATCTCTAGGTCCCCGCTGCCTGTCACCAGCTGTGTCACAGCAGCAAAACATGCTTGGAATACCGGGCTTGGATAAACCTGCTCGAGGTTGAGCCGGTGTGGTTGGCTCTGGCGCCACCCAAAATTCCAGAACGCAATGCGCGGCTTGTAGCACGCATTCCGTCTCCCCCAGCTCCGAATGCATGTTGCGTCAAAAGGCTAATTTACTCCCCCAACCACTTTGAAGCTAGCAAACACATACAGGTGTCACGCCGCCTCTCTGGTACAATAGACTATTCACATCTGTATCTCGAATAGCACTTCCCGTTTGAGCAGATCCACTGAGTAATCCAGCCTCCTATTGTAACTAGTTATGCAAGTAACTGTGGGTGGCTGCGCCGGTGCTGACACGGATGAATGGCGGCACAGCCAGATGGGAGATACCTTATCCGCGTGCGGTATGCACTGTACAGATCGCCACGATTCCATGCCTGCATCCCTGATACGTCCACGGTAATTGCAGCTGCCACTAGTTCCGAGGCACCAGGAGTGGCTGAGCTGGTAAAACAGGGGCGGCTTAGAAACGATCAAGCGTACATTTGGGAACGTTATATGGCAGCAAGAGAGCAGTCACTACACTGTGGATTCCCAAATACCAGTACATGGGCTCATCACCTGCCAAGCAAAGCAAAATGTGATCCTGGTTCACAAAAACGAATCCGAGTTGGCTCTAAAGGGGCTATTGGGCAGGTAACCATTTCTGCAAATCGTTCCCCGTTGGTACAACCTGGTATATGAAAAAAACAGCAGACAGTCGGATATGTCGCCAACAAGACGCTGATGCAATAATAATTAGCCTCAAATATGTGGAATCGAGGGAATCCAGTGGGCTGCTGTGGACTGAATGGCTCTTCAAAGCCTCTCGTTAGCCTTTGCACAGCCAGGGATTCATGTTGCTGCTACCACAGTACAACTCTGCAGTATATAAAGTGTGCTGAGTTCGACAGACAGCCCTACTGGCCCAATATCATTCTTAAGTTCCATTCTCTAGCTCTCCATTTTCAAGACCAACCGCTAAACTCGAGACATGGCCGCCATTACCAACAACATCGCCTATATGGCAAGCACTGGTGGGTGGAAGCCTTCCCAACCTTCTGAGGAACAGATTGATAACCTCATCTATAACCTTTAACCAGACAAACTAGCCAATTCCCATGGTATCGGGGAATTAATCACAGTTGCTGAGAGCTGTTCAATCGAATAGATGTTACGCTTATAGTATGAATTGAACTAACGCTAATCAAATTGCTGAGCAAGTGCTTTGGACATGTATTTTGCATGGATTCTATCCCAAAAGAGTCGGGTATCCATTATACCTTTCAAATATAGGACTAGAAGAGTTTACCATGGTCACCTTTTTGTTCCTCATGTCCTTTCTCAGCACTCACAATGCCCTCGCTCGCACAGAATTTACCTGTGATCATCGCGGAACGTGTATTGCATTTCCTGATACTCGGGGATACCACTGAAGAAGCGTGGCGAACTCACAGCAATGCTACCTTTAGGTGCCTCCGACCCGTATCGCAGCTGTGCCGTTCGTGGCGTGCTGCATCGGTGGACCGTTTGTTCGAGCATGTATGTCTTGATTTAGACACCACGCTTGATGCACACCAGGCATTTACGCTTCGACACTGCCGGAAGACTAAAGAAGTAGTGCTGTTTGTCAACACAGAATCGGTTTTTGACGGCTCTGCGCTGGCCAGGGTGTTTTCAAAGCTCTTCAGGAACAAAGTTTTTTCGTCTGCGGTAAAAACTCGACCTTTACCTTGAAGGTAAACTGCCTGCAGGAGAAAATTCTAATCCTCGGCACGCAAATAACATTCACGGGTTCCTCGAGGCGATTCAGCGCCTGTTTCCTGCGGCAGTATATACCACTGTCTTTCACGGGTGGCCAGAAGCGAGTGAAAGCTGGCCGCTGCTCGCAGTCGAGCTACTGAGAGGTCTTTTTCTGCGGAATACGAGGGTGTCATGTAGTGAAATATGGCTGACGACTGTCCCTGGACTCATTTCAGACGATGCCTGCCTGCAGGGCATTGATGCGACTATCATGTCTCCTTCACCCCACTTCATCGAAATCGTTCGTCGCAGTGCCCCTGCCTTGCAGCACTTGCGCCTAAAGCTTGGCCAGTCTTTTATTTTCAAGAGGGTTGTGGCTGGTGATGATGGAGCAGGGCCTGTGTTTTCGCAATTGCGCAGACTTGAACTGTTCTCGTCCACAGACAGGTCAGCACTTGCAAATGGCAGACTCGTTTCGCCGGATGGCACGCCATTTCCTGCGCTGGAAACCCTTTCTTGCCACATGTCATATCCATTCGGCAACGATGTTCTTCTTCGCGGAAATGGGCAGTCTCTCCGTGTCCTTGATATCTACATCTCGAACGAGCTTCTCGATGTGTTTGAACGGTGCAGTGTATTTGCAAGCCAGAGGTTCACTGCACTTGCTTGCCTGAAGCTAGGGAATCTCCAGGGAGAGCATGGTGTGATTGATAAAGCGCGCGTGGTGCGCATCTGCAATCTATTCCAGCAGAAAACAGTTGTTGAGGTCTTGGGCCGTGTTGACTTTCTATACGACACATTGCAGCCATATCTCGGCGACATGGCTCGGACGATCCGTGTGCTGGATATCCCGCAGCTGGAATGTACCTTTGAGCAGATTGTCGTGTTAATCAGCTCGCTTCCTTTCCTTCAGATGCTGTCGGCCACCTGTCTTAAAAGCGATGCCCTTGCAAGCGAGATAGATTCTGTGCATGCCACTTGCACTGGCATGTGTGCAGTCAAGAAATCAGTCGGTCGTGTCACCAACAGATTTGACAACCCAGCTCAGCTGCATTTTGACACCCATTTGGATATCGCCTGCCAAACAGTGGGCTTCGCTGGCTCAGTGTACGCATCTGGTCCTCCGATCTCACAGAGACTAATCGACCTGGATATTCGCATTGAGCGGGCCAACAAACGCATGCAGGCAATTCGTCTTTGTATCATCCTCGCTATACTATGCCCCTCCGTTCGAAGCTTTACCTACTACTCAAGGACATCCGAGCTTACAGTTGACCGCTCTCGCTTTACATCCAACAAGGAGTTTCAGAAGCTGACGGCGCGTGTGAGATCCAGCATCGACAATTGCCTTGATATGCATTAGGAATCGCTTTGTTCAAGTGGTGGTTTTGTTTGAGATGTGTGAATAAAGTCTATTTGAATACTGTTACGCACCCGACCCAGCTATCGTCTGAGTCACCTGCCATGCCGACGACAGGGACAGCCGCGTCGGGCATCAATAGGAGCCCTGATGCAGCCTGTTCAGTGGAAATGTCCATCAGCCTTTGATGCACTATGCAGGCAGCAGCCAGTGTTCGCTCGCTGCTGGCCATCTGTGAGAGATACGGATATTGACTACCGCAGGACACAGATGCTGGAACCACTAAACATGGAATTAACAAAATTGAAGGGGAAGGAGAGGAAGGCCACGAGCGCCTTGCATCGCCCTTTTTGAAGATTCCGCTATTGCGTTCAAATCCTGCACAGCAGCGAAACCCGAGCAACAAGCTGTGCTCGGTGTACCATATGCCTCCGCTCGATCGATGTTTCCATCGGTTCAGGGCTGGGGGCTACTCTCGCTGTCGGCCGATGTGACAACTGACATTGCATCGCCATGCTGGACATCATAGGCCGCGCAACACTGGCTCCTCATTTGCGGCTCAACCATACGTTCTCTACTGCCCAGGATGATGCCAGTGACCAGAGGGAAGCGTGATCACAGTATGCAGTCTGCCATAAACTCTTTTCAATGCTACAGTGGGGTCAAAATGATAGTGGAGCAGGGACTCGTGCTAGATTTCCATTGCCTCATGCCTTTTCTTTCCTAGTACCTTTCAAGCCACACATGATGACCTCACCAAAACCAGCACAGATAGTTGCGCGTGTACAGAGTCTGCAGACAGTATCAGTAGAGGTTTCGAACCAGCTTCGGAAGCAAGCGATGCAGTGGATGCAAACGCAGCAAATCCGGCTCGAAGGCCTGGGCGACTCTGAGCTTGAGGACACCGAGGACATCGATACCAGTATGAACGAGCTCATGCAATGCGTCCTATACACAGAGATCCGCAAGGACATACGCCAGCTAGCAGACTCGCTGGAGACAGTGCAGTTCAATCTGTTCAGCAGCCGGCAAAACACGTCGATGGACCTGTCTGAGCCAGTAGAGCCCGACAGGAAAAAATGCGCAGAGGCGTGGGAGAGGACACAGGAGATTGCCAAGCAGCTGTATGAAGCATGCATGGAGGTTGACGAGTGGCGACGCACGGCGGTGATTGCCGGGTTTGTTGAGAAGCACCAGCCAGAGGACTGCTCGTCTGTGGAATCGACGAGGTCGACAAAGTCGGTGCGGCTGCCGATTGAGCAGATAATCATGGAGGCGAGGGAGCGCCAGAGGCAAAGGAAGAGGGCGAGCAGCCTGGGCACGCAGCGTGCAGTGTCAGTGAACGGGGATGCGTGGGGCGCAAGTCCGCCGCCAATAAGCAGGCTGATGCAGGCCGAGCTCGAGGCAAACGAGCTCCGTCCGCAGCCCAAGTCGCCGTTGCATTCGAGCACCCCTGATGCCGTTCTGTCACCATCGGGCGACGCGCTGACGCAGCCATTAGCGACATTGCGGCTGGTGAACGACTCTGCAGACACAGATACGCATCGCCGGCGCACGTACTGCAATGACGTGCGGATTGTGGGCTGGACAACGACCGGTCGCGGACTGGACGTGCACACAGAGTTCAAGGTCTTTGCGCACCTCTCTGCTGGCGGCAATGTGACAGTGATGCGCCGGTACACCGACTTTGTCGTGCTGCGTGAGGTGCTGTGCGAGCGGTACCGGACATTCCGGAAGCGTATCCCACATCTACCGCACAAGCAGGCGTTTGGCAAGTTTGATGACCAGTTTTTGAAGAAGCGCGAGAGCGGGTTGCAATTCTTCTTGGCATACGTCGTGCTTCACCCGGTTATTGGCGCAAGCACAGTTGTTCGCCAGTGGTTCGAGGGCGCACCATAATGTACAAGGAGCTGTCATGTGCCCTATGTACCAGGAGGCGATTTTTTTTTTCTTAATCCACATAGCATATTCAGTACTCAAAAGCTACATTTTCACTGTCATGTCAGAACGCAAGGTCCTCAACAAGTATATTCCGCCAGACTTTGACCCGTCCAAGATCCCGCGGCTGCGGCAGGGCAAAGACAAGCAGATTAAGGTGCGCCTAATGGCACCATTCTCGATGCGGTGTGCAACCTGTGGGCAATGGATTGGCAAGGGCACAAAGTTCAACGCGCGCAAGGAGTCAGTCGAGGGCGAAAAGTTCCACTCGATCCAAATCTATCGGTTCTACATCCGGTGCCAGCGGTGCGCAGCAGAAATCACGTTCAAAACGGACCCCGAAAATATGAACTACCAGGTGGAGAAAGGTGCGCAGCGCAATTTTGAGCCGTGGCGGGAGGAGAAGGAGATTAACGAGAGGATCCAGCAGCAGCGCGAGGAGGAGGAGGAGAACGACCCGATTAAAGCGCTGGAGAATCGGACCGAGGAGAGTCGCCGGGAAATGGAGATCCTGGATGCGCTGGATGAGATTCGGACGCAGAATGCCAGAGGCGAGCGCCTGGGCACCGATGACATCTTGGAGGCAGTTGTGGAACGGGCCAAGGACGAGGATGACAAGCGCAAGCGGGAAGAAGACGAAGAAGACGAGAGGCTGGCAAGGCAGGTGTTTAGAACTGCTGGCGGGCAGCGCGTGAAGCGGGCGAAAGAGGACGACGAGATCGAGCGAGTGAGGCAAATGAAGAATGTGGTGAAAAGCGTCGCAAAGCAGGCCAAGCCTGCGAAGCCCTTGTCGCTGGCTGATCTGGGCATCAAGTGTGTCAAGCCAAAGGCAGATACCAAGAGGCCACAAGCAACACTGTCCGGTATGCTGGGGGCATATGGCAGTGATTCGGACGATGAGGACGGCGAGTAAAGGAATGCATTCAAGTCAATACTATATATTTGCTGCTAAGCCCCTGTTACTGGTACTCCTTAAGACGCTCCTTGCTAATGTACTGCGACTCTGCGTCCAGCGCCATGCGATCCGCACCGACGGTGATTTGCACCTCCATCTCCTGGTCAAGCCCCAGGTATGCATCGCTGATCAGGTACAGCTTTAGCGTGTAGGCGCCAGGCTGCGACGGTGTAATGAACGCAAGCTTGGCAGACCTCGCCTCAGTATCCCTGTGTTTCTTGACTGCAACCTCGCCCGAATTTGACCACACGCCCGACTCCTCAGGCTTTCCCTGCATGTTAATCCGCTTAATGGCCAGCAGCTCGTCGCCCTGGGCTAGCACCACCCACCACCCCTCGTACTGCGTCTTGCCAAATCTTGGCGTCAGCGCCTGCCCGGTCTCGCGCAAAAACTTGGGCTTCCTGAGGGATGACTGGATCCGGCTGTATCTAACATCGACAACAATTGAATGCTGCGTCATCGGATCCAGGCCATTGAGGGACGAGAGCTTCTTTGGCTTGCCTGATCCGTCCCGCAGGGCGCTGCCAGGGGCCACGGAGATGTCGACTGGCGGCAGCGCCCGGATCGCCTCGCACCATTTCTCCGTGTGCTCGGAGCCGGTGGGACGGAACAGCGCCTTCAGCTTATTGTCGGGCATCACCAGGAGGTCGCCGAGGCAGCGTGCCTGCGAGTTTTTGCCGAACATCCTGCGAATCTCGTCCATTGAGATCTCTGGCTCAAGCTGGCGCAGCGGCGACTCGTCGGGCATCGACGCCTGCTTGATCGCCTGCATCACTTGCATGGTCGCCAGGGCCTCGTCGACCTTGCCCAGATACGCCGCGACATCCACCATCGCCTGCAAGATACGGATCGACGAGTCCAGGACTGTCCGAGTATCCGTCATATAGTCGCTGCTGGGTAGCGTGCCGCGCACCAGGTGCTTCTGCACGAGCAGATTGGCCTTTGCGTGCGGACTCAGGTAATCGACGGTGCCGCGGGCGAGCTTGAATGGAACCTCGCGCTCCAGCTCGCGATTCAGCAGATCCTCATTGTGCCGCACTGGCAGCTCGGCCCACTCGGCCGCCTCGCTCATTAGATGCAAGAGGTCGCAGAATCGGTTGCTGCTGTCAATACTGGCAAGGCGTTGGGCAAATGTGCGCATGGTCATGTGCGACAGGTAGTACTGCGAGGCAATCTTGCCTAGAGCCGTCGGTGCGACGGTGACACCGCCCGCATCCAGGTCATGCGTAACAGTGACGCACAGCGCCTGCTCGAGGTCGCGGAAGCAGCCCATGATTAGCTTCGATAGGTACTCGTTGACGCCGCTCTCCGATGGCTCTTCGACACCATAGAAGGTCGGGTTCTGCCGCAGCCTTCTGTACAGGTATGTCCACGAGAGGTAATCGACAGCGTCCTGCGCGCTCTTGATTGCACCTGCGGCAATCTCGGCATTGATGTGCTCGGCCAAATGCTTGTGCAGAGAAGACTCGACAGGGAACGGCTCGTGGAGGAACTTTTTGTAAAACTCCTTTTTCGTGTCGGTTACAAAGATGCGCGCAATGGCCTGGTCATCGAACTGCGGGCGGCCAGCACGACCAATCATCTGCAGAACATCAGTGATGGGGAAGTCCACGTAGCCCTTGGACGGTGCATCGAAGAACTCGGTGCCCTTCAGGATCACCAGGTGCGCAGGCAGGTTGACTCCCCAAGCCAGCGTCGATGTGGCAACCAGGATCTGGATCTTGCGGTCGTGGAAGAGCTGCTCGCAAATCCGTCTATCGTTCTCGGTTAGACCGGCATGATGCATGCCGATTCCAAAGCTCAGCGACAAGCGCAGGTTCGCATCTTGGGTGCGCGCCAACACAGCCTCGATCTCCCAGTCGTCCATGTGCAAAAAGTGCCGCGGGTTGTCTTCGACGCCGCAAAAGGCGATCAGATCCTGCGCCGTCAAGCGCGTCTGGCGACGTGAACTCACAAAAATGATGACGGGCTTTGTTGGCGAGTGCGTGCGGATGGCTCTATACGCTGGCCGGTTCATCGACGCCATGCGTGGACAGTAGTGACGGCCTGGGAACCCGTCAATGTAGATTTCCAGAGGCACCGGGCGCACGCTGTGCCGGAAATTGTACAGTCCAACCTTGGCGATGCCGAGCCAGTCTGCCAGATCGCGCGCATTGGCCAGTGCTGTAGAGAGCCCAACAACGCGCACAGACTTGCCGGTCTGCGCTGCAATGTAGTTCATGCGCGATACAATCACCTCGAGAATCGGACCGCGGTCTCCGCCAAGCAAATGGATCTCATCAATGATCACCAGCGACACGTTCTGGACGTACTCGCGTGCATGCCAAGCACGGCTGACACCGTCCCACTTCTCGGGCGTCGTGATGATAATGTCAGCGTTGCGGATAGACTCCGGATCAGGCGACACGTCACCAGTCATCTCCACCAGCGTGCGGCCCATGGGTCCCGTCAGACGCTTGCCCCAGTCGGCCACGCGCTCTTTGACAAGGGCCTTAAGCGGCGCAATATACACAACCTTCTGCTTTGGGTGCTCCCGGAACGCCCACCACATGGCCAGCTCGGCAGCAATGGTCTTACCGGAACCGGTTGGGGCGCCCACCAGGGCGTTGAACGGCTGGCGGTAGAGCGTGTGGAAGATCTGGGTCTGCACGGGGTTAAAGTGTGAGAACCGCGACGCGCAGATCTCCTCCAAAACCGGGTCGTTGAGCGCAGAGACTGGCAGCGGCTGGAGATCCAGCAGATCGGTGTGCGTCTCGTGGTGCTCAGGCAGCATCAGGTGCTTGAATGATACAGCTGTAACGGTCTCGGCACCGATCCAGCGATCCGAAACAGCGCGGATGAATATCTGTGCAGGCAGGGGCTCATGCACGGGGATGGTGAACACAGAGACCTTTGGCTCTCTGTATCCCTTTTTGCGCAGCAGCACGTTTTCAGTGTGGTAGATCTCGGTGTTGTCCGCATCCTCGACCCAGATCCAGAACGCCTCAGCGAAACCGTGCACGCGATCGCTCCATTCAAAGTCTGCTGTCACTGTCAACGTCACCTGCAGCACGCCTCTGGTAATTGGTACAATCTGCGCGTCCAGCTCCAGCCTCGGGAACTGGCGCACGGCGGCGGCCAGAATCGGCCCGTACCGGTGATTATGCACCAGGGCACCGAGCTCGCCGCTGTCCATTTCATACAGCCTCTCCATGTCGACAGTCATCCCGCTGTCGCTCTCCAGCCGGCGCATGATGTCGTGCGGCAGGTTGAACTGCTTGAGCGGGTGTTCGAACGGCCACATCTTCTTCTCAATCGACTTGCTCAGAGACAGCGCGACAGCAGCCGCCGGCCCCCAGCTGCGACTCAAGGCAATCTCAAACAGCGCGCGGATAATCCGTGCGCCATTCTGGGCTACATACGCGGTGTCCGAGACAAGTGAAAAGTCCTCGATCCTCACACGTGAAATGCCCGCCTGAAGCAGCACACTTGTCTTGCCGTGCTGGCTGTCGATTCCGCCCTTGACGTCACAGCAGCAAGCGCTTTTGAGCAGCAGCTTGAGCTCCTTTTCCTCAGTGTTGCGCGTGCGGATCTGGTCGAACTCCTTGCTGAGACTGAGCATCGCGATGCCGTCAGCCTCGGTCATGCGCGGGCGCATCGTCTGGTTGAACACTTCGACGCTCTCGTGGCGCAGATAATACGACGACGAGATGCGGCCCAGATCCTTGGCGGCCATGAAGCCCGTCGCTGGGTCAAACACGATCATCTGCAGGCGTGCAAGCTCGCGCGCGGCATTCCTAATCAGCTCGCTACGCCTTTGTCCAAGCATCGGGTCATCGACCATCTCGTCGCCAGACAGGCCGTAGACAGTCGGGTTGCGCTGCATGCGGATGTACATGTATGTGTATCCGAGCCATGCCACGCCCTCTTCGACATTGGTAACCGTGCCCAGCGTGACCTCCGCGTTGAGGTTGTCAATCAGGTTGCTGGCGAATTTGGACTCGATCGGGTGCTGCATGGTGATGGCCGACACGTAGTGCTGCAGCCGGTCGTGGGTGGTCAGGATGTAGCCGACACCATGCGACTCGTACTGCGGGCGACCAGCGCGGCCGAAAATCTGCAGCACGTCGAGAATAGACAGATCAACAAACGAACCCTTCTGCGAATCGTACACCTGTGTGCCCTTGATTACGACCGCATAGGCTGGCAGATTGACACCCCACGCCAGCGTCGACGTGCAGCACAGTACGCGCACGACACCCGCATCAAACATCTGCTCAACCAGGTTGCGGTCCGAGCGCAGCATGCCGGCGTGGTGGATCGAGAATCCGTCGCCGAACAGCTCCGCCATCTCACGGTTCTTTGATTTGGCCACGCCCCCTGCCAGTCTCCTGTACTGCGGTGACTCCTTGTCGCCAGCAAACATATCAAGCGTGCCTTCCTGCATGGCCAGCTCGCGAATGGCCTTGGCAGTGTTGACGGTCTCCTTGCGGGCATGCACAAAGACCATGACCTGGTGCCCCTCCGACACCAGCTGCTGCACGCGGTCGTAGCACACGCGGTTCAGTAACCGTGTTGTCGCCGGGGTGCCGGCCTTTCCGTGGACACCGACAAAGTGCTGCTCGAGCGGCACGGGACGGAACCCAGAGTCAAAGTAGAACATGCCTTTGTGCAGGTTGACGCCCAGGAAGCCGGCCACGTCCATGTAGTTGGGCAGGGTCGCCGACAGACCGACGAGGCGGATCATAGACTGGCGGCTCTCGACTTGGCGCTGCGTGCGGGCAATCAGAGTCTCGATGACACTGCCGCGGTCTTCATTGAGCAGATGGATCTCGTCGACGATCAGCAGCTTGACCTTGTCCACCAGATCCATATCGCCGCTGCTCTTGCGCGTTACCACGTCCCACTTCTCGGGCGTAGTCACAATGATCTGCGTCGCGTTGACCTCAGCCTTGGTCAGCTGCATGTCGCCGGTGAGCTCACGACACTGAATCCCGAGCCACTTGAGCCGGCTCTGGTATTTCTCGACCACCTCGGCCGCCAGCGCCTTCATGGGCGCCACGTACACGATCTTGAAGTCCGACTTGGCCACGACGAACTCTGGCTTGTGTGACACGTCCTGCCAGTCGAGGTCGGCTGGCGACGGCGAGCAGTACTGCGAGATCGTGCGAAGAATTGTCAGCAGGGCGACGTCGGTTTTACCAGCTCCGGTAGGCGCCGATAGCAGGATGTTCTCGTTGGTACCGTACGCCGTCGGGTAGATGATAGACTGGATGCGGTTCAGCGACGTGTACTTGCGGAACGTGTACCGGCACAGTGGATCCATCTCGCCGATCATGACCGGTGTCTCCGTCAGTCGCTTTGGCGCAGGCTTGGTGATCGGAATCGTGATCTCCTCATGGTCGGGGTACTCGTCGCGCGACGTGCCTACTGGCAGCGAGTAGCGTGTGCCAAAACATCGACAGAATGCTACCGCCGGCGGCTCTGCCGCTGGACGTGTATACATGTGGGTATTTTTCAGCTTCACGCGACGCGGGTAGAAGCACCTCCTCGTGGCGCTCCATCAGCTGGCGCTCGCGAGCGCGCAACAGGTCAGCACCAAATCCCAGTATCTGCGCCGACTTTTGCTCCTCGGTCTCGTCGTTGGCGTCGTTGTTTGCAGCGCGCTTGCCCTTGCGCTTCTCCTTCAAGATCTCCTTCTGCAGGGCGAGCTCGCTGGCCGTCTGGATTGACGCCTGCACACCTGGTAGGGCCCTTTTCCTGAGTGCTGCCTCGGCCTTGGCATAGTCCGATTCCCTGGAGATGCGGTCCACGATCTCGGCGCGCTGCGAGATCAGGTCGCCCAGAAAGTCCATGCTGCTGAAGCCGACCAGCTCCAGCAGCTGGCCCTGGATATCTGTGTCGCTGCGGTCGGACCGCAGCAGCGTGAAGATCTCCGTGCACATTACTTCGGCAGCCTCTGGCCCCAGCCCCGCAGTCGCTGCCTGGCAGCGCGCTATGAGCCACTTTCTGCCATACTTTTCGGTGTCCTGGCTCGCCAGCTGCGCGCGCTGCTGGTCCTGCGATTGCTCCAGCTCGTGGATGAATCCAGACAGGTCAGGTCGCAGCAGAATCACCGGGATGGTAGCAGGCGGCAGGGCGCGGCGCGGTGGGAGCGGCGGCGGGCCAGAGGAATGGGGCGCCTGCAGAGTGGGCTGGCCGAACTGACTCAGCAGCTGCTGGTTGACACGCCGCTCTCGCTCGATGCTCTGCTGCAGCTCCGCCCACAATGCCTGGGATGCGCCTGGTGGTTGGCTGGTGTTGCCGCTGGCTGCCTGGGCAGTGGGCTCGTCATCCTCCTCGACGCTCTTGCCCTTGCCCTTGCCCTTTCCTTTGCCCCTGCCGGCAGCTGGCTTGGAGCTGGCTTCGAATAAATCCAGTGATGCCTCACGATCGCTCAGCAGCTGGTCGCGCCGCGAGTCGCGGAAGCGCAGCAAATCAGTAAACGTCGGAATGCAATCGGTGGTGCTGTTCAATGGCATAGTAAAAAATAATAAAAATATCAAACTGTCAGCATGTAAAAGCGAGAAAGACTGCGGCAAAGACCGGCTTCCAGATACCTGAGCGCTTTCGTGCGAGCTGCATGCAGCACCCCCAGCTCGCCTTGGCGCTCCGTGTGCGCCAGATGACCGCCTCAGGATCGGGGGAGCGCTTGAATTTTCAGTACTGGGGGCTTTCTCGAACCCAGAGCCAGTGCCGGGCGCGAAACCTGGGTGGACGCGCAACACAAGCGCTTTTTTTGCCACTGCCAAAAATTTTCTTTGCACTTTCCCTTCCCCTCTCTTCCTCCTCTTCTTTTATTATTACAGCGCTTCAATTTCAAAGTAACTCTTGGTTAAATTTTTATTCTACACCTTATTTCCCTTCTGCATCTCTTAATCTCGTTACATTTCGCTCCTCTCGAATTGAACTGAGACTTTCCCAAAAAACACCCCCCTTTATTATATTTTGAGAAGCGCGTTTGGATAAGCATGGGTCAGACACTTTCGGAGCCGGTCGTGGACAAGCATACCACTGAGGGTAGCGACAACAAGTACATTTACGGTGCTTCGGCAATGCAGGGCTGGCGAATCAGTAAGCATCCAACATGACTCTTGCCTCTGCTGTTTTTGTTCGGTTTGGGATGGCACAAGTCTCCTCATTCGCTGTGCATTCTGTGTGTTCCCCTCCGTTTCCCGCCGCCGCGCCCGGGCGAAGGAATGGATAGAAGCTTGAAGCCGGAATATGAGATGGGCAGGACACGTGAAATATGCTTTTTCTTTCCTCGCAGGCAATTGATGCTTGTCGTCCTGCTTTGTGGATCTTCTCGCTGGCATAAAGAGTCAGCTGGTCGCACGGAAGTGGGTGGGGTTTTTTGGCTTGTGCTCATGTTTTTGCTGGCCTCGGCAAGAAAGGCTGGTGTGGACGCTGCGCGGCTTGCCCTGGCGCTGAGACCACTGTCTTGCCGTTCCTGCCCTTTGCCTGTTTGTGAGTGTGTGCCCACTATACCACTTTGGAATTGTGCGTGTACGATACATAAGGGTGCCGCATTTGTTTGCCCTGAGTGCCTTTTATGCTGCAGTCATCAACTGGCCACACACTACTGACACCATGGCTTTGTCTATTGCTGTTTGAACCGTAGCAATGGAGGATGCCCATACCACCCTGCTCAAGGTCGGACCGGATAACGAGTCTGCGTTCTTCGCTGTGTACGACGGCCATGGCGGGCAGACGTCAGCGCTGTTTGCCGGCGACCAGCTGCAAAACTTCATCGTCAGCAACGAGCACTATGCTGCGGGCGACTTCGAGAAGGCCATCAAGGCTGGCTACATCAACGCGGATGCGGAGCTCCGGAAGGATCCGAAGATGGTCAACGACTCGTCGGGCTGCACAGCCGTCAGCGTTCTGATCACCAAGGAAGGCAAGGTGTACTGCGGCAATGCCGGCGACTCGCGGTGTATCATCAGCACCAAGGGTCGGGCCATCGCCCTGTCAAACGACCACAAGCCCAAAGACGAAATCGAGTTCAATCGCATCATGGCGGGCGGCGGCTTTGTCGAGTTTGGACGTGTCAACGGCAACCTGGCGCTGTCGCGGGCAATTGGCGACTTTGAGTTCAAGAATAACCCTGCGCTGCCGGCCGAGAAGCAGATCGTGACTGCCGACCCCGATGTCATCGGCCACAAGCTTTCGGCGGACGACGAGTTCCTGGTCATTGCCTGCGACGGCATCTGGGACTGCATGACAAACCAGCAGGTTGCGCAGTTTGTCCACGAGATGGTCGCCAAGGGCTTGAAGCTGCCGCAGGTGTGCGAGGAGCTGATGGACCGCTGTCTGGCCTCTGAGAGCGAACTGGGCGGCGTCGGCTGCGACAACATGACTGTGGTCATTGTTGGCCTGCTCAACGGCAAGACCGAGGACGAGTGGTACGCGCACGTCAAGAGCATCTACGACGAGACCGACGTGAAGGTGTCGACCGAGATCAACAGGCCGCAGGGTGCTGCTGCTGCCGAGATTGACGAGGCCAGCGAGCGTGTCAACGCCGTGGTACAGGAGATCCGTTCTGCCAGGGCCGCAGGCGAGGGTGCCAAGGAGGAGCCCGCTGGCGCGTCTGGTGCCGAGGAGGCTCCGAAACCGTCGGACCAGTAAGCCCCCTGGTGCAGCTCCAACGGCCAAATCCAACTTCAAGCGACAACACCAAAAGGATCACTGAAAAGAAATTTTGCACGTCTTGTCTCTCCTACTCTTATTCGCCGGCACGCCCAACTCGGATAACTTTTCTCTCTTTCTCTAAAAGCTTTAAAATCGCTTCAAACTCGAACAAGTACATGTGTTAGACCCCATATATGGTGCTTCCGTGTTCCTGCGAATCTTTGGATTATCCGCCAGGGATAGGAGCTCGTGCAACCGAGGCAGAGCGAGTCGGCCAGGTGAGACATCGAGCGGTTGTTTCACCGCGGGCCTTGATTTTCTGCCCTTCACGAGCCCATGTCGGCTCTAGAGCCCGGAGGTGCGGGAGCATCTCAGGCTACCTGGGACCACTCCCCGCCCTGCCACCATGGCACCTCCTCGGGGTGCCGGCCGGGTAATCAAAGCGACAAGTGCGCCCAGCTGCTGTCGGGATAGGGAAATAGTGCGACTATTTTTCGGCGCTCTTGATAGACACTGGGTCAGGTTTACGTTCTTTTCCCCCTCCTCACGCTGTTGCTTTTCTCTCACCTCCATTCGATTTCCTTTGCTCCAGTTCTCTTCATAGCTGGTTTTATAATTGCACGTCGTTATTTTTTTTTGCAAAAGACAGTACAGCGGTTTTAGTATCATAAGCATGGCGGCGCTCAGTGGCAAGGAGCTGGACGACAGCATTTTCGGCACCGACACACATCTCGATTGGGCCGACGAGGTCACAATGACTGAGGTCCTGCATGGCGACACACTCGGCAGCGGCAGCACCATCGACTACAGCACAAAGAAGCCCAAGCCTGAGCAGCCGCTCGTCCAGCCGCGCTGACTCGAGCCGCGGCTTCCGTAACCAGCAGCAAGGATCCGGGAGGCAGTCCCGACAGGGCGTACGACCATCAAGGAGCAATAACGACATGAACGCTGCCTACGGTTCGCGAACAGAGTTCCGCAAGCCGCGCGGTGGACAGCGCGGTGGGCGTGGCCGGGGCCGTGGCGGGTGGACGAACAATTCCGGGCACTACCAGGGTGGTAACACATATGCAAATCAGCAAGCCAACACATATGCGAACCAGCAAGCCAACACGTACGCAAACCAACACGCCAACACGTACGCAAACCAACAAGCAGCACAACAGAACGGAATCCCGATAGGCAACCGGCGCGGTTCGCGTGACCGCAGCTTGAGCAACGAGCGGATGGGCAGCATGGAGCGCTCGCGCGGGTGGGGCCGGCCAGGGTCGTACGGGCGTCAGCAGCGTGCTGACATGGCTGACCGCTGGGAGCACGACCGGTTCGAGGGCAATCGCTCACGGGCGCGCAGCGGCAGTAACAGCGAGCGCTGGGAGACCAGCGAGTCCGGAGTACCGCCAGTCATTGGCAAGGAGGGAATTGCGCACGTCATAATCCATAGACGCGGCAGCAGCGGGTCGGCACGCGGCCCGCCGGAAGTTATCACTAGCGGACTGCCTCCTCAACGCCAGCAGACATTCCGCCGTGGGAGCTTGGGCGCTGAACAGGCGCCAGTAGAGCCGCCAAGCGATCCTGCTGCTGAGCCCCTGACACCAACGATCAAGGAGGCTGACAATGAAGCTGAAGAGGAGTGGGAAAATTTTGTTGCAAACGGTGGGTTGGACATGCCGCTGGAGCGGATTACTGATGATTTGTGTCGGCAGCGGGCGCGGGAGCACCAGAAGCCGCAACAGAGAGAGACAACGGTTGATGCTCTTGAACCAGTTGCGCAGACAAAGCGGAGCAGCTCGCGTGCTCCACCGCGTGTTCTGGCATTGGATGATGAGGACGATGACGATGACGATGAAGAGGAGGACGGCGATGATGATGAGAAGCTTCAACCGACTAGCTCTGCTCATATTGCCGGCCAAGGGATTTCCATCCGTGGAACAGCAAAGAAGGCAAGCCCGCCAGCTAGCTACACAGTGTCAGGCGAGGGCAAGATGGCGACGCTGGTGATTGACCAGGTCGCATCGCCGCGTGTGCGCCGGCCGAGCATTCCGATCCCTGAGAAGGCAGCACGCTATGCTTCGCCACCTAGCAGTGCAGGCATTCGGATCAAGGGCACAAGCAATGGCACTGTACGGGTAGCGCCGACGCAGCCTACGAAGCCTACGCAGCCTGTGCGGCCCTCACCACCGGCGTCGCCACGGTCGCGATCGCGCTCGAGCTCGACGGAGCGCACGCGCACGCCACAAGCTTCAGTGTCGACGTACGTGAAGCGGCAGTTTGAGGGATACGATGAGGACCGCGGGAGGCATCAGTTTTCGATCAATATTGCATATGAAGATGGGCGGTATGCGCCGATCCATGTGCACGAGCGCGACGATGTGGCGAAATTGGCGGCCAAGTACGCACGCACCTGGCGGGTGCATGGAAAGGAGCTACGGATCAAGACAACCTTGTCCAAGATGAGGGCGGCGGTTCTTGAATCCCAGCTGTTGTAATATGTTGGGATACCGCATTGCAACATACAAAATTTGGCACGTCAGTTGCATATGTGCATCCGCTTTATTTATCGCCCACCTCCCCTCACCCCTGACTCTTTCTTCGTTTTGCCGCCGATATACGCTTATACTTTTCCACTTATTATTCCACACCTCACATATCCCTACAACTGCCACTGCCTTCACAGGCCGACACTATGAACAATGGAAATAAAAGAGCACGCGCTTCGTGTATATGCGGAGTTTCTCTGCGGCTCTATTCGGTGTTTGGTTATGCCTTTAAATGCATCGAGCATTAATTGATATAGAAATACATATGGCCGCAGTGATTAAACAGGAATGTTTTGTCCGCCACTATGTTGAAAGCGAAACATCGGCTCTCTGCAAAGGAATTTGATGTGTGGAATCGATATTGTTGGGATTAGGAATATGTTTTTTCCTTTCAAACCATACTTTGTCCAGCCAGCTTTTTGGATACATGCAGGAGACTTTCGCGCCAGAGTCAGGGCTCGTGGTTTGTTTCGCTTGCCCTTGTTTTTCCTTCCCATTTGTGCTACTCTAACATGCAAACCAACCAAGACCTCAAGAACGAGATTATGCGGCTAGAGGCGCAACTCGCGCTTGCAAAGCAGCACCCACCAACAGCCTACCGACCCAACCCCCGGCCCAGCTACCAGCACCACCCCTACCCTCATTCTTATCACCCTCGCCCCTCGCGCAACCTGAGACTAGTAGTGAAAAACGATGCTTCGCCAGCACCAGGAGCTGACAGCCCATCTGCTGCCAGTCAGTACATGAGCTCTGGCAACAAGCTGGTCAGAGTAGGCAGTGGCTCCGAGGCAAGCATCCGCCCACCTGCCCCCCGTCCACCCCGTCGCACTGTGGTCAGACCTAGCAGAATAGGGCGCAACTTGACACTCAAGAACCCTGCTAAACCGCCCGCTGAACCTCCTGCGGAACCTCCTGCGGAAACAGAGGCACCGCCTGCAAGTGTGAATAACCGCGGCACCATAGAGGTGGACGGTAAGCAGTATTTGGTGTCAAGCACTAAGCTCAGGCTTCTTCGCGAGTCTGCTGAAGTTAGTGCTGCAGGTGAGTTTTCTGCAACCGATAGCAATGGATCGCAGCAGGCAACGTCAGACGATGCACCGATCACTCCCATTGGCAGTGAAAGCTATGTTCGTACCGGCAGCAGTAGCCTGGTTCGTACCAGGGTGCTTCAGGAGCACAGAACCATGCGGTATGTATACTTTGCTTTTTTTTAAAAAATCTGACATGTGTGTATTTTTAGCTGCAGCTTCACTTGTGGCCTTGTTCCACACTACATACAATAACCCTGCGCATTTTTGTATAGGGAGAAGGAGAAAGAGCAGCGCCGGCGCCTCTGCCCCCAGTTTATGTATGGTAGCTGCAAGTTTGCGAGCAGCAAGTGCAGGAACTCGCACACGCCGTCGCCAATGAATACGCCGGTATGTTCGCATTTCCAGCACGACAAGTGCACCCGGGATCCGTGCCTGTTCCTCCATGTAAAGGCAAACGCAAATGCGCCCATTTGCCGCCCCTTTGTGTTTGCTGGCTTCTGCGAGAAGGGGGCGAGGTGTCCTGCATCGTCATGTGTGGGAGTGCCCTGATTGGGTTGAGAAAAACAGGTGCAGCCGGTCTAAATGCAGATTCCCGCACCCTGTCAAGCCCGTCGCCTCCAACGAATCGGCCGCGCGGAAGGGTAACGGCGACGCATCCGACAGCGACGACGATGATGTTCTCAAGCTGTACGATGGCAATGACCCAAGCGAGGACGCGAATACCCAGGCGTGAGACAGGTTTTTGGTAGTTTATTATCTTGTTTTCTGGTAGAGTATATTGAAAATAAATGTGACGTTAACTGAAGTACATTTCACTGGTCAGCAACACCCTGCGCAGCATGGATACGGCCGCCCTCTCCCCACCGATGCGCGATGGCGGGCATGACTGCTGAGTGTGCTGAGTCTTCAAGCTGCCGGTGGCGGATCTGAGACGCGCTGCTCTCGGCGGCCAGGTCAACCACCAGCGACCGCAGGCCCTCAAACGCCTCACGCGTCAGACGCACGTGCTCCTCAGCCTGCTGGGAATCGACGCCAGAGCACACGGCAGCGTGTTCGTCACGCCCAACATACCGAAGCTGTGGTGCATATTCCGGTAGCAGCTGGGTGACCCGCTGGGCCATAAACGAATACGCACCAGCGTTTCGAGGCTCTTCCTGCACCCACACGAAATCTGTCGCATTTGTGTACTGCGAGATCGTCTGGTACAGCTGCTGGCGCGGAAACGGCGACAGCTCCTCGACACGCACAATCGCGACATGCTCACCTAGTGGATGCTCGCTCCTGAGTTTGGCCAAGTCGTAGTACAGCTTGCCTGAAACCAGCATCACACGCCTGACTGCCCGCGGGTCCTGCACAACCGGGTCGTCCAGCACGGGCTGGAACTGGGTGCCAGGTCCCATGTCACTAAGCGGCGAGACTGCCTGAGCAAGACGCAGCAGTGTCTTTGGCCCGGCAACGATCAGCGGTTTGCGGAAGTTGCGCTTCATCTGGCGCCGCAGCAGATGGAACATTTGGGCAGGCGTGGTTGGGAACGCGATGTAGACATTAGGCATCGCTTGGCCTGGGTTACCGTCAACAGGGTCGTTTGACAGCAACAGGTGGCGCTCGAGCCGGCAGGAACTGTGGTCGGGACCTCCGCCATCGAAGCCATGCGGCAACAATACCACTAGGCCGTTCTGCTGGCCCCACTTGGTCTCGCCTGAGGTCACATACCCGTCAATCTGGGTTTGCGCGTTGTTGAAGAAGTCACCGAACTGGGCTTCCCAGATTGCCAGAGTGAACGGATCCTCGACTGACACGCCATACTCGAATGCGAGCGCCGCTTCCTCGCACAGATTCGAGTTGACAACCTCGATCTTTCCTGCATCCTTGCCGGGCAGGAGATTCAAGGGCACGCTGATCTGCTCAGTGTCCTGACACACGAGCATTGCATGTCGCTGGCTGAACGTACCGCGACCGACGTCCTGTCCACTAAGTCGCACATGGTACCCCTCCTTGAGTAGCGTGCCGAATGCCATCGCCTCGGCAGTGGCCCAGTCGACCGGCTGGTCCTCATTCAGCCTCTTCACGCGCGGCTTGATGTGGAAGCGCTCGATGCGTGGATGCACCTTGCACCCCTTGGCTGGAGTAACTGACTGCAGACCAACCTCCTTTAGCGTACCGATATCAACACCGGTTGGCTTCTCAACGGGGAGGCTGCGCGGCGGACTCAACATTCTCCACCTTGGCGACTTTGGCGCCTCGGTTGGATTGCAGTTGAGCGACTGGGCAAATGCCATATTGAGCGTATTGATATATGACTTGCGGAAGGCGCTGGCATAGTCGCTTGTCAGTACGCCGTCGTTCTACAAAGAATGACAATTAGAAATAGACTGAAGGTTGCTGATGCGATCGCAAAGATATTGGAGAAGCACACTTACGATTAGTCTTTCCTCAAATTGGGCTGGAATCGACTTGCGTCCATGTATAGCCTTATACATGGCCGGCTGAGTAAATGTGGGCTCGTCCATTTCGTTGTGGCCACGGGTGCGGAATGTCCACATATCAATGACAACATCCTAATAAACAAATTCATTAAACTCAGCAATTCATATTCATGAGTGCCATTGTCGCATATGAGACTATCATTATCGCATGCACAAACCTTTCTGAACTTGCTCCTATATGCAAAGGCAATGCGAGCTGCACGGGCAACCTCCTATCCAATTCAGGTACACGTTAGTATATTGTCCGCATCTACCTGGAGTACCAATGCTGCCTGTCGTCATTCGCATATTGAGTCAATATCTCTTACCTCTGGATGCTCGCCATTCACGTGTATGATGGGAATGTCCGCAAACTTGGCGATATCAGAAGCGTACCGTGTGGAGCGCGCATGGGAAGCCGGTGTTGTGTATCCAACCTGATTGTTGAGGACAATGTGGATTGTGCCACCATTTGTGAAATGTGCAAGACCCGACATGCCTAGGGTTTCTGCAACAATTCCCTGGCCTGCGAAGCTCTACATGTGGGGATGGAGGAACAAGTATGAGCCATATACGCTATAGAATGACAGCCATTGCCAGTTTTCTTGCACTTACAGAGTCGCCATGAATACTGATGGCCAGCACATGGTCGCCGATTGTATATCTGTCAGATCTGCGGGCTTTCGCAATATTGATGTCCTTTGTGCGGCTCTTGCCAGAGCAACCGGCGAGCCTGATTCAAGATGGCACGCATTGTGCACAATATCGATGTTCATAGGGACATTTGTCTCCGGGAATGTCACGACAGCAGGTTTGGTCAAGTCGACAATAAAGTCGCCCGTATGTGGCGACCCGTTGGGAAACTCGCTACCGCCACGCAGCTTGTGAAACACCTCAGCTTCGCTGTACCCAAACATCGTCGCCATAAGGGTTACCCGCCCACGGTGGGAGAGCCCAAGCACTGTGTCAGCCATACCAGCGCACGATCCCTCAAAGATGAGCTGGTCCAAAAGAACCGCCATGCTTTCGCTGCCCTCGAGCCCATAGCGTTTGACGTTGGGGAGCTTTTTCTGGACAAATTGCTCAAACGCCTACAAATACAGTCAACGCCGTTAGACAATATTGTGAGGCGTGATATCTATGGAGGGTTTGTTGTAGAGTAGGAGTCACTCAAATGGTATGCCTACACAAGCAATAGACGCCATACCTCTGCCTTTGTCATGTGCTCAAAGAATCTCTCACGCCTTAGGGAAATGTCCGCTGTGTCGAGCGACTCGACGTATCCTGCAAACCACTGCCTGACAGCTGGGCTCTACAATTGGGGTAAAAGGAGGAACCTTGGGTATAGTAGCAAACCTTTTATCGACCGCAATGCGGCTGGTACCCATGGCATACTTACCGTGATATGCTCAAACTCATACGAGATGTTCCGGCAATACGTCCTTTGCAGTGCCTCAATGATTGCTGACAGATCAGCGCGTCTTGACAGCCCAGACGACGGTGCAATAACACCTATATATCGATAAATAATTCAATCATTTGACATGTCCATTTGGAGCAGATTCCACGACTTCCTCTAGTCCGTCGCGCTAAAGAAAGAATTCGAGCTATATACCAACCTTCAATGTTGTATGCCTTTGATTCCTCATTCAAGCCATAAAATCCACCCGATAGTTCCTCAATGAGTCTACGAAAGAAGCGGAGTTTGGTGGGATTTGGGAGGCGAAGTGTAAGCAAGGTCGACAGAGGCTTCCACAGAAAAGCATTACTGGCAGAGCGCCGGTGCAACCAGATGAGGAGAGGTGCCGGTATATACATTTGACTTACTCTGCCTTCTTGATGCCGAGAGGATCCAGGTTCGAGCTTAGGTGTCCGTGGCGACGGTATGCGTTGACGAGATGGAGCAGCTCAGGCTGCTGCTGGCGATTTCTCAACTCTTCCGGAGTGACTACAATATGCAAGACCACAGGGGTTGTAGAGCCCAAATATGTCTGAGCGACTTTTTCTCATGGTGCAGTAATGTGGAAGCCAATCTGGCCATTGGACAAGAGTGGGCACTAATATATGTAAGGAGAGTGGGCACCAAGCTTACAGCTGCCGAAATTCCATTCCTTCTGCGTGCCTGGCAATGGGACAGCAAGAGCGTGTCAGAGACATATTTTGCTGTTCAGCACTTACATCCTTTGGGCTCGACCTGTGGTGGCGCGAGATTTCCGTATTCGGCACCCTCGTGGTATCGGTTAGCAAGAATGAGGATGGGCTGCAGGCGATTGCTAGCCTTACGGATAGCTCTTGGCGACAGGCAGCGGAAGAGCGATGCTGAACGGACGATCTGGGGCAGAACCGCCCTGCGGGCCGAATTTCCTGCCTTGAGCATGACTACGTCGACTGGAACAAAAACGGATGGTATCACCAACTAGATTTGTAGACAAGCTGTTTGCTGCCAGGGGTTAGAGTACTGCAAAAGAAAGTATTGGGCGCGGAGGCAAAAAGGAGGAGAATAGAGAAGTAAAAGAGAGGGAGGTGAGCCAACGAACCCCGTTACAAGCCAAGCATTATATTTAAATCCAGCTATTCAAAAGGGAGGGCTTGAACTTTCCACTTTCCTCATACGGCTTCGTACTCGGTTTATCTGCCTGCCTTCTGTGTACTATGTATTGTGTATAGTCTGCTAGCCCATTGCGCGCTTTGTTTTCAGCCTGCTAGCTGCGCCAGCAATACATCTGGTGTATTTTCAACCTTCCTGGCGTGGCATATCCCCAGGGAACCTTCCCACCAGCCGAACTATCTGCCCAATTGCCAAACTTGCACTGAGCAATGGGTGCGAGGCACGCAGCTGGGCGTAGAATTGACTAATTTAAGCCCATTCTTTGCTCTTCAGCAAGCGGCGCCACGCACTCCCCATCAAGGCCATTGGTGTATGGAAGGGGGTCGCTGGTGTAGGCAAGCCGTCCAGCCTTAGCTTGGGCAAGGCAGATATGATGGCTATCTGGCAATGCTCATAAAATGCAACTAGACATTTCTTTCTCCATCTAACACCGGCATATCCCTGTATCAGTTAAGCAACAACGGGGAGTACGGGTTGTGCTGCACTGATAAAGGTCAAGAGCAACCAAGACAACAGCATAGAGCACAGAAAACCACAGAATGGGAAGTGATGTAAATGTATTAGGTGGCGCATAAGGTGGCGTACATATCGGTGTCTGCGCAAAACCTCGCCAGAGCGCGAAGGCAAATTGCCCGATATGTGTTGGTAAACGCGGAAGTGATCGACAAGGCCATATAGAGAAGTGGATATACTCAATGTGAGGAGAATGCGTCTAATCTTTCAGGGAGGGGGGAGGAACAAGATGCGGACTATGCGAGTGCGGCGTTGATTACAGCAGCCTGCTCGGCCTTGTACACCTTGGAAACTCCAGTAACGGGGGCGGCCAGCGGGTCTCGGCCGACATAATTGAGGACTGCTCCTTCGGGGAGCAGCGACTGCAGGCGCGGCTGCACAAAGGCGTATGCCCCTGAGTTCATTGTCTCCTCCTGGCACCACACATACTGATCGGCGTTCGGGAATCCTGGACAGCTCCGCGAGCACTTGGGCGCGTGGGAACGGTGCAAGCTCTTCGAGCCGCACAATGGCCACAGTTGCTAGTGGTAGCATCATAGGATTTGGCCAGGTCATAGTACAGCTTACCAGACACAAACACAACACGTTTGACGCTGGTGGGGTCACTGGCCAGCGTGTCCTTGAGTACAGGCTGGAACGACGTGCCTGGGGCCATATCTTCGAGTGTCGATGTTGCAGCAGCCAGGCGCAGCAGGGTCTTTGGGCCTGCGACCACCAGAGGCTTGCGGAAACTGCGCTTCATCTGGCGTCGCAGCAAGTGGAACATCTGGGCAGGCGTAGTTGGCACGACCACGTGCATGTTCGGGTTCTGGGTTATGTCGGCCGACATGTCCATAGGCGTGTTGCAGAGCTGCAGGAACCGCTCAATGCGGACACGACGAGTGCTCAGGACCCGCACCATCGTACCCATGGGGCAGAAGCATTACGAGGCCAGACTGCCGCAGCCATTTTGTCTCACCACTGGCTAAATACGTGTCAATGATGACCTGGGCGGTATTGAAGAAGTCGCCAAACTGCGCCTCCCAGATAGGAAGGATATTGGGGCTCTGGATTGACACGCCATACTCGAAGCCCAGCACAGCCAGCTCGCTCAGGTTCGAGTTTGCTACTTCCAGCTTTCCCTGCGCGTCGTCAATGTTGTTGAGCGGGATATAGACGTTCTCAGACTCTTGGTCGACCAGCATCGCGTGGCGCTGGCTAAATGTGCCGCGGCCCACGTCCTGTCCACAGAGTCGGATGTTGTAGCCCTCCTTGAGCAGCGTGCCAAAGGCCATGGCCTCGGCAGTCGCCCAGTCGACATTGGGTCCCTCAGCTAGCCGCTTGATGCGTGGCTTGATGTGGTGCTTGAGCAGGCGTGGATGCACCTTGAACGCCGTCACCGACAGTCACTGACTTGGTACCAACCTCCTTCAGCACCTCGATCGGCGCACCAGTGTCAATAGTCGACACGGCTTCAGTCGGCATAGTCATGCCCTCCCACTTGCCTGTGAGATGGTCGGCCTCGGGCACATATTGCTTGCTGGCTGTAAGCTCATCTTCGAGGAACTGGTTGAACGACTCGCGTGTCGCCTGTGCGTGGTCTCCGGTGATCACACTGGTCTCCTGCATCTTGCGCTCGTACATCTTTGGGACACTCTCGCGGGCACGGATGATGTTGTACATGGTTGGCTGGGTGAATGACGGCTCGTCAAGCTCGTTGTGGCCCCAGCGGCGGAACGTGATCAGGTCAATGATGACGTCCTTGCGGAACATTTTGCGGTACTCGAATGCAACACGCATGGCCTTGGCGACCTCCTCCGGGTAGTCGCCGTTGACGTGGATGACAGGGGCGTTGATCATCTTGCCAATGTCCGATGTGTAGAAGGTCGAGCGCGCGTTGGTCGCCGGAGTCGTATATCCGATCTGGTTGTTGACAATCACATGGATGGTACCACCAAGACTGAAATGCGGCAAGTTCGACAGACCCAGGGTCTCCATGATCACGCCCTGGCCGGTGAAGGCTGCGTCGCCATGCACCTGGATGCCGATTAGCCGGTCGCCGAGGGCACAGGCGGGATCGGTGTTCCGCTCATACAGGTACATCTGCTTTGCGCGCCCATAGCCAGCGACCACTGGGTTGACGGCCTCCAGGTGCGACGGGTTGTGCAGCATCGTGACATGCAGGTCGTCAGATGCGCCATAGTTGAGCCTCGGCGAGCTGGCCAGGTGAGAGATCACATCGCCCGATACGGGCAGGTCTTCAGGGAACTCTGCGTTGCCAGCCAGCTTGTGGAACAGCTTGCGTGGCTGGTACTTTAGCAGGTCGATGAGGATATTGAGACGCCCACGATGCGGCATGCCAAGCACTGCCTCTTTGATGCCAGCGTGGTTACACAGCGCAAATAGCTCGTCGAGCGCAACAATAGCGCTTTCAGCACCCTCAAGCCCGTAGCGCTTGACCTGGCCAAACTTTTTCTGCATGAACTTGTCAAAGGTCTCCGAGCGCGCTAGGAGCTCGTAGTAGCGGCGGCGCTTGCTGTCGTCAACTTCGATTGTGCGACCCATGGTCTCCACAAAGTCTGCAAACCACCGGCGCTCGGCAGTCTCGGGGATATGCTCAAACTCATACGCCAGATGCCCGCAGTACGTGTCGGTCAGTGCCTGGTAGATGTCCTTGAGCCTAGCCTGCTTGGTGCCCGAAGAATCGAGCGACAGGATGCCGTCGGTGTTGACCATGCGGTCCATGTCGGTGAGGCCGTAGCGAGCAGGATCCAGATCCGGCACCTTGGTGCGCTCCTGCAGACCGAGTGGGTCGAGGTCTGTGGCACGGTGGCCGCTGGCGCGGAAGGCGTTGACCAGGCCGACTAGGGTCGCCTGTGTCTGCCGGTTCTTGAGCTGCTCGGGCGAAAAGTCTGGGTAGCTGCGTGGCTTGGGCACGCGGTAGCCGTATACGACGTGCTCGTGGTAATGCCGCTTGAGCAGGGCTGATCTGGCAGCGGTTTTGTTGTAGCTGAATCGCAGCATATTCATATAGACGGAACGAGGTCAGAAGACGATTAAAATGGCTGTATCTGGTATGCGTGACGTTTTCAGGGACATGCACACCACATGGCGGAGGGAGGCGGCCGCCTTATATACTTTTCAGATATTGGCTACCTGGGACATTTGTCCTGCTGCTGCTGTTGCTGCTGCTGTTGCTGCTGCGACAATGACTGATTTACTACCAAGCCCCTCGCCGCTGCCGCTGCCCCCTCTGCTGCTTGCATCGCCAGCGACACACGTTTCATCCCCGGGTCAAACGATACATGTTCTCACGTTCTGGGACTAGGGCAGACCGCCTAAAAAGAGTATGATAAAGACAATTACTAGACCAGCTGACCAGGCGCATCGTAGCAGGAAGGATCTACTTTGACCGCGCAGCTTCCAGTTGGGCCGCTCTATGCTCGAGTCCAGTCAGCACGCGGTCCCACTCGACAAACATCTCAGACAGCGCACCCGTCTCCGCATGGTACCTATCGATAAGCGCCGAGACTTCCGCAACCGCCTGGCGGAATTGCTCAGCCTGCTCGACATGCGCTGCCTCTACAGCCTTGGCCTTTGGCAGCTGCTCGGCAGCGGTCTTGTACTCGGGCATGTTGGCCTTGGGTTCCAGGTCCTTGATCGTGCGCAGATCGCTCAGGATCTGGGCCGCCCCGTCGTTCAAAAGAATGATCTCGAGCTTGGCGTTGATGCCCAGGAGCTTGCGCTGCAGCTCTAGGTCGCCGTCGCCGTCAATGAGCCCGCGGAGCCTGTCGTACTTTTGCAGGCCGGCTGACAGTACGGGCTGGTCGGCAAGGGTCCGCTTCAATTCGCGGTCCACTACTGCCACCTGCTCCGCCAGGTTCGTTGTCGCAGCTGCCGTTCCTGCTGCTTTAGAGTACACTAGGCGCTCCAGGGTGTCAAGTCGAGAGGCAATTATGTCCATTTCCAAGTGATATTTTTAAAAGTACAGGCAGAGCAAAGCGGTGTTTATGTTGCTGCTGAGCACCAAAGAGGACCATGTATCATAACAAACGGCGGCGCACAGCCATTGGCCAGCTTGCCGCTACTGTCACATGATGTGCAGCAGACCGTCCCACCGCTGGTCGCCACCGGTCAGCGCCCGATGCCATCGCCGGTTCCCCAATCCGCTAGCACGCCTGATCGTCCAATCTGCATCACCGGATCATGCCCAACAGCAAAAATCACCGCCTATTTTTTCGGTTGGGGCAGCAGGCAAGGGTAGAGGAAAAAATTTTTCACAGCCCCCTTGCGCATTTCGAGAAAAGCAGGCGGGGACCGGCTCAGCCGCCCGATTTCCCTCTCTTTCCTCTTATTCGTTTTTTCATTTTAAAAGCGAGAATTGATCTCAACTGAGTTAAAGCACCCCGTCGTCGTCTCGTACACTTTTTACAAACGAATACTTAAACATGTCCATTGCTGAGAAGGCTACCGCTCTTGCTGCCCTGATCCTCGCCGACGACAACGTCGAGATCACCGTAAGTATCAAACGACTGTGGTGAGCAGAAAGCTGGCCCGCCATTTCCTCTTCTCGCCGCGTGGTGTTCGGTTAACCAGGAAGTGCCTCGGCAAGCAGAACGGCGGAGCGTATTCAGGGCTTGAAACTGAGTGTCCCGAGCAGGAGGAAAGGCGGGATGGTTTTTGTGAATTGGCGAGATTTGGTCGCCCAATTGGGCTTTTTTTTTTGCATTGACCTGAACAGCGGATGCTAACAAATTGCAAAACGACTCTCTAATAGGCCGACAAGCTTGAGGCTATCACCAAGGCCGCTGGCGTCAGCGTCGAGCCCATCTACTTCAGCCTGTTCGCCAAGGCTTTCGATGGTGTCAACGTCGCTGACCTCCTGACCAACGTCGGCTCTGCCGCCGCTGCCGCCCCTGCTGCTGGTGGTGCCGCCGCCGGTGGCGCTGCCGAGGAGGCCGCTGAGGAGGAGAAGCCCGCCGAGGAGGAGGAGGAGTCCGATGATGACATGGGCTTCGGTCTGTTCGACTAAGTTCGCTTCCCTCTCAGGAATCTTGCGACTAACTAGAAGGATCGTTTTATTTTCGAACCCCCATCCCACGTCAATAAAATCATCTCTCGCAGAAACAGCAGCATTTATCCGCATGCTATGTGTTGTGTTGGCAGCAAAGTGGCGCAAGAGATGCGGTATAGTCGTGGGAAGTGATGGGCGGCAGTGGCAACACATCCCGCCGCCTCGCTTCATAAAAACCCCTAGCTTCCTATTCCACTCTGCAGCTCCTTTGAATTCAGCATTTACTTCCTCCTTGAATCTACTATGGCGGCAGCTCTCTCACCGATCAAGAACGTGCGGCAGGTCATGCAGCGGGCGTTTGAGCGCGACGGGTTCGACAAGATGGTTTTGGGCAAGGTAGGCAGCCCGATGTGGCACGTGTGATACATGCACAAACACGCAGCTTATCTCCCCACCTGATAGATGAACATCCTCTCTGCAGACGCCGGACGCGTCAAGGGCGAGATTCTGGTTGAGTCTCTCCACGGCAATGCTGCGGGAGGCACGCACGGTGGCTGGCTCTCGACAATCGTTGACGTGGGCGGGTCGCTGGCCATCGCCTCGCACGGGTTCCCCAGCACGGGCGTGTCGACCGACCTGTCGGTCTCGTTCCTGTCGGCGTCGGGGCCGGGACACAAGCTGGAGTTCGACGCACAGGTGCTGAAGCTGGGCCGCACGCTGGCGTACACGCGTGTCGACATCTTCAGCAACGACAAGATGGTGGCGACTGGCAACCATACAAAGTTTATTGCAAAGGTGCCGAGAGGCGACGAAATAAAGAATTAGACGCAGCTTTACGACAGCTGGCTGTTCCAGCCGCCCGGGATGCTCTGCTGGGCGGGCGCGACGGGGTCGCTTATCCTCTGAGCGAGGTCGGCGGGGGGTGCGTCGTCCGACGAGTTGGACGAGCTGTGGCTCAGTTTGCGCAGGCGGTTGACGGCCTGGATCTTCATGACAGCGCGGCGCAGAGTCTTCTTGGCATTGAAGTTCTCGATGACGTCGGGCAGCAGGTCGCGCGTCGACACGCTGGCACCTGCCAGCCACGGGTGCTTCAGCGCCTGCTCGGCAGTCATGCGCTCGTGCTGGTTGGGGCTCAGACAGCGCCTGATGAAGTCCTTGGCCTCGGCCGAGATGCCCCACCAGTAGCGCTCGTCAAACTCAATGTTGCCTGCCTGCATCGCCTGGATGAGCGAGTTCGGGTCCTCGAAGCGCCAGAACGGCGAGTATCCGCACAGCGTCGAGAACGTGACCACGCCCATCGACCAGATATCCACTGCCTTGCCGTGGCCCTGGCGTATCAGGACCTCGGGCGCCGCATACCCAAACGACCCGCACACTGTCGTCAGCACCTCGTCGTCGCTGCGCATGATCCGCGCAATGCCAAAGTCTGCCAGCATCAGCGGCGCATCCGGCGTGTCGTCGCGGAAAATGAAGTTCTCGGGCTTGATGTCGCGGTGGACAATGTTGTGCTGGTGCAGGTACGCCAGCGACTCGAACCCGGTGCGGATGAGCCGGACCGCGTCGCTCTCGGAGAAGTGCCCGTACTTGCAGATCTTCTCAAACAGCTCGCCGCCCGTGCACAGCTCGAACACCAGGTAGTACTTGTCCTTGGACTCGAACCAGTCAAGCAGCTTGACGATGTGCGGGTGGTGCAGGTGGCCCACCACGTCTATCTCCTTGCGCACCATCATGTCGTCGCCGTTCAGCGCCGTCTTCTTGATCACCTTGATGGCCACCTTGCGCCCATCCGGGTTGAATATCGACTCCTTCACTTCGCCAAACGTGCCCGCGCCCAGAGTGCGCCCAAACGTGTAATACAGCTTGCGCTCGTAGGAAGCCGGCTGCTGGGCAAACTGGTGCCACATGCTGCGAATGTGTGAAGTCATTGGGTCAAATAGGAAGTGACGAAATAGAAAAAAGGGCACCTGAAAGGAGTAGGAGTAGGAGGAGGAGGAGGAGGAAATAATAGGAATATACTCTGTTGAAAAATATAAAGCAGGAGAGAGCCAGGTCTGCACTCGCACGCTGCCAGTGCCCTTCACACCCACGCACCAAGAAATCAGCGCTTGCATTATTTGGCTTTGAAATAAAAATAGCCCCCACACCCTGGTCCTTGTTTGTCCAAACCTTCCAATGTCAGCCCCAAGCCTGCTCCTGCTGATTGGGCGCATTGACTGGGCGCTGCAATGCTTGGCAAAAGCACAGTCTGGATTCCCGATCGGCTCAAAAAAAAAAAAAAAGCTCCTTGGCACACGCGAGAATGCACAGGCCGGACAGCCGGCCAAAGCAAGGCCATTTACTGATGCTCGACAATGGACAGACTGCCAACCTTGGGCTCCAGCTCCACAGGTATCTTGCGCGCGCCCGACGTGCTGGCCAGGATCCCGTATCGCATCTGCGCGTCCCTGGCCTCGGTCAGCAGATCGGTAGAATCGGCAGCCATCATGATGTTCTCGTTGCCCTCCGTCAGTGCGCCGAAAATATACCCATTCGCCTTGTCGATCTCCTTGAGCAGCGCGGCCACCGAGTGCTTGTCGCTGATGCACAGCGTGTTGAAGCCAACCAGGTTGAAGTCCTCGATGAGCTCGCACACCGCCTTGTTCAGGCTCTTGAACCGCCCGCTGGTCTCGCGCTCATTCAGGTGGTACAGCAGGTAGTCCAGGTCCATCACGCTCGTGTAGTACTCGAGGTTGAAGTCGAGCTCGCCCAGCTGCTCCAGCAGGTCGATCTTGGACAGCACGTTGACGTGCGGCAGTTCGAGCATGGTCATTGTGGTCAGCGACAGCATAAGCACCGAGATGAACTTTGCTGCCTCTGTGCAGTACGCCGCATCTACCAGGTGCACGCAAGCGAGCCGGAAGTCCTGCTTCTCCAGGTGCCGGATCATGCCCTTGATTGCGTCGTTGTGCGTGTACAGCTCGACCTGCCCCGGGCAGTCAAAGATAAAGTAGCAGTCGTCGAACTCCTTCAGCTGCTTGTCCAGCCACTCGATGTTCTTGGCCAGGTACTCGATGCAGTACACCATGCCGCCGTTGGGCCCCAGCCCGAATGCCTCCATGGCATCATCGAGCGTGATCAGGTCTTCGATATTGATCGCACAGTCGCGTGCGTTGTCGTTGGCTGGGTCGAGATTGACGACGATTGTCTTGCGTCCAAGCTCATTGAGGAATTGCCGCAGCCCGTTGCAATACGTCGTCTTGCCGGATCCCGGCGGGCCAACCACGATCTGTCCAAATGGCATGGTGTAATGCTATCTTTTAGAAAACTGCAGCAGTGGCACGAAGAGAAGAGTCCGGATATGACGCCTGTCTGTCCCACCTCTCCTCTTACAAGTACTCGGCATTGAACGACCTTGCACAGCATGTATGGGAAATAAGGGGGAGATTTTATTCGACCGGCCTACTAATTCTCGCCAATCTCCATGGGGATGTCGGCGCGCCCACCATGCTGCACAATATGCTCGTTGGACCACATACTGATGCCCAGCTGCGCCTTGGTGTCAAACGGCTTCGCCATCAGCTTCAAAAACTTGCGTGTCAGGCCCACAGCCATGTCGGTCGACAGGTTCAGGCTGGTCTCTGTCATGCACTCCTGGATCCACCTCGGCATCTTGGAGCGCTTGTCCGCCCGCGAGTAGCGCTTGTCCGCCAGCACCATTAACCCGTAGTCGGTTTTGCCGCGGAGCACGCGCCCGACGCACTGCGATGCATGCCGGATCGCGTCGAATGTCAAAAAGTCGTTCTCGCGGATCTGGTGCGTCTCGCGCAGATACTCCAGCCGCGCCTTGAGGATCCGCGACTCGGTGTACTGGTACGGGATCCCAAACATGATGACCGGCCCGCCCGTAGTTGTGGTCGAAATCAATACCCTCGCTGACCTTACCGCGCGCCACAGAGAGCAGAATCGCGCCACGTCCGTTGTCGCACGCGGTGCGGTAGTTCTGCAGTGCTACAGACGTTTCTGCTGCATCCGGCGTCTCAACAAAAATCAGCTTGTGCTTCCACACATCGCGCAGCACGCCGATCTCGTTCCACATCGACACAATGCTCTCCATGTATAGATACGACGGGAAGAATGCGACAATTCCGTCCGGAACACTCTTGGACATCTCAATGAGCAGATTGCCGAAATTGCGCACCACCGCCGGGTCGTTGCGCACCTCAAACTTGCTGCTGATCGTAACCTGGTCGCTGCCGCGAGTCACCACCAGCGGCGCAAAGCACTGCCGTGCCAGTGTCATCGTAAACGACTCCTGCACTGCTGGCGTAAACTCGAGCATACGCGGGTACATGTCCATGGGCGATAGCGTGCCGGATGTGATAATGACAGTGTGGAATCGCTGGAACACCGGCCGGATGGCAATTGCCGCATCCAGGCACGCCAAGTGCAGTACCGGGTTCGGGACTGTCGACTGGTCGCTCTCGAACGGCTCAAACAGCACCATAAACCCAGTATCGTATGTGGCACACAGCGTGGCAAACTCGGCCACCTTGGCCAGCGACGAAAACTCTTCGAGATCGGTCAGTTCCAGCGTGCGAATCAGTGATGCCAGCCGCTCCGCGCAGAACCGCAGCGGCTTGCGCTCAATATATGTGATTTCCCGCACATGCTGCAAGAACGACGGGGTGGTCTCTGCCACCACATGCATTACTCGCATGCGCGCCTTCAGGTACTCGACAAAACGCTTCAAGAACATTACAAAGTGCTCGGCGCGCCGGATATTGCCGGGCACTGCCTCAGTCAGCACGTCGTCAGGGAGTGTTGGGTTAGTCAGCACTGCGTCTTCTTCGCGCATCAGCGACGCGTCCCGCAGCCCCTCAACCAGCCGCTGGTACTCGTCCTGCAGCCGCTGCGAATCCTGCTGCTTGATCTCCGTCACTCTCTCGGCCAGCTTCTGCACACTCACCGAGCTATTCCGCAGCGTGTAGTTTGTCAGGTCAATGCTCAGCGACTCAATACATGTGCTGTCGATATTATGCGCCTCGTCAAAGACAATGATCGAGTCCCGCGAGAACTCCTTCGAAACGAGTTCTGCCACCTTAGGGTCGAGCATGTAATGGTAACTGTAGATGATGACGTCCGCCAGCGGGATGACACGCCGCGACAGGTAGTACGGGCAGTAGCCAGCGTCGCGCCCGTAGTCCATCAGGTCGTCCATCGTGTACACTCCCGACGGCAGCAGATCCGCTGGATCTACTTCAGCCATCTTTTCAAAGAACCCGCAAAGCTCGATCTCGGGCTCCTCCTGAGCCTTACGGCGCACCCACGACGATGTCATTTCGCGGCACTTGGCATCGACAACCTTGCCCTTGCGCTCCTTCCTGACACGGTCATGGATGCACAGGTTCCGCCGCGATGTCAGCCCCAGGCCTAAAAAGTCTTTGTCCTCGCATCCGTGCTCGCGCCGGTACGCAATCAACCGCTTCAGCTCCTCCAGCGCCTTGTCAATTTCTGGCACTGTTCGCGAGCAGTACACCAGCTTGCGTCGGCCAGGGTAGAACTGCTGGTATGCAATAATCAGTGACAGCAGCGATACAGTCTTTCCAGTCCCTGAGGGCATCTCCAGCATGCAGTGGCCCTTGGAGTCCAGCGACTTCTTCAGCCCGCACATGTACCGGTACTGCTCTGGATACACGTAGTCATACGGGAATATCACCGGCAGGTCGTCAATGTAGAACCGCATCGTTATGAAAGAGGCAGACAAAGTAGTTTCGGGTGGTGGGGGAATCCACTTTTGCACGCATTTTGATGCTGCGCTATGTACCTGTTGGACTGATGTGCGACAAGTATGGATATTTTCTGCGTCGTATAATCGCCAAACTTTGGTTGTGGGGTTGACACATTTAAAAGCAGGCGATCGGGTGGGGAGCGTAGTGCCAAGAGAAAAATACCTCGACCTCGTCTTTCTATTGACCAATTCACCACTATTCACCACTATTCACATACAGTTGTACTCCATCGACAATGACGGACATGGCGCGGCAGCTCCTGCAGGAGCTCATGGGCGAGTATCAGGACACAGGCAAGTCGTACACAGACGCAGACGTATGCAAGAACTACCTGGTCAGCTTCTGTCCAAACCAACTCTTTACAAACACCAAAGATGACCTCGGCCAGTGCACCCTGGTACACGACGACCGGCTACGCACCGCCTACCAGCAGTCGAGCGACCGCGGGCGGCTAGGCTACGAGCAGTCGTTCTACTCTTGGCTGCAGCAGCTGCACCACGACCTGCAGCGCAAGGTGCGCCGCGCCCACGAGCGTATCACAGCCGAAGCCGACGACACCCTGGCCAACCCGCACCGCGAGGAGAAGGAGGAGCGCGCCATTCTCATGGACGAGCGCATCCGGGAGATGCTGAAGCGGATTGAGGACTGTGGTATGAGCGGCCGCGTCGACGAGGCACTCAGTGTGTTGGCCAGCATGGAGAAGGCCAAGGCTGACTTGGTTGTGCTGCGCGAGCGCATTGACGCTGGAAACCCAATGTTCAAGAACGAGAAGCGCCTGGAGGTGTGTGATGTGTGCGGCGCGTTCCTGGTTCCCAACGATGCGTCGAAGCGCCTGGACGCCCACATCGAGGGCAAGCAGCACCAAGGATACCTGAAGATCCAGCAGGCACTTGAGACATACAAGAGCGAGGGCGGGAGTGTGCGCGAGTCGCGCGGCGGCGACCGCTACGGCGACAGCAGGCGGATACAATGCGCGCCGTCGCGATGACTACCGCCGGTCCCGGTCGCGCTCCCGGTCGCGCTCACCGTATGGCGGGCGGCGTGGCTACGATCGTTCGTCGGGGTACTCGAGGGACTACTCGCGCAGTCGTCGTAGAAGGTAAACAACAAAACATAGGCTTTTTAATGATCAAGTAAACTCCAACTCTAAACCATCGTTGCGCTCCTTGCCCGTCCTTCGACACCCTCTAGATCGTCTTGTCATGGCGCGCCTTTCTGCGCTCGCGCACCCACATCTGCTTGCAGTTGCGGTATGCCTCAAAGTACTCGTTGCACAGCGACTTGTCGTAATTGTTGTCGTCAAGACACTTGAAGCTTGCCTTTGCCTCGATCCCGCACGGATCCATGAACTTTGACGACTTTTTGTTTTCGAACTCGCGCAGCGTTATGCGCCGCGGCTCCTTCTCATTTGACAGCCCGCGAATGTCGCTTGTTGTGTCGCTCATTATGAACAGTGGGTCGATTACAGAGAGAAATGCAGCCGAGTGCAGAGTAGTGAAACGAGTGGCCAGCAGCAGCCGTAGCAGCGACGGGCAAATGCACTAGCAACAGCAGCTGATGACATGATCATTTATCTCTGCTGCCGGCTCAGCTTGAGTCCGGCTCGGTAGCTGCGACGGCTTGGCTGCCAGAGAAAAATCACCAGAATGTCCGCAAATGGTGCAGCACTACATCGCCTGAGCTCAACATTCGGCACATCAGGTGTGACATGGATTGCGGCAATTGATTTCTCTGGTCATGATGCGCCGGTCTATCCCCGACATTGCTCCAATTGCCAAACCCAGATACACACACCGGACTGTGCTAGCCATTCATGGCCAGCCCTAGACAAGTCTCGGCCGAGCAGCACAGGAAATTCATAGTTACGGAATACGATCCAAATCGAGACAGCACCCGCCAGGGGCTAGGCGTACTTGTTGCCAATTGCAGAGGTCCGGACAAGCTTTTGAGGCTAGTTTTCAGTCGACATGATACAAGAAGTGAATTTTGTCATTGAAATGTCGGCTTTGCACTGGCCGAGTGCAATGTGCGTATGGCATGATTCAGCCTAGTTCGTCCAGTCAGTTACCTTCGGGCGACGATCTATGCATCTATGGTTGCACCACACTTCACCACACTCCCTAATTCTTATTTTCTGCTTCTTGCTCCTCCCCCACACCGGAACGTCACCGGCCTCATCATTCAGAAGCTGCAAAAGATTCACGCAACATTGGCATTTGAAGATTTCCAGTTCCACTTCATATGTAAGCCGCATTTGCCAGGGAAAACATAGAGCCTCATCTGTTTTGCTCTTTGTGCTACAAGATCCATCCCTCTTTTTTCTGTGCTGGATGCGGAAAGATGGGAATTACCGAGCGATGACTGTTGCAGCCAACAGACAGGCAAAAGAAAAAAGGCACAGGATGATGCATACCACGCCCCCACCAGGGCGGAGTGTTGGACAACTTTCCCATATGCCCTTGGCCACAAGTATGCTGCGACATTTGAATATTGCATCTTTATTTTTGCTCCTTTCGCTTGAGAAACAAACATGAGAAAATTTGGTGCACTGTACCTCCACTCCAATTCACTCCTTCCGCATCGTGCAGTGTGCACCGTGCATGGCAAACAGTCTCTTCATCGGAGCAGGCGAAGATCAGGTTCGCTTTTGGTTTGTTTTTTTTTTTTTTGAGTGCTTCTGTCTTACAAAAAATTTAAATATAGGTGTCGCCGTGCAGAGCGAGCTGTTGAGGGATCTGTTTGAGAGGCTGGGAGGCAAAGGAAAAACAAGCTGTCCAAAGCGAAAATCACCTTTCAGCTGAGGATGCCTGCTGCTAAGAGTGCTATTCGGTCCACCTACCATGGAACATGATTCTCGAAGCGACGTTCGTGCACCCAGATCAGCACGGTATATTACTTGTTTCGCGTTAGCCTATGAGCTCGACCAGCCTACTGTTGCAGTCACAGATCTGACTCGGCGGAGCGGCGCAAAAACATGCTATATGACCCACCGGTGACACATCGGTAGCAGGCTCATCCAGTCCGCGAGGGGTTGCGGCCAAATTTTTATTCACTAGGGGTTTCGCTGGCGTCGGAGAAAAACGCCTAGTGCAAGGGCTGGAAGACGGTGGAGAATCAGTTCGTTTGCACAAATCGGTTATTTTTCAGTTGGGCGTATTTGGGCAGCGCCCATCCTTCATGTCGTGTAGCCATACGTGCCTGGTGGAATGAAGAGAATGCATGCTTTTAATACTTTGCAGCCTTGCGCGCCCACCGCATGCACCTGCCCGTGTAACACCACTCCCTCAAGAACCCAATGCCCATCCTTGCAAGCCTTCAGAAAAGAGACAGGATCCGAGTGTCAGTCCTTATCGGCAATAGACTTGCTGCCTCATGTTTGTGTAACTGGGAAGCAGGTCGGTCGTTTCGTGTGGGAGTCGAGGAGCCTTGAGAAATAAGCAGATCCCCGGCCTGCGCCTATCCCGAGGCCAGACGGATCCGTCCAGAGGCCCGCTATTTGTAGGGACGGATGCATGAAACTTGTGGCGAATAGCACTAGCAAGAGGTAGCTGAGGGAGTAGTGGGCGCAGTGCCATTATAGGCTGGGCACCCGCCGGTGTCGGAGGTGCGACGGGGGAGGGCGGGGAGGGCCTCGCAGACAGACTGGGGAGCCGCTGGCCTGCTGCTGTGGTTTCAGCGGGCTCGGCTTCGTGATTGAGCAATCCAGCGATGCCCTGCTCCCCCACCCCCTCTCGCGTCTCGGCCGTTGTTCATTTCTGGTTTGGCTAGTCAAATGCCACATCGCTTCTTCCGCGGTGAAAATCGCCAATTCCCTTCTCTCCCTCTCCCTCTGACATGCAGGAGCAGCTCTTGCATCCCTGTTTGGCACAGGCCAGCAGCAGTGTGCAATTGCACACTAAGGGAGTGGAGGGTGGGCGCTGTTAATGTTAATAATGCGCACAGCGGTTTGTGAAACAAGGCTGTCTGGCGCAATGTACCTGGCATTGCACCAGCCAGGCGTGTTGCTTGAAAGCAGATGGTGCACCCAGGAGCGAATGAGGCGGCCACCACATGAACTATACCCTAAAGAGCAAGGTACGCCCCGGTTACACGCGGAGTGCTAAATAAACCGAAAAGAGGTGGCAGCGAGGGGGCTGGCAAACCAGTTGCTGATTAGCTAACAGCGCGATCTGCCACCTCTGCGTTCATGATAACGGCAGTGGTCCGTTGCGTTGCTGCTCTGATTTGCTGTGTGGTTCCGTATCCTCGAGCAGCAGCAGAAGGCGAATAGCGGAGGCCAAAGTCTGCCAGCTTTATGAAAAATCCTTCCAATCCGTTGAATCGGTGGAGACTGCTGCCACCCCTTCCGTAGTCGCTTCGCAATTGCTCGAATAGCGACCAGGCCTGTCCACCCCGACCGCCCGCCCTGGCCGCCCACCCTGACCGCCCAAGCGCAGCAACAAACGGAGGGCCCCTGTGTGTGTGTCTGGCATAGGGCCAGGTGAGCGCAGGCTAGCTGGAGCGTGTATGTGGGCGTGTATGTATGTGTTTGTGCGCGCGTGCGTGTGGAGGGGGCGATCGCAGACAGGTATGTGTCAACAACAGATGCAGAGCGAAGAAAAAGGCATGCATTGCGTGCAAAATGGCGGTGGCTTCGTTTATTCTTGCCCATTTGTTTCTCTCTTGCATCCCACTATCCTTGTCGAGGCAGATGTGTCCAACAACAGAAATGATAGAATGTAAAAATGGACTATACACAAACGCAAGGTGCATTGCTTGGCGGTATTGCGCTATTTTCTCCATTGCTTTTTCCAGCAATTTGCCACTCGCCACAATACACATGCATCAATATGCGAACAAGCATAGCGAGCAGAGTGTCCTCGCCATCGTCTTGGCCCGTAACAACCAAGGCATGAATCTGCGCTTCGACATAATCGAAGCAGAAAAAGCGCCAGCGACGCATCATCCACCGCTAGCGGGAAGAAAGGATGCATATCCTTGTCGGTTCATGGCTTAAATGTAAAGTCGCTTGCTTGACAGAAATAAAGAATTACAATAAAGCTGGGCCACCGCCTATTCCCGACCGCCTCCCCGCCTCCCAGGCGATTGTCCCGACACCGCCAATGATAAGAAGGTCGTCTCTCGATCCATCTTGGCCGGCCCCAGCATAAAGACTGGCCAAGAATCGGAGGCAGAGGGGGAGGGCAGCCGGAATATATGAATAGATTCGCAGCGACGCAGCATCCCTACTTCCAGAACAACCCCGAGGGGCCCGCCCAAGTGCCGGTCGCCTGGCCCAGGCTCGCCGTGCTATTAACTGGCGACGCCTGCCCAGTGATCGGCCCGCAGTGTGCCTATTTGGGCAGATTAATATGATAATAGAAAAACTGGCTCTGATACGGACCGCTTCGCCTGTCGGTGTGTGATCAATCGCCCGCCTGTATAAAATTTTCATGCGCCTGTCCCAGCCGGGCAAGCTGCCGGTCGGGGGCAGGGATTGCGGACCCACCCCTCCGCATTTGCATTTATTTTTCTGCCGCGGCTGCAAGAAAAAATTCAGACCAGAGGGGGGGATTCTCGCCACCCTTGTTTCCGGGTGCTGACTGTATTTACGACCAACACATACACAAAATAAAAAACAAGGTACATTTGTGTTTTTAGAGAAACTAAAAGTGGACTCTTGTCCTGCTGCCCAGTATATAAGCAAACCCACGGCCCCCTTTAATTTCCATCCAAAATCTTTTTTCTCGCTTCTCTGCTTCCATTCTTACACAGCTATTCCTCGCTATTTTTCTCACACCTTCTCTCCCGCTTGTCTGGGCTCTAAAAAACAAAAGGACCGCTTTAGCTCGCCCTTCGCCCATTTCGTATTATTTTTATTTGACACCACTGCCCGTTATTTCTTACTTATTAAAGAGCCTTTTCATATTACACCCATTTATATTTGTTGGTCCCGGCTTTGTCGTTATCACTTCTGACACCAGAAACAAACCACCTTGTTCTGGCACCCAACATCCCCTTTTCGCTTCCTCCCACCACACACCCGCTTTTCTTCACCTTCTTTTCAAACTTGGCGTGTTGGAGTACATACCCCCCAATTAAGGCTTGAAGGCTGCAGATATACACGCCCTTTTCTCTCGCCCTTTTTTCTATACTTTGTCTCCACATATCTCTCTGTGGCCTCCCCCCTTTTCGCTCTCTCTCCATTTACTCCGCATACTCAATAGACTGAACAATCGACTATACATACACCGCCTGCTACATCTCTTTACACATACTCTCACACATACATCCATGTCAGAGTCATTCACAACACAAGGTAACGATTTCCTCTCCCCACACCGCAGCACAGCTGCCTCAGCATCCTCCACATCACTGGCCGACACTGCCAATACTGGCCGCATAAGCACTACCGCAGGCGCCGGCAGTACAGCTGCCGCTCCAGCAAGTAGAGGTGGCAGCGGCGGCAATGGTAGCAATGGCGCGCCTGGCATGACAGTCCGGCCAGCTACTGCTTCCCCGCAGTTTAACCTTGGCGGTGCAGGGGTCGGCATTTGACGTTGAAGAGGCCGAGCGGGCAGTAGCGCGACCTCAGGGTGAGGATGTCACTAATTCGGGATGCTGCCCAGTAGGTTCCCGGACAGCGGACTGCGACAAGGAGGCAGCGGCGGGAATTGTATCAGCAGCTGCTGCTGCAAGCGCTGGTCCAAGTGACAGCGGGGTGACAATCAGCACATCATCTGCATGCGAGAGCAGTCTGATGATTGGAGCGGCATCAGCGTTGGCGGGCGATTCCAAGTCAGTTGCAGCGAACGCTATTCCAACAGCATCAGGCGTGGTTGCGGGCATGCAGAGTCTGGTACACCACAGTGCGGCCACCCGTATATCACCAGGAGCCCTTGGCATCTCGGGAAGATGGCTCGGATGTGGCGTCTGTGACAAGCGACTCGGCATCGGTGGCATCGTCGCCGCGATGCCGAGGTGTGAAGCGGCGCGGCTCCGATTCGTCGATCTTGCTTATGGCAGTAGACGAGGCCACTCAGTGCGCAAGAAAGATTTATCGCTCCGAGACCACCCACTCTGGGACTGGTGGCGAGCAGGCGAGCTCTCCGCCGTCCATGTCGGCAGTAGCCTAACAAGCGGCGGCGGAACTATGCGCCTGCGGCAGCCGGCTCTGCTGCGGGTGGGGCAGCTGGCTTCCCGCAAGCGCAGCAGCAGCACCCGGGCTGCGACTGGTGGGATTTACCGGTCCCGGGCTTCCGCACGCATCTCATCGGCCTCTGTCTTCTTCCACGTCTTCCTCCACTCCCTCGTCTCCCCTCTTCATCTCATCTGACCCACGCGGGGGATCAGGATGCGATGATGGCATGTGCGGGCTCACGTGGCGCATGCTCTGCCGTCGGGCCGTCGGCATCCAGAGGCACAGCTACTGTCGTCAGCCGGGGCTCGGCCTCGGCCACAGCCACCGCCGGCGCTGGAAACAGCGGTTCGGCTCATGCCCCGTCCTCGTCCACATCATTTTCGCGTGTCTTCCCCATAGTCAGCCACGGCGGCGTCGCTGTTGCACAAGCCGTGCGGCAGCGCGGCGACCTTGTGGCGGCCTCGGTGCGGCACGGGTCTTCTGGGGGAACAAGGTCAATCCTTGTTCTCAACGCAGCCACTGGTGTTACCGGTGGCAACAGTTCTATTTCTGGGCAGGGCATCAGTGGCAGTGGCAGCAGCAACAAGTCCGCTGACACAAAGGAACACTGTTGTGGTGTTGGTGGGGCACAGGATGCAGTCTGTGCATCTGCCCCCAACATGGTTGCAGCTCTTTCGCCGTCTGCCCCCATCTCCCCCAGCACTCCCCCGTCGACTCAGCGGACACTCACCTATGCCACAAGGCCTTGCTCTGGAGCGCCTGGCAAGCGCCTGGCACTGGCACAGACCCTTGGCACATGTGCTGCCGAGTGTCAACCGGTACACTCTGCGAGAGCTCAAGATCCAAAACATCCTGCAAAACCCGCGGCTGCGGCACGAGGTGCTGTTTGAGCCCAAGCTCGAGTTCCGGCCAAACACCAGCGGCAACATGGCCGATACCAAGCACGTGGCGACACAGCAGTACTGGGCAGCCATCGAGAAGGGCATGAGCGGCTGGAACCCGAAGGCGCTTCACACCGGAGACTGCCGCATGTTGTGTGGGGCTGCAGATCTGTCGATGGTCCCGGTTCTGCTGGCAGAGATCCGCGAGATTCTGGCTGAGATGTCGGAGGATGCGCCAAACATGGCCATGGCCCGGTATGCGGTCGAGCTGCGGGAGCGGCTGGACGACGAGCGCATCAGGCAGCAGATCGACAACAACGTGTTTGACCCAGAGCCTGTAGTTGAGTACCTGGCCCAGGTGATGCACAAGCTGGCGCGGCCCGAGCATTTTGCATCGATCGACAAGCTGATCGAGTACGCGCGCAGCGGGCGGTTTGCGCGGGCTCTGCGGAATGTCGTTTGATGTGCTGGAGGTGCTCAAGATCGACATTGCCAACCGCAGCATCGAGATGTACCGCGAGTACATGCGGTCAACGGCGGTGGCATACGAGCGGTCGCATTTTGGCAACATGCTGCGGCGCAACAGTGTGCCTATTGACGAGACGCGGGCGTGGTGGAAGAAGGAGTACGACGCGGCGCGTGCTCAGTTCCAGAGCCTTGACGATATCTTTTCGCATGTATTCCGGACCCTCGTGCTTGGGGGTGACCGGCCGGTGCCGAAGCTGATGCACATGGACGAGGCGCGCATCAACGGAATCCGGCGCGAGTACGAGCGCCTGGAGATCGTGGGCTACCTGTTTATGGGCTTCACGCAGTTCATTCAGGCTGTCGGCCGAGCCACAGCATCAGCAGTCGGGCCATCGGACCAGCAGCAGCAGCCTGAGTTTAGGACCGAGAACGGGCGTGTTGACTTTGAGCGGCTGGGCAAGGAGTGTCTGAAGCTGGTCCCCGAGTGCTTTGTAGTCAACTGGAGTGACTCGATCGGGGACTCTACCGCTGGTGAGTGGCGGATGCCCGGTGGCGCGCGGGGCGAAGTCAGGGCCAGTGTGCTGGTGACGCAGCTGGTGAGTCTTGCTGGCCGTGTTCTGGGCCGCAAGATCCAGCCGGCCGAGGTGACTCAGCTATGGCGTGCTGTGCGCAGCGTGGTGCAGAGCGGCAGCCCGGTACGCGGGATTGTCGCGGGCCGCATTAGGAGTGCTGTTGAGATGCATCTGTCGTCCTTGGAGGTCAACAGCACCCGTTTCCGCGGCGATGCCTGGGAGGCGATGCCTGAGGACGCCAAGCTGATGCTGCGCCGGTCGATGCTGGGCTTCCTGGAGCCCGTGCTGTCGAGTCTGGCAATCAAAGTCCATGCAATCCGGGCGCACCACTGGCTCGTGTACAAGTCGTTCTACCAAGCTCTCATCAGTTCCAACTCACAGCTGGTCCAGCAGACAGTCACGGTCGCGAAGGCACCGTCCGCATCATCTGCTGCTGTTGCTCAGTCACAGGCGCTGTGAAGACCACCAGCCCACACATACCCACACATGCACACCTAGCCATCCACCCATCCACCCATCCACACACTACCTCTGGAGACTGGCGAGCCTGTCTCCGACCTTGTTTATTGCCTCCTTTTCACTTCACTTCGAGATACACTCAGTATTTTCTTAACCACCTTTCCATATTACCCTCTAATTTCTTCTCACTCACTCACAACCAAGTGCATATTAATTCCATTCCATTCCATCTGAAACCACCACCACAGCCATCGCCCACTCTACCACCAAGCCAGCGTATGATCGAAAGACTGCTGATTGCAGCCCCATGCCGCATCCCTTGCACGTGCCAGCGATGGAATCCATTTGTGCACCATATCTGGCCACGAGCAGGGTGTGGCCAGATTTGCGCAGTAGTTCATGTGGGTCCGGAGGACCCATTCCGGACAGCGGCTTGGATACATGTGATTTGTTTATTTCCTTTAGCAATTAGCGTCATAGTGCCGTAGTGTTATTCGTCATTCATCGGTTCTAATTTTGGCGTGATTCGCAGAACGTCTCCCGCACACAGGCACATCGTATTCGGTGGCAAATAAAGCACAATGACAGCCAACTACTGGGAATCATCGCAATTGTGAGTATACCGCAGCCAGAACGGCAGCTACACTCGGGGCAGAGTCCTGCCAATACTCTAAAGTGACCGGTGGATATTGTTCGCTTACGGGCCGAAGGTGGAAAGGGGGCGGCAGAGGAAAACATGCTCACAATCGCACCTTTCTTTTGTAGCCAGCGGTTTATGCTGACGCGCTCGGAATTGGCGGATGCGGAGCGACTGCACTCTATGCGGCTGACTCGGCACGAGACTGTGTTTCTAAAGATATACTTTGCGGGAGGTACTGTTCCAACAAGTTCTTTCGTTGCACTATTCCGTGTCTGCGAAAACTAGCCTGCAATTAATGCACGACGGGGGATGACATGGTGAGGGATGTGTTTGGTTTATTGTTTGTAGTGATTCAGAAGCTTGGCAAACGGCTGCGCATCCGGCAAGAGATTATCGCCACCGCTTTGGTTTACTTCAAGCGCTTCTATTTAAAGTATGTGTACACAGCCTGAGCATCAGGGCTAGGGATCAGGGAGGCGGTAGTATCGTGGAAACCACTAGGGGATGGCATGGAGGGGTCTTGCATCAATTTGAACATGCGCGTTCGGCTATTTTCTGATAACTGGCCTTGGCTTCACTGTAGCAATACTTTTTACGACATCGATCCGTACCTGATGGCCGCTACGAGCGCATATCTCGCATGCAAGGTTGAGGAGAACCCGCATCACATAAAGTACATTTGCAACGAAACCAAGGCGGCGCTTGCAGGTAAGTCTCTGTTGGTGTGGGGCAGAGTGCAGCCGCAGCGGGGAGGGCATTGAAGCCCCACCATGCACTACATTCTAGCTGCAGACGAGCGCAGCATCTAAACTGGTTCCTTTCTGTGTAGATGTTTCGCCCGCCATAAAGTTCCCCTACGACGTGGCTGACATTGCCGAGTGCGAGAGCTACTTGCTGGAAGAGATGAAGTTTTACCTCGTTGTCTACCACCCGTACCAGGTGCTGATAGAGTAAGTGGTTTTTAGGTGGCAGCATTCGAAATGCATGGCGTCTGTTTGCTGTTCAGCCTGGGGGTAGTGCTAACACCTCGTTACCCAAGTATTATCTGTAGCATAAACGAGCAGGCCAAGCTTCCTAAGCCATCGTTGCAAGCAGCATGGTAGGTCCTGTAGGGCATTGTGCAGTTAGCTCCCAATAGTAGCTGGCTGGTGTTGGAAACTATTAACCAAATGTTTGTGTTGCCTCTAGCAAAGAGAAAAGCGAAACAAATAGCGCTGCTGCTGAATGCCACCACTCCTATTTTATGCTAGGTCGATTATCAACGACAGCTTCCGGACCGACGTTGCGCTGGTGTACCCACCCCATGTCATCGCGGTGGCAGCGCTGTTCCTGTCGCGGGTCGTCGACCAGGGCACGCAGTCCGAGAGCGAGGCGCAGCAGTGGTTTGCCGATCTCAACGTCGATATGACCGATGTGTTGCAGGTAGTCAACGACCTACTGAGACTCTACGGGGTCTGGAACGAATATAAGGATGAGGCCATGCCTGAGGCCGTGGCCACCTATATTGCGGATCTAGCTGCTTCTGCATAAATCAATACTAAACAACAGGCATGGGCGCTTTGCATATCCCATATGCTGGAACCAGTGATCGACTGTGACAGAATAGCCCAGCGCACTGCCGCTCAAGGGCGCTTTTTCCAAAAGAATGCTTTAACATTATACACCTCCCTCGTACATGGTGCAGACTAGTGGCTTCCCGGCAATCAATGCGATATTTCTGGCAGAGTTCCACCCGGAGCAAGGGCCTGTGGTAACGCTCTCAATTCCCGATGATGCAGTGGCTATGACCGAGCACAAGTCCTGTGCGCCGCTGCAGTCGGGCGGCGGCTTCGGGCGGCATGACGACCACTCCCCCGACACAGTCGTTCCGTTCCACATGCACGAGGGGCCAGAGGTCATCGAGCTTTTGAAGCGGCCGAGCAACAGCCGCCCAGCGGTGGATAGCGACAAAATTGACTTCAACGCGATCCAGGCGTTGGTGATTCCAAAACTGACACTGTACGAGCGGCTGATAACGGTGAACACGGGGCGGCACAAGGTGATGGGGTATCCGATCGCAGTGGAAGGAAACTACCAGCGCAACGTGCTGATTTTCAACATGTGCTTCGCGTTCGATATTGGGGCGGATACGCGGAAGCTACGAATTGGTGGTGAAGCGAATCGGCGGACTGCTGAAGGAGCTTGAGGTCAAGGGTGCGTTCATGAGCAACGTCGAGTGCAAGCAGGCGTTGCGTGGGATGATGAACCAGCTGGTGAACAACCTCAACGATCATGGAGAGTGCCAGATCGACCTGGATTTCCAGGGCGTGTCGCAGACGGCGGTGCAGTCGCTTGCAATGTCTAGCATCAGTATCAAGCTGTTCCCGGTGTACGATAACCCGAAGGAGATCCGGCCGTACCACGTGCCGGTAAAGACCATTGACATTGACATGGCAAAGCTGGAGCCTGCGCGCACAGTGTACAAGAACCAGGTGGGCGACGATATTCTGTGGGACCTGGTGCTGGACGAGGTCCTAATGCACCTGGACAACGTCAACCATGTGCGGAGGATAGCAAGGCTGACCGAGATTCCCGAGCCGACTGTCATTGCAGCACTGAAGCACCTCGAGTACTACGGGTGCATATCGCTGGTGGACATCTTCCAGTTCAGCAATGTGTACGAGACACAGCACCGCCTGCTAGAGTTCTACAGCGACGCATCACTACAGAAGGAGTGCTATCGGTATGTGACGCAGGATGGAAAGGCATCCGATGTGCCATTGGAGGAGCTAATCAAGCTGTATGCGACTATGCGCGAACGCGAGACTGGTTGCCGACTGGATTCTGAATTCAAACATCGACATTGAGCGGATCGACGTGCGGCGGCTTCTGATATTTGGCGTCATGCACCATATATTGCGGCGTGTGCACTGCTACCCGGTGCTGTGCATACCGCAGAATGCAGATGATGCTGGTAGGGCGGTTGGAGAGCACGTGGAGGATGCTGCACAGCAGGTATCAGGTAATGCAGGTGGCAATTCGGCCAGAGGGGATCTGCCAGCCAAGACAGAATCGTGCGAACTGAGCGACAGCCTCAAGGCGATGCTGGATGGGACGCACCACCTGGACGAGATCAGCGTGCTGGAGAACAAGGACATGGTGACTTTGCGCAGCATGCTGGATGGCCATGGCCACATCGAGTACGTTTATCTTTGACTTCAATGTAGAGAATACAATGGCTAAAATTGCTGCTGCTGGGGAGAAATCCTGTCTGGCTTTCAGTACAGCGAGCCAGCGAATGCCCAAAACAAAAGGGCTGGATCTTGGTGTAGGGAGGGAGCTAGAGCCCTGTACCGAATGCTTTGTGTTGCGTGAAAGTTGTTTTGGTGTACAGCTACATTCAAAAAAGTGTCAACAGGCAGAGGAGCCCAGGATGTTGTTTACCTTTTGCTGCTAAGATTGCAGCTTGGGGCGAGGAGAATTTCTTGCAGGGCCAAACACCACCACCGCACCATGCACCTTTTCCGTATTCCTGCTTTCTATTCGCGACGCACGCAGCCGATCTCTCTCTGCTCTGCTATCTCCCTTCCACCCCTCACCACCTTGGTCCTCTTTTTTGGGCCGTCTCTTTGTCCCTCAGTCTGTTTATAACCTCTCGCAACCAGCAGACCACAGCAACGACGCGTCAGCGCGTGGCATGGCGGACACACGCTACCAGGTAGAGTTGATAGCAACAGCATTCCATGCGGCATCCTCGATACTGAGCAATGGGCATGACGAAACAAAGCGATGATACTGCCTTTGGCTGTGTGCGTGAGCCACAAATGATCTGCAGCAAGCTTGTGTTGTTCCCTACTTGACATCAGCTGCAAGCTACTGTCCTGGAGCCGCGTGCAGAGCGCACTTGGCACAGTCTGTACGAAGCTCTGGTGGAGCCTGTCCTGGCTGCTCTCAAAGCCGGCTCGGATCGAGGTTCACTAGCTGTGTTGAACGCAGCAGTAGCATTTAAAGCCTTATCCTCCCCCGCAGCTCCGGCTCTTGTACCCCCGCTCACGCTCTTCATTTTTATCTTCTCCACAGCCCATCCAGCGCAGTTCTGTGACCGAAGCCTCCCACCACCCACTCTTCACTATTGCACTTTTTTCTCTCTAATTTCCTCCTTAATTCACACCTTTTGCAATACCTCCTTTTTTTAGACCGCCTGCTCTATCGGCAGCCAGACCACTCGATCGCCACCCAGCCAGGCGTGGCAGACTACAGACGCTCGCAGACAACCCGAGCAGCTCCGCAGCCAGGTGCGCAAGTCGCGCAGTTTCAACAATCTAACAGCCACAGCTCACCGTGACATGGTCACAGGCAAGCACACAAGGTACCGGTACCGCAGGTGCCGAGGACGCCGAGGACGCCCAGAACACCAAACTCGGCCAAGCCTGGCCACTCCCGGGCAAAATCGACGCAGACACGGGACGTGGATGAGACAGCAAAGTATGGCAGCCACCGGATGCGTGCGCACAGACGGCGCACTGATGGCAGCACAATTGATAGTGAGACAAGCCCGATTCAGCGGCCACGGACGGCACATGGACCAGCATCGCCAGAGTTCTCAACATATAGTCAGTACCCGGACTTTGAGACTGTGACAAATCCGTTCGCCAAGAGCGATAAGATCCCGCGCAAGCGAGTTCCCGCCAGGCCAGCAGTGCCACAGATGCAGCAGCAGGGACAGCAAGATGTGGATTCGACAATTAATGCAAGGTGGGCATGAGGGTGGGTCACGCTCAGCTGTGCCGACGGCTGGCAAGCGGATTATACCAATAGCAGCACTGTTGCGAGCGTGCCCGAGCGGCTGGCTGTCAAGCTCCAGGATGTCGGTGCTTCCAAGTCGCTAAGGGTGAGGAAGGATTCGCAGGAAAATGTACCGGCACCGCTGCGCAGGCACGATCTGATTCCTCGACACTCTGAGCACCCGGGGCTGTTTGCTCATATGAAGCCAGTGCAGCAGCCAGAAGTCGAGCCCGAAAAGACCAATGTTTTATCGGCGACCGTGATGCCAGGGAAGCCATTGGTACGGACAGACTCTCTACAGAGCTCAAAGTCTAATGGCTCACGCGCTACAGCTAAGTCGGCTTCCACAGGCGGACGCCAGAAGCCACGGCGAACCTCGCATAGCACTGGCGCAGTGCGGGATCTAGGAACTAGTGGCCAAGCATCGCTGGCGCATTCACAGCAACCAGGAAGGCCATTCAGCGGACACGACCTAGGTTCACGTATCCGGATCGATATGGACAAGGTCGAGGGACTTTACCAGCGTCAGAGCCAGATATTCGAGAAGGAAAAGGCACAGCGTGATGGCTCCTCGTCGGTCAGTGCCGGTGCCGGTAAGCCAAGCAGCAGAGCAGGCGTCAGGGAGCCGCTTCAGCCGCAGCACCCTCCATCGCCGATTAGTGACACCAGTAGTCCATCAACAGTGCATGAGTCGCAGCAGGCGATGGGCCAGGATGATATCCGCGATGAGCGGATTCCGTTCCAGGATGTGCTGATTCCAATGGTGTTCAAGAAGCTATGCAAGGACCTGGAGGATCCCGGGTTCGAGATTGACGAGGAAGCGTACCGCAAGTTCAAGCTGTCAGAGCGCTGGTATGCACGCGAAGAGCGCAAACTACGCAAGAATCTTGGCGAGGCAAATAGCGGCGCCTCTATTGTGCAGACACCGCCATCTGTCTCGCCTGAGCCTGAGAAGCAGCTGCAAAATGTACCTGAGGCTGTGTCTGATGAGGAGGGGGCGGAGGAACAGCGGCCCTCTTTCGAAGCAGTAGCTCCAGCAGCACTACCACCAAGGCAGAAGCAGCAGCAGCAGCTATTCCCAGGGCGCAGGCGCACACCTAGCTTGCAGCACAGTGTCGCGGGTGACATCCAGGCAGTCATGCCGAGCGCACCCCCAATGGCTCACCATCCAGCACAAGGCAGGGGCATCCCCCGGGGCTACGAGTCACCCAACATGCCACCAAGAGTGTCGTCTGCTACAGCTGCGGCACATGCGTACCGATCGCCTCCTGCAGGCAGCACTAAATTGATGCATGCTGGTGCCAGGCAAGACCCAGAGCAAATGTCCAGCAGGTTTAATCAGCTCGAGGTTCACGATCCACAGTCATACCCTCAGCGTACCCGCAGCTACTATAGCCATCAGCAGCAGCAGCAAACTGTCAGAGAGGAAAGGGCTAGCAAGACCGCCGGCTGCTGCGGATGCAACATTATGTAAACTCACAATATACATACATCTCTACCATGTATTTTCCACCTGCCTGATCGAGCCGGCACTGCGCGAAATGCACACGTCGAGAATGGCTCTCGAGCCGGACTGCGAGTGGCTCTCGGCTCGACAAAAAGAAGCAAAAAATGCAAAATGCGCAGACGCCTGCAGAGTAATTTTTAAAGGCTTTACCTTTTGGCCATGCGAATGCTTGCTTCTGTTACTCCTTCTGCCATTGGCTTCTTCTGCATTGCGAATCCTTAGAGCCCCTACTTTCCTTATATCCCTTCCAAGCGACAGAACACGCAGCTAAACGGCTCATTGAGAACGCAGCGGTGTAGCAATTTCCAGCCCTGGCACAACTCCAGCTGTTTGTTTTGAAGGAGACAGGCACTGCATATACTCACACTGGTGGTATCAACCGCATTACCACTTATAAACACGAGGTGCGTTACCCCTGCAGCCCTGCATTGCTGCTGTCAGTCACTTTTGCACCTCCGGCCGGATAGAAGCCCTCAGATCTGCACAAGCACTTGTGGCCAAGCGCCTCATCAAACTGTTGTGGACAAAAAGCTCAGACACCGACACGTACCGTAGGTAAAAGTAACAGCGAAGCCATATTATGAGCAGCAGGATACCTACGTTGCCCGAAGTACTGGAGTCGTTGCAGCAGCGGCGGCAAAACGAGGCAGATCTAAATGTCGCCAATGTGTTTTTCAACCACGCGATGCAGTACCTGGTAAAGGGCGATGCGCGGTGCTGGTGGTGCACGCCTGAGACAACTGATATAGCCACCGAGACATTACATTTATTTTCTCTGGCGCAGCGATCTCCTGAGGTAAACGAGCTCATCCAGGCATCTGAGCAGCAGCTGACAAAATGCACGGCCTGCATCAGTGCGTACTACGATGCCAAGGTGCGGTTGCGGAAGCGGTACAACGCCATGTACAGCCCGGCTGCTGTTGACGTGTTTTTCGAGACACTGGGGAGATGGGATGCCCAGCGACTGGCGAGAGCGTTGGAGCAAACGTCGGTTAGGGACAGCGCTGCGGGATCAATAGTGCTGTACGATGTGTGCCGAGTCGAAGACAATCTGCTGTTTCATCCCCAGGTCGCTGCAGGGACAAACAAGTACATTCGGGAGGCATTGGCGGCGGGCGGGAATCTTAATCTTAGGCAACCGGCTGCAGCCAGGGTTCTTTATTCTGGCATTTTCTGGCGACGAGCAGGTGCGCAGATGGGCGTGGCGGACACTAAAGTTTGCCAATAACAAGAGCGCGGTGTTTGATGCACATTCAGTTATCCTTATGCTTTGCGGGGGTGTTCAGGATGCTGGCATTCCAGGCAGGACAGTCTGCATCCATACCCAGTAGCAAAGGAGCAGACCAAGGGGTTCAGTGATATCAAGTTTGTGTTTTCGGCTGATGAGGTCTGGCACAGTCTGCGGGTTGCGCTGGGGCGACTGTCGAAGGATAGCCGGGAGGTGCTGGCGAGGCGGACTAGGTGGGATTCCGGTGATTATCTGCAAACGCCTTTTGGACATTTCTGGGCCCGAGTTCCTTGACGCAGTGCGCTCATTTGCCGATATCCTGAGCGCGGCCGAGCCAAAAGTCGTGTGGCAGCCGGTGCGTAGCCATATGGGGTGTGCGCCGGTGGATTTTGCCCGGCTGATCGTGAACCACCCGCAGTTCAAGGCCAAGTTTACCTGATTCGCCGGTGGCGATGGCTGATCTGACCAACGACACGCTATCGCTGGCAAATCGGCGGCTACGTACGGTTATCGACTGGATTATTCCGTTCATTGGATCCCTGGACATGCCCAGCGACCACCAGGCAGTAGAGGTTCTGCTGAGGGCGCTGTTTATGGAGCTGCCTGCGCTGCACGGCGTGCCATTAGCGTACCGGGCAGTCGCAGTACACACAACGGTTGCCATTGTGAAGCATAGCTTTGAGTGGCCCGATGAGCGACGGTTCTTGGAGAGTGGTCAGTCGATAGTGGCGGATTTCGTGAGGGATGCAGCTCCAACACTGCTAGACATCATACAGGGGCGGCATGAGCTGGCGAGCAGCGAGCTACTAGTAACAAGCGCGGATTCGTTTGTTGACATGATTCTCCGCGACGACATGCTACATACATTCCGGGCAGTCTCAAAGCACAGCGAAGTGGCCGGCGAGATCATAGTGTCTGGCGAAAGCTCTGGCGGGATGGAGGCGCCAGCTGTGTTACTTCATTACCCGGCTCTGTGGGATGGCGTGCTACGTGAGTTCCACAACACGGATATTGTGAAGAAGGCGATTTTCTCGACATCCTATATCATGCTGTTTGACCCGTTGCCATCACATTTGGTGCGGGATGCTGCCTGGACCCTGGCGCACTACGTATAGGCGATTTGAGCACGAGCGGCAGGAGCTGTCGACGATGCTGACCCAGCTGCTTCGGATGCTAGTGCGACTCGTTGCCGCACATCCGGTCCGAAGAGTGGGGGGAGTGGAAACATACCCTGCTGCCGTCACTTCTGAGGCACTTGATATCGCCGAATGAGCAGGTGCGTGTGCTGGCGATGCGGATTCTGCGCTGGTCGCCGACAGACGTGGTTGACGTTGATGATATGGATCCGGGGGGCGGTTTTACGTCGCAGTCGGTGCTGGACGATACCGAGTGCGATATGGCGTGCTACGAGCTGTACAAGCAGCACAGCAACTACTTTTTTACGGTCCTTGCTGAGATCTCCAACGACTGCACCATTCTGGTCAAGAATGAGCGGCCAGCATACTCGGCGAGCACAAATGTAGCGGTGCTTGTGCGGTCGTCTGGTGTCGTCGGTGAGCAATAAGCAGATGGCAGGCAACACGGAGGCTATGGCAAAGCTATTTTTTGCATTCTGCAACCTGCTGGCGTCGATTCTGCGCAATAGCTCGGAGGGCGGCGTGCTTTCGGAGAACGGGTCTGGGGTATACTCGTCATCGGTACTGCGAGTGTTTCAGACGCTGTATTATATGCTAAACACAGTCGAATTTTCGACGATTGTACAGTTCACCAAGAAGAGCGCCAGCTTGAATGAGAACGAGGCGATGGACATGCTGTCGAAGTGTGTCTCGCAGATGCTGAACTACCTAGGCACTGAGGACACATTGGACGTATCGAGCGGCATTATCAAGACTCTGGGTATGATTGCCACCGGCCTGATGGCTACGCCGGGAACATCGATGCTGTATCCGCTGGAGACTGTGGAGGCGCTGGTCAGCGGCAAGCACGGGCATCTGTCGCCTGATATGCGGCGGCTGCTGAGCACGATCACGAAGCAGTCGGTGTGGGAGCCACGGCCAATCGAGGCGTCGAGGGCACGGCCGGTTCAGATCATCTTTGATGATGAGGACATGCTGGCCGATCTCAGCAACTTCGATCTGTCGGATATCGATGACGCGATGGAGCACGAGCCCATTCCGGTAGATCCAGAGCCAATTTCGGTGCCAGTGCAGCCTGGCAATCGACGTTACATCGTCAACACTTATGCCGAAACCGCAGAAGCCTTCACCGGCTGCTATGGGCGGGTTTGCAAAGGTTAAGGCCCAGGATCCTGGGGTGCAGCCGGCGGTCAACAGGCCGATGCACACATCCGCTATGCATGTAGGCAAGGCACTGCTGCTATCTGCACCAAAGCAAACACAGCAGTCGCCGACGGATGGTGATGACGAGGTCAGGGTTGTGCAGTTGACAGCGGCAGATGCGGCCACAGTACGGCGCAAGCAGTCGTCGATGGACGCCTGGCTGTCCAAAGTCCAAGGCGATGGGCAACTCGGGGACACTGACTGGGGGCAAGGCGACGCTAGCAAAGAAAGAGCCCAAGAAGAGCGGGGGCAAGGCAGGCGGCGGGCTGCTGAGCATGATGAAGAGCAGCTTTGCCAGTGAGCGCAAGAGCCTGATGCTCAGCAGCACCCGCAGTCGCCAGGCAGCGTCGGTAGTGCCGAAGCAGCACGTCAAGGCGCCGAGATCCATGTCCACGGTTCCAGTCAGCAAGTGGGACAGTCGGCGCAATATGGATGCGGAGGAAGAGGATGATGGTGCGCCCCTTGCCCGAGCTCGTTGTGCGCAATGCGTCCAAGGAAGCACTACAGGAGCTCGAGCTGGCCAAGTCACGCAAGGTGACAAGCTCTGGCAGCACCATGCAGTCCAGGAGCAGCAGCCATGTAGTGCCTGGCGACAGCGATACTGACAGCTCTGACGACGACAAGGACAATGAGGAGAGCGGCGGCCTGGCCGGGTTGCTGAAGATTCACCGCACACCCACCAAGGCACCGGAGCGTCGACCGATCAAGTTCATCTCACTGGTCGACGGCCTGGGAGTGTCTGGTGGCAGTGGCCGGCCTGGGTCGATATTCTTCGATGCGCAGGCGCGGCAGCGCGCTATTAGCGAGCAGGAGGCCAAGGAGCGGACTGACGCCGAGCATGAACAGCCTGCACAAGAAGCTGCTGGCGTGGAAATACGAAGATTCAGGGGATATGCCGCCGGATGCACGCACGACGACATACAAAACAATCCCCGACACATTCACCGACTGCGACAGCTACGCAGGGGTGTTTGAGCCACTGCTGCTGCTCGAATGCTGGGCACAGTTCCAGCGGGCCAAGGAGGAGACGGCAGCGAGCGAGCCCAGCGAAGCCACCCTGCAGTCACGGATGTGCGTGGATGAGTTCCAGGACATTACGTTCGAGATGGCCATTGCCGACATGGATGACGTGGCAGACCATGATGTGCTGGTGCTGACAGAGAGCATGTCGCGCGAGAAGCGCTACGCCAAGGGGATCACGGCCGTTGGTCTGAGCGGGCAGATCGGCAGGCAGGGTGACGCAGGCTCGACAGCCAACCCGGCGCTCCTCAACAGGCCCACGATTCTGGGCAAGGTGCAGAGCCGCGTGTTTGGCCGCGACAACGTGCAGGTCGTGGTGCGTGTGTTTATGCAGGGGGTGCGGCTGGCGCAGTTCCTCAACAAGCTCGTGCTCAAGTCGGTGTGGGTGTTCATTAAGCTCTACGGTCTGACACCCATGCATCGCGAATACGCGGCGCTGCGCTCTCTGCCATACCTGGACAGGCAGCTGGTGCAGGAGATTCTGGTCCCGCGGCCCGTCAGGCACCAGATGCTGGGCAAGCTGGACGTCGAAAAGTGCATGCGGATGCACGCGCTGAACCAGCCGCAGGCAGAGGCCGTTGTGGCGGCTGTGAACCGCAGCAACGGGTTTACGCTGATTCAGGGACCGCCAGGGACTGGAAAGACAAAGACCATCCTGGGGCTTGCGGGCGCGTTGATCTCGCAGGCAAAGAAGCAGCTGTCTGACGACTACAAGCCGTATACGCCCGCGGGACCCGATGCTGAAGCACCGCCGACGGCGAAGAAGAACAACAAGCTGCTGATCTGTGCGCCCAGCAATGCTGCAGTGGACGAAATCGTCAAGCGCCTAAAGCAAGGGATCCGTGACGATACCGGCAAGACGTTCTTCCCAAGTGTCGTGCGTGTCGGCATGTCTGACAGCGTCAGCAGCACTGTGCGCGACACCACACTGGACTTTTTGCTCGACAAGGCTCTGAACTCGTACGGAGGCGTCAATGGCACGAAGGGGACCGCTGGAGACGAGAATGACATAAGCGCAGCCCAAGACGCTCTGCTCACCTCCGTTTCTGGCCACCGCGGCAGCGACGGCAGGGTCGTTGATATGGCGGCTCGGGCCAAAGTCGCTCGTGCATCAGCCGTCGAGACCCAGCGGTCGCTGCGCAAACGGCTTGACGACGTCAACGTGAGGCGGCGCGAGCTGGATCAGCGCATGCAGACCATCGACCCGTCCAACATGGCCGAGATGCGCGAGTTCCGCCAGAAGTTTGGCAAGCTGAACGAGGAGAAGAAGCGTGTCTGCGCACAGCTGGACTCGGAGCGCGAGCGCGGGCGCGAGGCAGCGCGTACGATTGACTCAACCAAGCACAAGATCCGGCTGCAGATCCTGCAGACCACCGACATCCTGTGCTGCACGCTGAGCGGCTCTGGCCACGACATGATGGCCAGCATCCAGTGCTCCTTCGACACCTGTCATTATCGACGAGGCTGCGCAGAGCGTCGAGCTGGCGTGCCTGATCCCGCTCAAGTACGGCTGCCAGCGGTGCATTCCTGGTCGGAGATCCGAACCAGCTGCCACCGACGGTACTGTCGCAGGCTGCGATGCAGCACATGTACAACCAGAGCATGTTTGTCAGGATCCAGAAGAACAGCCCCGAGTCGGTCAATCTGCTCAGCATCCAGTACCGCATGCACCCCGAGATCTCGCGGTTCCCGTCCATGCTCTTCTACGACTCCAAGCTCAAGGACGGTCCTGGGATGGCTAAGAAGCAGACTGCGCCGTGGCACGCCAGCCGCTTCTTCCCGCCATTCTGCTTCTTCAATATCCGCGAGGGTAAGGAGGAGTCGGGCAAGTCGCACTCGGTGTTCAACATGGCCGAGGCGCGCGCTGCAGTGCAGCTTGGTGCAGCACCTGTGCATCAGCTTCCCAAGCCTTCCGATGAAGCAGACGATTGGCGTCATCACGCCGTACAAGCAGCAGAAGAGCACGCTGGTGCGCCAATTCCAGAGCTGCTTCGGCCAGGCTGTCACCGACGCCATCGAGTTCAACACTGTCGATGGGTTCCAAGGCCAGGAGAAGGACATTATCATCTTCTCGTGTGTGCGTGCTGGTGGCTCGGGCGTCGGATTCCTGGCTGACGAGCGGCGCATGAACGTCGGGCTGACCCGTGCGCGCAAGTCGATGTTTGTGCTGGGTAATTCCGATCTGCTGGTGGTCAGTCCGCTGTGGAGGAAGCTGATTGACGACGCCAAGCAGCGCAGCCTGCTCTTGGACTGCAAGCTGCCACTGTTTGGCCGGTATCTTGGAAATGCAGCCACCTGCGACAATCTGACCAGGGATCCCAAGGACGCAATGGATACTGCGGCTGATGGCGAAGGCGACCGGGCAGAATTCATCCTGGAGGCGTTTAACGATTCCGAGCTGAAGCGCGCCAACGCAGCCGCAGCCACTCCAGCGGTTCCCGCAGTCAAACAGATAGCAGCCCAGCACAGATCATCACTCGAGCCCAGCTGCAGACAGGGAGACCAAGCCATCTGCGCTGGCGTCACTGGTAGCATCTGCAAAGCGCGATGCCAGCCAGCCCGTGGCTGGCCAAGCAGTTGCCTGCAAGCAGCAACGGCCGACAGCACCGGCGCCAATGCCTGCAGCGCGCCCGCAAGTGCACCCAGGCACCGGCGATAGCTATTCCTGTCGGCGGGCATCGCCCAGTTGCTCCACCGGCAGCCCAAGCGGCCTCCCCTGTCAGCTGCGACACGGGAGCGGCAGCGCTCCAGCCTGTTTATTCCCAAGAAGCGCGGCGGAGGGGCTCACCGCCCCGGTGCACGCCCACCGCCCACGCAGCACGATGTGGTCCAGCCAATGTCGCCGCCAGTCCAGCCGCCTGCCGGCGCTCGTCCTATTATGAGTCCTCCTGCCGCATATTGAAGCCCGCGCCTTGTCGCCTCCAAAGCGGACTCCGCCACCTCCGCCGCCCAAGAAACAGCCGACTGTCATTACGGTTGCCGAGCGCGGAAATCCTAAGGGTAGGGAGCCAGGGAAGCCACAGAGAGGCCGTAGCAGGAGCCCGAGGCGGAGCCACAGCCGGAACAGAAGCAGGGAGCGGAGCAGAGACAGGAGCCGCAGTGATCGCCACCACCATCGCAGCAGCAGCCGCGACAGCCGCAGCAGCCGCGACAGCCGGAAGGACAAGAAGCACAAGGATGGTACAAAGCATGGGAGCTCCAAGCGTCGCCGCAAGGGCGGGCTGTTCCGGCCTAGCATTTACGAGGAGGAGCCAGCGAGAAAGCGCTCGAAGGGCAGCGATAACAGCCGCGAGGATATGATTTCGGAAATGTTCTCAAGGTAGCCTTTTCATTTGACCATGCATATCATCATAGCGTGAAACGTGTTTGTTCGACGGTCTGCGGGAGGATGCTGTTGCATACTCCGATGCAGCCGTCCCTGGCGTCAGCATGGCAGCCGACTCTGTGGATAGTAAATCAAATGTCCAACGAGAGCCCTGCTCCAGGCTCCTCAGAGTTGAAGAGTTGTAGTCTTTGGCGCGCCGCATAGGTGGCTGCGTCAAAGGTATGATGTATCTATGGCAGCTCGCTTGCTGGCTGCCAATTCGGAATCGTTTGGGCTCGCTAGTCGTCGGCTCAGCTCCGTAGCAAGCCAAACAAACACAAGGATAGCCTATATTTCATATTGCAGCAGCACTATTAGGGATATAGCACCAATACTGGCAGCGAGGACAGAAATCTGGAAGTCCAGGCAGAACATGGTTGTCAATGAGCGAAGTTGATGCAGACTCTTCATCCCTAGTGAGGTTTGTTGTTTCAAGGGCTCTTGGGAAAGACATAATAAAATCGCCATATACAGCTGCTAAAGGAAAAACAGCATGATGAAACAAGCACTCCGGTTCTATGTAATAAGCAGTGCGCTGCTGCTAGTTCACCAGAATAGCGTGAAATGTTCCTTGATCGGTGATCCCAGTTCCGGGGACCAGCGCCATCCCCACAATGGAAGGTGGCTGCGCTAATAAGCATGGCATTCATAGTCATCAGCGAAAAAAGCGCGTACGTCATCACTCCACTTTTGTTCTTCAAGCCACCCTCTTTTCACCAACTATACAATGACAGACACCAGCACTCTGCTAGTCGACAAGCATGTGCAGTACATCCAGAGCCTAGACAAAAAGCAAGACAGCCTCGAGTACTGGATGAGCGAGCACCTGCGCGTCAGCGGCATCTACTGGGGACTGGTAGCGCTGGAGCTAATGGGCCGCGCCCCAGCCTTCGACAAGGACGCAGTGGTCGCGTACGTCCTGACGTGCCAGAACGCCGACGGGGGCTTCGGCGGCCACACCAGCCACGACTCGCACCTTCTGTACACAATGAGCGCAGTGCAAATCCTGGCCATGTACGATGCGCTGGACCAGATCTCCGCCGACAAGGTGGTGCAACTACGTTGTTGGGCTGCAGGACAAAGAGACCGGGGAGGTGAGCGGCGACAGGATGGGGCGAGAAGGACACCCGGTTCGCGTTCATCTCGCTGGCAATCCTCAGCTTCTTCCAATGCCGTGGACAGGATAAAGGTGGGGCCGATTGTCGAGTACGTGAGCAGGTCGATGAACTACGACGGCGGGTTTGGCAGTGGGCCCGGCGGCGAGTCGCATGCGGCCCAGGTGTTCACGTCGCTGGCGTGCCTGGCCATTGCTGGCCGGCTGGATGTGGTTGATAGGGAGAGGACTGTCAAAGTGGCTGGCCGAGCGCCAGCTGAAGTGTGGCGGGCTGAACGGCCGCCCGCAGAAGCTCGAGGACGTCTGCTACTCGTGGTGGGCCGATGTCGTCGCTCAAGATCCTGGGCAGGGTGGACTGGATCGACAAGGACAGGCTTGCCTGAGTTTATTCTGTCGGCGCAGGACCCCGATAACGGCGGGATTGCCGACCGCCCGGGCGACGTCGCCGACGTCTACCACACGTGCTTTGGCATTGCCGGTCTGTCGCTGATTGGGTTCCAGGGATATGGACTCGAGGATGTGGACCCTGTGTACTGCATGCCAGTCAAGGTCATTGAGCGCATGGGGCTACGATTACATGGAGGGGCCGCCTGCCCGTCGAGTGGAAGCAATGATGCTGGTTCACGATCGAGTGATTCTGCAAGAGTTATTAATAAAAAGTTTAGAACGGAAAAAGCAAGGGCAAGAGGAAGGAAGAAAAGAACATAGGAAATAGGCGGCTGGAACCCCCCGCCAGAGGCAGCGGGCAGCTTATTAGCGAGTCCACTTCTCGGCCTTGCCCGCCCACGGCGAGACATAGTCAAAGTCGGAGAACTCCTTCTGGTCGTCGCCCTTGATGATGGTGTTGGACGGCGACAGGCCGGGCTTCTCGCTGGTGAACTCGGGGTCAAAGTTGGAGGTATCGTAGCGGTTGCGGATATCAGGTACATACAGCGGCGCAATGCGCTTGTTCAGCACGTCGTCCCAGTTGACGCCCTTGAAGAACGAGTGCTTCTTGATCTCCTCGGCGTCGGTCGGGCCCGAGCCCAGGCGCTTCGACGGCTCCTTCTCCAGCAGCGCCTGGCAGATGAACACCGAGTCGCGCGACATCTTGACCGGATACAGGATCTCGTCTTCGAGAATCGAGTCAAAGATCTCCTCCTCGTCCTCGCCGTGGAACGGCGACGTGCCCAGAATCATCTCGTAGATCAGCACCCCAAACGCCCACCAGTCGACCGCGCGGCCGTAGCGCTGCTCCAGCACAATCTCGGGCGCCATGAACTCGGGGGTGCCGCAGAAGGTCATTGTGGTCTGCCCGTAGCCCATGTTCTCCTTGCACAAGTCCCGTAGTCGGCAATCTTGATGTGGCCCTCGTGGTCCAGCATGATGTTGTCGAGCTTCAGGTCGCGGTAGATGATGTTTGCCTGGTGGAAGTACGCCAGCGCAAGCAGGATCTCGCACGCAAAGAACTTGGCCCGGCGCTCGCCGAAGCTGCCCAGCTTCTGCACGTGCATCATCAGGTCTCCTCCCGAGATGTACTCCATGGTGAAGAAGATCTGGTTCGGCGTCTGGAAGCACGAGTGCAGCCCGATCAGGAACGGGTGCCGCTCCTTGTTGGCAATCAGCAGCACACGCTTCTCGGAGCGGGTGCTCTCAAACTCGTCGTTCTCGACAATAAACTCCTTCTTGAGCACCTTGATTGCATACAGCTTGCCGGTGGCCTTCTCCTCGGACAGCATGACCTTACCAAAGTTGCCCTTGCCAAGCACCTTCAGCAGCGAGAAGTCGCTGATGCCCACCGGGCGCTGCACCGCCTGCTGCTCGGCCTGCTGCGCCTGCTTGGGCGCCGGCTGCTTCTGCATGGCCATGCGGATCTGCTGCTTCTCGTCGCTGGAGATGTCAGCGCGCTGGACTGGGGGCTGGGCTTGAGGACGAGCCTGGAGCGCCGGCGGGACCGCGCCTTGCATATCATACATGTTCTGGCGGCCCTGGGGCTGCTGCGGCTGCTGCGAAATCGGCTGCTGGTACTGGGGAATGCGCTGCTGTTGCTGCTGCATCTGCTGCATCTGCTGCTGCTTCATCCGCTGCTGCATGTCTAGCTGCTGCTGCTGCCTGTTGCTGAGGCTGCGGGATCGGCTGCTGGTAGCGCTGGCTGCCATGCTGATCCAGCTGCTGCTGGTACTGTGACATACGCTGCTGGTGCTGTTGCTGCTGCAGCATCTGCTGCTGCTGCTGCTGCTGCTGCTGAGGAGACCCAGGGTTGCTAGCCTGGGTGCTGGTGATGATACTGCTGCGAAATATTCATCTGCTGCATCTGCTGCTGGTAGTAGCTCGGCGCCTGAGCAGCCGGACCACTGGGCTGCTTGGGCGGCACTGGTGGCGGCTGCTGGTTGCCAAAGTACGACGGCTTCGTCGGCGACTTGATCGGGATGAACTCGCTGGATCCAGCCCGCTGATGGCTCGGCTGCGCAATATTGAGCTGCGCCGGGCGAGGACCCTGGCTGCCCGGCTGCTGGTGCTGGTGCTGGTGCTGGTGCTGCTGCGGGAGAGCAGGCACTGGCGGCACATTGGCCGACGGGCCCTGCATCTGCGCCAGCCTGCCCGTCAGCGCATCCACCGACTCGGCATCATGGGCCTTCTTTGCAATGGTGTCGCGCTTGGCAACCAGCTTGGGCTTGGCCACAGCCTTGCCCTTCATCCGCTTGACCTCCTGCACCATCTCGCTGGCCCGCATCATGTCGAGACCACAGAAATGCGGCACACAGGCCATGCACCCCGAGTGACACGTCTGGCTACACTCGCCGCACTTGAGCGCACGGCGGCCAATGGTCAGCATCATACCGCAGTGACAGCACCAGTTGGCGCCAATGTTGGTCGTCTGCTCCCAGCGATGCGGGATCCGGTGCTTGATGATTTCAGTGGGATCCTCCTCGCCAGGCACAGGCCCCGACAGACAGTGCGTGACCACACGCGGCACACACTTTTCGTGGACAAACAGCTGGCAGTCGTCGCACTGCTGCCCAACGTCGTTGACAATGTGCTCGCTGCACACTGCGCACTTCATGATCGTGTATGTATGCAGCGGGTAGAAGTGGTGCCCGCACATCTCCGTGCAGGGGCCACGGCGCTTGCGCACGGCTGCCTTGCGCCCAAGCCTCGACTGCTGGCGGCGCTTGGGGGTCTCCTTGATAAAGTTGACCCACAGCTCAATCTGGCCCTGCGACTCGACATCCCAGTTGCTCAGGACTCCCGGCCCGGCGTGGCTGCCAGGCATGCCAGGCGAGGCGCCAGGGAACTGCTGCTGGTGCGGCATTTGGGGGTAGCCGCCGCCCTGCTGCATCTGCCCGTATGGAGCCCCGCCGGGACTGGCGCCAGGCGCACTGCCCGCGCCACGGGCCACCTGGTCGGCAGTCGCCCAGCCCTCGGACGACTCGGCAATGATCTCGCGCTTGCGGATATCCTCGTAGATATCAGACAGACGGATCCACAGCAGACCAACCAGATAGTCCTGGTCGCCACGCTCAAAGATGGACAGCTCGACCTCGGATGCCTTCTTGACGTCGACTTCAAAGTAGTGGTTGAACACACCTTCGCGCACAATAGGCGTCATGCCGCGGTTCTTGCCATCGACCTTGACTACAATGAACTGCTGCGCAATGCGGGTATCGCCTGTGCGGATTGGCGCGCGCTTCACGTACATAGCGCGGTTAATGCGAAGCTGCAGCTTGCCCGTAATCGGACGCCGGATCGCAGGCTGGTGGATGAGACCACCTTGATCGTCCTCGTTCAGGGTGTCGTTGTCGTCATCGATGTAGTCAACGTACAGCGACTGGTACATCTTGAGAGAGTACTCGAGCAGCCGGATGCGGTCCTCGGCTTCGCGCAGCATCTTCTCCGTGTCGACAATCTGGGCAATCTTGCCCTTGCTGCCGCGCCGGTAATCATCGCTGTACAGAGCCCGGATCCGGTTTGCGTTGTCGCGAATCTTGCGCTCGACCTCGAGCTTGTAGGCAATCTCGTGCACCTTGAGCGAGATCTTTTGGATAGACAGCGTCGATGTCTTGCGCAGGTCCAGCCGCGTCTGAATCATCGACTGCGGCCGCCCGCTTGACGAGCTGCGGGCCACCGACCCGCCCGGTGAAAGGTCGCCGTCTGCCGATCCGCCGCCTACAATGCTCGCAGACAAAACGTCAGTTACAATGATACCTCATGCATATTGAGCCGCTTCGTGCAGAGCAGGCGATTGCTGCTCTCTCCGAAACGAGAGGGGGGGGAGGAAAGAGCATGCCTGAGCTCGCCCCTTTCACACTGCTCGCATTTTTCCAAAGAGTGACGAGGCCACATGTCACTGTGACAATAGTCCATGTTCACATGGGACCGGGCCATGAGCATGCGGAACTTGTCCCCTCTGCTCGCTGGCTCTTCAGCTGTCAAAAAGCGCAAAAGCTCCCCCACAGGGCCCAGTCTGAATACGTTACCTGCGGCGTGGAGGTTGCTGCGGTTCTGCTTCTTCTGAATGAGACGGTCGAGCTCGGCCTGAAGGAAGCTGACACGCCGCTCGGCATCCATTATCATGGTCTCGGCGTTCGCCCGCACTGCCGGATTCGCCAGCTGCGACATGAGCTGCTTGGTCTTGGTCAGCATGTTCTTCTCCTTCTGCAGCTTCTCCTGTGTCTGGCTGATAGCGGTGTCCAGGTCCTACAGCAAACGCGAATTGCGCCAGAGAGAGATGGCCTCATGAATTCACACCCTGTCAAGCTGGCACTCCTCTGCAAGTATGGAAGGCCATTCTGTCTGCCCACAGGCGCGGGGAGGGAGAACAGCATCCTTCTGCGCACCCAGGCTGTCGGGGGCCAGCAGATTGCAGCCAGTCTGCGTAATAACTTCGCAGCAAAGAGGTGTCTGGTTTTGAAAAAGTCGGCGCGCGAAACTTACCCCAGCGTGGCCTGACATACTGGACGCCTGCATGGTCGTAGTGGCTATTCCCTTTGGGTGGAGTAACAAGTATTGAAGGAAAGTGGAAACAAAGAGGAAACAAGCTTGAACTAAAAAAAACGGGAAATTTAAAAGCGAGCTGGAAAGAGGATGTTGTTTTGAGAAAATCGATGCTTGCTGCACGTCAGAAAGCGCAATAAAATTCTCAAAGTGATGGTATCATCCTGCAGTCTTTTTTTCCAGATTCGTTACACACACCCTCGCCTTTTTCGCGCCTGCTGCCAGAGCCAATAGCTGGGCGCCTGTCCAGACCTTTGCCTTCGCAAATGCCACTCTTGAGCACGGTGCTTGCCTGGCGAATCCTCAAACGGTGTTCTAGAAAGACATGTTAAAGCACAGAAAATAAGACGGTCTATGTATAAAATTCGCTTTTTAAAAGTACTACAAACTAGTCATCCTTATGCATATACCAGTCGATTGCTGCCGAGAAGGCCGCAAAGCCCGCGCATCCAGCCGCCATGCCCTTCGGACCCGTCCTGGCTGCCAGCGTGCCGCCCGTCACGCATCCAGCCGCAATGCTGTTGTAGATGTCGTTGCGCGCCCGGTAGCTCTCGATCATGCACTCGGACCCCGAGTAGATGGCGGCCATTACTGCAAAGTTCTTGGCTGACGAGTAGCTCTTGGCACCCATGTCCTTGAACACCTGTTTGATCTGCTGTTTTGTTGTTGCCGATGTGTCTACTGGCGACGAGAACTCGATTCCAGACAGAACCAGCCCGAACACCGCTCCGATACCGAAACCGGCGATACCGCTGAACCCGGCTTTGAATGCACACGAATCGGTTACCTTGGCCGCCGCCGCCCGCTCGTCCATTGACGGTGTCCGTGTGAAGGGGTTGTCCATTGTGCGAATTAGGGTGTATGAAGGGAACGGTACAGAGGAGCTGTCTTGAAAAGCAATGAGCCAAGCGCGCCGAAAAACTAAAAGCGGATCGCTGCGAGATATGCTCACAGTAACAAAAAAAAAAGCATATTGGCAAGGATCCGAGTGTGCCTTTTTACTAACCCACCGATCGGGTGATGGATTACGAGATCGATGATCATGATCATCGCTTTTTATCGTGTGCCAGATCGCAATCGATTTATCCACATGAAGCCAGCGACGATCCTGCTATTGTCGCTCGTTCCGAGCATCGCATATGACAGCATCCTTGATCCACGCGCGCTCCGGCTGGGAAGATGCGCACCTGCCTTTGCAGAACCGCTCGCCACTGCCGTTGGGGATAAAGAGGGACAGAAAGGCGGTTCGGAGGCAAGCTCATGTCCGGGAATCGAGGATCGAGCGAGCTGGGCTGCTGCCCAAGATAAAAACCATTACCCTGCTGCTCTCTGCGCGCAGACCAACCACTACACACAGACCAAATGGACATAGCTCACCTGACAGTGGGTGGTACATGTACTGTCGCCCTATCTCTTTCGGCACAAAGATACACTGTGTTGAGTGCGAATGGTGCCAAAAGCATCCATTGACTCCACCAAGCAGTCATGGAATAGGCTGGCGCATGTGAAAAACACAAGGGGAGCGAAACAGCTCATGCTAAACCGTCCGGAGTTCATTAGGCCAACCCCAGTCCAAGGGTAGCTTCCCTTGACACCGCCCCGCCGCCCCCTCCCCAACTCTCCACCGACCGGCGCACAGATCGCCCGAGATTGCTTCTGCTCGCAAGAGGATGTGGCCGGATGATGGCTTTGGGCGGACTCTGATTCGATAATAAGCCCAGCACACACGAGCAGAAACGGCGGATTGCTTGTTCATTCTGGCTGCTTTCAGATGTCCGCCAGAGCAGCACCCAGCAGTCTTTGCCTGGGGAAAAAATTGCGGTCAGAGTCAGATGAGGGCCAGCAGAAGTGAATCCATCCGCACGTGGATGCACACGCCGCCGCAACCTCTACCGCCTATAAGACGCTAGTGTACGCGGGGTAGATAACCGCTTAAAGGGCAGCAGTAGCACATACCGCACCTCCCCTTCCTTCGCCTTCCTAGCAATACTTTTTTTACCACTACCTGTACCTTATCTACTTTTTTACACACCCAGCGGCACATCATCAAATCACAATGTGGCGCCAGCACACCGCAAGGCAAGTAGCAAAGTTCGGAGCCGCCACTGCAGCGACGGCCGGCGTGGCGTACGCGGGCTACGCGTACTACCAGCGCAAGACTGGCCGCACACCCACGGTCGCCAGCCTGTATCCGCAATCCCTGATCAACTACGCCGACCCCCTGCAGACGCCGACCCCGCCGGGTAAGCGGCCACACGCCTTCTGGACGCCGCCCAAGCGCCAGGACATGATCAACGACCTCAAGGGCCTGCAGCGGGACGGCACCGACACCAAGACAGCGAGCGAAAAGGAATTTGATCTGCTTGTGATCGGCGGCGGAGCCACGGGTGCGGGCTGCACCCTGGATGCAGCCACACGTGGGCTGAAGGTGGCCATGGTCGAGCGTGACGATTTCGCAGCCGGCACATCGAGCAAATCCACCAAGCTGGTGCATGGCGGCGTGCGTTACCTGCAGAAGGCCATTATGGGGCTCGACTATGAGCAGTGGAAGATGGTGCGCGAGGCCCTGCACGAGCGCAAGACGTTCCTGAACATTGCGCCGTATCTGAGCCACGAGCTGCCGATTCTGCTGCCGGTCTACACATGGTGGCAGCTGCCGTACTTCTGGATCGGCTGCAAGATGTACGATCTCCTGGCGGGCAAGCAGGGCATCTCGACCAGCTACATCATGGGCCGCGGCAAGACCCTCGAGAGCTTCCCGATGCTTCGCTCCGAGGGCCTAGTTGGCTCGCTGGTGTACTTTGACGGCCAGCACAACGATGCCCGCATGAACGCCGCACTGGCTGTCACTGCCGCCGCCCACGGCGCCGTGGTTGCCAACCATGTCGAGGTCACATCGCTGATCAAGGGCCCCAACGAGGAGGGGAAGGAGGTCGTCAAGGGCGCCATGCTGCGCGACAATGAGACCGGAGAGGAGTGGTCCGTGCGGGCCAAGGGCGTGATCAATGCCACCGGTCCCTTCTCTGACGCCATTCTGAAGATGGACGAGCCGCAGATGGCCGACATTGTCGCGCCCAGCTCCGGTGTGCACCTGGTGCTGCCGTCGTACTTTAGCCCCAAGAACATGGGCATGCTGGATCCGGCGACCACCGACGGTCGCGTCGTGTTCTTTTTGCCCTGGGAGGGCGGCGTCGTTGCCGGTACTACCGACACGCTGTGCAATGTCGAGGCCGACCCGAAGCCCTCGGAGAAGGAGATCGAGTGGATCCTTTCCGAGATCCGCCGCTTCCTGTCGCCCGACGTCAAGATCCGCCGCGGCGATGTCCTGTCGGCATGGTCGGGAATCCGCCCGCTGGTGCGTGACCCCAAGGCCCAGAACACCAAGGACCTGGTGCGCAACCACATGATCCACACCTCCGACTCTGGCCTGATCACGATTGCCGGTGGCAAGTGGACCACATACCGCGAGATGGCCAAGGAGACCATCGACCAGGCCATCGACGCGTTCAAGCTCCAGCCGCTGCGCGACTGCCAGACCGAGTCAGTCCGTCTGATCGGCTCGCACGCCTGGTCCGACACCATGTTTCATCAAGCTGGTGCAGAACTTTGGCGTCGACCTGGAAGTCGCCAAGCATCTGTCTCACAACTACGGTGACCGCGCCTGGGCCGTCTGTGCCATGGCCGACCGCACCAGCGAGCAGTACCCGTCTGTCGGCAACCGCCTGCATCCCGCTCTACCCGTTCATTGACGCCGAAGGTCCGCTACGCCGTACAGTACGAGTACGCCCTGTCTGCCGTCGACGTGATTGCGCGCCGCCTGCGCCTTGCGTTCCTCGATGCCCAGGCCGCCCGCGACTCTCTGCCCAAGGTCATTGACATCATGGCTGGCGAGCTGCACTGGGACGACAAGCGCAAGAAGGCTGAGCACCGCAAGGCACTCGAGTACCTGACCACCATGGGTCTGCCTGACTCGATCCTGGACGAGCCTGCCAACGTCGCCAGCGACAAGAAGGGTTATCTGAACATTAAGACCACTGGCGATTTGAACTTCCTTGATGCCGCTTCGTACTATCGTCGCGGCGTGTTCTCGGCCGAGGAGATTGGTGCCTTCCTGTCTGCCTTTGCTGAGTTTGATGTCCATGGCGACGGTCATATTGAGGTCAAGGATATCAAGCCGCTGTTTGACTCAATCAAGGTACCGCTTCCCCAGGGCGACATTGACGAGTACCTGAGGGCTGCCAACGTCGATTACTCGAGCCCGGCAAACACCATCGAGTTTGAGCAGATCTTTGACGTGCTGGGTCAGATCAAGGAGGCCATCAACTCCAAGGGCCGTGCTCCCACTGGCGAGCTCAAGCTCAACCAGATCCCGACCCACCGCAGCGGCGGTGGTGTCTAACCATATTGAGATTATTCTTTTTTCGTTCATTAGCTTCGTTTCATTTTCGTCAATTTATACAGCTACTTGGTTAGACTATTGATGGGATGCGTGCCTACTGGCGACGTGATATCAACTGACAACAAAAATAGCTCCAGCACTGAGTCAATGGAGACATCGAGGCGGAGACATGGTCACACCAACCACAGCTTGCTGCCCTGGTTTCCTTGTCGCACAAGATCTATGCTCACTGCGAAACCTTCAGGAAGGCCAACGCGCGGTGCTCGTAGTGTCTCATTATCAAAATTGACATGCCTGCACAGCTTTGGTGTCCCATGCCATAGCATAAACTGGTCCTTCTGTTTTCCAGGGCTGCATGTCGGTCTGTCATGACAATATATGCAGTTATTGAGGCCTCAACTCTGTTGGTACATTTAAACACTGACTTTCTCACGGCTGGAAAAAACGAAACATGGGGCGTCGGCCAGGTTCACCTGTCATATCCGTATCGGCCTTGGCCTCGCGTGATAAATCCTTGACCCAGCGCAAAAATCCACGGAACCCCTTAATGTTTCGGTACACCTCGGGGCTCGATGGCAGCGGCCGGTTTCCAAACGCGCGCAGAGTGGCAGGCGAACGCCTGGGTCTGGCCACTGGCACCACCGGCGCTATCGGCGCCACAGACGCCAGTGTCGCCGTGTCCCAGCCACTATCATCGTGTGCTGTTGATATTCTCTCAAGGTTCATCGTATGCGAATGAAGGAAAGCCTGCATGGTCAGCTTCAGGAAAAGAGGTAAGCAAAATAAGGAATTTTGGTAATAAGGTGAAGAACAGAGGAAAAAGCGTGTGGCGTCCCTATCCTGTATCCCGACAACACTCTGTGCTTTTCTGCTTTTGGCCAGAGTGATCATCAGTGGCGATCACTAGTAATGCTGCTGATGTCGTGGATATTCATTTCCAAGGCTGCTGGAGGCACTCAGTTGTTTCAAAGAGTTTATTGTCTTTCGTTGGTATCCAACCAAAGTGGCATAAAGGTGGCCATTTCAGATAGTCTCGTTGCCAGAGATTCATCCCTTTTCCTCTCTTTTTTAATAATGGTTGATAGCCACTTCAATTTTTTGTCAGCCGATGGCTCCCGTGTCGATGGTAGGCTGGGAGACTGAGCAGGTACGGAGATGCGTTGCGTGAGTACAGGCAGCTTTGGTTTTTGGGTTAGCCTAGCGCTCCTGCGAAGCGACCCTGGCTGAATACGCCCACAGCTGTTGTTGCTGCGCATCATTTTACAAAAGAGAACAAATGAAGAATTGCAAAAAATGAAATAGAGTAGGCTGAGTGGGAAATGACTGGCTGCTCATTGAAACCTGTGCAGCTCATCGCCTAACCTTGTTCCATATTAACAAGCAGCCTAAACCAGGGGAACCATATCTGGCTCTTGAGCCAATGCAAGAAATGCGGTAACATGCCGCAGCCCTCCATGGCCTGGCTGTGTGTGTGGGGTCTTTCGCGATCTATCAATGCTAGCATATGCACAGGTATGCTCTTCTACCCTAAATCTTATAGGCCATTTGTATTGCATCCTGCTTTGGAAAGTACATTTGTGAACACATGTGGTACGTCTCGTGGTGTCCATGTATTATCGATGATGTCATATCTGCATGGCGTTGGTGTCCCATGCCGCAGCATAAATTGGCCCTTCTTTTTTCCAGGGCTACATGTCGGTCTGTCATGATAAGGTATATACAGATATTGAGGTTCTCAACTCTGTTGATACATATAAACACCAACTTCTTCACTGGTGGAAAAAACCAAACACTGTACGTCGGCTAGGGTTACCTGACATATCCGTATCGGCCTTGGCCTCGCGTGACAAATCCTTGAGCCACCGTAAGAACTCGCGGAACCCTTTTATGTTCCGGTACACCTCGGGGCTCGATGGCAGCGGCCGGTTTCCAAACGCGCGCAGAGTGGCAGGCGAACGCCTGGGTCTGGCCACCGGCACCAGTGTCGCTGCATCCCAGTCATCATCGTCGTGCGCTGTTGATATTCTGTCAAGCTCCATCATATGCAAGTGAGGGAAAATGTACAGGGTAGGTTTCAGGAAAGAGATAAACAGAGTAAGGAGTTTTGGAAACAAGGTGAAGAGTAGGGAGGAAAAAAAAGGGAGGTGGTTGAGCCACAAGCCTGCACATGCGCTTGCTTATCTACTCTCTGTTCGTCGCCCATGCGGCTGCATGTTGGTCGGAACACCAGCCCACTTCTTTTTCTAGCATTCTTGCTGCTCATATAAAGAATGCCATGCTCTCTTCCGTGCTCGGCACAAGGTCAGACGACAGAAACAACTCCAACAACCGACAAGAGCAGGGGCGGGCGCGGGTTGGATTGGCATCATGCACCTCGATGCGTCTTTTACGTCGCCGTTCCGACTGTGGATGCACTTCGCACCAGTGGTGCAGCATGAAAACCTGATTACATGCTGGCCTTGCCAATTTCCCACCACTTATCCGCCACACTCAGACTCTGGTTGTGCCGGGCCAATAAGACAATGTGTATGTCGGATGCCACACCACCGGCGGAGCCTCGATCAGTGGTAGTGGCAAGTGCGGTGACGATGCTGAGAAGTGGGACTGACATCAACTATTAATGGTGTCAGACTACTATGAGCCACTGAGGACGCTGCTCACGGATCATTCCCAGCATGGCTCCATATATGTACCCTGAATGGGATCCATCTGCGCAATAATGCGCTGAGGCAAAAAGTACGTCATTGATTATGTATTCCACGAAGATGCTATGTATTGCATGGTGGGGAATGAAAGTAGTGCTATCTGATGCATCCAGCGTTCAATCCACAGGAGCACTGTTGCCAGGCGCAGCTGGAGGTACGGCTGGTATTGTGCCACTACCGAGGGCTGCTATTGGGAGGAGGATCGAGATCTGAGCTCGGCATTCGGCAAAGAGAGCGTCTGACGCAGATTTTCATGCTATCCGCAGTGCATTAATACTCTTCCTTGGCAAGCCCCTGAAGGCCTTGGCAAGTCGAAGGGATGGGCACAGCGAGGGAATTCCGCAAAAGTATCAACCGCGCACATCGTTTTTGCGCCATCGCCACTGGCCATGACGTTTTTGCTAAACCCGTGAGTTGTAAGATAAGCCCAGGTGGCTGCATAAAAAGCGCGCGCCGGCCTTGTTCTATCGAGCAGGTTCCACAGCAAACTCGACACATTATCCTCTTCTCACCCCCTCATCCCGGTTTTAAGCGCCTATTGTTACTACTTCATACACACAAATTCCTAGCAAATGACTTCACTAAGCGGCGCGCAGGTTCTGGCAAAGGCGTTGAAGCAGCAGGGCGTCGAGGTGGTGTTTGGCATTGTCGGAATTCCGGTTGTCGAAGTGGCCGATGCCATCCAGGCCGAAGGCATAAGGTTCATCGCCTTCCGCAACGAGCAGTCATGCAGCTACGCAGCCTCCGCCTGGGGCTTCCTGAACCAGAAGCCGGGCGTCTGCCTAGTCGTGTCGGGCCCGGGTGTTGTGCATGCGCTGGCTGGCGTTGTCAACTCGCAGGTCAACACGTGGCCGCTGGTGTTGATCGGCGGATCCTGCGAGACGATGCTTGAGGGCGCCGGTGCCTTCCAGGAGTGCCTGCAGGTGGAGATGTGCCGGCCATACACAAAGTACTCGGCCCGCCCGCCCACGATCGCTCAGATCCCGTCGACTGTCGAGCGCGCTTTCCGGTATGCGGTCACGGGACGGCCGGCAGCTACGTATGTTGATCTGCCTGCTGATTTCATCCAAGGCACAGCTGAGGAGGCTGCTGTGGTGCGTGTGCGCCAGGTTACGCCGACGTTTGCACAGGCTGATCCAGCGGATGTGCAGAGGGCAGCGGAGATTCTGGCTGAGGCCAAGAGCCCGCTGATCGTGGTTGGCAAGGGCGCGGCATATGCGCGTGCTGAGGCTGAGATCCGGGCTCTGGTCGACAAATACCAGGCGCCATTCCTGCCGACTCCCATGGGCAAGGGAGTGGTCCCAGATGCGCACCCGAGGAATGTGTCTAGCGCGCGCTCCCTGGCCCTGAAGGGAGCCGATGTTGTGATTTTGCTGGGCGCACGGCTGAACTGGATCCTGCATTTCGGACGGCGGTTCAACGAAAACACCAAAATCATCCAAGTAGACATTAGCCCCGAGGAGATGGGTGTCAACGTGCCAGTTGAGGTCGGACTCCAGGGCCATCTGCCGCTAGTAGTCAAGCAACTTACTGATGCGCTGCAGGGGCCGTTTGTGGCTGATCCCGAATCTAGCGAGTTTGTTCGTTCGCTGACAGAGACCACGCGGCGCAACGGCGAAAAGCAGGAGGCCAAGTACCATAGCGATGCGTCGCCAATGACGTACCACCGGGCATTCTACGAGATCAAGCAGAAGCTGCCCAGCGACGTGGTCCTGGTGAGCGAGGGCGCCAACACAATGGATATTGCCCGCACCGTGTATGATTTCCAGGAGCCGCGGCGCCGCCTGGACTGCGCGACCTTTGCCAACATGGGCGTGGGCATGGGCTTCGCCATTGCCGCACAATTGCACTACCCGGAGCAGCGCGTGGTGGCCATTGTCGGCGACTCGGCGTTTGGCTTCAGCGCCATGGAGCTGGAGACCGCCGTGCGCTCGCGGCTGCCGCTGGTTGTCATTGTGATCAACAATAATGGCATCTATTTTGGCCTCGACCAGGACGAATACGACGAGCTCGAGAAGAAGGGCTTGCTGCCGTGCACGGCGCTGACGCCCGATGTGCGCTATGAGATGATTGCCGAGGCTGTTGGCGCCAGGGGCGTGCTGGTCAAAACGCCTGAGGACCTGGGCAAGGCTGTCGAGCAGGCGCTAGAGTCGGATGGCCTGACGCTGATTAACTGCCTGATCAACCCGGGCGGCTACCAGAAGCTGCAGTTTGCGTGGATGGGCAAATAAAGTTTTTTTTTTTCTCTAAACTATCTTTATCTTTACTTCTTCACATCTTTACCTATATATAAGATTTTATAGTCTAAAAAGTGTCCAGTCGTCCTCTGGAACCATTTTATTAGTTAAAAGATAAAACTCTTTTAACCTTCAGCACGAGTTTGGGTGACTTGCTCCGTAAACTCCTTTTTGATCTTGTGCGGCATCTGACCTCATCGGTGAAATCAGGGTGACAAGTTGTTATTGTAGTGGTCACAGGTCTTCACTAGATATCTCCATTGATTCAGCGCAAGAGCTGCTCTCATTGTCGGTCGGCCTGATAACTTCCATAGCATCATCATGGTGGTCATCACCGGCTGCGCAACGCTCTTAGGATATTTATTTATGAGCACCTATTGAATAAGGCCATATAGCTCTTCTAGCGGCCATGCAATATTTGTACACCTGCACAGAAGCTCCGCCAGGTAGTTGCCTCTAGGCACCCTGATCTCAGTGTGCTCACCTCACCGATGCTTGCAATCTACAATAAGCTGGTACCAGTCCTTAATGCCTATGATGCCAAGGCAAATCCACTTAAGCATCTGCGTGCATACATTCGCCTATGCCAACTTATCGACGTGCCAACCCATGCTGACTAGCAGCCGAGCTTGCATTGCAAGCAGAGTAATTCTAGTATTCAACAACCTAGTTCTGACAGACAGCCACAATGGCCACACTAAGAAAGTGCCAGCTATCCCCACTAATGGCTGGAATCGCCATACAACCGTTGACCTTCGTCTTGCTGTTGACATATCGCCATAGATACACTTAGTGGGCTTTCACCGCGGCTGCACTCCCAACATGGGACTATGGCTTGCCTTGACGGGTTCGTAGAGAACAGTTCTTCCTCTCTTCCTTTCCACTATTAGACTAGATAAAATTGTAATAGCGTTTGTCCTCATGTGCGGTTTTCTCTGTGGGTTTGTGGATACGCCGCGGAATACGACTACACCTCTGCCAGAATTCAATGCAATCTTGCTAGAGTTGGGCATTGTTTGGAAACCCCTTTTTAGCAGATGTGGGGATCCCACGCAGTGTGGTAGTGTCAATGGTGGCATACCTTGCTTCTTCTCGCTATTGATACACCTGTGATATGTGGAATCCTCAAGTCCGTACAGCGGAGCTAACCGAATCTTGTTTAGCTTCAGTAAGATCGCATCATGGTGTGATACAGATACATCTCTGTCCCATGGCATATCTGTAAACAACAGAACAAACTATACATGAGGGTGAGGTATTCCAAATTCAATTACCAAACGAATGATAAAGCAGAAATATCGTCGATGTTCCCGCTGGCACTATACTCTTAACACCTGTACCACCACCGCCGCTCTACCCACTGCTACTGTTCAACAGATCCAGCACTCATATTGACCACGGCTCTCATTCCTCAACGCTCTTGTCTAATCAGCCACGAAATAAAAATAATCGAAGCTGCCACTGCCCTCAGCATCGGTAGTCAATGCACATAGGTGGTATTACACGTGACCTGATTTTCGTCAATGCTCTCTAATTTGCACCTGACCAGCATTAAATTTTCCATTCCTTCATTTCTGTCAAACTCTCCCCGTTTAAACCCCGGACATGTGAAAATGTCTCTTCAATCCGTCACCGAAGAAACTCCCCGACGCTTTATTCACTTTCCTCTCCTTCCCAGCTTTTCTCCACCAACAGTCGATTCCGTCAGTATTTTATTGTAATTTTATTTTACACTTGAGCTACTCTATCCTTCATTACTCTACTCTGTACTAATGGCGAACAGCATGAAGCAGCAGTCCCTGCCAGGTCATTCTGAGACCAGGGCAGTAGTTGCGCTGGCAGGGTCGCTACTGCTTCCTATTCCGTTCCTCACCACGCTCAATCGGTGTAAGTTTTCGTGGCTACGCTTTGACCATTGGAGGGCGCAGAGTGACTATGTTCTATGCCGCTAACATCACACCCATTGTTTTTATCCGCTTTTTTGTAGATTCGCTGCAGTATCCTCTGGATCGACTGCACTACGTATTGTTTCAATGCCTGTTTTTCTCGGTGCTGCCGTTCATTATTCGGACTGTTGGCGAGCAGCCGGATTTCACGCAAAAGTTTCAGGTCGCAAACAAGCCAAAGAAGGCAGAGGAAAAGGCTACCACTGACGCAGCAATAGTCACCATGCCAAAGACCCGTGCTGGTGGAAAGTCGCACCCATATATTGCAAAGTGCGCCGAGCTCGAAAAGACGTTCATGGACATGGCCAGACAAGGCGAGTCCGGCGGCGACAGCCCGTGGGAGACGCTTGCGTCACAGGGCGCGCCGTACCACATCACGGTGCAGGGCCACCGGGACCGGCCCTTCTGCTTCCGCATCACCTTCTTCTCACCCACGCTGCCCGGCACTGCCTTCGACCTGCTCTCGGACGTCCTGCGGCGTCCCGACTGGGATGAGATGACTGAGGCAACGCGGGTTGTCGAGAAGCTGAATGGGGCCGACAGTATCCACTATCTGAAGATGAAGGGCGTGTGGCCGACGGCCGCGCGCGACTCGCTGCTGGTGGCTCATCTGGCGTCAATTCCGGTGGGTGCTGGCGAGAAGCCCGAGTTTGGCTACCTGAATGCCACACAAAGTATTGTGGATGACCGTGTCCCAGAGCGCACGGCCGACGGGATTGTGCGCATGGAGGCAGCGATTGCCGGCCAGCTGGTGACGCTGGCATCCAAGCAGGACCGGGATAGGTTTGGACTACAAGGAGAGCACTGGAGCAAGGTTGTACAGCTGGCCGACGGCGATCTGAAGGGCTGGATTCCAAAGAGCGTGATCAAGTTCATTGCCACCCAGGCCATGCCCCGATCGCTGGCCAAGGTCAACAAACAGCTCGCTATCCTGCCACCGGTGCTCGACTCGCAGCTAATCCGCAGCATCACTGAACCAGCCAAGGCCAGCAACAGCGACAGTGCCATGCAGATCAGCAGCAAGGGCAATGCGCCGCCGGCTGTTGCTGTGTCGCAGCGGAATGCGGGCAGCACTGTGGTCAAGAGCCGCAGAAGCGTGGTGGCATGGATCAAGCTGATCCTGCGGTATGCTGGGCCGGCGATTATTGCGTCGATCACGTCGCTGGTTTTCAACATCCTGTGGAGCCGCCGCCGGAGGTAAATGTTCTTACATAGCATTTGTGACAGCATGGTAATAGACGCCATATCTCGTTATGACAATCCGCCCGGACGGCCTATCTAGCTGACAAAGGCACGGGCTGCTTCTAGATCCTACCGCATTTTTCCAGAGGTCTCCACCAGTCTCGAGACAACTGTAGACTCATGCGCGGCTTGTGATTGGTGGACCATACTTGATTTGTCAAAAGTCCGCCAGTGTTCTTCGCGAGCCTCGAATTTGTCAGTCTCACGTCACCTGCGGCAGGGCGACGAGTCGGGCATATAAGCCCTTGGGCCTGGACGAGAGCCCAGATCTCCTAGCATCCCAAATTTGCTTTATTATTTCCAACAACCGCAACAAACCCTAGTGGCATACATAGCCAGCCTTTTACTTTTTTCGTTACATTTTCACACAACATGCAGTTCTTCTTGGATGATTCCGGCACTCCCATCCGCCTTGTGCCCGCCGGTGCCCAGCGCCCGGCCCGGCGATTTGACGCTCCCCCGTCGCCGCCGATCCCGCCCTCGCGCGCCGTCCCCGGCTACCCGTACATCCGGCTGAGCAACGACGACGACCTGAGCGACAACTACCCCTTCGACGCCTTCCAGGACCTGCGCTCAGCCTTTGCCTCACCCTCCCTGCGCTCCATGCAGACCCGCATGGACTACGTGCAGCAGCAGCGAGCGCGCGCTCATCTGCAGCGGCAACTGCTTGAACGCCAGATGCACGACCAGGAGATGCGCGAACGCGAATTGCGCGAGTACCAGTATAGGTTGGAGCTGGAGAGGAGGAAGCGTGCAAGAATTGCCGCGCAGCAGGCAAGGCAGGCGTATTTGGAGAGGCTGCAAGAGGAGGAAAAGCAGAGGCAGCTGGAGCAGCAGAAAAAGGCGGAACTGGCGGAGCGCAAAAGGCGCCAGACCAGCACGTCTGATGGCGAAGGGGCTTTCTACCCGCCGTTCCACTTCTTCGACCATATTCTGGACAGCCAGCTAAAGTCGCGTGATGACCTTGAGCGCAGGCGTGCGCAGAAATCGGCTCTAGCCGATCTCCTGAACGCATATTTCGGTATCGAGTCTAAGGAGGAGCCAATGGCCGCCAAGCCGCCTTCGCAGAGCCCTGATCCGCAGAAGCACGAATCGGTCGAGGGTGTCCGCCCAGAGCCTACCACGGCTGATGCATCTCCCAACGACGCCAAGGGTGAAGAGGCTGAGCAGCCGTTCCCGCTCCTCAAGCCCGGCGAGACAAACCCTTCCGTGCTCGACAGCGTGCTGCGCGTTGTCCATGACCGGCTGGGCGAGATCGCTGCAGATGAGGCAAAATCAACCGACGATGATATCAAGGTTGATGCCGTTGACGAGTTCAAAGCAGCAAAGCCCGACGACGGTGTAGTGCAGGTCGAGGAGCCCGTCGATTACAAGACGCTGGCATCAACCCTGCGCAACCGCGTCAACAACCTCGAGGACGACGACATCTTCGTGCCCATCAGCCCGCTGCTCGGATTCAGCGACGATGTATCGGACGTTGGCGGGCCAGTAGCAGAAGAGGAGCCGCAAAAGCCAGCTGAAAAGAGAGCTAAGGAGGCCCCCCATGTTGTCGAGCCCAAGAAGCGGCAGAGCCCAGAGCCCATGCAGGTCGACGGGGATGAACCCTCTGACAGCGAGTTCTCGCGCATGCTAGATAACTGCAAGCGCCAGTTGTGCGACATGCAGGAGGCTACAGCCAAACCTGACTGCGAGGCCGCACGCCGCCGTCGCCGTCGCCGTCACCGTCGGCACCACCACAAAACACGCCAATCGAAGGATATTGCCGAGCCCGTCGAGTCCGAGGAGGACAAGCAGCGGCGTGCTGTGCGCACAATTGAGGACTACATACTGGGTGAGCGCAGCAAGAGACAGGCACAGGAGGTGGTCGCGTCTCTGCGCGCACTTCGCGACATTGAGAAGGAGGTTGACAAGGCGCGCATCGACTACAACCGCCGCCTGCATAACACGCAGCTGTCGTTTGTGGCCGACAAGGATGGCAGCCTGAAATTGGCGCACAACAAGACCAATTTTGTCTTCCACGAGTATCAGGAAGTGCTGGAGCGCCAGCTGCTGAAGCTTGATGAGGTGCCGAGCTTTGGTGATGAGACTGTAAGGCATAAGCGCAAGGCCATTGTGCGCAAGATCCAGGCTATTCTGGATGCCCTGGACCAGTTTGCTCTGGACCAGGAGTCGGAGCTCAGCGAGGCTGGCGCCATGGCTGATATGTCGAGCAACAGCGATTTCTAAAACATTCACATTAGTTCTCCTTAATTTTGAAACTAGACTTACAGTGCTCGCGATGCCAGCTCGGCTAGTCAGTAAGGTTTAGACAGTCGATAATGTGACAGGAGAACCTTACTGACTGGCTGAGCTTGCAACGCGAGTGCCACACGCTTAGTATTGTCAAACAAGTATTGATCGGTACTCAATATGCTACACATTGGGGATATTGAAAATTTGGAGATTTTGGTATATTGAGGATGAAAGGAAAACAGTACAGGAGACTGGTCTAAATTGAAAGAGGCTTTGCTGTTTAGTAGTGAGGAGCGTTAGCCTGGTAGGCAGGGGCAGGGGCAGGGTGCTGCTCGTAGCTGGGCTTCTCCTCATGGTGCTCTTCAGGCTTCTCCTCGTGGTGCTCCTCAGGCTTGTTCCCAGGAGCCGGAGCCGGAGCCGGGGCAGGGTGCTGCTCGTAGTTGGGTTTCTCCTCATGGTGCTCTTCCGGCTTCTCCTCGTGATGCTCCTCATGATGTTCCTCGGGCTTCTCCTCGTGGTGCTCCTCATGGTGCTCCTCATGGTGCTCCTCAGGCTTCTCCTCGTGGTGCTCCTCGGGCTTGTTTCCAGGAGCCGGACCTGGCGCAGGGTGCTGCTCGTAGTTGGGCTTCTCCTCATGGTGCTCTTCCGGCTTCTCCTCGTGGTGCTCCTCATGATGCTCCTCGGGCTTCTCCTCGGGCTTGTTCTCATGGTGCTCCTCGGGCTTGTTTCCAGGAGCCGGACCTGGCGCAGGATGCTGCTCGTAGCTGGGCTTCTCCTCGTGATGCTCTTCCGGCTTCTCCTCATGGTGCTCCTCGGGCTTGTTCTCATGGTGCTCCTCCGGCTTGTTTCCAGGGCGGGTGCAGGAGCGGGAGCGGGAGCGGGAGCCGGAGCAGGCTTAGCCTCATATGCGGGGGCAGGGGCAGGGGGAGCGCACTTGGCATTCCCCTCATGCTCAGGCTTGTTCTCAGGAGCGGGAGCGGGAGCAGGAGCAGGGTGCTGCTCGTAGTTGGGCTTCTCCTCGTGGTGCTCCTCAGGCTTGTTTCCCAGGCGCAGGGGCAGGGGCAGGGGCAGGAGCCGGATGAACCTCATAGGCAGGCTTCTCCTCATGATGCTCCTCAGGCTTGTGCTCAGGAGCTGGAGCTGGAGCCGGAGCTGGAGCGGGGGCGGGGGCGGGGGCAGGAGCCGGGGCCGGGGCGGGATGCTGCTCATAGTTGGGCTTCTCCTCGTGATGCTCCTCAGGCTTGTTTCCAGGGGCGGGGGCAGGAGCGGGGGCCGGAGCCGGATGAGCCTCATAGGCAGGCTTCTCCTCATGGTGCTCCTCAGGCTTGTTCTCGGGAACCGGAGCTGGAGCGGGGGCAGGAGCGGGGGCAGGAGCAGGAGCCGGGGCTGGGGCGGGATGCTGCTCGTAGTTGGGCTTCTCCTCGTGATGCTCCTCAGGCTTGTTCTCCGGGATGTGCTCAGGCGCAGGCGCAGGCGCAGGCACTGGCTTCGCTTCATATCCCTGCGGGTGCTCCGCATACGGCTTGTTCTCCGGCTGCTCATGGTAGGGCGCCGGCACCGCCTGGTAGGGCGCCGGCACTGCCTGATAGGCAGCTGGCACTGGCGCAACGCTCTGGATAGGCGCGACAGCATGGAAGATAGGCGCCGGGCGGGCCTCGTAATAGGCACCCTCAACCGAGGCAAGGGCGACAAGAGCAATAAGTGCTGCGGTAGTCTTCATCGTAAATAATTTGCTATCGTCAACGATTGAAAGAAGGGGAAATGCTTGCGTCGGGGGATGTGAAGGAGATGTTGTCGTTAAAAGACTATGTGGGATGTTGATGCCAGGCAGTTCGAGCTCGTTATATAGCTGGTGTTGAAGGTGTGCTGGTGTGTTTTCTGTTTTGTTGCGCGAGGAGGTTGTTTTTTCTTTGCACCATGGCCCTATGTTTTTCTTGTATACTGAAAGCAACATTTTTGGGCTCATCATACAATGTAGCAAATTTGGGCAAAAAGGACAATATGTATTAAAGCCTCGCAAGGTTTTCGGGACACACACAGCCATTTGAAACTTTACCGTTTCATTGTCGATGTGGAAATCGTACAATTGCAGCCCGTTTATGAAAACAGAAAAACAAACCAGCCAAGTGAGAGTGGCCCAAACGTGCTTCACAGTGAGACACTTGCCACGGTCCACTCTACGAAAAAAACGGCGGTCCCTATATTCAGTGAGGAAAAATGAACAGTAACATGAGAATTGCTCAGCTTGCTATATCCGTCCCCTGATACACACTATATCACCAAATGTAAGGAATCTGGCGCCTGTTTCGCTCGCTCCCTCTCCTGATGGTCTAGCAGACAGGGGGTGCTCCCACGGCTTCCCGAGCGAACAATTAGGTACTAGCCCAGGTGCTATTTATAGAGAACAGCGCAACTGACGTGATTAGCGTCAAATTTAGCCTGCAGGCAAGAAATTGCATATCAGAAAAATGGTGAAAGGCATTATTGCTGAGGGCTTCACAGAGCAATAACAGGCATGCGGGTCTGAGCCACATGCACAAAACCCAGTGCCAGCAAACCAAAAAGCACTGAGAAAACAGGTTACCGCCACACTACGATGAAAGTAGGCGTCAGTTGCATGTACGTAATTACAAGCAGATTTAATAAAGATCATGCACAGGAAAAATCGCAGCATGAGAATACAGAGCCAAGACCACACGTTATCTCTGCCCGTAAATCCAGCCACCAACGTTTCCAGTTCACGCTACATACCAAAAAACCGCCTGTAGCCAAGTCCTTTTTTTTCCCATTAATCATCACCAGCTCCAGGCACTTTCGTGCTTCATTCCCCTGTTCTTTTGTCAACTAGTTGCGACCTTAAAAATCCATATAGTTTTGGCAATCATCCCCCTCGTTGGTTTCGGCCTCAGCAAGCCTGGACTACTGAAGCTACCATTGCCAGGCAGGGAGCCCCCTGATGCATGCACATAGCCAGCAAGCGATACGAATCTTGTCTAGTCATTTTCGCGGCAGCACATGGAACACATGATTGGCGTGTCAAAGTATGTTGCAGAGATGGGTCATAGGTATGCTGCATATGTGGCCGTTTTTGTATTCTTGGGGATGTATACCTTGCATTCAACACAGTTGTAATCTGTACACAGTATTATTTCATTGATTTTTATTGAAAACCTTTATCTATATCATATGTGGATACTAGAGTAACCACGGTGCCTATAGCTATAAGATTTCGCGTAGCATAGCTGTGTCGACTGTTATGTACTTTGCCCCACCCAAGCGTGTGGGGGCTGCGTTGTACATTGATGCATCTAGCTCGCCAAGGCACCATTTCGGTCTGATGGTATGCCATGTGTGTGATGCTCGTGATGTACGAACGAAATGGGCCACTCTGAACAGTCCATGTGTATTACTAGCATGGCACATATGTAATGTCATCAAACTGGTCCGGCACCATCGTAAACTAGGCGCGCCAGGATACTATGTAGGACCCGTATGTTTGGATGCTGAAAGGTGCAATATCATAAATACAGCCTTCCTAATAACGTAAATTACATTCAAAGAGAGCCTCTTGTTAACAAATCCCTAAAAAGAGGAGCTAAAGAGCCATGATGACGACTCCGCTGCCACTGCCGCCGATGCGACCATTCAGCCGATGGGCGAGTAGTTCAATTTTTCGCGGGACGCTAGGTTCTCTGCGATCGATCGTGTCTACGCTTACTTTTATTCACAATGTGCAGATTTTACCAAGGAATACCTTGTTTCGTAACTACCGTTTCCTACGCTTCACCAGTGTATCCAAAAATGCCGCACTGCGCTTCTGCTTCTTCTTGGGCACCTGCTTTGGCGTACTATCACTCGGCTTCGCTACAATACTTGACCGACTTTCCTCCTCCTCCTCCTCCTCCACAACCTTTTTGGGCTCATTTGGTTTTTCACTAACCAGGCCTTTGGTTAGTTTGCGCTTGAGCTTGAGTTCCTCGGCAGACAGAATGCCGGTAGCGGACTGGGCGGCCAACATTTCCTTGTGCGAGAGGAATTTGGCGCCGACACCGAGGCGCGCTGGGCGGCCGTGGAAGATTTCGCGGGCCTTGGGTGTGGCGGTGGAATCGGAGTCCGAGTCGGAGTCGCCGAGCCAGGAGCTGATCAAGGTGGAGGCGGAATTGGCGGATGCGCGCAGCTGTGCCTCGATCTCCTGGACCTGCTGCTGCTTCTCCTTGTCCTGCTTAGACTTGGCCATGGCGAAAATAGTATGTGTGGTTTGGATACATGCAGAGTACGAAGGAGTACTTCCGGGATCACAAAGGAGCATCTCAAGTGGCATGGTGAGAAAGCGGGTAAAATTATGGTCAAATAGGATAATTACAAAATCAGCGGATCAGAATTTTCGCCAGGAGGTGAAGCGCCCTCCATGCAAACAAAGAGAGAAGCTGTTCTCCGAAAGAAAGACTCAATGCACTTTCCTGCGCTTATGACCAAAGCGCGTCGAAGCGCCCGAGTTTGGCGGCCACTCGTTGCCACTGCCCTCCCAGATGTCCCTTGCAGCATTGCGCACCAGCACGCGGCAGGCACGGAATTCGCGCTGCATTTTCTCCAGCTCACCCAAGGCCTTCTTGATTTCATCCATGACCTCGCGGGACTGTGTGTCGTCAGCCAGTACCGGCAGGTCAACGGGTACGGGGCTCGGGCGACGCATCTGGCGCTTGGTAGACAGCGGCGGGCGGCCGCGGCGGCCGGTACGCGCCGGCTTTGGGGTCTGCTCCGGTGTGGCCGGCGTGGCCGGCGTGGCCGGCGTGGCCGGCGTGGCTGGAGTGGCCGGGGTTGAGGGCGACGGCTCCTTGGTTGGCGGCGTGGTGGGCATGAGCTGCGGCTCGCTCGAGCAGCTGCCGGTCGATACCAGCGTGACCGAGTCGGAGTCAGCGTGCGGCGATGATGGCGGGGTCTTGGCTGGCGATAAAGCGAATGGCAGCTGGAGGGTTTCGGTGCCTGTTTGCCAGAGCTTCCACTTGAATTTGCTATGCACGTGGCCGGTCTTCAGATACGACAGGGCGCTTTTGATTGCTCGGTCCTTCAGGAACGCTGGCGTCGTCGAGGCAAATTCGGTGAACGGCGCCTGGGCGGTATCGAAGACCCGCAGCTCCTGCTCACGAACTGTGGAACTACATGTTTTTTTGGGTTTAGAAAGGTATGCGAAATCGCGCATGGAAAAAAACAGTGCATAATCACTTTTTGCAAATAGGGAGGGGTGGGTAAGTAACACCTAGAAGTCGGGGCACGATCCACCCCTCCCGGGGATTGGTCTGACGAATGAACGGGGGAAAGCTCTGGGCTTCCTAACCACCACCAGCCTAGCTTTTAGCAAAAATTGCTCCTGGACAGCTTGAGAGAAAAAGCGCATTTGTTCTTACTTACTATTTGTTGTCTTCAAAGTACTTGACCAGGTATTCGGCGGCACTCAGGGATAGGCAGCCCATGCTTGCGTCAATTTCGTCTGTGGGAACGATCTATAATGGATTGTTGGTTGAGAGGGTATGTGACCGGGAAGGGGAGATATGCTGAGTGCTAATGCACAGATGTAACAAGGGGAGGGCGATAGTCATCAGCCCGGGGAGGGTATCTGCCAAGCTTACCATTGCCGGCCACCAGTACTTGGCAGTGTTGTCAAGCGGGTCCACGAAGACCACGTCGCGACCGCGCCATTTGAGAGACTGTACGGGCTCTGGCATGCCAACCATTACGTGAGATTTTTGTGCAGAGTCGTTGATATGAAGGCGTGAATAAAAAATTGTGTTTCCAGAGAGCAGTTTTGTAGAAAGAATGGTATATAGAAAATAACGAGGGGAAAATGCTTCAGGGAAGGAAGAAGAGGAGAAACGGGTGGGGAGGCGTGTTGAGCGAAGCGGAGAACCTCTTCCTTTTTCTTAACGCATCAATGTGACGTTTTTTTCAAACTGCTATTTTTTTCTCCAAGCTTTTCTGCCATGAGAACTGATAGAAACGGCGGGCCACAGTAGTTTACCATAGCAGGGACACTGGGACGATTCCAATGACAGCAGCCGGCGCTGATCACACACCTCCGGGAAAACCGCACCCACAAAAGCGCACAAGAGTCGGTCAGGAGCATAGCCCCTTTCTTTTCACGTTCCTTGAGCAATACATCCCACTCCCAATTAATCCTGTTTCTTTTCCTCACGCAAATGGCATCAACCTACGGCGCAATCAGCAGCGACAGCATGGTGCTGCAGGTCAAAGAGCTGACCAAGCGCAAAGACACCGGCGACCACCTCTTCTACGACGTGACGTTCTCGCTCCACCCGGGCGACACGCTGGCGGTCCGCGGGCCCAGCGGCGTGGGCAAAACCACACTCCTGCGGTGCCTGGCGCAGCTCACGCCCTATGACGCAGGCGTCTGCACATTAATGACACCCAAGCCGACGACTCCGCAGGACCTGGGGGTCCCGCAGTGGCGCGCCTCGGTCATGTATGTGCCGCAGCGCCCGGCGCAGCTGCCCGGCACGCCGCTGGAGTTCTTCGATCAGGTGACAGGGTTCCGCGCGCAGCAGGGCCGCGCCCACTATGATCCGGTGGAGATCGCCGAGGACTGGGGGGTTAGCGATGAGCTGTGGCACAAGAAATGGCCCGAGCTGTCGGGCGGCGAGCAGCAGAGGGTTGCATTGGCTGTGGCGCTGGCCTGTGACCCCAAGGTGCTTTTGCTGGACGAGCCCACCAGCGCGCTGGACCCGGCCACGACCTTGATGGTTGAGCAGGCGTTGGCCGGCCGCACGTGCGTGTGGATCACCCATGACGACGCCCAGGAGAAGCGCATTGCTACAAAGTCGCTGACCATCCACGCCGATGCCACGTACTCCATAACCGAGCACTGAGGAACACTGGCGAGAGGACAGAGCAGAAAAAACCGACAGTTAGCTTCTCTTCGCCCAAGCTCCTTTTCACATTAATCTCATTATCACATGACTGAACGAGAATTTAACGCACGGTTCGTCTCCGAGGACACTCTGTCGGAGGCCAAGAAAGAGCGGGAAGAGGCCTGGCGCGAAGCCTACAAAACCGAGCCCGTACCAGAGCCTTCCTACGACCCGCGCACGCTTTACGAGCGCCTGCAGGAACAGAAGCGCAAAAAAGAAGACGAGTTTATGGAATCCCACCGCCTTAGCAAGCAGATCAGGCTTTTGGACCAGGACGAGACCGAGTTCCTCGAAGCCATCGACGACCAGGAGCACGAGAAAAACATGGCCAAACGCCGCAGAGACATGCTGGAAGCCGCTGAATTCCAGCGCATGGTCGCTGAGAAACGCACCAAGGATGTGCCAAAGAAATCCACAGCGAAGCGGCCTGTGGCCAAGTCGCTTGTGAGCAGAATTGCCGTGGTTGTCAAGGAAGTCAAGGCAGAGCCCAAAGAACCCAGACCAGAGCCAAAAGTTGTTCCCAAAGAGCCCAGTGGCCAGGAAAACCCGCTGAGTGTGCTAGCCTCATATCCGAGCGACAGTGAAACTGAATCCGAAGAGTGATCAGGTAGTGTTAATGTTCTCTTTTTCTCATCTCAGCAGTGATACACACTCGTGACCAGCAAAGATCTACGATGGAAGAGAAAACTCGAAAAAAAAAAAAAAGTTATTTATACGCCTTTCTTCACGGAGCAGTATTGCCCAGTCCCTCCATGCCTGACGAAAGCACAGACAAAGCTTGCTTTCTTCTCATTTTCGTGTTCCTATAATTCATAGCTCAGCATGCCGAGCGCGATACTTTTCCAGCAGCTTTTCATCGATATGCTAGTGGCCGAGCTGCTAACGCCAGCACCGTCTGGGAGCACCTGCACCGACGCAACCCAGCCGCTGCGCTCCCTACAGCCTTTCGCTGGCGTCTGCCGCACATGGCGCGCGCGCTCCCACCACCTGCACAAGACGCTCTCTATAAGCATCCGCAAGCCGACATCTTTGCAGCGCTCGCAGCACCTCTTCCATGTGGCCAGCACTGCGCCGGGGTCATCTACGGGGTGTTACCGGCGCGGCACGTGCAAGGGCGTACCAACCTGCATCTCGTAAACCACCCGCACACGATGTGGCTGGAGATTGACGCCGATGTCGGCCCAACAATGGCCATGCGTGTACTTCAGGAGATTGGGTTCCAAGGCCGCATGTGGGAGGTGAGAACACTGAAGTGCTATGTGCATCACTCAGTGGGTGGCCAGTATACGTGGAGCCGCAATCAGACGAGCCGCGCCGAGCAGTTGTTTGAAACCGTGAAAAGGCAGCTGCCGGAGCCCCAGCGAGTCGAATATCAGTCGGCAGGTCCAAATAGCGACATCTTCCCGAATCTACAACGGCTTCCGCAAGGTAATGATGGAACCGGCGCTGACGGCGCTGACATTGGATATCAACGGACGATTGCACGACTTTGCAATGCTGCCCCTTACGACCGCCGCAACGCTCAGGTCGTTGGTCCTGAATAACATCACCCTGAGTGGTTTCCTGGAATGCATTCGTGGAGACCACGCACGCGCACCGTCGGACGCGCACACTGCCAGTGGCGGTATTTGCAGAGCTTGAGTGCCTGGATATCCACTTGATTCATGTAAGCAGCCCAGGTGGACCAGCACTGCAGAGACTCGACAGGCTGCTGCGGTTCCCGAAGCTCCAAAAACTCTCCGCTCGACCCAGCCATTGGTCGGGCCGTATCGCTTTTGCCGGCCTTCCACGCGTCGCCTCTGCATACTCTGAGGTTACTCAACACCGACGCGTCGCTCTTGCCATTCGACCAGCGCGATTTCCCCAGGCTCTGCTCTCTGGATGTCGCCCTGCGGTACCTGCCGAGTCATGAATTGCACACGCTGGAAGGTTTGCCGCAGGCGCTTCTCGCGCATTCGAATCTGCGGATATTTGAGGTTTTCCTGCTGACATTGATTTCCGAAGTACCCCAAGCTGTTTGGCCTGCATGTTTCTGGAGCACCTTGAAGCTCAGCGCGACAGTCGCGTCTGATGCAGCCACGGAAATTGTTGGCCAGCTGCCATTCTTGAAGACATTGGCGTACCAGATAGATGCTGGCCGCAGCGGCCGGCGGCTAGCCCGGCGGGAGGTAGTTGAAATGGTTGCAGGGGGGCTTGGGAGTACGCCATTGAATATGCGGCTGCAAAAGCTGGGCGTGGTGGCAGTGTGCTATGCGAGGGAGTGTGCCTGACACGTGCTTTGCGGAGGCGGCGGAGGTGCTAAGATTGGCAGCGCGCGTGCCATCGCTGTTGTGCTTGGAGATGGGCCATGGGCGCGTGTTCGAGTCGCTAAAGGTCCTGCGGGATGCGCTCGGCGATCCGGTGCTGGCGCGGTCCGCTGGGCATTTGCAGCATCTAGGAGATCAAGAGCATCTGTGTATAAGGGCTGGCAACCATTATTCTCTGGAATATACTTTTTCCTATCAGCGGTGATGACATCACGCTCTCTATTGTACCTGCTTAACGTATAGCTTTTTGCTGGAGTTTTCAGCCTATTCAAAAAGTGAGTGGATAAGGGGCGGGTTCCCGCGCCACTGCTTGCTTTTTCCTTAGGTGCGTATTAAGACCCATTGAAAAAACAGGCCGATCGCACGCCTCGCGTTTCTTATCTCCTGTTATCATTTTCCTTCACTCTTTCTCTCGTTAACAGCCATTCATACACTAGTGAGAATGTCCCTGTCGCCCTCCGGATCCCGCAAGGTCATTGATCCCGACACGTACTTTGACCAGAACTCGCCGCCATCGAACCTGGAGTGGGCGCACTCTGCGGTGAGTGCGTTTGTCAGCAGCCAGTCCGCCTCACCAGCCGATCGTGCTAGTGACGAGCGGCGGCACGACCGTGCCCCTGGAGAACAACACAGTGCGGTTCGTAGACAACTTCAGCCTGGGTACGCGCGGCAGCAGCTCGGCTGAGCAATTTCTGGCGGCCGGCTACGCGGTGATATTCCTGTACCGCGACAAGTCGCTGCAGCCGTTCCACCGGCACTACCCGCGTGGGCTTTTGTCCTACCTGGAGCCCGACGGCACCGGCAACGTGCAGATCCAGGCAAAGTACCGGGATTCGGTAATCCGCGACCTGCATTTACTGCAAAAGTACTCTGGCACCAAGCTGCTGATGGTAGATTTCACGACGCTGTCGGACTATTTGTTTCTGCTGCGCGCAATCTCGCAGATTCTGGCTCCGCTGGGCTCGGCGGCGATGTTTTATTTGGCGGCGGCAGTCAGCGATTTCTTCATTCCGTCGCACAGTATGTCGGAGCACAAGATTCAGTCGCGCGACGGCGACCTGACCCTGCGGCATGAACCAGGTGCCCAAGTTCCTGGCACCGCTGGTCAGCACCTGGGCGCCCCGGTGCTTCACAGTGTCGTTCAAGCTGGAGACCGACCCCGAGCTGCTTGTGCCCAAGGCGCAATATGCACTCAACAAGTACGGCCACCAGATTGTCATTGCCAATATGCTACATTCGCGCAAGTGGCAGGTGTGGTTTATCACCAGGGAGTCGGACCAGCCGTATGAGATCCGGATCCCCAAGGAAGAGGCCGAAAAGGGCCGCGACATCGAGCAGGACGTGGTGGTGGAGCTGGCAAAGCGGCATCGCGTCTTTATGGCAGCTTGATTTCAATATGGGCTGTTGCCAAGATCAAGTTTGTTGTTAATAAATCATCCCCTGTTCCTTTTCTTCTCCAGCCAAAAACCATTGCTCTTCAAAGAGGCTGTTCCTGATGCTACTGCCAGCAGGGCGCAGGTTCCGCAAAAACAAAAAAGCAAAGAGATGGTGGAAAAATAACAGTAGCACGCTCGACATTCCATTCAAAACTCGAGCTGCTCTCTTGGTAGCCTATTTCCAAGAGAATGTGTCTCTGCGGCTTCTCTTGGCAACTCACCAGATATGCTAGCCATCCGGGGGGATCAGCGAGAATGTTTTATTTGGTAGCTTTTTGCTGGATAGCAAGCAGCCCAGCCCTACTGCGGCATCGTCGTACTATTTTCCCAGCAAAAAAGCCCGTGTCTACTAAAGTGCGCGCTGAAACTTTCTTGTCGCAGCCTAAAAATACATGTTTCTCCACATACACACTGCGCCAGGGACGGGCCGCAGATGGAGTTTCTGGATGGTATTTCCAGCACATTTGGCCCAGTGCCCGATCCTGTTTTTAGCGTACATCTCTCCCCCGCACACATGGGGGAGGCACGTATGTTTTTTCTCCAGAGCACTCATATTTAGCATCAAGACATTTTCAATACGGGGCTTTGCAGGTGGTGACATTCCCTCGCATTTGCTTCATATACTTTGGCTTACTCCCGCGGTGCACTCTTCAAAAACCTATTTCGACTTTGTCACTTCAATTTTTTTTCCTCCTTGAGCATCCACTAGCATTCTCTTTCCAATTTTGTTGTTCCTGTATTGCAAGGGGTGGACGGAATATTTCCTTTAGACTACACCCTGACCAAATTTCATTCTCTGGAGCTATTTTTTTGATCACACGCGTCTCACAAAGAAACTAGAACCATTTCATTAACGGGTAATTGAATCCGTGAGCTTTCAACAAAACAAGCATCCTTTCTTTGCTAAGGCAAAAATGACACGCACTAGCATCTCTGCTCTAGCTGTTGCGTGGTTCCTGGCGGCAAGTCAGGTCAGCGCTGGGCCAATTGCCCCTCCTGGTAAGTGGACATTTTCAGTTAGCACCTGCAAGCAACATATCCCATGATGCATCTAAAATACATCTGTGTTTTTCTAGTCGATACCAACCCGACAAATAGCGAGCTTGCCAGTCTTGGCGGCCTCCTGCAGGCACTCGGTGCTGGAGTCATCGGCAACGGAGCCTTGATATACCCGACAGGCCCGTCTTCGCACCAGCGTGCAGAGGCTGAGGTCATGGCGATCGGACTCAGCCACGCGCATCTTCAAGAAAGTCAAGTCGGCCATCAAGGACGGCGGGCTGAACGACGAGGACGGGGGCGACGGCGACGACAACCACAAGTCGCTGACGTACCTGGTGAAGCCAGCCTTGATTTTCCACCGCGAGGAGATCCCGCCACCGAACCCACTAGCCGGCAACGTGATGCCATTACCGGGCGGCGCACTGTTGTATACACCGACGCCAACGGCCTCGGGAGCAGCAGGCGACTGGCGCCACTGGCGAATATCAAGGCGGCGTACGGGAATCTGTTTGCGGCGTCGCCGTACACTCCTTCGTATACGCTGAACCAGCCGCACGCGGCGGTGATCGTCGAGGAGATCACGGATATGCTGAGTTTGAAGAGCTCGCTGCAGCGGCTCGAGGATGAAGGCGAGGATGTCAATGACAGCGACGAAGAAGACGAGGACGAGTACGGGAGGAAGCGTCGTGGAAGGAAGTCCGTCGAGGTGGTTATGCTCTGAAACCATCGAGTCGACCACACCGGTGATCAATCCGTTCACGCGGCCTGACTTCCCGTTCGGTCTGATGACGCCGCCGACGGCCGCCGCCACACCCGCGCCATCCAAAGAAGGGCAAGAAGAAGGAAGGGGAGTCGGAGGGCGACGAGGATGTCTCGGTTACGCACAAGGCCGATCGCAAGACCATCAGAAGGACCGTCAATATCAAGACCACGTCGACGGTGCCGGCATCCACGCCACTCAGCGCCTCGGTCGGCAAGGACGGCAGCATCACCTATTGTCGGAAACATTCCCACCCCGTCCTCCTCCACCCCCGACCCCAATGCTGCCACAACCATTGTTGTGCCGGGCTCTGCGGCCCACATTCGGCGCGTCTTCCTCGAGTGCCTCGCCTGCTTCATCCTCATCGGCTGCCCCCGCCAGCAGCTCGTCTCACGAGCCCGAGTCGCACGAGCCCGAGTCGCACGAGTCAGGCAAGGGCGAGGGCATGCGTGAGGATGTCGCGCGTGTTGCCCAGGCCCATTCTACCAGCTCGGCCAAGCCGGATATTGGTGATGTCGCTGTGGGTGGCAACCGCCGGGTGGCCACTGATTTCGATCCATTGATGGCTGCAGCTTCTGTCCGAGTCGACTGCCTCTGCCCAGTTGCCCAAGTCATCAGCCAGCCCGGATACATCCGCAACCGCCCAATCTGTCCGAAGTCATCGGCCAGCCTAGGCCACCACCTGCGAACCGCCTCTGTCCGAGTCAGCGGCAGACAGCACCAGCGCATCGGCGCAGGGGACCAAACGCCGCAAGATGCACGTGGTGCGTGTCTATCAGGTGAAGAAGAAGAGCGCTGGGTCCTCCGTCGGTCTCTGCTGAGACGAGCAAGGCCGAATTGCGCAAGCGCGATGAGGGCATGGACAAGGCCGACTTCACCATCACCATGCCAAACCGGTCTGCAGCAGCCCTGGGCGCCGACGAGTACCAGCCAACAAACGGAGTTCACCAGAAGGTGCGTGCGGCTGAGGACTCGGAGTCTGATGAAGAGGAGGATGCTGAGGAGGACGTTAGATCGACCGAGAGGCCCGATGTCGATATTGAAGGCACCGAGTCCAAGAACGAGATCGCGGAGACTATGTCTGCAATCAGGTCGATTCTCTCGCTGATCTCCATGCAGACCTCCACTGCTGCTCCACAGACCTCCACGACAGTCCCGCAGGCTGCTCTCCTTGAACGCTCAGTCGTCATCGATGACTATTGTTGCTGATGACCTGAGCTCGGCCTCTCTTGAGTCCACTTTGGCTGCCTCTGCTGAGTCCACCTCGGTCGTTTCTGCTGAGTCCACCTCGGCCGTTTCTGCTCAGTCCTCTTCGGCTGCCTCTGCTTCAGTCCTCTTCAGCTGCCTCTGCTGAGTCTTCCTCGGTTATCTCTGTTGAATCCACCTCTGGCAGTCTCTGCCGAGTCTTCATCGGCCGTGTCTGCTGAGTTCTCTACCGCTAGCGTGCAGCCTTCGTCTGCCAGTGACGAGACATCAACCCAGTTGATTGAGATCGACGGAGTTCAGCGACGGCTTCAGCGACGGCTTCACCGATGGCGCCAGCGATGAGGAAATTATCAAGGAGGAGCGTGACGAGAAGGGCGAAGAGGAAGATGAGGAGAAGGACGAGGAGAAGGATGAGGAGAAAGAGAAAGACGAGGAGAAGGAGGAGGAGAGGAGAAGGAGAAGGAGAAGGAGAAGGAGAAGGAGAAGGAGAAGGACTCAGACAAGGAGTCCGACAACGGAGTCCGACAAGGATTCTGACAAGGATTCTGACTCGGAGGACGAAGACAGTGCAAGCAAGAAGGAGAGCAAGGAGGACGATTCGGGCTCCGACAGCGACTCTGACACTGACGACAAGGCGTCCAAGAAATCACAAGACAGCGATGATGAGTCCACGGCCGTGCATGGCGACAAGGACGACGCTGAGCAGGGTCGAGCACAAGGACGACGATGACTCGCACGTCATGCGTGCAGTCCAGCGCCTGGCAGCTGCCGGCCTCAAGCAGGCCGAGCGCGCAGTCAAGGAGCTCGAGCTTGATATGGCTACCGATAGTCCTGGCTGCCGAGATCTTCACCATCCCGGGCGTCCACGTCGTCACTCGCACCATGGACGATCTTGATGAAGAGGAGATCATGGGCTTCTCCACCACATCGATTCTCGGCGCCCAGCAGGACCTCACCCTGGCTCCCACCCATGCTCCGCTGTCGTCTCGTGTCTCCATGACCGCCAACAAGCGCGGCTTGGTCCTAGAGGCTGGCATGGCCAGCGGCAAGGAGCGCGAGGAGGCCGACAAGGACGAGGACGCTGATGATGACAAGGATGCCGACGATGATAAGGACAATGACAATGACAAGGCCGATGGCAAAGAGAAGGAGGACGACGACGACGATGACAAGGATGAGGAAGATGACAGCGACAACAACGATGAGGGCGACAAGGAGAGCGATGCCCCCGACACCTCCTCCCAGCCAGCCTTGCCCAAGGCCAGCGCCGACGACCGTGATGAGGCGGACTCGCCAAAGAGCAACGACTCTGACGACGAGGACGAGAAGAGCCCGGCCAGCTCCAAGGGCAGCAAGTCCCCCGAGGGCGACTCCGACTCGGACGACGAGGAGGCTGACGGCGATATTCAGTCCGACGCTCCCTCAGGTGCCACCGGCAGCAGGGCGAACAAGAAGTCCATGAGCATCGATGACGAGGCTGCCGAGTCCGAGGCTGCCAAGAAGGCCGAAGCCGAGGCTGCTGCCGAGTCCAGCCAGCAGGCTGTCGAGGTTATTATCACCCAGATCGAGACTGTCACCGAGATCAATGCATCGGCTATGTGGAGCGACAGCGACTTTGAGCGCAATGCTGCTACTGATGCGTTTTCCGACGACTTCAGCGATGTCGGCAACCTTGGTGAATCGGATGGCGCTGTGGCTTCCGATGATGCCGTGGCCGATGCTACACACACAGCCGCATCCATCGAGTCTGCCAGTCCGACCGTTGACCTCAACTCCGACGCTGAGGGCATGGATCTTGTGACCCAGCTTGTCCATGAGGCTTCTGATGCCAAGTCTGACGTAAACGAGGCCCCGAGTATCGTTGTCCTGGCGTCCATTGACGAGGAGTATGAAGAGGAGTTCTTCAGCGATGCCAGCGTGCGTACCCCGTCATCGCAGCACTCGGCTGAAAGTGATGCGACCGAGTTTGATGTCCCGCATGTCATGCGGAACTCGGCCGAGAAGATCAGGGGAGTTGACAAGGATGCCACGCCCGAGAAGGACGAGAGCGGTATCCGGGGTATCGAGCCGATTCCCGATGTCAGTGCCATCAAGGAGAATCAGAACCGCGCCATGAACATTGGTTTGGGAAACCTCCACCGCCATGTTTAAGCGCATTTTCTGCCAATCTCTAACCAACCACCACCCCTGACTTTGCTCTTGACGACCAAGCCAAACCTGTGCATTACCTTTCTTTTGCAAGCCCCTCTCCAACCACACACCCCTCACCACTGCATTACGACCTTCCCCTTTTTGCACCACTCCCTCAAGTTCCCGCTTACCAACCTTGCCCTGTGCTGCACGGGCGTCTTTGCTGCATCTGCATCTGCATCTGCATTCTGTTTGACACTCTCAAACCAGGGTGTTGCTCATTGTCAAGCATGTCCAATAACGACCACTTCATTTCATATTGACACACTCCCATTTCTGGTCCAGAAATGCTTTCTTTTTCATTTACTTCTTTTCTGCTATCATACGAATAACAAAGCTTATAATATTACTGTGGACTATAGTACATGTGTGGCTACGTGCCAGGACTTCAGATGTCATATACTGGTGGCATGTTGTAGCCAATAATCTTGTTGCTACGCTTGCCCGGTATCCGTCCGCCGCCATTTTCAATCTGCGCATGCGGGATAGCGAGCGACCCAGTGATAATTGCGATAATTGCATAGAGGACCTTCATTATCATTGAGAGGAAAAGATATTCTGAACAACGTGTGCTATGGACTCTACTCCCTTAGCTGTCCCTTATATCTGCCTAGGCAAAGGTGGTCAGACGCCAGAGGTTGGGGGAGGAGGAACTGGGACTAGATAGACACAATTTAATTGCACCTGGAATGCCTCAATTGAATAGAGATTTTCAACAAAAATTAATACACGCAATAGAACCCGCTTCATCGGGGGGTTCGAAAATGTACGACTTATAGGCAATTGCGTCCCTAATTGCACGAATAGGACAGATTCACGGGGCATTCCCACTTGTTGGGAAAGCAAACTCGCGCCAACCGACGCTGCGGACCAAACAGAGGAGGGGCGCTGGTCATTGGCATGCTCTGGTATTATGCATACACGCATGGCCAAGCCGCCTAATCCCCACAGATCCCAGGTCTGCTCGTCACTAACCCCTTTGAATTTGATGTCCACATAACAGCAGTGATATGCAGACTAACATAGCATTGCTGCAGCTTGATGGCAATGGTCCGTGTGCTGAGCGGAATTTTTGCAGCATGCACTGGCTCCGTGGACAGTACGAGGCACTGAATTTCAGTCAATCAAGATTCAAGCTTGGGGTGGTTTCAGCTTACCGAACTTGGATTATGAACTACTGTGTGAGTGCTAGCTTCTCGGCATTCGCGAAAGACCGTGGTCTATTGTGGATCCCACCATGGTTGCCCAGGTCACTGCAATGTGACTATCTTCAGGGCTGCATACCAGGGTACGACCGAAGGCCGATGCAGCCACAGAGGTCCCGTGGCAGTGAAAAGCGGGTGGTTTGGACACAGTTGAGGAGGCATATAGTATGGCTCCAAGAACCCCCATGTGCCATGCTTATTGCTAGAATGGGCCATCCACATAAAATAGGAGGATAATAGCTTGTGCGATGGTGTGAAATGTCTTTTTGCGCAATAACGGGTATAAGGACATTTACCATTGGTGCATAGGGCAACTCAGCAGACGTGGCACAGTGGCACAATGTGCGAATGCACAATATATCTGGATTCCGCTGTTCTGCGGACTTTGCGTTGGCGTATTCACCATCGCCATGGCGGCAGTAGCCCAGTCATGGCCGGCCATACGTCCTTAAGATAAAGCGCTGTAGTCTTATTGACCTAATTGCAACATCGCCAAAAGGCCATTCTGCTAACATATTCAAAGTACGTGCGGCAGGGATGTACTATATTTAAGGATACCCTTTCAATACACCTGGGATCGACGACGAGTATAAAACACCAGTGACCTGGTCAGGGCGTCCACCCAATTATCGGTTCAACACCAACTTCCTCTTGCAATCCCTACCTCCCTGACGCCATCAATACAATGAAGTATTACATTCCTCTCCTTGCCTGTGCCGCCATTAGCGCTGCTGCACCAGCTCCTCAGATTGAAAATGGCGGAGACTGGCTGAGACGCTCGCCTGAGAAGCGCCAGATTGAAAACAGTGGCGACTGGTTGAAGCGCCAGATCGAGAACGCCAACTGGGAATGGCTAAAGCGCCAGATCGAGAACAGTGGCGATTGGCTGAAGCGTGATAGCCCTGTTCACCAGGAAAAGTAGGTTGGCTCTACTACTCCAAACTCTCTGATAGCTGCTGGTCTGGAGCAACCATATCCCTAATCAAAGCTCAACATTCCTTTAGTGTGACCATACCATTTTTAAGCGAATAAATATGTTACTTGTAATCGAATGGTAAAAGTTCAACATGTACCCTGGCACATCCCATGCATGCACATCTATGTTGGTCAGTTCCCAAAATTCCTACTCTTGGATGGATATTGCAACACACCTTTCCTGCTTCCAGCGATGTAGCCTGGGAGCTGTGTTGTAAACATGTTCGAGAAGGATCGGCGCAGATTGAGATTCCATGGTTCCTTCCAGATGGCCCCAGAGCCGATTCCTGTTAGACACAGGAACTTTGCAGGTTTGTGCTACATAATGTCACCAAGTAATTCGTGAGAAGATGTGCCCACGAACTGTGGACTGAACCAGCAACTGGTTCCAAGCAGGATCCCAGTGTCACCTTTGCTTGCCAGCAAAGTCTTGGGGGCAGAGTGCGGCACAAAATCAGTTCAATGTGGGTCCTCTGCAATCCGTTGCACAAATCGCTGAAATCTACATACATAGCGAAACATCTGACATAAACCAGCATGGCAGCATAGGTGAGACACGGAGCCTGAGCCGATTTATACTCAAATCCACTTTACCCTTGCATATTCCCCATTTTACAGCAGGTGGCTATACAAACACTGCGGAACTTGAAGGTTGGTTTGGTGCCCAGCGTTTGTAGAATGCGATGGCTTCTTGCAAATCTCTCGAACTTTCTGCCTACTTAGGCACCCATGGTCACATAAATGCATGTCAAGTATGGACTCGCAGGCCAGTGCAGCCAGGTGATCTTGCTGCATTACTAAGCAGGTGGATCGCACATGGCTGAAGCTGGTAATTGGCACAGGCTCGGGAGCCGTTTATGTACTGTTATTGTCAACGCTTGCTATGCCCGCCAATAGGATATGCAATGCTGGTGAGCGGATGAGATGCTTGTGGGCAATCGAAAAATGATACTCCTACCGACTCGGTGGCAAGGCTTCAAAGACCACTCCTGCTCGCTGTTCCAATGCAGATGCTGCCGAGTGCTGTTTATGTGCGGGGAATCGCTTCAACAATCCTGGAGTTCGCAGCGGGTATAAAAACCCAAAGGAGAATGGCCAGGCTGCCAGCTGTTCCTCTCATTCTACCACAGCCACTTCTCTCCTGCTTTTTGCTAACACGTCAGTAATGAAGTATTCCATTCCTCTGCTTGCCCTCATTGCGCTTTGCGCTGCTGCTCCTGCTCCACAGGTTATCAACAATGTCGACAAGCTGAAGCGTGATAGTAACGACAACAACCCTTGGGACAGGCGTCAGCTTAATGGTGGCAACTTGTTGGCGCACGATGTCAATAACAATAATCCTTGGGACAGGCGCTAGGTTGGATGCAGCAACACCTAGATTGGTGCGTGGGGCTCCTGTTCGCCAGAACTAGCACAGGTCTGGCTTTCGGCATACATAATAGCTGCCGGCTAGGAAGAGTGCGCCCCTAGTGGCCATTTTATACCTGGATACATGGGTGCTAATCTACATATGCCGCGATTCTTATATCCAAGGCCATTGCTCAATAGCCTCCTGCTACATCCTCTTCCAACATCCTTTCGTATCTTCTCCAGCCAACTAGGCAACAGAGGCTTTTCGTAAATAAACAATTATTTCATTTGCAAGCGAAACAAGTTTACTGAAGGTACTCCTTGTTCATCTCACGACCGATCAGCATCCGGCGGATCTCGCTAGTTCCAGCACCAATCTCATAGAGCTTGGCGTCGCGCAGGATGCGGCCAGTCGGGTAGTCATTAATGTAGCCGTTTCCACCAAGGCACTGGATGGCATCCAGAGCCACCTCGGTAGCACGCTCGGCGCTGTACAGAATGACGCCTGCGCAGTCCTTGTTGCTGGACTTGCCGCTATCACAAGCACGTGCAACCGCATAGACGTACGAGCGCGAGGCATTCAGCTTCGTGTACATGTCGGCCAGTTTGCCTTGCATGAGCTCGAAGGTTCCAATGGGCTTGCCAAACTGGTGGCGCTCATGGACGTACTGGGCAGTAACATCAAGCGCGTTCTGCATAAGGCCGAGAGGACCACCAGACAGGACAAGGCGCTCGTAGTCGAGGCCAGACATGAGGACATAGACGCCGCGGTCAACCTCGCCGAGGACGTTCTCGGCAGGCACCTCGCAGTCCTCGAAGACGAGCTCGCAGGTGTTTGAGCCACGCATGCCCAGCTTGTCGAGCTTCTGGTGGGTGCTGAATCCCTTGAAGCCCTTCTCGACAATGAACGCGGTGATCTTGCCCTTCTCCATGTCGGTCTTGGCGTAGACAACCAGGGTGTCGGCGTCCGGACCGTTGGTGATCCACATCTTGTTGCCGTTGAGGATGTATCTGTCGCCCTTCTTGTCGGCGCGCAGCTTCATCGACACGACATCGGAGCCGGATCCCGGCTCAGACATGGCAAGGGCGCCGATGTGGTCGCCAGAGATCAGCTTGGGGAGGTACTTTTGGCGCTGTGCTTCAGTGCCGTTGCGGTAGATCTGGTTGACACACAGGTTCGAGTGCGCGCCGTAGCTGAGAGCGACGGAGCCCGAGGCCCGCGAGATTTCCTCCATGGCGACGGTGTGCATGAGGTAGCCCATGTTGACGCCGCCGTACTCCTCGGGGATGGTCATGCCCAGGAGTCCCATGTCGCCAAACTTCTTCCACATGTCCATGGGGAAGGCGTTGTCCTTGTCGATTTGCTGGGCGCGCTCGGCGAGCTCGCGCTGCGCAAATCCGTGCACAGCCTCGCGGAACTCCTCCTGCTCCTCGGACAGACCGGCGATGGCAGCGTTGTAGGTGCTGAGACGAGACGCTTGCGAGACCGACCCCTAGGGAGCTGTGTGGTTTAGACGACGCCTGGCTGGAGGGCATTTCCGTGCAGTAGTGGAATTTCACAAAAGACAACTTACCAGAGCGCGCACACTGCTGGTGCTCGGGCGGGCAAACTTGGCGAAGGCGTGGCGAAGCATGGTTGTATTGTGGATAATTGATGGAGGAAAAGGGAGGGGGTGAGAAACAGGCATCGCCCAGCTGTGCACGAGACCCGAGGAATTTATACCTGGGCGGAGGACGCGCATGCAAATCGGCTTTCTCACGGTTGTCTTATCTCGTGAACCAGCCTCACGCGAAGAACAGGTCGGCTTGAGCGCTCCTTGACGAGTTCTCCAGGCGCTTGGTCTCTCTGTCAAACTGCCTCCACGCCTTGCCGGCGCCGAGCTTCATGCGGGTAATAAGGTTGACTGCGCACCCCCTCGTCAGATTAGCGCTCATCGGCTCCTTGGTGCTCATTTCGCCACCGTCACCGTCGCTGATCTTTAGCTTCTCGCCCAACACTCTCGTCACATCCTCGACGCTGGTCTGCTGCAGCCTCCCGGGTCCTGGCCTGTATCCCTCGGCCGAGCGCTTGACGGCTGCCGGCACCCGGACACCCATGCGCTCGAGCATATTTATCTGGTTGATGGTCGGCGGCTTGTTGCGCCAGAGCGCGCTCCACCTCACGATGCCCAGCTCGTAGTGCTTCAGGTTCATGGTCAGATACGTGTCTACGCCACGGATTGCGTACTCGAGCGTATCAGCCTTCATCTTGATGGCGGTTTCGGGCGTATAAAACTCCTTCCCACCCCTGCTGCCAGTCTTGATGGTCGCGCGGGTCGACGCACTCCAGAGCTCGCTGTTCTCGGGCTTGAACACGAAAAAGAGTCTTCCCGAAACCGACAGCACATAGCGGTTCTTTGAGAGGCTGACCCAGGCGTTCAAGCTCATCGTGCGCAGGCGGATGTCGCCGCACGAGATTGCGTCGAGGTTGGAGCAGTGCCGAGCACTACTGGACGTCGGATCAATGGCATTCAGGTCAAAGAAATGCAGGGGGTTGAGATGCAGGTGTGCCTGGAAGCCAAGCTTCTTCAGTGACTCGATCGATTCAAGTGGCAGCTTCTCAATTTCCTCCTTCAGACGCTCACAAGTGATGTCGCCGATTGCCTCCTGGAGGATCCTGTCGTTCTCCTCGCGCAGCTTCTTCTCCTTCTGCTGTTTTAGCAGCTCCTGCATATCATCTGTGTTGTCTATGTCGAGTCCGTCGAGAGTCATGTGTGGATCAAGGCCCAGGAGACTGGGTACGGTGACCACCGAGGTCTTGTTAGAGAACATGTCGACGAAATCGACAATCAGGCAGTCCTTCTTTCCATCAAACCTGCGCACCCCGCGACCGATCATCTGCTGGAACATGACGAGGCTGCGTGTGGGACGCGACATAAAGACGCAGTCGATATTTGGGATGTCTGTGCCCTCAGTCAGGATTCCGCAGTTGACCAGTACCGGGACCCGGCGTGCCCTGAAATCGTCCAAGATGCGCTGGCGCTCAGCCGGTGGTGTCGTGCCCAAGACCGCCTCTGCATTGACCCCGTAGCTTACAAACAGGTCCTTCAGCGCGTTTACATGCTTGACATCGACGCCAAATACTAGCACTGATTTCCGGCCCTGTGCAATATCGTGGTAGGCGCTGATGATGGCCTTGTTGCGGTCGAGTTCGTTGACGGTCTCAGAGAGTGAGCTGACGGAGAAATCGCCCATGTAACTGCGCACCTTGTCCAGGCTGACCTGTGTCTTGATGGTGACCACCTTCATGGGGCAGAGCCACTGTTCGCTGATCATCTCAAAGAACGACTTTTGGTAGACAATCTCATCAAACACATGATTCAGGCTGAGTCCGTCATGTCTGCGCAGCGTCGCCGAGCACCCCCATACAACCAGGTCCTGGTTCCCCTTTAGTGTGATCTCTACATCCGTCTGCTCGCTGGCATCTTTGCTCGATTCAACGACGCCCACTCCAACAAAGTAGTCGATGATCCGCCGGTATGTCATGGCCGCAGCATGATGTGCCTCGTCAATGATGATGCACTTGAATCTCTTTGGGTCAAACCGCTCAATGCGACTGCTGTTGGCCCTGCCCAGCGTCGGGACGCTCGCAACAATGACATCGGCTGCCGGATTCGCCACGCGCTTGCCCTGGTCAATTTCGACTATGAGGTCGGGCGATGCTTTCCGAATCTGGTTTGCTGCTTGCTCCAGCAGCTCCTCGCGGTGGGCCAGCACCAATGTCTTGGTTGCAATGCTGGTTGGCGGCTTGATTCTTTTTATCAGGTTTGAGAACACGACTGTTTTGCCGCTGCCGACTGGGAGCGACACTGCCTGGCGCTTGACTCCCTCGTCGATGCGCTTGAGGCAGGCGTCGATGCATTCCTTCTGGTATTCTCTGAGCATGTGGATTGCTTGCTGGAAAGGGGCCACCCTCATCAATGGAAATATGCACGGGCAGCAGTAGAAGGGGGGAAAGCGCTATGACGATGGGTTTGGCGCCTGACATCCCGCCTACTTGTATTTGGATTGGTGAGCCAGTTGTTTGTGGGGCGGATAGATTGCACCTGCGGGAGACCCAAATACATATGCACATTCACAAAGCGCCATATGTCTGTCGCAGCTAGCCCCGTCAATGGCCTTCGCCTGCCTGCACACAAAAGCAGAGGGCCGGTAGGGAGATTCATTATCGTCAACACTGGTCCCCGAAACGAAAGCCTGTGAAAATCCCCTGCGATCGGGTATAGTACGCCGAGCGGAGCTCAGTTTTCTTCTACGGCTCTGAAAAAGAAAAAAAAAAAAAACTAACGAGACTTTTCCCTTTGTGGCTGAACAATGCCCCCTTCCTCCTCAATAAAGAGCGCCATTTTGTCGCCTGCACCTGTTGTCGCCTGCATTTCCCCCCTCTTACCCGTGGTTTATTCTTTTTGTTTCGGCACCAACTCTCGCACTCATACTTTGCCTTTTTGAGTTGGCTGAAGGAACTCGCGAGGGAACGAGGGTAACACGATGGCATACAGAAAATCTACGATTGTCCAGCTTACTCCTCCGGGCTCAGTGCCCCGAGCCCAACGGCAGCAGCAGCAGCCAGGGCAGCAGCGCACCTGGCGCAACATGGGCGGTGGTGCCCTGTCGCTGGCTACGCCTGCTACTGCCACAAGCCAAAAACGTTACACAGCGCAGAGCGCCCAGCCAACCGAAACCCGCAGGGTCAAGTTTCGGCGGCCACGCTCCCGGCAGTACAGCAGCGGCAGCCACCGGGCGCGCGGCCGCTCTATCTTGCAGCGAGAGCAGGGTGGCGACACAGAGACGGCGGCCAATGGGATCGTCCAGATTCCAGGAACTTGCAGTGTCCAGCCCTCGTTCTACAACCCTCCCCCATCGCAGCCAGGGCAGCCGGCCGTTCCTGCCTCCTTCAGCTCTTCTCCCTTTTCTCAACCACAGCGAAATTCAGCGCTAATTGAAGGTCCCGACGACATGCACAGCGAACCAGAACCGAGTAGCCACCGTCGGAGCAGCAGCATTCAGCTGCTTGGCCCGCCGCGCCACGTAGTGCTGCGCATGTCGATGAACGAAAATCTAGCAGTGCCCAGTGCGGCTCCGGTGCCGCGGGTGCCTGGGAAACCGGCTCCGATCGGCGTATACGAGCCGGTGGAGAAGGATATTTTGGCCGAGCACCCTGAGAAGTTCACCAGCGATGGGCTGCGCCGCAAGGAGCGCATGTACCGGCTATACGACCACGGCAACTGGCACTTGTTCCGTGGCAGGGTTATTACCGGCAGCCGCCCGTTGCCGTTCATTTCTGCCATCTGCATGGTCGTTACCCCCGTGGTGCTATTCTCGATATTTGTGTGCCCGTACCTTTGGACAGACCTGCACAAGGCTCCAGTGATAGTTTTTGTATATCTGACCGCTCTGACGCTGACGTCAATGATGAAGGCGTCGTTCAGCGACCCGGGCATCATTCCGCGCAATCTGGATGCGATCACCGCACCCGACAACTACGCTATCGACGTTGGCGACCACGCCCAGCAGCACCAGCAGCACCAGCAGTCGCGGTCAGTCCTTGGGGGCGAGTCGCACCGTGCTACATCCAGCACTGCAACCGACCGCATAGGCCACCACCACCCCTATGCCAGCCCGCAGCCACTGCAGTATTACGAGAAACTTCCGCCTCCCTGGGTTCATATTGGCCACGCTGGACGAAGAGATGGCCCGCTCAGCGTGTACGATCCCAAGGTACCGGAGCGCCCCGCGTCTGATCCGTACCTGATGTTTCCACCGACAACAAAACTCGTAGCAGTCAACAATGTCGCTGTGCGGCTCAAGTACTGCGAGACATGCAAGATTTATCGCCCGCCGCGGGCCTCGCACTGCAAGTACTGCGACAACTGCGTCGAGAACGAGGACCACCACTGTATCTGGCTGAACAACTGCGTTGGCCGCCGCAACTACCGCTACTTTTATGGATTTGTGGGTGCACTGACCTTTCTGTGCCTCTACCTCGTCACCTTCTGTCTCGTGCGCCTGATCCTGCCGCTGCACCACGAGCCCGGCCTGTCGTTCCGCCAGTCAGTCAAGCGCCACCCGGTCGTGTTGGCTGTCCTTATTTTTGCCTTCTGGAACGTGTGGCTCGTTGGCGGCCTGTTTGGGTACCACACCATCCTGATTAGCCGCAACATGACCACGCACGAGGTCCTGGGTGCCAAACACTCGGGCGCATATCGGACCCCGGCAGGAGCGACTGGCAAACGGCACCTGCTGTTCCCAAGATTGTCAGCCCGTACTCGCGCGGCTCCTGTGCCAGCAACTGGGCTGCAGCTCTCTGCAATCCTGCTGTGCCTGCTAATGTCAAGTGGCGCACTCGCGTGGATCCAGAGGGAATCGAAGAGCTACTGCCTCGCCACAGCCAACCTTGACACCCCCATCCATCTATCCATCCATCTATTCATCCATCCATCCATTGATCCATTCACATTTCGTATTATCACACTAATCCCTACTTCTACTCGCCATATGTAATATATATTTTTCGATATCACCATGCGCTATTAATATCCTGCACGCTACCAGCACACAGCTTATGTAACTACCCTCCAGCTCCGTTTCGGAGCACGGCAAAATGGTCCTCCCCTGTCTAATAGGATTCTCGGGAGGCGATCACATTTGCACGAACTCCGCCCGATGCACAGGCACATGAATTGCAACTGAGAAACGTACACGTATCGATAGATCACCCCTCGGTATATCCTGCCCGACGACGCGTCATTTAGCGAATGCTTGGCAAAAGTCCGTGTGAATTACCACCAGCACACTTGCACAAACCACCCCCACCGTATAAAATGCGTCTAATTTCCTGCAGCCCTCATTCATTCCATACCAAGCTCCATACTTTGTATTTTATTTGCAACTTCCTTGTCCATGGACACTGCTGTTGACATCATCAAACACGTCATTGCCGAGGCCAATGCCGACCTACGCGAAATCTCGCTGTCTATTCACGCAAATCCAGAGCTTAGCTTCAAGGAATTCCACGCCCACAAGCTCCTGACAGAGTTCCTCGAGAATCGCGGCTACACCGTCGAGCGCACCGTGGCTGGCCTCGAGACAGCCTTTGTAGCCACATATGTCTCGCCAGCTGGTCCTGACGGCTTGCATCTCGGATTCTGCTCCGAATACGACGCGCTTCCCGAGATCGGCCATGCCTGTGGCCACAACCTGATTGCCATCTCTGGTGTCGCCAGCTTCATGGCACTCACTGCAGCTATCGACGAACTGAAAATCGCAGGCACTGTGAAGCTGTTTGGCACGCCAGCTGAGGAAGGCGGAGGCGGCAAGATCTTTATGCACAAGGCGGGCGTCTTTGACGGCACGGATGCCTTGCTGATGCTGCACCCGGGCGGTGGGTTCGACATGGGCGGGTATTCAGGCGCCTGGCACTCACATGCAATTCAGTCGCTCAACATCGAGTACTTTGGCAAGTCGTCGCACTCGGCTCTCGCGCCCTGGATGGGAGTCAATGCTGGCAGCGCAGCTGTCATTGCCATGAACGCACTTGGCGTAATGCGCGAGCAACTGCACCCGACGTGGCGCGTCCATGCAATCATCGAGAGCGGAGGAAAGGCGAATAACGTCGTCCCAGACTATGCCAAAATCTCATGTGGATTCAGGGCCTTCACTGGCGCCGAACTGGAGACATTGCGGGGTATGATGCTCAAGGTGTTTGAGGCTGGTGCTATCGCCACCGGATGCACACACAAGATTACGATGGACCACGAGTTACTCGACAACATCGACAATCCTGTGCTAGGAGGCTACTACGAGGAACTGATGCAGGCCAAGTACAAGGTGCCGCCGTTCCACGAAGATGTCGGTGGATCCACTGACTTTGGCAATCTGTCGCACGATTTCATTTCGTTGCACGGAATCTTTCCACTAGTTGGTGTCAAGGCACCGCCGCATAGTGCACCGTTTGCAGATGCAGCCAAGACCGAGAGCGCTCATGAGAACGCGCTGTTTGCTGCCGAAACCAATGCCCGTACAGCCCTTCGATGCTTGCTCGATCCCGAGTTCTGGGCTGCTGCCCAAAAGAGCTTCAAGGAGCGCAAGCCGCCTGGTTCACCCACCGTGTAAAGACCGATTATATACGTTTGGTAATACATTGCGAAAAACCTATGGAACGTCTATGCACTGAACAGGCTTGTGTCAATCTTGTAGCCGAGCTTGCGCTCGATCATTTTCTGCATGTTTTCATCCAGCAGGCTCTCAGAATCCAACCGTCGACTATTGCCAGTTATCAAGGACCAAATCCAAGAAGCCCCTTCATACAGCGCCATGCTCGTGCTGGCCACAGTAACAGCAATATTGAATGTTAAATAGCTCCACTCGGCAACAATCAGGCCCAGGAATCGACTCAGCAGCATCTCTCGGCTCGACACAACGCCGCGCACCCGGTCAAATCTCCGGTTAGGCGACAGTGCATCGTCGACCAGCATCTGGTGCAGCCCATAGGCCGCGTAATGGCCAAGGATCTTTATCCGGTTCACTGGGATCCCCATGCTGCGGTTGCTGGCCCGGACGATATTCATGTTGCGCGAAACAAACACCAGCTCCTGTGGCAGCTTCCGAGTGCCCTTGAGCGCGGCTATGGCGCGCCTCTTAAACTCCATCTGCTCCTTGTACGCATCCTTCGTGCTGTGTGAGCCATCGTCACCATTTTGCTCTGCCTGCTGCTGGAGCTTGTGCATGTGTGGGTGCCCGGTTAGTGTAGGCGGACGCAATGAGATCATCGTCGAAAACATGTCTGTATCACCAAAGCCCCAATGGCGCACGATATTGCGCATACTGGCGTTGTCACCGATCATTGCCGCGCGCCAAAACTCTGCATACTGCTTGCGGAACTGTCGCGACTCGCGAATGTACAGTCCGTGGTCAAGCAAAACAAGTTGCGGGCGCGATTTGTACTGAGGGTGTTGGCGGACCAGGATGTTGCCTGGATGAGGATCGCCGTGTACGTTGCCTGAGACAAAGATCTGGAATGCAAACACAGATACTACCAGGTTCATAATATCCTTCTCAGACCATCCTTGGCTGGTAAGCCTCTTTGGCTCCACCATGCTTGTACCATCAATCCACTCTGTAGTGAGGACCTCTCGCCGCGTCTCCTCCCAGTGCACCTTTGGAATGTACACTGAAGACCGCAACCACCGATCAGCCAGCTTGTTGAGGTCATCCTGAGCCCGGTCGGCATTGTGGCCCTCGCGCTCAAAGTCTGTCTCCTCGCGCAACCGTTGCTCCACCTCAGACACCGACCACATCATCGGGATACCAAATGCTTTCTCGATCACCAGCGCGCATGTGCGGAAGGCAAACAAGTCCCACGCGATCTGGTGCTTGATCTCGGGCTTCTGAACCTTTACCGCGACCAGCTGCGTCGGATCCCGGCGAAGTCTTGCCGTGTGCACCTGTGCTACAGACGCCGATGCCACGGCTTCCTGCGAGAAGTCAACAAACAGATCATCCAGGGTGCTGCCAGGAAAGTTGCGCTCAATCACGGGCGCAATCTCTGCCACAGGTACAAATGGAGCATTGTCGTAGAGGACACTGAGCTCGCGACCATACGCGGGTGGCAGCAGTGGGCCCTGGAGCGCAATCGATTGCCCAAATTTGATAAACATTCCGCCGTTCTCTTGGCAGCAGCGCAGAAGCCGCTTCGCCCCACGCTCATGGATCATGTTCAGGTGCTCCACCCCACGCTCTGTTCTAAAGTTCAGCTTGTAGTCTATGCAAATGGCTGCAATATCTTTGAATGTCCGCGCAGTCCGAGCCAGCGCCGATGCCTGAAAATGCTTATCGTATGCATATACGCCGGCCGCACCAGACACAGCCAATGCCGTCCGGCTGAGCCAGCGATATCGCCACAGCCTATGGCCGATTCTGCCTAGAGTCATTGCTGCGGTAATTGAGGTAGTGTTTCGCAATTTAGCAAATGGAAAAGAAGCAAGAAGACCAGCAACAGCCAACACCAGCGTCTGCGCGTAAGCAGACATCTCGATAATCAACCTGATTCCTGATCGGTGCTCTGATTAAGACGCGTTTCTAACAGCAGCATTGTACCAGAACAGCTTGCAAGACGCCGATCGCGGAGATGGTGAATCCAGAAACAAGGCGCGGCAGAGACATCTGCGCTTGGTTTATTAATAGACCGTGCCTATCGCCATCCTGTGTCCAAAGCAAGAAATAACATCCTTTGACCGGCTGGGTCTCAGGGCCCCAGTTTGGCTAACATCTTACAATAATTGACCGTGGGATCCCAAATAGCACACGGCGAAAGTTCGAACGAAAAGATCCCAGTCAGGTTCAAAAACACTGTTGACAAGAACACTCGGGGACCATGCTGACAACATTGCGTTGCATCTACAAGCGCGCTGGTGGGTTTTGGCCGGTTCGCGCAGCTTGGACGTCCACGGGTTTCAATCAATTTTATGATAATCCCACCACGAACATACGAAAGAGAACGGGGATTGTTGCTTTGAATGAGCTGGAAAGAGCCGTTTGGGGATGCACCGAATATTCGGTTGAACCTGAGCAAACGAAATGTGACCCGCACCATCTGAGTGGAGTACTCCAATAAGAACGAAAATACCCAGCATAGAAGGAAAGAAGGTCATGTTGGAACAGTAGATCGCCGACTTGGCTGCTCTACGGAGAGCTTCGGCGCAGGAAAAAAGTGGAGAGGTGCCCTCTGATCACCATAGATGTCGGTGAGTTGGGGGTGGAATATTGCGATTGTAGAGCAGCAGATGCTGCTGCTATTCGCGACTACACGCCAGGCTGCCAGTTGGCAAATGGCTGTTTGCTGCAAAGGCATAATTCCCACAGAGGAAGTGTGTCTTCGACCGGCGAACTTTCCGGTTAGACGGTTCCTGTGGAACATTTACACATGTACTCTGGTTTGGATTTTCATAGACAAATACAGCAATGCCATTTATAATTCCCAGCTGGCATATGATACCCATTTCTTCCCCAGGATGCCCTCCCCACTTCTCGCCAGAATATGCCCGTGCAGCAGGTTGCCGTTTTTGTTTACCCAGGGCCATCTGCTGCAAACACGCCGATAGTGCCCTACATCTGCAGTTTCTGCCACCCATTATTGATTCGCACCTCGAGCAATCGCTCTCACCATCGGCCAAACGGGGAAGAACACACCACCGTCGACACGTTTGCCAGAAAAGCCTGAGAGTAGAGCGGCATATATAGAGGACAGCCGCCTCCTGCTCACCCAGTTCATCCAGTCGCATATCGTAGCACGAATACTCTCTTCAATAATCATTCTGCTATTTTGCTCATTTTACCCTTGCTATATTCCCTACTCTAGAATAATTCAACTATTGTGTACACGACCTGACCATGGCGACCCAAGTCGAAAGCCAGGGTGTGCACTACCCCGGCTCAGGAGTTCACGATGAGCTCCAGCACGAGGAATTCAAGGCTGGTGTCGAGAAGAACGGCCAGTACAATGAGGAGGAGGAGGAGGAGGATTCCCCTTTTGAGATGGTCCGCGTTGCTGTCTCCAACAAGGACGACCCCGACCTGCCCTGCCTGACTTTCCGCTCATGGATTCTCGGTATCATCTTTGCAGCCGCCCTTGCCTTTGTCAACCAATTCTTCTTCTTCCGCGAAAACCCCATCACTCTGGGTGGCTATGTCGTGCAGCTGCTGTCGTTCCCGCTGGGCTTTGCCATGTCCAAGGTGCTGCCGACGCGCAAGTTCCGCACATTCGGCTTCGAGTGGACCATGAACCCGGGCAAGTTCAACATCAAGGAGCATGTGCTCATCTCCATCTTTGCCGGCACGTCGGTGGGTGTTGCCTACGCCATCGATGTCGTGACCATCAAGAAGATGTGGTACAACTCCGATATGGGCTTCGGTCCCAGTGTGCTGTTCCTGCTGTCGTCGCAGGTCATGGGCTACTCGTTTGCCGGCCTGTCGCGCGAGTTCCTGGTCTACCCCTCCGCTATGATCTGGCCGGCCACGCTGGTGTCGGTGACCCTGTTCCGTACCTTCCACGAGCACTCGGTCTGGAACGGCTGGTCGCGCACGCGCATGTTCTGGGTCTGCTTCGCTGCCAGCTTTGCGTGGTACTGGGTCCCCGGCACCATCTTCCCGACGCTGTCGATGATTGCGATTCTGTGCTTTGCTGCCCCCAACAACGTCATTGCGCAGCAGATTGGTGACGCGCCCCACGGTCTGGGCATCCTCAACCTCACGCTGGACTGGAGCTACATCTCGTCGGGTTTCACGGGCTCGCCCATCGCCATCCCGTGGGTCATGGCTGCCAACGTGTTTGCCGGCTTCGTCATCATCATGTGGATCATCACCCCGATCGGCTACTACACCAACACCTGGGGCCACGGCATCTACCCGATCTACACCGCGTCGCTGTACCTGCCGGACGGCGGCCGGTATAACATCAGCGAGGTCATGACACCTGACCAGAACTTGGACCCCGTCAAGTACGAGGAGTACGGCCACCTGCGCATGTCGTTCCACTTTGGTCTGACCTACGGCATTGGCTTCGCTGGCCTGATGACTGTGCTGTCATACATTGCTCTGCACCACGGCAAGGACATTGTGCAGCGCGTGCGCCAGTCGCGCTCGATGGACGACGACATCCACGCCAAGCTTATGCGCCGCTACCCCGAGGTCCCGCAGTGGTGGTACCTGGTCACCTTTGCCATCACCTTCGCCATGTCGATCATTGTGTGCGAGGTGTGGAACCTCATGAACTGGTACTGGGTCATTCTCAGTGTCGTGCTGCCCTTCATCTTCACCATCCCGATTGGCATCATCCAGGCGCTCAGCAACCAGCAGCCAGGCCTCAACATCATCACCGAGTTCATCATCGGCTACGGCCGGGTTGGCGACCCCATCGCCAACGTCACCTTCAAGGTGTACGGCTACATCACCATGGCCCAGGCGCTGCTGCTCGTCTCGGACCAGAAGCTCGGCCACTACATGAAGATCCCGCCCCGCACGCTGTTCATTGCCCAGCTGGTGGGCACCATCATCTGCGCCTTTGTGCAGCTGGGTGTCGCGTACTGGCTCATGAACACAGTCGAGAACATGTGCAAACCCGAGGGCCGCCCGTGGACGTGTATCCAGGCCAACACCTTCTACTCGGCGTCGGTCATCTGGGGTCTGGTTGGCCCGGGCCGCATGTTCGGCAGCGACAGCCCCTACCACGTCGGCCTCTACCTGTTCATTGTCGGCGTGTTCCTGCCTGTGCCGTTCTGGTACCTGCAGAAGCGCTACCCGAACAGCCTGTGGAAGCACGTCCACATCCCGCTGCTGTTCTCGGCCTCGGGCTACATGCCGCCGGCGCCGTCGCACATCTACGTCAACTGGTTCATTGCCTGCACTATCTTCAACTACTTCATCCACAAGTACCGCAACCAGTGGTGGCAGCGCTATGCGTTCTCGCTGTCGGCCGGCCTTGACTGCGGTCTTGCGATCTCGGGCATCATTATCTTCTTTGCGCTCCAGAACGTGGTAATTCCGACCTGGTGGGGCAACCCCGAGTCTGGCACGCACTGCCCGCTGGCGAACACTGGATTCAAGCCTCTTCCGGAGCCCATCGCTTAGTATTATTTCAGTCCATTCATTCGAAGAATATGCTCACAGAGTGTCTAGTCAGAATCTGAGGTTGCATTGCCCGCTAGCCCAAGCCTAACCCCGTGCAGGCGGCGTGGCTCGCGGCAATGGCAAACTATGAGCAGCATGTGCAATATATATCGGCCAGTTGCTCACAGGTTGGGTCAGTCTGTGGGGTATGGCGTTGGCGTTGGCATTGGCGTGCGGAGGGCTGTGTGCTGGCCATCTCTCCAACAGAGCACAGCCGCCGTGTGAAATGGACAAGGGTTCAGGGGCTCAAGGGCAGTGCGATCCGCATATGTTCTAGGCGGAAGCATCCCAGCTGGTCGGCTGCATGGCAGACAAAGCGTCCGCCTGCATATGCCGCTCCCGGATCAGGTGGCCATGGGAGTGGGCATGAAGGCAGGTCGTCCCAGCAATGCTGTGTGTGCCAGCCAGGATGGCCGGATGGCCCCCGCCGTGCCAGCGATGATAGCGCCGGAACGTACTTTTGGTTGAGGAAAGGAGCGATTCGCCTCAACCAAATCCCAGCCGCATGCATACCCCTCACACCTGCCCAAGAAAGGCAATGCCACTCGCCGGCACGCTTTAAAGGCAGGGGTCGATCTCTTGGAGAGATGAGAGCGAAAATATCGCATTCCCTCCTCTGCTCTCCTTGGCCGCCATCCCTTTCCCTCCCGCTACTTTGCTCTCATTGCATTCGCAACATTCACATTCTGTGGGAAATTCCTCACATACAAGCCATGAAACCGACATCCATCTCTATTGTCTTGGACACAGACACGGTCAGCCTGTTCGGCGAGCGCACACAGGCTGCCGGCCACATCCTGACTGGCAAGGTTGTTGCCAGGTTCCGCACCACAACCAAGGTGCGCTCGCTGGACGTCTCATTCACTGGCGAGCAGGCCATCAGCTTCACACCACGCCCTGCCAGCGCCAGTGCCCGGGGCCGGCAATCACCAGTGACTGCAAACAGGCGTCTGGCAGACATCTCGCAGCAGCTGGTAGTACCGGGTGCCGACAAATCCACAGCTACATTTAGCGCCGGCATGCACGAGCTGAGATTCGAGCTGGTGCTGCCAGGCGACCTGCCACCGACGGCCAACCTCCTGTTTGGCAGCATTTCATACACTGTGCGTGCCAAGCTAACGCTGACAGGTCTGCGGTCAAACTGCAGTGCACAGACACCGGTGGTGGTGGTGCGGAATCCCGGCGAAGGCAGCGAGTGGGCAGACGCAAGCGCCGATGCTCTGAGCGCCAGCGCTGAATGGGAGGACAAGGTCAAGGTGACGCTGGCCCGCGACTCTCACATCGTGGCAGACAGCGCGCTGGCCCAGTTCACATGCATTGTCGAGCCTGGCATCAAGGGGCTGCGTCTAATGGCGCTCGATCTGGTGCTCAAGGAGGTGCAGACGGTGTTCCGCGATGCTGGCCATGTGCCGGTCCACAGAGAGACGCAGGTGATTGCACGCAAGCGCATTGCCTTTGGCAGACAGGGCTCCGCAGCCGACAGCCGGGAAGAGCACCGGGTGGCGCTAAATATGCCGGCTGCCTACGAGGATGTGCAGTTCGAGCTCCAGTCCGACAGCGTCACCGTGCGGCATCAGGTGGTGCTGACAGCGCTGGTCAAGGCACCCGAAGGCGCTATTGTCGAGATGACCATCCCCGCCTATGTCTCGGTGCTGCCAAATGCCGGCGCCAACGGCACCATTGACCTTCCCCTGTACGAGAGCTCGGGCTCTGACCGGCTGATCCAGACATCCCAGTCTGTCATTTTACCAGGCGCTCTGTCTGATTACGGCGCCCAGTCTGCTGGTGCTGACAGCGCCGTTGCAGTGACTCGTGACCTGCCGCCATATTCGCTGCCTGTGTGCCCGTCGTGCGGCAAAGAGGACGTGTCTGTGCTGCAGTGCCACACGGCGGCTGCGGTTAGAATCAGCCGGATGCCCCCCAATGCCGAGATCGAGGACCTGTGTGCTGAACTATGAAAACTAGAGCGTGGAGTGGGCTGTATTTATAACAAAACATCATAAAGACTGGTGTCCGAAGGGTGTATTACTGAAGAGTGAGGCAGGGTGTCAGGCAGTGGCTTTCAAGGTAGTTGGCTGCTTACAGCTGTCGCTTGAGCCATCCCCAGCCGGCGTTCTCGATCTGGCGCTTGAGCCATTGCTCGCTGGCGTTCTCGACCTGACGCCTGCCATAGGCAACCGGGGCATTGCCGTGCTTGAGCCATTCCCAGCTGCCATTCTCGATCTGGCGCTTGAGCCATTGCTCGCTGGCGTTCTCGACCTGGCGCGTCAGCCATTCCAACCCAACATTTTCGATCTGCCGACGCTCAATAGCATCCACATTATCAGACTGAGGGGCAGGTACTGCCATGGCGACAGCAGCAAGGAGGAAAGCAGGCGCAAAGAGCTTCATGGTTGATGAGTGGGTTACTTGAGGCGCTGATGGTCGGGAGGGTAATAGGGGGTTTGGAGGGTAGGAGGCAGAGGGAAACAGTGGTACCTGGGGAGGATGGTTTCGCTAGTGTCAGGACTGGCAGTGATGTGTTCTGCTTGAAATCTGCGGACAAACCATGCTCATTTATACTCGTGTATGTCAGTACCGCCAAAGTCGCTAGGGAAGCGAGCAACAGCTGTTGCTTGCCGAAGGCATCCACAATTGCACAAGCGACATCTTGAGTGGTGAACACATGCACAGCTAGTTCTTTTGCTGGTTATTGTCCCAAACATCCGACCCAAGGCATGGTGTGGTGTCACTTGGTACATGATCGCCCAGACCTAAATTCCAGAAGGCGGGTCGAAGTCGTGGCGCATTGGCTACAAGACCTTCACGCAGTCTGTGTGTGTGAGCTAGTACATTCTCTATTGCTTGTGTTTTCAGCTACGCTGGTGTCTGGTCGAGCACATTCTCCGCGAACCAAACTGGCCAAGATACTGGCTGCTGAAATGGATTAATAGACGGAATGTCACTGGGATGGTATGATTTTCGCTCAGCTCAAAACACAAGCAATTGTACAAGCGCCTGAAACAACAGCCACAAAAAATCAGCTTTTTCTAGCTCACAGCATCCTAACAGTATTTTTTTGTAGGGACACTAGCATAACCTTCATCTACTAGCCATAAAAATATAACTTCAACCTCAATAGCTTCTTACATAGAGTGACTACAGCTAAAAGTGATACTTGTTGGAAGCTGGATCATAGTTTGCTTTGGCTGTAGGATCCACATATACATGTGGCTCTTGTTCAGGTGTGTATGACAGTACCTCCTTAGATTGAAAGAGTGAACAAATATCTAGCCACTACTGGTAGAATGTGCTTGCTGGTAGCAACATATTTATTCTGGCTGAGACGATACTGAAAAATACTATTTACGACAGTACTGCATGCACAAAGTCTGGTTGAAGAACGAGAACTTCCCCCCCCATCCTGACCAAACCTAAACGATGTGACAAGTGCTGCATTAACTTCTGGTGTCTGGATTGACCTGGGAATGTAATGCAACAGATGTTCGAAAGGAAGTAGCGGATCTGAGAGAAATATTGAAATATTGTTATGAGTGAGGAAAAACTGAAAAGCCGGACGCCGAGTTAATGTGCAGGCTTTTATGCCAGGAATCTGTGCAATGACCACAGATTCCATTGATGGTGAACTGGAGCTTATGTCATAGCACTAGCGCTATGACGTAAAGAGGAGGCTGTTAGATGGGTGCAGATGTGGTGAAGTCAGAGTGATTAAAGAATCGCATGGTGAGTGGTACCATAGGCTTCAACGGGATCATATGTATATGCACCATATCTATTCACTTACAAGCCCTTAATATTGTTACGAATATTGTGTTTGGAGAATATTTATGCGTCCCATGTGAGTGCGTACTTATAAAATTTCTCTGCTTGCGATGTGAGTCTGGCTGCTAGCCAGCATGGCTTGACATGCTGATAAAAGCATTACAGTAAACCGATAATCTGAAAATGTCGGATGATTGCTAGTGAAATGATGATCTCGGACGTCTCCTGTCTTGATGACCTGCTCAGCGCAAGCGTTTCCGCCCTGGTTCGTTGCTGCTGGCTGCCGAATCGCCTGTAGCTGCAGTACACCTCTTGTGCGGCCTCCTTATTGCTGGAGTAGCGCCAGAAGCATTGGTAGCAATGGCCCTGGAACGGCGGAACCGTTCAGGAACATGCCGGAATGTCTACAGCGACTTTTCGCAGCAGAACAGACATATTAATGATATCCGGAATTCGTCGATCAGATAGACTTCAAAGCCATGGTGCTTGAACTTGTCGTGCCATCCCTTGCCACGAATCGGCGCATGGTGTCGAGCCATCGGCGCACTCCGGTTGCCCATGATCAGCACTGGATCTGGACTGAACTTGCTCCGGAGTTTCGCGGCAAGCCAAGACAAATAGCGCTTTGAGGTAGGGCTCTGAACTCGATTCTATCAATGCTTTTAGGATGTATATTTGACACCTTGGGATCTGAATCCATCGATTAATGAGATAATACTGTTTTAGGAGTTCACAGAACAAGTCACACACCGGCTTTGAAGGACCCAAAAGAGCCTGAATCGTTTCAGCCACTCAAAAGCGCTCTAGCGGACAGTTGGACACCTTTGGACTATAAAATCATATACAGCTGAGAGATATACCTGAACTACTGGCAGCAACTTCACCCTTTACTTTTGAATCCCAGCATGGCCTGCGTTGTCTATATCCGGCTATGGTATGTGCCAGCGGCATTTGTCCATTGCTCTGTGCACATTTAGATGGCGAGTAAGACTTGCATAAAAAATGAATGGCTGTGGCATAAATTGGGTATGAATTTTGGCTCCACGTTTTTAGCTACAATGCTTTTGAGTACACAAGAATCACTAGCATATTTTTATTTCACCTGAAGTACTGTTTATAGAGAACGAAAGGAACCATCTGTAGCCGTCGAAAAAGTAGGTTCGCCGTTCACAGACTGTGCAATTTTCAAGCAGGAAGACCATGGATCCACAACATGGCTTTTTGCAATAATCACAGACCTTGCATACCAAGTGATGTATACTAGATCAATAATATTTAGTAAAAGACATGGTACAGCTGCCGTTGGATTCTAAGCACAGCAGTCTTTAGAAAAACAAGCGTATGGCTCTGAATCAACAACGCTTTCTGTTCAACTACACAAGCAATAATAGGTGCTTGAGCAAGAGTATATATTTTCTGAATGGCATATGAATGTGACGCTTGTTGTCAACAGATCTAAATGAGTTTGCAGAACAATATACGCACAGGAGTAAAAGAGAGCCCATCAGCCTTGAAGCATAGTCGGATTCTCTACAATATGATCACTTTGGCGAAAACAATGGCCCAAAAGTCAAACATGTCATCCTTCACTTCAATGCTTTTCAGATCAATGAATGTTAGTGCTGCCAATAGTGGGCTTGAGGCTACATCTTGTTCCAGCGTGGTGGTCAAGCAATGGTGCGCTCTCCCAGAAGACTTTCGGAAGACAAATGGTATATAAACAAGGTATATACAAATCTTGGATCCAGCATCATCTCATCTTGATTCTGCCTTTACCTTAGCAAACTATAATATTCTAATTACCTGTGCCGGAATGTTGAGGTCATCTACGCTCGCTGCTTCATTTCTTGCCCTGTGCGCTACCGGTTCAAATACCAATATCTACCTGCCTGAAGGATACGCTGTCGGTGTTGGCTCACAAGGATCACCAACTCCGGTCCTGGTTCCAGTTCCCGCACAGCTACCCGAATCAACGGCCCTCTTTTCGACAATAAGCGGCATCATCACACCAGTGGCAAATATCGATGCAGCTGCTACACCTACTCCTGCGTCCAGCTATCCTGGAAATCAGTCTGGTACACAAGCTGAGGTAGGATACACACCACAGACTGGGGTGGCCGCTGAGCAGTTCAGCCTAGCAAATGCTAGCGCTGCCGCCCAAGAACACAGCAGCGCCTATGGCCACAATGGTGCAACTACTGAAGCAGGCACTCCGGGCAGCCTGTCGAGCGAGCTTGGCAGGCTTTCTGGAGATCAGCCGAGCGATCACAGCGTTGGCTCGTTGAGCTCCAAACATCACTCTGCCTCGCAACTGTCGTCTGAGCAAGGGTCGGGTGCACAGTCGGCTATTTCCGCAAATGGCATGGCAACAGCGCTACTGGTCGTTGGTACGATGCTCGCAGCGACCATCTCAAACCTCTGACCCCTAGCACTGTGGAGAACAAGAAGCGCGGCGCCGGCTGATGAGGAGACGGCATGTGCCCAGTCTGCCAGAGCACTGCGGCCACGCATCCCTACAGTAGCATGTGACCTGCGCTGGACTGGCTTTTGTTGCTGCCCGAGTTCCAGGATTAAAATTTTTTAGCGCGGGTTTAAAAAAATTCAGTGCCTGGCTAGAGGCGAGGAGCGGGAGGATTGCCCACCAACGATTTGCCAGTGGGCCGGCTGTTTTTTCTTGTCCTGCCGCTTGCCCCAAAAATGCTGCTGGCGCTTGGGCGATAAGCGGATCGCATCAGTGTGGGCTCCTGAGTTTCGTTGGCATTTATTAGCTGGGGCAGACTAACGAGGCACCTCCGATTATCTTCTCTTTTCTCTCCTCTTCTCTGTTCCTGAGCTTTATCTGCACTTCCAGCTCTTTCTTCTATCGTTCCCACAGCAGCCACACAACGCGACAGGGTTTATGCTTTGGTGACCAGCGTGTTTCTCGCCACTATTTTGTCTTCAACCACCTCCAACATACCAGCAGCAATTTCGCCGGCATTCCGTGCCCTGTGTCCGACTCCGACGCGGATACTCTACCTCTTCAGACACTCAGTATTATAGCGACCATTTTATAGCGGCGGCCTAGAGCTCAGGGAGATAGCATCTAATTCCTGACCTCGGTATCTGCTCCACGCAGCAACTCTCACTTTTCCAATCCCCTATTCAGCAGCTTACCACCGGATTTTTGGCGAGCACCAGCTTCTAAAACCAGCAGCACCCCCCCTCACCGCCAACTACTTAAATGACAGCAGCCCTTTTCTCTTCGTCGACCGTCGGTGATGCCCAGCACGGCATGAGCGTCACCGATAATACTATTGCCGAGACTAAACAGTCTACCACCCCGACGTGCAGCAACAACGGCACGCACAGCGAGGGATACACGGGCGCTTTCGAGGGCCCGGAGAAGCTCCTGGAAATGTGGTTCGCCCCTAATGCGCAGGCGGCGAAGCTTGTCAACCAGGCCGGCAAGCTCAGCGACGAGGACTTTGACCAGTGGTCCGAGGTTCGCGATGGCTTGCGGTGCGTGCCGCGGGCGGTCTGGCGCGACATGCTCGACCTTGTCCACTGCCAGGTCCTGAACACGCTCTGCAACGAGCACCTTGACTCATATCTCCTCAGGTACGTGTTCTGTATGCAACTACTGTTACTTGCTTGGGAGCCTTGCTGGGTTCCTGTTTGAGTTTTGCTATTTTTGCGTGCAGTCTGCCATGATTGACACCAGCAAGCATGAGTATGAAACGCTGGGTGGCTGTGTTTCCCAGGCATACAAGGTTGCCGATGCGGGTGTGGATGGCTGATTTGGGGATGGGGATGGGGATGGTTTATGCTCAATTTATGCATTTCATACTTACTCGGCATATGGTGTAGTGAGTCCTCGTTCTTCGTCTACCCCCACAAGCTCGTGCTCAAGACCTGCGGCACGACGACCTTGCTGTATGCCATCCCGCGCATCCTGGAAATCGCGCGCGCCTACCTTGGCGTTGTTGGCGCCTACCAGGTCTTTTATTCGCGCAAGAACTTTATGTTCCCCGACCAGCAAGAGGAGCTGCACAGCTCATGGGAGCGGGAGGTCAGGTACCTGGACGAATTCTTCCCTGAGGGATCCGCGTACCTGATCGGCAAGACCAACCGCGATCACTGGCACCTGTACCTGAGTGGCCCCTACGACACATCTGCCATGCAGACTGCCGCAGAGAACGCCGCTATGCTCGATGGTGCGCTGCTTGGCCAGACCATCGCCTCTGACCTAGACCACGGCTACACAGCCCGGGCTGCGCACGACGAAGACACTGTTCACAACTCGATGGCTGGATCTCCGCGCATCCACCCGCTGAGCCGCAGTTCTTCTCGCTCAACTGTCCACGGTCTTTCCGAGGGCCACGAGCTTGACTCGGCGGCTAGTCTTGAGGACCCTGTCCATGGCCTCGGTAGCGCAGCTGCCATTGGTGCCGACACAACTGTCGAGATCTTGATGACTGGGCTCGATCCCGACCGCATGCGTCTCATGTACATTGATGGTATTGGCGCTGAGGAGGGATCCCGCGGTGGCAAGGCTGTTGAGCGCGCATCAGGCATTGCCGATATCTATCCCGAGTCGTCGACCGACTCGTTCCTGTTCTCGCCGTGCGGTTTCTCGCTCAACGGCCTGCAGGGCGATGGGTATTACACAATTCACGTTACCCCTGAGGCGCACTGCTCGTACGCCAGCTTTGAAACGAATGTGTCCAACGACCGGGCGATCGACCTGCTGAACCCAGCCGGGGTCAAGAATCTGGTCGAGCAGGTAACGCGCGTGTTCGGCCCGCGCTTTGTCACGGTTACTGTTTTCAAGGCCCGCAACGACTCTCTGCCCAACCACACTACCAATACCTCGCCTGCTCGTGGCGTGGCTGCTGCTGGTGCTGCTGCTGACCAGGTTGGTGCCGAGAAGGAGCTGGCCAAGAGTGCTCTGCACCTTGACCTTGATGCTGCTCCGCCGACGTTTGCCCCGGTTGAGGGATACAAGGCTGTCGACCGCGTGCTCTACGAATTCGACCACTACTGGCTCCGCTACGGATACTATGTCAGAAGCGACTAAGGCGGACCACAGTTGGAGTTTTAACTAATGACCTTTTTTATTTTATCTTGGATTTCCATGTTTACGTCACGATTTTGTCACCAGTTCCCCATATCACATTCGAAGCGTGTGCGGATTGCAGACAATTTCCGACGCTGTATGACACTGTCTTCTCCACGTCTAGTGTCTATTTGTCTGCATCGTCTGCATCGTCTGGTAGTATGATTCGCAGTCCTTCGTTCGCGCTACGAAACATTGTCCCGCCAAAGGACCCGAAGCCGCTGTGGGCACGGTACACACCCACTGCACTCGAGCGCACTGTGGCACTAATCAACAGCCATCCCGTCGTCTTATTTGCGCGACGCAACTGCGACACCAGCGAGAAGATGATCTCTGAACTCGCCAAATCCCAGATCGAGTTCCGGCTAGTCTATCTTGGCGATATGACGGCTGGAAACATCATCCAACGCCGGCTCCAGGAGCTTACGGGGCAGTGGACTGTGCCCAGCATGTTTGTCAAGAGCCACCACATTGGCGACTACAAGGAGACTGTAGAGGCGATAAAGCACGGCAGAGTCAAACAGATTCTAGATTCAGATCAGTGGATAGAACTTGTATACGCGGTGCGCCCGGATGTGTGGGCCAGAGACGCCAAACTGAAAGACAAGTCGCCAATGTCTTTTGATATGTGCCTGCAAGACTCGCACCGATTCAACTATGTTCATCGACAGCGGTGGGCAAAAGTCAAGCGGTACTGGGGAATGCATCCAGCAATTGAGGATATTCCTGCGTATACTCGGTCATTTAAGAAACTGTAGCGATACCAGTGGAATATAATGTAAACAAATGCTAGTTTGATATGTGGAAGCGTGATGTGGAAAAGGGGTGTACGGGAAAAGATATTGAAATGTGAGACATAAAATAACACGGGTGACAAGATAAAAAGGATATGTTTCAGCACAGATGTGTGAACAGGATATCTCTGGATAGACCCAGGAGCGGGCGAGTGTAGACAATGGGCTGGATATTCAGAGCCGAAATAAGCTTGGTAAAGCGATGCGCGCTTTCCTGGTCACTCGAGGTCAACGTCCCAGCGCGCGACCGCGATTCATGGATGATTTCATCGACATCCATGCCCGACAGTGAAGCGCGCGGTCTACTTGCAAGAGTCTTATATTCCGGGTGGTCTTCGGACATGCTCTTTGCAAACCTGATGCATCCAAAATTGGCAGGGAGCGACGAGTCAACAGATTCATAGGTGTCGACAAGAGTCTGCGTGCTGGCTTTGCGCATGCGGTGCGCATCACGGACAACAAATTCTGGCGACAGCACTCCGCCCAAGCTCGAGATGATATTAGGGATATCGAGTGTCTCTTCCTCATCGTTGGTGGCAGGCTCTAAAGCAACGCGTGGCGATATTGGGCCTCCCAGCATGGATATCAATGAAGGAATGTCAAGTCTAGCCACTGGTGCTGACGACACATTGGGGGTGACAGTAGCACCTAGTTCGTGAACAGACTGCTTGGGGCTAGCGAAAACGCACTCAGGGTCATGAGGGAGGAAGGGGTTCGTAAGGTACTCTGTAGTGCACAGCCCATTGATAACCTCATCGACATGCAGGGCAGCAGAGAACGCCGGTTCGATGACGCGACCAAGCGATACAATGAGCTTGGCTGAATCCAGCATAGGTCTGGCGAGAGGAATAACCAAATCCGTGACGGCGTTCGCACTGCCAAGAGCCAGAATGAGTTCGTCAACGTGAAGGATGGTAGGGAACATCGGTTCAATCACGCGACCGAGTGACGAAACCAACTCGACTGGATCCAATGCTGGAACTAGATCAGGAACAGCCAAATCCGTGATGGCATTCGCACTGCCAAGAGCCAGAATGAGTTCCTCAGCGTGAAGGATGGTAGGGAACATCGGTTCAATCACGCGACCGAGTGACGAAACCAACTCGACCGGATCCAGTGCTGGAACTAGATCAGGAACGACCAAATCCGTGATGGCATTCGCACTGCCAAGAGCCGTGATGAGTTCGTCAGCGTGAAGGATGGTAGGGAACATCGGTTCAATTACGCGACCGAGTGACGAAACCAACTCGACTGGATCCAATGCTGGAACTAGATCAGGAACAGCCAAATCCGTGATGGCATTCGCACTGCCAAGAGCCAGAATGAGTTCCTCAGCGTGAAGGATGGTAGGGAACATCGGTTCAATCACGCGACCGAGTGACGAAACCAACTCGACTGGATCCAATGCTGGAACTAGATCAGGAACGGCCAAATCCGTGACGGCGTTCGCACTGCCAAGAGCCAGAATGAGTTCCTCAGCGTGAAGGATGGTAGGGAACATCGGTTCAATCACGCGACCGAGTGACGAAACCAACTCGACCGGATCCAGTACTGGAACTAGATCAGGAACAGCCAAATCCGTGATGGCATTCGCACTGCCAAGAGCCAGAATGAGTTCCTCAGCGTGAAGGATGGTAGGGAACATCGGTTCAATCACGCGACCGAGTGACGAAACCAACTCGACTGGATCCAATGCTGGAACTAGATCAGGAACGGCCAAATCCGTGATGGCATTCGCACTGCCAAGAGCCAGAATGAGTTCATCAACGTGGAGGATGGTAGGGAACATCGGTTCAATCACGCGACCGAGTGACGAAACCAACTCGACCGGATCCAGTACTGGAACTAGATCAGGAACAGCCAAATCTGTGATGGCATTCGCACTGCCAAGAGCCGTGATGAGTTCGTCAGCATGAAGGATGGTAGGGAATACCGGCTCAATCATGCGACCGAGTGACGAAACCAACTCGACCGGATCCAGTACTGGAACTAGATCAGGAACGGCCAAATCCGTGACGGCGTTCGCACTGCCAAGAGCCAGAATGAGTTCGTCAACGTGGAGGATGGTAGGGAACGCCGGTTCAATCACGCGACCGAGTGACGAAACCAACTCGACCGGATCCAGTACTGGAACTAGATCCGGAATGGCTTGATTGACCAAAATACTCTCACACCCTAAGCGCTGGATGAGCTGCTCAGTGTCGACCAACAACGACGTCTCTTCCGTAAGATTGGGAGCAACGGCAATTCCCAGTCCATTGACCAGCTCCACTGGGTCCACCTCTAGGAACTGTGCCTCCGGCTCTCTTAAAGTAGCACCAAGGTGCTCTACCAATTCAGCATCACCTAGCTGCTCAATGAGGTCATCGATTTCGAGCAATGAGAACACATCTGGATCCACAAAAGTAGGATGGTGAACAGCAGTATTTCCTGTGGACCGGCACTGGAGCGCATCCGAATGATCGGCGATTTCGAGCTCCTTCAGCAGCTCGTCGATGTTTCGAATAGAGAAGGGAGAGTCAACGATTGGTACCGTAGCTACTGCAGAATTTACACATAGGCCTGCGAAGGCAGAGCTGCACACAGCAGTGGGATTGCCAAGGGTACGAATGGTTGCCAATATGTCAAGACGCGCTGGAGAATCGGGTTCATCGTGCACTGCTGTAACAGTAGCTGCTGGCGAGACCGCAAAATTGGGGTCTTGAGTCCATACTGAGCATTTTGGCTCGTCAACGAAACCGCCATCCATCACCACATCAGAACACTTGTCGATTTGGTAGAGTTCGTTTAGATCCAGGAGCTCAATCGGTTCGTCGGGCATTTGGTCGTGTGATGTTGCCCGAGGATCAAGGCTGGAGCTGTACTGCTGGCTGAAGGAGCTGTCACTCAGGGCCACTGAGGTGTGCTTGTCCTGCAACAGCGATGTACGGGTGGCCTGCTGCATTTCGACCTGGATCTTGTTGGCGCTTTTGCTGCTCCTCTTCAGCATGGGCTTTGTAGATTCTTCTTCAGCAAGTTCGATAAGTGGCTGCAACTGGGAAGTTGTCTGAGACAACCCCGACTCAGGGGACGCATACCATGTGCCAGATTGCGCTGGTGACGGCGGGATGAAGCTGGTTGTGTTCTCGCTGTAGGCGAAATCGAGCGAATCAAGGCCAAGGCTCCTGCTGGAGAAATTCAAAGGCGACCTTACCTGTGAATCCAGTTTAGACGGTGTCTGCGGGGCGCTGGGCAGGGTGCGGGTAGGTGACGCTTGACGAGCTGGCTTCCACGGCACGAGTGGTGGCTGACCATTGTCTGCAAACAACTCGTCCAAAGGCGGCTACAAGAACGCGTCAAACGGCAAATGAGGAATCAATATTTGGCCTCCGCTAAATACAGCAGGCATCCAAGTGGCGACCATTTACATTGTAGCTGAGGGTTGCAAGAACAAACGGGAATGCATGGCCCCAAATGTATGAGTTCATTTTACCCAACCTGCAATGGCGCTGCCAGATAGAGGCTATCGATGAAGCAAACATCTGGGAGTGGTCCTGACCCGCTGCATTGCATGGGCGACACAAAGGTGTGCAGCACATAAGCCCTGTTTGGACCAGAAGGTGTGGTAACAGAGCAAGTGCATATTACGACTGCCATGGATGTCAAAATGAAGCGGCAGGTGGTTGCAGGGGCCAACACCTAGCAGAGCCAGCAATAACAAAACAAAACGCAACCATACTGAGTCGCTTACCTTGTGGCGCTCCCGGTCTTGTGGAATCTCTGCCATGCTGTCCTCTGGCAGTTGCCGGAGCTCTGTCATGTGGCATGTTTTAGGCACCGACGCACACGCCTGCTCCAGAATGTCCACACGTGCGTCCATCATCGGGCTCTCTTCGCCAGTAATCGGATCGTAAAATACCGGCTCTGCAAAGTCATCAGTGCCATGTCGGTGGAACAGCTTGCGGGCTGCAGTGAATATGCTACGCACACTGCGGTTGGAATGTGACGACGACGGTCGCCGCTCACTGTGATACTGCTGGATGTGCACGCGATCGCCGGTAGAGGCCGTGTGTGGGCTGGCAATGTCTGCATCCTGTGGATCTTCTGATGGGTGCTTGCGCCGGAGACTACCGCTGCGGAACAGCCGCTTGATTGACTTGCCGGTGGTCGATGTGACCCGGCGCAGGCCCGTGCTGAGCCGGCGGTGCGAATGCTCAGGCGATACAGGCTCTGTGAACCGCCGTCGTGGCGAGATGTTCGCAGGTTTCGATGGATCGGTCATTAATAGAGATGAATATCGTGAAGTAGTAGCGGGATAGGAGAAGGTTATAGATGTGCGGGAGAATAGAATAAAGTAGAATAGGGAGGTTAGGAGTATCGGCTGTAGAGGAGATAAAACAAGAAGGAGCTGGGTGTCCCCATCTGCGCTTGGAACCTGGGCTTCTTTTTAAGGGAACCGCGGGGCGGTCTTCCTTCTGAAAAGTCCTGGCAGCACAGGCGTGGGGGCCGCCGATGTACAGTGCGCCACTGGGGCAAAGACTTCAGAGCAACAGTCCCTCTCCCTGCGAGCTATTGGGGCCGTTTTCTCGCAGTCAGCTCAGGTGAGTGGAGCGAGCGATAAGGCCACCAGTCCGATAAAAGCTGCACTGGAGATCGCTATCGCAGGACTGGGCCGGCTCCATCATCTCCTGACGCAGGACTAGCCAAAGGTGCAGGTGGTCACAGAGGCAGGTTGTCGCGCACGGGGCAGGTCTGCAGTGAACTGCGGCTCCGATAGTAACTGGGCCTCAGAATCAGCCCCGCTTCAGCGAGCATTGCTCATTACGTCGGCCGAACCTCCTGCATTGTTTGCTGGTACGAGCCCAGCATGGCACTCGGGGGACAGCGCTCACGTTTGTGCGAGTTCGTGTGCAATTAATGCCGCTATATGGTCACGGGGCAAGAGGAGCCGCCGCGGCCTGGGCTAGTTCTTTTGGATGGGAAGCGGTGGAGCAAGCAATTTGCGAGATAGCCCGCCGATGGAGCGGCGTGCTGCTGAGATCGCACTTTCCACTCTCGCTTGCTCTCCTCCTGTCAGATAGTTTTTGTATTTTTTTCGCCGCTGCCGTTCTGTTGAATTTTGTCGTTCTCTTTTCCACATCATTTATACTCCCAACCCTTGTACAATTATCCACGCAGCCTTCAGCTCAGCCTTATCTTTTTGCACCTGTTTATTAGCAGTACTCAAGCTCCCTGCGGAAAAAGGGCCCAGTTTGCGCACAGGCTTTTCTGGAATTCGGACACCGCCGCATGAGCAAGATAGCAGCCGCCTCCACACAACCACCCCCAGACACTAGAGCCCCATTTGTGGGGAGCACAGCAGAGACCAACAGCGTGCTCTACCAGCAGATGCACAGCGAACGGGACCACTACTGGCCCTCTGGGGGCATTCCTCCTCACCGCGATACCGGCGACCAACGGCTACAGGGAGCAGAGCCACGGGCACAGTACCAGCACTCGCATGCGTTTATGAGCGGTGATATTACGCTGGTGCCTGAACGGAGGCCTGGCGATGTCGTAGGCGAGAATTTGGGTCAGAGCACAGCAGCGATTGGTATGGGTGGCGGCAGAGAGCGGCAGCTGCTAAACAAGTTGCCAGCCAAAGACGAAGGCGCGCTGCAGGATATTCGTCAGGGCTCGACCCAGGCGGCGGCCCCCTTCTGGTCCCAATCGCTCAAAAACTCGATAGCTGGCGCCGGCGCTGGCGCAGTATCATCCATAGTGACGTGCCCACTGGATGTGGTAAAGACACGGCTACAATACCAAGGCGTGCTGCAGGAGAAGTACAGGCGACTCGGGCATAAGCCATACCGCGGCACATTCAGCACACTGGAGCGGATAGCGGCTGAGGAGGGCATGCGTGGGCTGTACCGCGGCCTGGCGCCGATGCTGATGGGGTACTTGCCGACATGGGGCATATATTTTGCAGCATACGAAGGGCTAAAGGCCAAGACTTCACAGGTACTCGGCTGTCAGCCAGGCCACGCAGCTGTGCACGTCGTGTCGGCAATGGGAGCGGGCGCAACGACATCTCTGCTGACAAACCCGGTGTGGGTGCTGAAATCGCGGTTCATGACCCAGAGCGCGTTCACGGACTACCAGTACACGAGCATGTGGCATGCAGTGAAGGTGATCCAAGCGCACGAAGGGTGGATAGGGTTTTACAAGGGCCTCGGGACGAGTCTGCTGGGCGTAACACATGTAGCTGTGCAGTTTCCTCTTTACGAGCAGCTCAAGGCGGTTCTCAACGACGATCCAACTCACCAGCTCGCGTCATCACGTATCCTGCTGGCGTCAGCCATCTCTAAGATGTTTGCGTCCAGTGTGACATACCCGCACGAGGTTATTCGCACGAGGCTGCAGAACCAGTCGACACATCCGCCAAAATATAGAGGCATTGCCCATGCTGTCCGGCTGATTTACAAGGAGGAGGGAGTGTCCGCGTTCTATCGGGGATTGTCGACGAATCTGATTCGGACCGTGCCCGCCAGCATGATGACCCTGCTGACATACGAGCTGCTGATTCGCATGTTGTAAATGTAGAAAGATGGTTCGTTTTTCCAGGGTGAACTTTCATGTGAAAACTATCGTTTATCCGCACTGCTGATTCGATTATCCGCACATCGATATCGCGCATGTATGCCCATGTGTATGTCGCACGACTAATGTATTGGGAACAATCTCAGACGCCAAAGGGCGCAATCTGCTTCAGCAGCGCTGTAAATTCAAAGTGCGGCAGCGTCTGTAGCCTGCGAATGATACGATCGAGCTCGCTGAGATCCAGCCAGATCTGTCGCCGGATCTTCTCGTTGTCGGTGCTAGGCATCTCTCCACGTAAATCGACGCCCTTTGGCACCAGCGTGTCGCTTGCAGACTGATCAAGCTTCGAGTAGTCCCTGGTTTTGCGCAGCCTCTGCAAGCTAGCCTCCGTCTTGCTAATTGTCGCCAAGGCATCTGCGCTGGCACTCGCGACCTCCTTCGAAACACCTTTGCACGCAGCCTCTCGCAGCGCCGCAGCAGCCTGGTCAGCGAATTGCTGGCACTGGCTTTGTGCTTGCAGACCGGCGATTTGGTGCTCTACTGCCTCCAGTGGAGCGAATAGCTTTGAGATGTACCCCGAAGCGTCAGTAGGCGGCTCACGGTTTGTATGCCGGTAGTGCGATGTTGTGCGGCGCAGGTGTGCGGCAATGTTCGTACAGCTCTGCGCAACAACCTGTGCAGAAACAAAGTCAAGTGCACATTGGGTCGTGCTTTCGAGGGTGCCAAACGCTGCTGTGATCGCAGACGTCAAGCTGGCGGTAATGTCCTTGGATGAAGCCTCTGGGGCATCGCCTCGATTTGTTCCGTTGATGGGAATGCCGAACATCCCCAAATGGCTGGCGCTGGTGGGCGATTGCATGCCCAGCAATGGGGACTGCACCGGCAGCAGCTCTGCAACTGAGGATATATACCCCACCATGTACCCACGGAGCACTATCACGTCATGCACTGCAAACAGCGCACTGCTAACCCGGGCATCACCAGCCGGGCTGCCATTTTCAGTTGGCCTTTCCTGGACCAACGAGCTCACTATAGACTCAGTCTTCTTTCCGAACCACAGCACGACCTGGATACTCAGCTGCCAGAACCGAAACGCCAGCGGCGCCAAGTACACATCTGCCGACCAACACCGGCGGATCGCCCACACAGCCAAGGCGGCAGTGTCAGTGCACAGCCCCAATTCTGCGCGTATGGCGTCTACAGTGGCACGGTCCACCAGATGGTCCTCCGATGAAGTGCTCCGGATGGAGCCGTTTTCCGAGCTAGCCGATCTGTTGCTCATAGTAGATGCCGGGGTTCCTGACCGACTTGGCCCACTAGGGCTTGTAGCACGAACCCGATCCAGCGATTTCCTTGTCGGCGTTGCTGGTTCCTTGCCCTCGATGGCATCGATGATTTGGGTCTTTCGAATCGCAAAGTACGCTGATAATTGCCACTTGCGGTGGAACTCCACAAAATGCTCGTCCTTGGCAAAGTCGACAGCAGCGGATATTGAATCGGCGTGCTTGAATAGATCGCTAAAGTCGCGCACAAACCGACACACAATCTGGTAGTTGTGATGGAATCGATCTGGCATCCCCGGTACAAACAGCAATGGCAGCGATGTCATTATCGCGTCAGATATCTCGTGCCAAAATACCTGCGTCTTGAGGTTATACTGGCTGGTCGGCAGATGTGCACAAACGCCGTCGACTAACGGAATCCCGACACGCGCGACAAATCCAATGATGCGCTCCAACATATCTGCCAGAGCCTGCGAATCCATGCCCATGCCCTTGCCAGGCTGACCGGCCACCGCGCCATGCACAAACGGCTTCACCAGCCGATTCCTCAAAATGCTTTCGGCCTCCGCCTGCTCATCAATAGTGCTGTATGCGCGCAGACACTGCGACAGCCATAGCAGGTTTTCCGTCTCGTCCTGAGTATCGGCGTCCTCGCTGAAATATGCGAGATGCTGGTCGACGCAGCGCACAAAGAAAGTATATAGCGCTAGTTTCAGCGCCTTCTCGATACCACGCATCCGTGTTTCTGCCTGCTGGACAAACGGCGAATCCCCGCCCTTGCCAATAAAGTATTTTATCTGACTGAAATCCACTGCTGCGCGCTCGAGACACTTAACATGCTCCGACAGGTCTCCTTCGTTTTTGCTCTGTGCAGCCTCAGCTAGAATAGCGTTAGCCCTATCCAAAAGCCTCGCTAGATCGATGAACACTCGCAGCATCTGTTTCTTTTCGCGAATCGCAGTGCGGTATGCCAGCCGCATGTCTAGATAATCGAGCTTGGCCGTCAACTCGCCATGCGTCGCCGATATCTGCTCCGACAGGTCGTGGAGCGGCGCGTGCACCCCTTTGATAGTTGTGTCGATGCCATTCAGACTGGTGCCCAGCCCAAGAAAGTCCTCGTAGCGGAGGTTAATCAGGTTGTGTAGCTCGCGACGCAGCTCACGCAGCTGGCTGCTGAGCTCGCTATGAACTTCGGTCAGTGCTTTGCCCTCCTCTAAGCGTTGCAAGGAGTATTCATGCACGTCGAACTGCCGTCGCTGGGAGCCTGGAGTGCCCTCATCTGATGGCATTGTAGTTAAATTGAATGCTGAGAAATAGATGTATCAAGGCAGTGTGAGGTGGAAAACAGCCGGTGTGCGCGGTTGAAACAGCAGTTAACACATCACACCTGGCTTGATTTTCGGCCTATGTGTAAATATGATTATGTGATTCGTGTTTCGACATCAGCAGATCGGATTAATATCCAATAAGCTGTGAGATAAGATTGCACGAAGCCCCTCAGTGCGGTCCTCAGAGAGTATGCCAATTCGAATTTCTCCTCCAATTCAACCTGCGAATTGCTTTACCTGTTCCCCCCTCTTCAGATTCTATACATAACTATTTAACAATGGAGGCTATCGGCCGCGCTGTCCAGACCAACTCTGCTTTCCGTGCCATCGTGCGCCCGCTCGCCAACACCTGGGTGAACCTGTCCGGCTACCGCCGCCTGGGTAAGTTTGTGGATTCCGAGAGCTGAATGGACGAAGACAGAAACTGAAATCGTACGCATTTCCATATTTTTAGGTCTCCGGTACGACGACCTTATTGCCGAGGAGAGCCCGATTGCTCAGGAGGCTATCAGCCGCCTGTCGCGCCAGGAGATCGATGGCCGCAACATCCGCCACAGACACGCGTTCCAGCTGAGCCTGGCGCACCAGGAGTACCCGCGTGCCAAGTGGACCAAGGCCGAGGACGACTATGCGTACCTGCGCCCGCTCATTGAGGAGGTCCGCCTCGAGTTTGCTGAGCGCGATGCGTTCAACTCGATGACCACGGTCAAGAAGTAAGACGCCTTTTCTTTCGCCCTCTGTTTTCGTTCAACTATAAAATCCCGACTTGACTATAGGCGAATTGGCGAGCAGTCTCTTTTGGGATGGCTTCTGTTTGGTGTCTGGTTCGAAGGGTTCTTTGTATAACACAAAAGCGCAGCTCCATCAATTGCGAACAGACCAGGCTCACACAAAGGCTGTCAAGGCTATTGCGCGCCGCCTGCATGCAACTGCCGAACAGCTTGCAAATAATTGTTTCCGTTTTATTTCTAGCTGACGCCGACGCTGCTGCCCTCTCACATAGCCAGGGTATAAAAGGCGAGCGCCTCAACACACTCTTGCCTCCCACCTACACTCCATTTTTCAGAACTCTATTTTTCATCCTTTTTGGCATACTTCACTCCCACCTCCACTCCTTGGCTCTACCAGATTCTCGCTTTGCACTGCGCACCGACCTTCACACACATATAGATTCTTTTTGCACCCATACCCGCACACATAGCACCCACGGACTCGCCCATGGACACCTTGCAAGCGTCGCCTGGCGGGAGCACAGAAGCCATATCGCCAGCCTTGTCACCTCCGGCAGCAGTCTCGTTCACTGGCAGTGCCTCTGGTGTCTGTTTGGGCGATCCCAGACAGCCAGCTAGTGCACGCGTGCCGCCTGAAGTGCTTGAGGAGATTTTCGGCCTGCTTCAGCCCCACCAGAAGGCCCTTCACTCATGCATGCTGACCTGCCGTCTTTGGAAGGAGCTGGTCACCCCTCTTCTCTGGCGGCGCCCGCAATTTGCGCGACTGTCGCAGGTCATTAAATTCGCCTCCACGCTGTCTGCCACTGCCCAAGGCCGTGCCACGAGTCATTATACGCGGCTCGTCCACTCTCTCTCCTTCAGCAGACTGGCAGAGGCCGACAGGAATCACCCAAAGCTGGCTGGTTCGATTGGCACGATCATACATCATCTGGTTGCTGTTGTGGCACCCGCAGCAGGCCCGTGTGGAACGGGCGATGGGCAGTTCTGCAGCGGTCCGCTGACAGCGCTCAAGCGGTCGAAGAGCCTCTCGCGCAATGATGAGGAGTCTGCACGGCCATATTCAGCGATTGAAATGTCGACAGAGCCCAGTGCCACCAGTGTGTACCATTCGGCTGCAGCTGAGATCCCTGTAGCCAGTGACACAGCTGATTCTAATGATGACAGCGAATATCGGGTGGCGTATACACCGGCTGGAACAGATCCACTAGACCTGCAGGACCCGCAATGGCAACTCCCCAAGGCGGCCAGCGGATTCGGGCCATTGTCAAAAAGTAGTCTACTGCTGGACGTATCGCTGCCCGCTGCTGACGACACCCATTTGAGCTACTCGGGCGCATCCACCAGCTACCATAAACGTAGCATGCGGAACTCGATGCGCGGACCGCGGCACAGCGATGGGCTGTCTACTGACCACTACACCTCGTCATTGCGGCACCTTGACTTGTGCTTTTGCAAAGGTGTACGCAACTACTCGCTCCAACGGCTGGCCCCCAGGCTCTCATCCCTAACTAGCCTGAACCTGGCTGGTGGTCTGCGCAGCGATATCACTATGGCCAAGCTGTCCCAGCACTTGACTGGTCTGCGGCGGATCTCACTTGCGTGGACAGCACATCTGACTGATTTCGGTGTCGGCGAGCTCGCCCAGCACTGTCCCAGGCTTGAAGTCATTGATTTAACACACTGCACACAAATCGAGGACACGTCGCTGACAGCTATCGCCTATAATCTAAAGGCGCTGAAGGCTCTGAGCGTCGCATATTGTACTGGCATCACTGATATCGGCGTCCGCGAAGTGGCAACAAAGTGCACCAAGATCAGTGTTCTGAATGTCATGAAATGCGTGCGGGTAAGCGACGTGATGCGCAAAACACTCTCTAACCAGTCTATCATTTGCGAATGCACCGTGGCAGAGCCATTTTCGATTGATACACAGCTCTCAAGATAGACAACTGCATACTTATACTCAGCAATATACTACCATTTGACTTTGCTTCATGCACTTCCCAATGTTTATTTGTGAATACCAAATCTTGATTGGTTGGGAGGGGGCTAATATGCTGCCCACGCACAAGCAATGGAGGCAGCAGCGACAGCGTAAGCAAGACCAGCAATGGCGTTTGTGTTGGTATTTGCCGCATTCTTGCTGCTCTTGGACGACTCGCTTGCCGAATGCTCATGGCTCGCAAGGGCACCCAGCTCGCTTGCGCTGCTCGCCTCGCCAGCACGCAGCCCGGCATTAGCAGCGACATGGTACGGCCGGTTGGCTTCATACTGCTGAGATGCGACGAGCACCTGTGGTGCATATCCGACTTCAACGAACCCAGGCTCGTTCCCGTAGACTTCACAAGTAGCAATCACCGCTAGAGTGAGGGCAAATACAGCATGCTTGGTCGCCATGTTTGTAAATAGGATATACTAAGAAGACTGTTTGCAAAGTAATGGTCTAGAAGAGTTAAATACAAGGTGCTTATGAACCTCTGAGTAGCCGAAGGATGTGGAGAGCAAAGCAAGAATAGCAAGAGTAAATAGCAGATGTAGTACCGCTGGTCACTGAATGCACTATCCGACCCAGTGTTTCGACAAAGGAACACTGCAAAATTCGCATTTCCACTTGAATGGGGTGAACAATGCTTGCCTGATATGTCTACACAGCAGGTCAGTCCAAAGCCACCTGAACTGCATGCCAATGTACGTTTGTCGACTCCTCCTACGAGCCGGTACGAGTGGTTATATAAACAGCTCTAGCTTTTGGTGGGCAATATGACATATTCACGCTTTGCCGCTTAAATTGAAAATGGACCAGTAGGTTAAAAGATGACAGATATGCAGCAGCATGTATGTGTGAGCAGTTTTGCTTTGTTTGAGTCAGAAGCGACGACCTAGAGTGGCCAATAAAGTAGTTAGATGTAAACCAGCCATCAAAATACATGCTTTTTTTCAGGCGCTTGTACAATTGCTTGTGTTTTGAGCTGAGCGAAAATCATACCATCCCAGTGACATTTCGTCTATTAATCCATTTCAGCAGCCAGTATCTTGGCCAGTTTGGTTCGCGGAGAATGTGCTCGACCAGACACCAGTGTAGCTGAAAACACAAGCAATAGAGAATTTACTAGCTCACGCACGCAGACTGCGTGAAGGTCTTGTAGCCAATGCGCCACGACTTCGACCCGCCTTCTGGAATTTAGGTCTGGGCGATCATGTACCAAGTGACACCACACCATGCCTTGGGTCGGATGTTTGGGACAATAACCAGCAAAAGAACTAGCTGTGCATGTGTTCACCACTCAAGATGTCGCTTGTGCAATTGTGGATGCCTTCGGCAAGCAACAGCTGTTGCTCGCTTCCCTAGCGACTTTGGCGGTACTGACATACACGAGTATAAATGAGCATGGTTTGTCCGCAGATTTCAAGCAGAACACATCACTGCCAGTCCTGACACTTAGCGAAACCATCCTCCCCAGGTACCACTGTTTCCCTCTGCCTCCTACCTCCAAACCCCCTATTACCCTCCCGACCATCAGCGCCTCAAGTAACCCACTCATCAACCATGAAGCTCTTTGCGCCTGCTTTCCTCCTTGCTGCTGTCGCCATGGCAGTACCTGCCCCTCAGTCTGATAATGTGGATGCTATTGAGCGTCGGCAGATCGAAAATGTTGGGTTGGAATGGCTGACGCGCCAGGTCGAGAACGCCAGCGAGCAATGGCTCAAGCGCCAGATCGAGAATGGCAGCTGGGAATGGCTCAAGCACGGCAATGCCCCGGTTGCCTATGGCAGGCGTCAGGTCGAGAACGCCAGCGAGCAATGGCTCAAGCGCCAGATCGAGAACGCCGGCTGGGGATGGCTCAAGCGACAGCTGTAAGCAGCCAACTACCTTGAAAGCCACTGCCTGACACCCTGCCTCACTCTTCAGTAATACACCCTTCGGACACCAGTCTTTATGATGTTTTGTTATAAATACAGCCCACTCCACGCTCTAGTTTTCATAGTTCAGCACACAGGTCCTCGATCTCGGCATTGGGGGGCATCCGGCTGATTCTAACCGCAGCCGCCGTGTGGCACTGCAGCACAGACACGTCCTCTTTGCCGCACGACGGGCACACAGGCAGCGAATATGGCGGCAGGTCACGAGTCACTGCAACGGCGCTGTCAGCACCAGCAGACTGGGCGCCGTAATCAGACAGAGCGCCTGGTAAAATGACAGACTGGGATGTCTGGATCAGCCGGTCAGAGCCCGAGCTCTCGTACAGGGGAAGGTCAATGGTGCCGTTGGCGCCGGCATTTGGCAGCACCGAGACATAGGCGGGGATGGTCATCTCGACAATAGCGCCTTCGGGTGCCTTGACCAGCGCTGTCAGCACCACCTGATGCCGCACGGTGACGCTGTCGGACTGGAGCTCGAACTGCACATCCTCGTAGGCAGCCGGCATATTTAGCGCCACCCGGTGCTCTTCCCGGCTGTCGGCTGCGGAGCCCTGTCTGCCAAAGGCAATGCGCTTGCGTGCAATCACCTGCGTCTCTCTGTGGACCGGCACATGGCCAGCATCGCGGAACACCGTCTGCACCTCCTTGAGCACCAGATCGAGCGCCATTAGACGCAGCCCCTTGATGCCAGGCTCGACAATGCATGTGAACTGGGCCAGCGCGCTGTCTGCCACGATGTGAGAGTCGCGGGCCAGCGTCACCTTGACCTTGTCCTCCCATTCAGCGCTGGGCGCTCAGAGCATCGGCGCTTGCGTCTGCCCACTCGCTGCCTTCGCCGGGATTCCGCACCACCACCACCGGTGTCTGTGCACTGCAGTTTGACCGCAGACCTGTCAGCGTTAGCTTGGCACGCACAGTGTATGAAATGCTGCCAAACAGGAGGTTGGCCGTCGGTGGCAGGTCGCCTGGCAGCACCAGCTCGAATCTCAGCTCGTGCATGCCGGCGCTAAATGTAGCTGTGGATTTGTCGGCACCCGGTACTACCAGCTGCTGCGAGATGTCTGCCAGACGCCTGTTTGCAGTCACTGGTGATTGCCGGCCCCGGGCACTGGCGCTGGCAGGGCGTGGTGTGAAGCTGATGGCCTGCTCGCCAGTGAATGAGACGTCCAGCGAGCGCACCTTGGTTGTGGTGCGGAACCTGGCAACAACCTTGCCAGTCAGGATGTGGCCGGCAGCCTGTGTGCGCTCGCCGAACAGGCTGACCGTGTCTGTGTCCAAGACAATAGAGATGGATGTCGGTTTCATGGCTTGTATGTGAGGAATTTCCCACAGAATGTGAATGTTGCGAATGCAATGAGAGCAAAGTAGCGGGAGGGAAAGGGATGGCGGCCAAGGAGAGCAGAGGAGGGAATGCGATATTTTCGCTCTCATCTCTCCAAGAGATCGACCCCTGCCTTTAAAGCGTGCCGGCGAGTGGCATTGCCTTTCTTGGGCAGGTGTGAGGGGTATGCATGCGGCTGGGATTTGGTTGAGGCGAATCGCTCCTTTCCTCAACCAAAAGTACGTTCCGGCGCTATCATCGCTGGCACGGCGGGGGCCATCCGGCCATCCTGGCTGGCACACACAGCATTGCTGGGACGACCTGCCTTCATGCCCACTCCCATGGCCACCTGATCCGGGAGCGGCATATGCAGGCGGACGCTTTGTCTGCCATGCAGCCGACCAGCTGGGATGCTTCCGCCTAGAACATATGCGGATCGCACTGCCCTTGAGCCCCTGAACCCTTGTCCATTTCACACGGCGGCTGTGCTCTGTTGGAGAGATGGCCAGCACACAGCCCTCCGCACGCCAATGCCAACGCCAACGCCATACCCCACAGACTGACCCAACCTGTGAGCAACTGGCCGATATATATTGCACATGCTGCTCATAGTTTGCCATTGCCGCGAGCCACGCCGCCTGCACGGGGTTAGGCTTGGGCTAGCGGGCAATGCAACCTCAGATTCTGACTAGACACTCTGTGAGCATATTCTTCGAATGAATGGACTGAAATAATACTAAGCGATGGGCTCCGGAAGAGGCTTGAATCCAGTGTTCGCCAGCGGGCAGTGCGTGCCAGACTCGGGGTTGCCCCACCAGGTCGGAATTACCACGTTCTGGAGCGCAAAGAAGATAATGATGCCCGAGATCGCAAGACCGCAGTCAAGGCCGGCCGACAGCGAGAACGCATAGCGCTGCCACCACTGGTTGCGGTACTTGTGGATGAAGTAGTTGAAGATAGTGCAGGCAATGAACCAGTTGACGTAGATGTGCGACGGCGCCGGCGGCATGTAGCCCGAGGCCGAGAACAGCAGCGGGATGTGGACGTGCTTCCACAGGCTGTTCGGGTAGCGCTTCTGCAGGTACCAGAACGGCACAGGCAGGAACACGCCGACAATGAACAGGTAGAGGCCGACGTGGTAGGGGCTGTCGCTGCCGAACATGCGGCCCGGGCCAACCAGACCCCAGATGACCGACGCCGAGTAGAAGGTGTTGGCCTGGATACACGTCCACGGGCGGCCCTCGGGTTTGCACATGTTCTCGACTGTGTTCATGAGCCAGTACGCGACACCCAGCTGCACAAAGGCGCAGATGATGGTGCCCACCAGCTGGGCAATGAACAGCGTGCGGGGCGGGATCTTCATGTAGTGGCCGAGCTTCTGGTCCGAGACGAGCAGCAGCGCCTGGGCCATGGTGATGTAGCCGTACACCTTGAAGGTGACGTTGGCGATGGGGTCGCCAACCCGGCCGTAGCCGATGATGAACTCGGTGATGATGTTGAGGCCTGGCTGCTGGTTGCTGAGCGCCTGGATGATGCCAATCGGGATGGTGAAGATGAAGGGCAGCACGACACTGAGAATGACCCAGTACCAGTTCATGAGGTTCCACACCTCGCACACAATGATCGACATGGCGAAGGTGATGGCAAAGGTGACCAGGTACCACCACTGCGGGACCTCGGGGTAGCGGCGCATAAGCTTGGCGTGGATGTCGTCGTCCATCGAGCGCGACTGGCGCACGCGCTGCACAATGTCCTTGCCGTGGTGCAGAGCAATGTATGACAGCACAGTCATCAGGCCAGCGAAGCCAATGCCGTAGGTCAGACCAAAGTGGAACGACATGCGCAGGTGGCCGTACTCCTCGTACTTGACGGGGTCCAAGTTCTGGTCAGGTGTCATGACCTCGCTGATGTTATACCGGCCGCCGTCCGGCAGGTACAGCGACGCGGTGTAGATCGGGTAGATGCCGTGGCCCCAGGTGTTGGTGTAGTAGCCGATCGGGGTGATGATCCACATGATGATGACGAAGCCGGCAAACACGTTGGCAGCCATGACCCACGGGATGGCGATGGGCGAGCCCGTGAAACCCGACGAGATGTAGCTCCAGTCCAGCGTGAGGTTGAGGATGCCCAGACCGTGGGGCGCGTCACCAATCTGCTGCGCAATGACGTTGTTGGGGGCAGCAAAGCACAGAATCGCAATCATCGACAGCGTCGGGAAGATGGTGCCGGGGACCCAGTACCACGCAAAGCTGGCAGCGAAGCAGACCCAGAACATGCGCGTGCGCGACCAGCCGTTCCAGACCGAGTGCTCGTGGAAGGTACGGAACAGGGTCACCGACACCAGCGTGGCCGGCCAGATCATAGCGGAGGGGTAGACCAGGAACTCGCGCGACAGGCCGGCAAACGAGTAGCCCATGACCTGCGACGACAGCAGGAACAGCACACTGGGACCGAAGCCCATATCGGAGTTGTACCACATCTTCTTGATGGTCACGACATCGATGGCGTAGGCAACACCCACCGACGTGCCGGCAAAGATGGAGATGAGCACATGCTCCTTGATGTTGAACTTGCCCGGGTTCATGGTCCACTCGAAGCCGAATGTGCGGAACTTGCGCGTCGGCAGCACCTTGGACATGGCAAAGCCCAGCGGGAACGACAGCAGCTGCACGACATAGCCACCCAGAGTGATGGGGTTTTCACGGAAGAAGAAGAACTGGTTGACAAAGGCCAATAAGACTGTGAATTCCACTCCCAAGAAAAGCGAGCGGAATGTAAGGCATGGGAGATCTGGATTATCTGTATTTGACACAGCTACCGCAACCATCTCGTATGGTGACTGCTCTGTAGTCTCATCTTCATCCATAAATGATGGCTTTTCAATCCCTGTGGCATCTTCTTTCATGTACATAGTTGCTGCGTCGTTGTCGTCTGGTTTTGTGTGTATGTGGGTGATGTAGACATTCTCCGAGGGAAGTATTACCACAGTCATTGTTGGTATTAGTAGTACGTAGAAAAATGCTGGGAATGAGCTGAAAACGGTCTCCTTTGGTTTCCAGCTGCGTTGCCAGGTGCTGTCGGTTTTATGGCAGGACACCCTTTGCCAATCAATAGACATGCTGAGTTCTGCAAAGGAGTGTGGCAGACTTTCAAGTACGGCCATTTGCCTAAAGCTAAAGCACGAATGTTCCGGAACAGACGAGCATTCCTTAATGGCCATACTGCAAACAGCAAGCTCGAGATGTTGCCAGCCACAACGGATGAGGCAAGAAGAATGGGCCAGCACGGTAAACTAGCGACGTTGCCGGCTACATAATAGGTTCGTATTTTGGCAAAGCTGCAGGCCAAATACAGGAGCCGAGTTGAATAAGCTGGTGCGAGCCGAGCCGCCCGGTTATTGCAAATGGTTGTTCATTTAGTCTCTGCTGACCTACGATATCTCGCGGCCATTCCCTGTTTCGCTTGTACATTCTGAATTCAACCACAACCCTTCTATCGGATAATGCTGCGGTGCCCAAAACTATTCAGCCGATCGCGGATCGGGCTCTCCCGGTCGTTCACTACATCGCGAAGCAGCGATATGAAGGTGTTGTTCTTTGGCACCGATGAGTTCTCCAACCACGCACTGAAGGCACTGGATGCAGACAGACGCTGCAATAAGCCGATCGTAGAGAAGCTTGGAGTGGTATGCCCGCCGCCATTGTACAAATTCGCCAAGGGCCGGCAGCAGCTCACGTGGGAGGCACTGGTGGAGAAGACAGCGCGCACGCGGCAGCTCGACATACACCACCCAAATGCGCGCAAGCTGACGGGCTGGCAGGTGCCGAGCGCAGGCCTGAAGGAGACAGACCGGTATGATATCGGAGTGGTGTCGAGCTTTGGTATGTTCATTCCGCAGCGCATCATCGAGAGCTTCCCGCTGGGCATGATCAACATCCATCCGTCGCTGCTACCCGAATACCGTGGCCCGTCGCCGCTGCAGGCGGCGCTGCTGGACGGAAAGAAGGAGACGGGGATCACGATTCAGGAGGTGCATCCCACAGTCATGGATGGCGGCAGGGTGTTGGCACAGATGCCGTATCAAATCGACGGCACGGCGACACGGATCGATATGATGAATGAAATGGGCCATCTCAGCGGGCAATTGCTGGTGAAGCTGCTGCACAACTACGAGTACGTGCGCGAGCGGGCGATTGACCAGGACGAAAGCAAGGTGACTACGACACGGCTGTATAGTCGCGAGGACTCGCGTGTAAACTGGGAGCAGATGTCAGCAGAGCAGATTGTGCGTATGCATCGGGCGTTCTGTGGCCGTGAGCCAGTGCACAGCATCTGGCGCAAGAAGAACAAGATGCACAGCATTCAGTTGCAGGATATAGCTTTGCCTGATCCGAACGTGGAGCCGCTGGATCCCGAGATTGCAAAGTACCCGCCGGGCTCGGTGTTCTACCGCCGCAAGGTGCCGTACCTGGAGGTGCCGTGTGTGGACGGAAGCCGGATCTGGATCAAGCAGCTGCAGGTGCAGGGCCGCACCCCGAAGACGGCGCTGCAGTTTGTCAACGGGTATCTGCGCGTACCCGGTGCGCTGCGATTCCTGACCGATCCTGTGGAATCAAAGAAGCCAACGCCACCATTCCAGTGGCCCGAGGGCAAAAAGCCCGAGGCCGTGGTGATGGCCGAGCAGAAGGCCATGGAGCGCAAGCAGCAGCTGGCGGAGATGAAAAAGAGCCAGAAGATCGTCGGCGAGTGCGAGTACGGGCCGGGCGAGCTGGTGCCCGACGACGAGACTCTGGTAGATGGCGAGACAAACAAATAAATTCCATTACATTTCCTCTAGATCGCTAAACAGATCCTCCTCAGGGAAGTCGCCCACCGTGACCTTGTCCGGCCGGACAAACGAGCCGTGCTGGTTGCGGCACTCGAAGTATCTGACACCATCCACAGTCCCGTCGTGCTTGCCCGTCGGCTCGTCGAATTCCACGCCCACCCAATATCCGGGCCTGAACTGCGTCTTGCCAACAAACCTCACGGCACCGAGCCGGGTACCGCTCCCCAGCACCTCCACCTGGCAGCGGTCGTCTACATGGATCCCGCTCGCCTCCGCCCTGAACTCGTCCTCCTCGTCAATCGACATGGCCGACTTGTTGTCGGCAAACCGACCCAAATTATGCCTCCGCTTGAACGCACGCACCGTGTCGCGGCGCTTGTCGTACTCGTCGTCGTCCATGACATACTTCTCCACCTGCGAGTCGTCGTTGAAGTTCAGCTGGGTCGCCACAGAGTTCGTGGCCTCGACGTTTAGCGTCATGTAGTCGGCTACCGGGTAGTACCCGAGCATCCTGCTGTTGTCATCCAGCATACAAACTGCCGCATCATTGTGCTGCAGCGCCAGGCGCTGGTCGCTGGCGCTAATCCCAACAATAGCCTCCAGCCGGACCTAGCGGGCTCCGAAGGAAGTGGGCAAAATGTGTTAGCACGGCCGAAGAGGTCACAACGGAGAGGCAAGGGCCCCGCCTTGCTAATCAGCTTTTCATCCTACTTGCCTTTAGCTCACCCACGGTCAGGGACTTCAGGAAGCGCCGCTCGGAGCTCGCGTTCTGGCTCTGCACAAAAAGCGTGACGACAGACATGGTGAAAAATTGGCCTTGAGAAATCACTTGCTCTTTTTCGGCCCGCCCTGCTCGCTCGGCCGCCTCATACAATTCATGCTTGCGCGATGGGTTTTGGGGAGGCAGGAGCTGGTGGAGGGATCGGGCTGCCGGAGTTTCACATGGGCCCGGCCAGCATATCGCTTTTTTGCCCATTTCCCGGATGCGGTGTTTATGAAGCTTGAGGCAGACGATGGCTGGCAGACAAAGACTGCCGCAAATCCTCCCTGTGCGTGGAGAGCAAGTCCAGGGGTATAAAACAGGGCCAGCGGGCTCGGACCTGCAAAGAAAGGCCCAAAAAGGCGCTCTCTTCTTTCTGTAATTTTATCCACTGTCTTCTCCTGGGCGAAACGACTACAAATTTAGGGCAAATGCACGCTATCGTGGTAAAGAACTGGCTCAAGGGCCCCAACGACATGGAGGTCAAGGACATCCCGGTGCCGACACCCAAGAGCAACGAGCTGCTGGTGAAGGTCGAGGCTACAGGAGCCAACTTCTTCGATATCCTGATGGTGCAGGGCAAGTACCAGATCAAGCCGCCATTCCCGTTCACGCCAGGCGCCGAGTTCGCCGGTACCGTGGTGTCGGCACCCGCCAACTGTCGCTTCAAGACCGGCGACCGCGTGTTCGGGTCAAACCCCACTGGCGCCTACGCTGAGTACATTGCGGTGCCCGAGATCCAATGCTTTGCGATCCCCTCGACACTGAGCTTCGAAGAGGCTGCGGGTCTGTACATCACTTATCCGACTAGCTACGCCGGCCTGGTTCTGCGTGCCGACGTGAAAAAGGGTGACTGGGTTCTGGTGCATGCTGCGGCTGGCGGCGTCGGCATTGCCGCTGTGCAGATTGCCAAGGCCCTGGGCGCCAACGTCATTGCTGCTGTCGGCAACGAGGGCAAGTTTGATATTTGCAAGGCACAGGGCGCCGATCACTGTATCAACTACCGTGAGCCCGACTGGACTGACAAGGTTATGCAGATTACTGCCGGTAAGGGTGCCGATGTCGTCTATGACCCGGTTGGCCTGGTCGAGAAGTCGCTCAAGTGCATTGCATGGAACGGCCGTGTCGTTGTGGTTGGCTTTGCTGCTGGTGCTATTGAGAAAATTGCTGCCAACCGGATCCTGCTCAAGAACGTCGCCGTCACCGGCGTCCATTGGGGTGCGTACACACGCAATGAGGCGGAGCGCATTCCCGAGGTCTGGGAGGCGCTATTCAAGCTGGCCGAGGAGGGAAGGATCAAGCCCGTTGTGTGGGATCCCGTGTTCGAGGGTCTCGATAAGGTCAAGGATGCGCTGAAGGCGATCTCGAACAGAGAGACCTATGGCAAGGTGGTGGTCAAGCCCACCTCGACTCCTGCTCGTTTGTGAAACAAAATTATTACTGTCTTTCTGAAGTTTCCTATATTACATCACTGAAATCATTGTGAGTACTGTGTAAAAGTGCTATTAGTGTTGATATACAAAGGCAATTGGACAATAGTCTACCGTCTATACTAAGAATCCTAGTATATAGCGTGTCAAATAATGATGTGGATGCTAGGGAACAATTATCAACGATAGAACGCTACTCTTTTCTACTTGCGCTCTACGAATGTGAAGAGTTTATATTTGAGGTATATCATTGCATATGTAACAACCATATCGTGGCCATTCTCTGGATAATCCCGGTGTCATCCTACATTGCCGCGTATACGTGTGATTCTGTTTATCTTTTCGAGCCAGAGTAACCTATTGAAAGTATATGGTGATGGTATCAGTTTCAGCCATATATAAATTACGATTGCACTCCCTAGCTATCTGCAGCCAATTCTCAGGTGTCAGCTGACTCAGAGTAGCCAGGCTCAGCAGCAAACAGGAGCACTTTGCACACTGCATTGGAGACTAGTTCATTTGGGCACATCACCACAGCCAGCCGAGTTTATCTTCAGCGCATTTATGTCTCTCACTTGACCACACCCTTGAAAGCACCTCCACCCGCCTGCTAAATTCTGGCGCTCTTCCCACAGCGATATTCTCGAATGTGACTGATCCTGTGCTCAATTTTCACGGCAGTGATGACATTGAGGATGATATCTTTTCGACAGGAATCAAGTCTTTCATTGAGCACATCCGCCAGCTGTTTCCCAGCGCACAAGGCAGCTCTTTTTTGTTCGCTCAGGGCGATGGGAAGGCCAGGATGATATGTGCAACGATCTTACTTGTTGTGATACTGGCATCTTAACGTGGTATATAACTAATGACAGTAAAGGAACTGAGGAGAGCTGCTGACGCGCTGGCGTGCACTGAACTATATAGTAGAGCCACTATACTCTTGCGTACGCACTGTGGCGTAGATCTAGGGATCAGGATCAGTTATACAACAGCATGTTTAGACCCGCTGGCTATTTTGACAATTCAGCCTACTTGATGGTTTGGATACAGTACATAGCAACAACTAGTTCACTATATATTCAAGTAGATCATGAGCAAATGTAAACTACAACCGTAGCACGGCTAAACAGCACTGAAGGCATGGATGGATGTACTTACTTTCTTTTTAATGTGGTTGCTACCATAGCATGCAAGACACGATTAGCGACCATGTTGCGGTTTGTTGCGATGCAATGAAATAGCATCATGTGCTGATAGCAAGGCATGGTCCTCCATTCTCAACTACATAGTTCCTTCATCACCATCACCATCACCATGATCATTGTTTTATTTTTATATAACAGTGATTCTACATTGAATAGATTGTTGAACATTGGATATTTGATTTGTCCATATGATGTATTGGCGTCTATGACAACGATCAAGATGAAAAGTCAATTAATCGTGGCCTGTGATAATACATATAGGGAATGTGTGGGTATGTACAGCTACTGCAACCCTACACATGTATTGAATCAACATAGTTTCCTCACTGTAGTTGCCCAAAGCAACACGCTGCTATACGCATCTCATATACTACGAATCCCAACAAGCTAGTATGCCCGTACCGCAATATTTTCGAATTTTGAGTGACCAAGCGGTAGTGATTTTTATACCACTTACACAACCCTGTACAGTCATTGTGTAGGTTGTAGTGGCTAAATCTCTGAACTGTTTCTGCAGCCCTGAAAACCACTAGTTTTTGGGCAAGCAGGTATATTTGCAATACTATGCATCCATTACATGGCACCAGAGAACATCACCGTGGCCATGGCAGCCGGTGCAATATCACCACCACCACCGCCAGCTGCACCAGAGTCGCCACCATTGCCGCCGCTATCGTCTCCAGGGTTGTAGTCGCGATTGTGGCGCTTGCTCTTGTACCGGCTGACCAGCATCTCGTCGTCGTCACTGCCATTGCCAGAACCACCGCTGCCGCGTGACGCCGCCTCGTAGGCCGGTGGCGACTGCACCATGGCAACAGGCTGGAGGGTATTCGAGTAGCGCAGGTCGAGATCGCAAATGGCCTGGCGCAGGGCAAAGGCGAAGCTGTTCTTGATGCCGAACCTACGACCGTCCTGGAAGTTGCTCTTGTAGTTGAGGCCGATGCCGAGCTGGATCCGGTTGACGTTCTCCAAAAGGTCCAGGGTGAAGCCGATGGGGCCAGAGAAGTCGCGCGGGTGCTCGTCGACATACTCGTTCATGCGGTCTTGCAATGCGTTGAGCTTCTCCTGTGGCGTGTGGAAATCAAAGGCAACCACGATCGACTCGCTCTGGGGCTTCGAGCGGCGCATGTTCTGGATCTTCTGCGTGGCCAGCTGGTTGTTCGGGTACACGGTGTATGTGCCGTCGCCCTTGAAGAAGACGGTGCTGAGCAGACGGATCTTGGACACAGTCATGGTCTCGGCCGCAATCACGACGACATCGCCGACGTCGTAGGCGTGCACCTGGAACAGGAAGATGATACACTCGAATACAGTCTTGAATGTGTTGCCAAACACAAAGCTCCAGCCGACAAACAGAGTACCCATTGTGGCCAGGCTCTTCAGGGCATCGAGGCCAAACACAAGTAGGGCAATGATGACAATAACCAACAGGGCAAAGGCAGTCATGAACAGATCGAGCTTGCCAACGACCTGCGACATGTCGCTGAGCGCGTTAATCAGGGACCGGCGCTCCTTGTAGACCAGCATAATGCGGTCACGCATCTCGCGCTTGCTAATATCGCCATTTCCATCCTTGTCAAAGAACTCGAACGCCTTGATGGCGTCCTCCTCCTTGTCGAAGAACGGCAGAAAATCGTCGACCACCAGGTAGTCGCGGTCATTGTTGAGGGCGCTAAACAACTTGCGGGCCAGGCGGCCGGCGTACTGGTTCGAGTTCATATCGATGCCACCGTCAAGCGCGCGGTCCTTGATGTTCCACAGACGGCTGGCAAAGCTCTTTGACGGCTTCTTCTTGTGCGAGAAAAAGCTGTTGCCGGTCGACGCACGGCTCATAGCCGGAGGCGACGCTGCCGACGACAGCAGCTCCTTTTTGCTGGTCATGCCATCAGAGGTTTGTGTCGTAAATGTCGCGCCCTGGGCCATGAATGGCGTGGCGTTGGCGCTGTTGTTGCCCTGGTTGCTTTCCGAATAATGCTCGCGTGACCGGTTCAGGTGGTCCAGCACCCAGCTAGCATACGTCTGCTGCTGGAGCCGCTCCTTGTACGCGGACCGGTGGAAGCGCGTGGCAACAACCTTGAGCAAGAGCTTCTCACCGCCAATGATCCCGCAAGCAATCAGCACAAGAACGTTGACCTGGAACAGAACCTGGTCCCACGACGAGTTGCTGTTCTCTACCTTGCCAATAAGTCGGTACGAGGCGCTCGGGAACATGATAATGAAGCTGATGAGGAAGATGGACGAGATGATAATCATCTTGACATACGCTTTGACGGCAATGAAAAACTGCATGCGGTCCTTGACCTTCTCAATGTTGCGCTTGCCAGTGAAGCCGCGCACAATATGCAGGGCGCCATCGGGAATCATATCAACCAGGTGGTAGGCCAGGACGCCAAACACCCAGCCTGAGGCCAGCAGCGCAAATGACCGCGCAGTGCACTGCAGGTTGTATCTGTGCTGAAAGTCAGACTTAGGATCTGATTTGATGGGGGACCGGAACTCCAGTTCAGGATTCGAGGCCATGATACCGATTGTAGGAGCGATCAGAATGATGCCGCCACCGATCATGATTACAAACGAGCGAACCAGCGGGTGCATCCGCCAGAAGCCCTTGGGCGTGGGTGAGCTGGATGGGTCGCTCTCGGAGCCATCATCGCTGACCTCGTCCCAGTTGAAGTCGTCCTGGAAGTTTGCTGGGATGTCGGCATCGGGCATGTTCAGCGTGCTATGCGAGAACTCAGAGTGCATGTTGCGGGTGGCGGCGCCAGCGCTGCCAGGGTTGCCCATATTGCCTGCCGAGGACTGCTTTTCGTTAGAGGTCGAAAACCGGATGTTGCTGCCCATGATCTGGTTCAAAGGCTTTACTGTTCGATATGGAGATTGAGGGTTGTTCAGAAGCGATGTAACATGAAATGTGCGGGAGGGAGGGGGCGGAGGGCGGGTGATGGAGAGGAAGGAATGAGATGAAAAGGGAGAAAAGGAACAGGCCTGAGGAGAAAGGAACGCAAAAAGAGGATGGTGGTCCAACGATGGCCGCTTTAAGTACACAGGTAGAAGAAAAGGCACTATAAATACAAAATTTTTCTCTGAAAACTCGTGCCAATTAGAGAAGCGCTTGAGGATCATTTGCGCCAAAATAGCGTGACAGACTACGCCTTCTTCTCAGTGGGTAGATGCGAATCCTAGATCGCCGCCAAAAGCCAACAATGTCCTCCGGTTCATTGTATGCATATGACCTGACGTCATTGGGCAATGCTGCTGCAGACAGCGAGTTTAGCTGTGCTGGGCTGCCCGTGTCCGAGCACCGCCGGCACGCACTGGCGCGATTTCTGCGCAGGCACCACGCCCCCACAGTCAATGCTGGCCGAGAGCAGCGGTGGTGACAATGGCTGTGACCGTGCGCCAAGTTAATGATCTCGCAGCAACCGCCTCAACCACACACCGAATGAGAGTATCGTCAAATATAGCGGGGCTGGTGGGCTGGACAGGCTGGGACGGGTGTCGACAGTCTCCAGGCGACTGAGAGATGAAGGCTGGGTGGCAGTAGCAAATAGCAATGAAACCGTGCGATCAATTATAGCACAGTCCTTTTCCAGCAGAGCCTGGCACGGGGCTGGAAAGCCGGCTGTGGGAAATCGCGTTGACATCATGCAGCGGATGCAAAGCGTCACCGCTCTGCGCCCTGGCTGTGCCTGAGTGAACAGATTTTCCTCTCCCCTTGCTCTTTTGCAAATTCGGTTTGTATTTCTTTCCTTTTTTATTTTTTGTATTGCTAATTACCTCATAAATGAACTCTCTCAGCGAGAAGCAGCCCTTTGTGGGCACCGGCAGCGACGACCTCGGGCAGTACGAAGCAGCCCCAGCCCAGCGGGACACTGTACGCCGGCGCTTTGGGGTAGTTTACTGGGTCGGAATTGCGCTGCTGACGGTTCCGCTGGCGCTGCTCACGCTTGGGTCGACAGTGCTGGTGTACAACTGCGAGCACCCGCTCAGCAACAGCTCGCTGCTGTCGAACGGCACGCACCAGTTCAAGCCGACTCTAATTCTGGTGTCGCTGGACGGGTTCCGGCCTGACTACCTGGACCGCGGCATCACGCCAAACCTGCTTGAAATTGGCAAGCAGGGGCTGCGGGCAGACTACATGCTGCCGTCGTTTCCGTCGTCGACCTTCCCGAACCATTACACAATAGTGACTGGGCTGTACCCCGGGTCGCACGGCATCGTGTCGAACGAATTCTACGACAACGCCATCAACGACACGTTTGTGTACAAGAACGCCAAGAAGAACGTGGACCCGCGGTGGTGGAATGGCGGCGAGCCGATCTGGGTCACGGCCGAGAAGCAAGGGGTCAAGGCCGGGATTGACATGTGGCCCGGGTCCACTGCAGTGATCCGCGGAGTGAAGCCAAGCTACGTGATTCCATATATGGACCGCGTCCACCCGACAGCCAAGACGCAGCAGCTGCTCGAGTGGCTGGACCTGCCGATTGAGAAGCGCCCGGCGTTTTTGGCCACATACATGCCCGAGGTCGATCAGGCCGCTCACAACAACGGCCCAGACGCCAAGCCTGTCAACGACGCCGTGCAGATGGTCGACGAAGCCCTTGGCGAGCTGCACCGCGAGATCGCCCGCCGCAATCTGACTCATATTGTCAACCTGATGGTGGTCAGCGACCACGGGATGGCGACCACGTACGCACGCAAGTATGCCATCTACGTCGATGACTACATTGATGTGTCGCGACTGCACGGCATCTACGGCTGGCCGCTGGGAGGCATCCAGCCCAAGGACGACGCCGATGTGCCCGAGATGTTCAGACGCCTGAGCCTGGCCAGCCAGGGCCAGCCGTGGCGCGTGTATCTGCGTCACCAGATTCCTCGCCGCTTCCACTATACACATGAGACGCGGGTGGCGCCCATCTACATTATACCCGAGCTGCCGTGGTATGTCTCGACCCGCGCTGCCGACCAGTACCACGCGAGCCAGATAAAGTCGTCGGAGATGTTCCCACCCACTGGTGTGCATGGCTACGACAACCTGCATCCGCTGATGCGCGCGACTTTTGTGGCCACCGGCCCGGCCTTCCGGTCGCGTCACACCCAGGCGCGCTCGGCACCCATGACCATGCTGTCCACCAACATCACGGTCCTGGACCGCAATGAACACCGGCTGCAATACATGGCAGCTCGCCGCAGCATGTCTGCTGTGTATGACCTGGACCCGCCGCAGTTGCCTGGCAGCTCGTCGTTGATCCCACAGCGGTTTGGCATGGACAACCGTATCTCGGACATGTCGGCAACAGAGGACTTTTTGGAGCTGCTGGAGAGCGCCCGCGAGTCGCAGCTCAACCACATCAACAGCCAGCTGCAAAAGTGGAATACTGAATACACCGCATACCAGGCCGAGTACGACCGCATCTGGGGCGACTATGGACTGCCAGAGCACGAGCTGGCTGCAATCCGCCACCCACCGTTCGAGAACGTTGAGCTGTACGGGCTCATGGCCAGGATTCTGCATGTTAACGCAGCTCCAAACAATGGAACTTCCAAGTTCGCTGACTGGTGGCTGGCTTAGACATAAATTTGGTGTGTATCTCTTATCCTTCTAGTTTGCTGTCAATATGAACATGTTCGAATTACTTGACACATGATATCATGCGCACATGATAACTGGAAATACACTGCTGTCGCTGCCTTTGCTTGTTCTCTACCTGCAATCTGCATTGGCGACATGCTGTTCCATCTTTCCATCAGTATGCAGTTTGCCCGCATTCCCTCAACGTTGCATCTGGTACTCCTGTGAAAGACTGTCTGGCACTGTTTGCTCGATGATATATAAAGGCAAGGCTCCTGCACTGGACAGAACATGCTCCTTAGGCAGATCTTCTCCCTTTCTCTCCCAATCGCATTCAGCCATTATGAAGCTTATCTCTTTCGCTGTTCTCGCCCTTGCTGCTGCCGCAGCCTCTGCTGAGACCGCTCCTAGCCCTGAGCTTGTTGCCGAGATCCAGTATGGCGGCGACCAATTCCCTGGTGGCGGCGGCCAGTTCCCTGGCGGTGGTGGTGGTCGATTCCCTGGCGGCGACAGCTGGAGACGCCGCCACTGCGAACGCCAGTGCCGCTGGCAGCCTTACTACTGGCAGTGCATACGCCGGTGCATGGGCTGGTGGCACTGACACCATTGGACGGGCACTTTGCTTTCTTTTTACGAATTGACAGCGCAGCGTAGTTGGGTCTCTAAACCCTTGCTTGCCCGATATATGTGACCATGTACTGCTCAATATCGTCGCTACCAGTGTCAATATTAATAAAACCTCAAAACAAAAGAGTATATCACGCCATGAGAAACCCGCTCACAGTGCCATCTTTCCGTGTGCCTTGCTTGACTCCTGCTCACGCAACACGTCAGAAGCAGAGCCCACAGCCGGGCTATGCTCATCATCAATGGTAGTTTGTGCGAAGCGTGACATAACCTCGTCAGCAAAACTGGCCGATGACCCCTCGCCGGTAATGTCGCCCAGATCCATCCGTGGCGACCTGCTGCTCTCCTGCGCGGCCCGCCACTCCTTGTGCGCGGCCACCGAGCTATCTACCAGCCAGTGCACACGGGAAGCCTCGTCAATCGACGCACTCAGCTTTGCCAGTATTTCTGCTTTATCTTCGTCGCCAAGCATGCCCATGTAGTTATTGATGGTTGCCGACCGCTCATCAACATCCTTCATCAGCTCGCTGACGATTGCATTGCTGCGCGGGTCCTCCTCGACATTCAGTGCCACCAGGTTCTCAGTCAACATGCTGCACAGCGACTGGAGCTCCTGCGCCGAGCCCTCCATGTGCTTGATCAGGGTGTCGGTGAGCACAATGCGCTCTTGCAGCTGCGACTTGTCTTCGGGCAGTGCCTCCTCGATAGCCTCGCGCTGCTGCTGCTCGACCAGGGGTCCCGGATTCTCCAGCGCCCTGGCCAGGACATCCGGCGGGAAATTGGCCTCTGATGGAGTACGGACCTGCGGGTACGTCCACCCTTCCTGCTCGTGGGTTACCGCAGGCCGCGGCAGCGCATTCTGCTTTGGCTGCATCTGCACTCTCTCACGCACCCTGTCCACGACGGCCTCCAGGTTCGCCTTGGCGCTGGGGCTCTCAAAGTACAGCACGCACCAGTTCGACACCATGCATAGCAGAGCTTCACGCACCGCCAGTGGGACGCTGGTGCTGCAAATCGTCCGCAAAATCACCGTGGTTTTGCTGCGGTCCTTGAATATCGGCAGCATGTGCCGAGGGTATGTCATCACTATTCCCTGGAGCACCGCCAGCAAGTCAATCAGCCGCTCAACATCGTCGCTGTCCACCCCTCTCTTCTTGCGCCCGCCGCCTATCCGCGACAGCAGCCCTCCGCTGTCCTTGTCCGACACGCTGCTCATGACGTGGTTGAAGGATATGGCTGCACTATCGGGCTGCCGGGCAAACATGCTGTAGACGTTGTTGTACTCCCCAGGGTCGTCAGCCGCATCGTTGATGGTCTGCTGCAGCTTGCCCTTTTTGCCTGTAAACAGCGGCATTGTGCGGAAAATGCTGAAATTCAGGGGTTGGAAAAAAAAAAAAAGAGCTAAAGAGTGGGAAAATGTCAAGGGAGAGAAAAAGAAACAGGAAAAGGAAAACAAGCCAGCCTGGCAGCATTGCATCCAGAGGGACGCCGATGCATTGCTGCTGCGGCTTTTTGTAGAGCTTCTTTTGTAGGATATCAGCTGGGGGCACAGCCAGTCCAGTGGAGCTCGTGCTGCTGACAACCTGCCTGTGCTGGACATGGCCCCTGCCAGACACGCGCAACTGAATTTACTCGGGGATTGCCACGAATCAGCCATCGATACAGGCTGGCTGATGGTGCTCAGCTTGCTTGGAAAGGCAGATCGATGTCTACAAACCCAGGCGGTCCGCTGTCGGTCTGGCCCGAAAGCTTTGTGGAGTTTTTCTGCCCGAAAATCAACATTTATTTCTGGCGGCAGCATGTGCTTTTGAAGGTAATCCTGATGACCCATCTCGTTTTTTGGCTCATGATATCCTAGAGGAACATCAAGAGCTGTGCCCACACCCCGCGCAAGTTTAGCACTTCCCAATATATCTGCTCCATTTGCAAAACACGTGGATGCAGTGCCAACAATGCAGATGTGTGAAAAATAAGCCTGTTGCTAACAATAGCCCCTTTAGCAAAATTTTAGGTAGACAGACACATTGGCAAAGTGCTTTGCCCGCTCCTGAATCGCGTAGCCCTCGAACGCGTCCTTGATGAGCTGGCTGCGGGCCCTGGGGCGGTCGCACACAATCACAACCTTTAGTAGCGACGGAAGATGGGTGGCCATTTCGACCAATGCCACGGCCTGGTCGCTGAAGAGATCGGCCTTGCGGTAAGAGTACTTGTCGGTTACAGTTAGCGCCTGCAGCGAGCGATTGACGACCGAGAGATCGGACCTCAGCACAGCCGACTGCATGTCGGACATGCTTGCGTTGCCCTCCCTATGCGTAAGGTAGCATTCGATATTGAGGGTGACAAGCTCAGGCAGCTGTTGGAGGATGTTCCGGAGCTCGTTGCGTGTGAAGTGATGGCCAATGCTCAGCGAGCGGAGCCGCACGCATCCAAAGCGCCATGTTGCGCATAAAAGACTCCAATCTACGCCAAACTCGAGCCTGCGGAGATTGGATACGGGGCTGACCAGATTGCCTAGGATATACTGGGGGTCGACCTCGCCAGCCTTCCGGTTGAACGACACCTGTACATGCGCCAGCCTTGGAAAATCCGACATGTTGAGCTGCTGCAGGAACTTGATGCGAGCGACGAGATGCAGCCTTTCGAGCGGGGCGTCCTTGAACATCCAATACACCTCGGGAGACTCGCCCCCGTCGCATCGGAGGTAGAGGCTGTGCAGCTTTGGGAAGCTATACAGGACCTTCTTGCTCGTGTCGGGAACCGCAGTGTCTTCTTCGCTGGAAACTCCAAATGTGATTGAGAGGGTCTCGAGATTAGGAAATGTCGCCGAGTACCTGTCGGATGCTCGCTCAAACAGCCGGAAAAGCTCATTTGGCTTGATCGTGTGAAACTTGAGATTGGTCAGCAGGCTGATATCCATGCAGGATCCGCTGACCAGATCCTCGAATTCGCGGTACCAAATGGAAAAGTCTTTCAATGCCGGAAATAAAAGCCTCGAGTAGTCGGTCGTGGTGAGGCAATTGACATCCAGGGCTGCAATCTGGTGGGCATGCGAGCTGACCACCGCCCCAATGTCTAGCCTGAGCTCGCCCGCATTGCACACAGACAGGGACAATGCCTTCAGGTTGGGTGTTACCGACAAAAGCGAATGGATTGACTGCGCCATGTGGCTCATGTCGGCGCCATTACCAACGCCGCGTTTCAGCGACATGTCAATTCTCACCGTCTGCACCGACGGCCAGGGACGATCCACAAAGACCCTCCGTGTCAGGAAATCCCTCAGCCCTGTCCCCAACGCCGACGCCCCATCTACCCGGAGAATAATCGTTCGTGGTTGAAACATGAACGGAATAATATCGGAATTCGTCTGCAGGTGGAAACGAGGCATGGCAGGGCTAGCTGTGGCCCCTCCATTAGCCATGCCCGCCTCTGTCGCGGCTCGCATGCTGTGCGAATTGGGCACGGTCTCTGAGAGACACTGCACATGGAAATAAAGCTTCTCGAATATGCGCGGGCCCATTATTGCTCTCCACTCTTGACAGATGCCAGCCAGTCTGTACCTCTGCTGTAAGTATTCGCGGGCAAACTCATCTTCTGCTCTTGATTCAGCGTCGTCGAGAACATGTGCAAAAACCCTCTCCACTATCGTTGCTACGTAAAGTGCTGGATTCATGGCGGGAAATAAGTGCGAAAGGTCAATAGCGAAGGAGAGAAGGGTGGGAAGGAAGCTCAAGTGACTAGTGCAGAAACAAGGAGGTACCCGGGTCTTCACGATTGAGCCTCATTTTCAGTATGGGTTCAAACGCCCCCTTGACGCCCCCTGCTTATCATTAGGTGATACATACATGAGATCCAATGGCGTATAGTGCTGTATGAGCATATGCTGGAATTTAGATGGCCAGAAAATAAAATTATACGTTGTCAAAGTGGTTATGATCGATTTGGACAAAGGCGGTGTTCTGAAAGAGAGACAGCAAGTATATAGCTCTGATGTGTACCTGCTCGAAAGCTCCACCAGTCTGTAGCCAATGGGTCAGCATCAGCTTTCCGTGGAGAAAGGACCATTTGGGTTCATTTACTTTCGTCCGTGCTTGGCATAGACGAGAACTGCTCTTGGGTAGAGACATCGGAAGCAATAGGTAGAACCAACTGCTTATTGCTGAGCCATGTTTCGACGAGAGTACAGGCGAGTGAGAGTGAGAGTGAGAGCGGAACTGGGAATTTGGGTGTTGCCATGCACCACCTGCTTGCAGGATGCATGCATCTAGCACAATGCCGCCGCTCGCCTATGTCTCTTCGTAGATCCATTTGCCTGGCTGTTGAGGACAGCACCGCTTGCATATGTCCAACTGAGAACAGTGAACTGGCACGGAAACAGCGTATAGTGGGGGTTGGGAATGCTCTGGTAAGCACGCTCTGCTCTTATTTCCATATCTAGATGGGTATAGACGCCACTGACTCCTGTGATGACGCATATGACAATATCCCACATCGAATTTCAGATAAAATAACAGCAGGAAATATTGCAGGACATTTTTTTATCAATGTGGCGTACACGACTACTTGGCATGGAATTGCATTGCTCGCAGCGGAGATAGCATTGCTGATTTGGAGTTATTTCCAGTGTTCAGCGATTTATTATGCACAGCACCAGCGCAATTTGGCAAGCAAATAGCATTAGCCAAAAGAGGGTTTAGTAAAACGTATTTATCGCAAAAACGTGTGTATTTAATATATAGCCATATACATGTGGAACAATACCAGAGGCAACAATGTGCTTTTTATACACCAACATTTCGCTTGAAATTCCAACACAAGCCTCCGTTTACAAACCATCAATGAAACCAAGGCGCATTTCATTGATTCTGAAACTGAGTGGCTGGGACATGCGGTGTGCGTTGTGTGCATAGCTCAAAGAGGTAAGCCGTGGCAGACAGCAGCTACAGGAAATAAGGCAGCTACTCTGCATGTGCCCTAGCTCTGACGATCGATTCTCACAAGAAATATATCTGCTTTTACATGTATTCAATCGCATGTTGGTGAACATCAATCATTCAGCCGGTCAGCATGCGCTTTCTTGACCTGCTCCCAAAACACCCCGTCGACAACACACCTTGCGGCAACCCTAGCCGACGTCTTTGCTGCAAACAGAGTGTTTTCATGGGCCTTCTCGGTGCGCGCATCATGGGCAAACTTGCTCGTATGGTTCGGCGCTCCGGTGCCCGCCAAGTCATAGTTTCCATGCAGGGAGATGAAGCTCTGCGACAGATTGCCAAAGTCGGTCGACGCCCCCTGGCCGAACGTGGGCGGCACCTTGTATTTCTCCCGCATGATACCCTCGTACATTTTGCCCAATACCGGGTTGTCCTGGTTGTCCAGGTACGCGAACTCAGTGGTGACTTTGTGCGTGCACCCGGTGGCCAGGGCCGCTGACCTGAAAATATCCAGCGTGCGCTGTTCCAGGACCCTCAGATCCTTGGCCCAGGACGCCCGGATAATGCATTCGATGCGCGAGTACTCGGGGATGATATTGGCAGCCTCGCCACCTGTAGTGATAATGCTGTTGGCTCGCCAGTCTGGCCTCAGCTGCTCGCGCGTGGCGCCCATGGCAATCTGGGCCAGGCTGGCCGCGGTTCCCGCATTGATGCCGTCCCAGGGCGCTGCTGCCGAATGTGAGGCCTTGCCGAAATACTCGACGGACATTTTCTGGCAGCACTGCGAGTGCCATGTCCCCGAGTACCCGATGGTCGGATGCATGATCATCAAGAGGTCGGAGCCGTCGAACACGCCGGCCTTCTGCATGATTATTTTGCCTCCGACATTCTCTTCGGCTGGTGTGCCAAACAGCCTCACGGTTCCGGGGATCCGGCAGGCATCGAGGACGGCCGAGATTGCCAGGAACATGGCTATGCCGGAAATGGCTATCAGATTGTGCCCGCAGGCATGGCCAAGCCCCGGCAGAGCGTCGTACTCGGAGCAGAACCCGATGCGCAGGCCTCCATAGGCGCCAGCCGGTGATACATAAGAGGCAACAAATGCGGTCTGGAGCCCAGCAACGCTATGCTCGACCTTGAACCCTCTGCTCTTCAGGTAGTCGGTGATGGCTTTGCATGCATGTGTCTCGTTCAGCGCCAGTTCGGGATTGTCGTGGATGGACAGCGAGAGTTTGCGCAGGTCATGGCTAGCGGCGTCGATGGTTCTGAAAACAATATCGTCAACAGATATGAGCATGGCGGTGAGGCTAATTTATGGATAAATGAAGACGACAAAGGACATTGGTGACAGCAGGCATGTCTTTTATACACCGCACCAGTGCAGTTCAAACCCCCTTGCCCATATGACTGTGTGCGGTCGTGGGAACAGCATGCAGCCCTTGCCCACCATGTTTGTAGATTACGCAGTCCCTCGATATTCGCGCCTGGCGATCTCTCGAGTCCACCAGCAGCCAAAATGCCGGGTGCTTTGCGCCATACCAAGAGGGAAGCCTCCCGATATGTGGCCAACAAGCGTATTCCAATTACGCCGAGAGCTTTTCGTAAAACTCCCTGGCACTGGGCGCACTCTTCCGCTCCTTATGCGCACCCTTCACCCTCTCCCAGAACTCGCCATCCACCAGACACCTTGCGGCAACCCTGGCCGAGGTCTTGGCGGCAAACAGCGCATTCTCGTGGGCCTTTTCGGTCCTCGCGCCTTCGGTGAACTCGACGGTGTGGTTGGGCACGCCGGTGCCGACCAAATCGAAATTGCCATGCAGGGAGATGAAGCTCTGCGACAGATTGCCAAAGTCGGTCGACCCGCCCTGGGCGCGCGCCGGCGGCACTCCCAGACGGTCGTGCATGATGTCCTCGTACATCTTGCCAAGGACCGGGTTGTCCTGGTTGTCCAGGTACGCAAACTCCTTGGTGACCTTGTAGGTGCAGCCGGTGGCCAGCGCCGCCGCCGCAAAGACATTCAGCGCGCGCTGCTCCAGCACCGCGAGCTCTTCCGCCCAGGACGTGCGCACCGTATACTCGATCTTGGCGTAGTCCGGGATCACATTGGCTGCCTTTCCGCCCGTGGTCACGATGCCGTGGGTGCGCCAGTCGGGCTTCAGCTGCTCGCGCATCGCATTCATGGTCATCATCGCCACGTTGGCTGCGGTTCCCGCATTGATGCCGTCCCAGGGCGCCATGGCCGCATGCGAGGCCTTGCCGAAATACTCGACCTCCATCGACAAGCAGCACTGCGAGTGCCATGAGCCCGAGTAGCCGGGCGTCGGATGCAGCATCATCAAGAGATCCGAGCCGTCAAACACGCCGGCCTTCTGCATGGTGATCTTGCCACCAATCGCCTCCTCGGCCGGTGTGCCAAACAGCTTCACGGTTCCGGGGATCTGGCATTTCTCCAGCACCGACGATATGGCCAGGAACATCGCCACCCCGCAGATGGCTATCAGATTGTGCCCGCACGCGTGCCCGACGCCTGGCAGCGCATCGTACTCGGAGCAGAACCCGATGTGCAGCCCGTCGGAGCCAGCTGGCGACTGGTAGCTGGCGACGAAGGCGGTATCCAGCCCGGCGACATTGTGCTCGACCGAGAATCCCTTGGAGGACAGATAGTCGGTCAGGACCTTGCATGCATGGACCTCCTTCAGTGCCAGCTCTGGGTTGTCGTGGATGGTCAGCGAGAGCTTGCGCAGCTCGTGGCTGGCTGCATCAATAGCGCTGGAAACAACGTCGTCAACAGAAACAAGCATAGTGGAATGGAAAAAAACAAAAGTAGGGAAGCGAGAGATGTTGGAGGGACGTGGGCCGGGATGCCCCCTTATCCCACGGACGCTGGAGTAGCAGGGGAACCACATGGCAGAACCATTTCCCCCCGTCATATCACGTGGACGTCACTCACCCGCAGTCTGGGAAAACATCAAAGCTCTTGAGCATATGGAATTAGGAAATAGCCAGCTCCAACAACAACAGCAACAACAAAAAAACTATCTGCCAAGCTGCCCTCTGCTTACTCCTCATCGGACTCGTCCTCGACATCCGACTCCTGGTCATCGACTGCCGCCGCCGCCGCATCGCGGGCAGCGTTCCGGGTGTAGTACTCCTGGATGACCTTCTGCGGGATCCGGTTGAGCATCTCCTTGGGGAAGATGCGCAGCAGCGACCACGCCAGGTCCAGCGAGTCAAAGATGGTCCGGTTCTCGTACGGGCCCTGCGAGATAAAGGAGCGCTCAAACTTGTCCAGGAACTCCAGCGACAGCTTGTCCTCCTGCGACAGCGCCTCCTCGCCCACCACGGCCTTCATTGCCGCGGCATCCCGCCCAATGGCGTACTTGGCGTACAGCTGGTTCGACACGTCGCCGTGGTCCTTGCGCGTCAGGCCCTCGCCGATCGCCGACTTCATCAGACGCGACAGCGACGGCAGCACGTTGATCGGCGGGTAGATCTGCCGGTTGTACAGCTGCCGGTCGACGTAGATCTGGCCCTCGGTGATATACCCGGTCAGGTCGGGGATCGGGTGCGTGATGTCGTCGTTGGGCATGGTCAGGATGGGGATCTGGGTGATCGAGCCGTTGCGGCCCTCGACTCGGCCCGCACGCTCGTAGATGGTCGACAGATCGGTGTACATGTAGCCGGGGTAGCCGCGGCGCCCAGGCACCTCCTCGCGTGCCGCCGACACCTCGCGCAGGGCGTCGGCGTACGAGCTCATGTCGGTCAGGATCACCAGCACGTGCTTCTCCAGCTGGTACGCGTAGTACTCGGCCGTGGTCAGGGCCAGGCGCGGCGTGATGATGCGCTCGATGGTCGGGTCGTTGGCCAGGTTGAGGAACAGCGTGACGCGCTCCAGCGAGCCGTTCTCCTCAAAGTCCTGCTTGAAGAACCGCGCAGTCTCCATGTTGACGCCCATCGCCGCAAACACCACCGCAAAGTTCTCCTCGTGCGTGTCGTGCACGTCCTTGGTCACCTCGGGCTTGACAAGCCCCGCCTGGCGCACAATCTGCGCTGCAATCTCGTTGTGCGGCAGCCCGGCTGCCGAGAAAATCGGAATCTTCTGCCCGCGCGCAATCGAGTTCATCGTGTCAATGGCCGACACGCCGGTCTGGATCATCTCCTCGGGGTAGATGCGCGAGTACGGGTTGATTGGCATGCCGTTGATGTCCAGGTAGTCCTCCGCAAACACCTTCGGGCCGTTGTCGATGGGCTTGCCCGACCCGTTGAAGATCCGCCCCAGCATGTCCTCCGACACCGGCATCTTCAGCGTGTCGCCGGTGAACTCCACGTGCGTCGACTTGGTGTCCACTCCCGTCGTCCCCTCAAACACCTGCACCACCGCGCGGCTGCCCTGCACCTCCAGGAACCTGTCCCGCACGCTTCGACCCATCAGGCAGCGTCAGAGTCACGATCTCCGAAAACTTGGGCTGCTTGACGTTATCGAGAATCACCAGCGGCCCGTTCACTCCCGCCACCGTGCGGTAATCTACACCACGAATTCATGTTAGTCGGATGAGCCAGACAACCACCCAATGTGCCCACCACAGCATCTGTCTGCCCCCTTACCAATAGTCGGCTTCACCCGGTAGTCCTGCACGATGGACGATGCGTTGATAGCCGCCGCAGCGTTGACTTCGAAAAGCTCAGAGGCAGACATTGGTTCTAAAAGAAAAGAAAAGAAAAAGGCTAATGTAATAGATGGTGAAATTAGGAGGGGAAAAAAGAAGTGCGGTTTCCGACGAGGAAGGAAAACGCCCTTCAACACACGCTGCCCTCCCTGATAACATCCCTCCTCGATTGGCTCACTCTGCGATATAGTGCTGAGAGTTGAAAAATGTGTGATTTGGTTTGAAAAAAGAGAAAAACACCATGACGTAGATGCGGAACAAGAAAAGCTGTGCTTAGCCGCTGCACATCAGGCACGCGTCGGCGTTGTCGATGGAGCACTGCATGCGCGCCATCTCCTCCTCCGTCGGCTCGCCGGGCGCCGCCGCGCCGTTGGCAGCCCGGGACTGCGCTTTGACCGCAGGTGCCGACCTTCTCGGCATCGATGGTGAACTTGATCGCGTCGGCCGCCGGCTTGGTGCGCAGGTAGTACATGCCGGTCTTCAGCCCCTTCTTCCAGCCGTAGAAATGCATCGACGTCAGCTTCTGGTAGTTGGGCCCGTCCATGTGGATGTTCAGCGACTGGCTCTGGTCAATGTAGGCGCCACGATCCGCCGCCATGTCAATGATGACCTTCTGCTTGATCTCATACACGGTCTTGTGCAGGCGCTTCAGGTCCTCGGGAACCTCGTCCAGCTGCTGCACCGAACCGTTGGCCGCAATAAGCCGCTGGCGCATCGTGTCGTTCCACAGCCCGCGGTCCACGAGGTCCCGCAGCAGCCACTGGTTGACCACCTGGAACTCGCCGGCCAGGACGCGGCGCGTGTAGATGTTGGACGTGTACGGCTCAAAGCACTCGTTGAAGCCGAGGATCTGCGATGTCGACGCTGTGGGCATGGGGGCCACAAGCAGCGAGTTGCGCACGCCGTGCTCCCGCACCTTGGCCCGGAGCGCGTCCCAGTCCCAGCGGTCCGACGGCGCCACGCCCCACAGATCCGGCTGCAGCTTGCCCTTCGACATCGGGCTGCCCTGGTACGTCTCGTAGGCGCCGTGGACGGCCGCCAGCTCACACGACGCCTCGAGCGCCGCATGGTAGATGGTCTCGAAGATGGCGCGGTTCAGCTCGCGTGCCTCAGGCCGACTCGAACGGCATGCGCATGGCGAGGAAGGCATCAGCCAGCCCCTGAACTCCAATGCCGATGGGACGGTGGCGCATGTTGCTGCGGACGCGTCTCGGGCACCGGGTAGAAGTTGATGTCGATGATCTTGTTCAGGTTCTTGGTGACCACCTTGGTGACGTCGTGCAGCTGCTGGAAGTCGTACTCGGTCGGCCGACTTGACAAACGACGGCAGCGCAATCGACGCCAGGTTGCACACAGGCCACCTCGTCGGGGCTCGAGTACTCGACGATCTCTGTGCACAGGTTCGAGCACTTGATCGTGCCGAGGTTCTGCTGGTTCGACTTGCGGTTGCATGCATCCTTGTACAGCATGAACGGGTTCCCCGTCTCGATCTGCGCGTCCAGGATCGCATACCACAGCTTCTGTGCGTCGATGGTCGAGCGCGCCAGGCCAGGCGTGTTCTCGTACTTGGTATACAGGGCCTCAAACTCATCGCCCCACACCTCCTGCATGCCGGGTGCCTCGTGCGGGCAGAACAGCGACCACTTGCCGCCGGCAATGACGCGCTTCATGAACAGATCCGGGATCCACAGCGCATAGAACAGGTCGCGGGCCCGCACCTCCTCCTTGCCGTGGTTCTTGCGCAGATCCAGGAACGCAAACACATCGGCATGCCACGGCTCCAGATAGATCGCAAACGCACCTGGCCGCTTGTTGCCGCCCTGGTCGACGTACCGCGCCGTGTTGTTGAACACACGCAGCATCGGCACAAGCCCGTTCGACGTGCCGTTGGTGCCCTGCAATGTATGAGCCCGTAGCCCGGATGTTGCTCACGTGCAGCCCAATGCCGCCAGCGTTCTTGGAAATCTGCGCGCACACCTTCAGCGTGTCGTAGATGCCCTCGATGCTGTCATCCGACATGGCCACAAGGAAGCACGACGAGAGCTGCGGGACGCGGCGTGCCCGAGTTGAACAGCGTCGGCGACGCGTGCGTGAAGAACTTTGACGACATGAGGTTGTACGTCTCGATCGCCGCGTCAATGTCCGAGCCGTGGATGCCCAGGGACACGCGCATCACCAGGTGCTGCGGGCGCTCGACCAACACGCCCATTGATGCGCAGCAGATACGAGCGCTCGAGCGTCTTGAACCCAAAGAAGTTGTAGTTGAAGTCGCGCGAGTAGTCAACCGCCGCGTTGATCTTGTCCTTGTTCTGCTGCACCAGCTCCAGAAGCTGGTCAGACACCATCGGCGAGTGCTTTTTGGTCTTTGGGTTGATGAACGCGTGCAGGTCCTGCGACCACATCCGAGAAGTTATCGTGCGTCTCCTTCTGCAGGTTCGAGATCGCGATACGCGCCGCCAGAACCGCGTAGTCGGGGTGCTGCACCGTCATGTACGCTGCGGTCTCGGCTGCCAGGTTGTCGAGCTCGACCGTGGTCACGCCCTGGTACACGCCCTGGATGACCTTCTGCGCGACCGCCGCCGAGTCAACGTAGCTCGTGTTGAGCCCGTCGCACAGCTTGTTGATGCGCCGCGTGATCTTGTCGAACTGGACCTTCTCCGACTCTCCGTTACGCTTGACGACAAACATCTAAAGAGCGCGTGCGGTTAGCAACGACGGTTTTTACCAGCGACTGCGGGAATGCAAGCAGTGTGCCCATGCCTCTTACCTTACGGAAGAACAGCTGATGATATGTAGTGTGAGGGGTTTGTTAATGAGGGACAGAGTTGGGCTGGCAAAACGCAGACCGCTGCTCGTGTTGATTATAAGAAAATAGAGGAATAATAAAAGCGCACTGAGGAAGAAGAGAAGAGGCGCGAAAGAAGCCTGGCAGTCCGTCCTTTTAAACCTTTCGCTGCTTAATGCTAGAGGCAGTTTTTTTCCCCCGCTACAAAAAATTTTAATTTTCTCGTTCCCCCACCATTCGCTTTTGGAAGGCAGCGCCTGCAACGCGCGTCCCGTCAGAGGACACCAAATCGCCCGCCGACAGAACGCGACTGGCGCGCGTGGCGAGCCGCACTGTGCCGCCTGCCGTTCCCGTTTCCGAGTCGGCTCAGTTGTCTGATCGGTGATCAATTGCGATTACCAAAGATGGCAGTCACACTCTTCAGAGCCCGATCAAGCACCAGCGCGCAGCCATGTTTACCTTGACACCTATGCCAAATTCTGCAGCCACCAGTCCTGATATAGACAGAATACCCCAGTTTAAACAGCAGGATTCAATCCTGCTCTATTCCACTCTGCCACTGCCCGAAACTCCCGAATATGCCAGCTGCCAAATAGTATTGGGTTCCGTCAGGTCGCCTCTCCCAAGCTGCTGAGTGCCCCTCCAGATGCCTTATTGCTTGTATTGCTCTCCCTGCCTATTGGGATGCCCCTTCAAGAGATTCTGTTGCTATTCAAGCCACTCCAATTCCAATAAGCAAGGCTATTGCAAAAAGCCCACATATTTTTGCGAGCACCAGGATTTACCTGGAATCCAATCTGCCACTATAATGCTGCAGCAAGTCCGATACGCCTGCTCTTTAGAATCACTATTGTCACAATAGTCAGCCAAAACCAATTGCTCCATGCAAGTTGATAGCACGAGGCTAGCAGGCTGGCACTCCAATATGTCCCACCTTTATTCATGGTTGTTGCGCATTCAAGCCATCAACAGAACCACATGGAGCAGCGCGTTCGTCAAGCTATAAAAGAGCAGCTCCAAGCACAATATTCCACCGCACAATTGTTCCTTACCTTCTCCTCAACACATAATACATAATGAAGTTTGCTGTTCTTGCCGCTGTGCTTACCTTTGTCTCGTTTGTCGCTGCCGCCCCTGACACCCCAGCTCATCGGACACTGCGGCTGGGGAGGAGGCGACCCCGAAAACCCAAATGGCACCTGTATCTAAGCATCATCGCCGTAGTCTGTAGTTTTTGTGCTAAAATTTTGTATTGCGTTAAACATAACCCACATTTGCAAATTCACAAGGCACTATCTGATGTGTATTGGATGGGTCTAACTTGAGACCACGCCTCGGAAGAGAGTCAGCCGTGGGTGGGTGCTAATCCGTATACAATCGCTGAATGCGCCCTGGGGGATAGTTTTGTCGGTACTAGTACGCTACCATGTGCTGAAATTGCGATGAGTGCAGATCATGTAAAGCCAGGGCTATATATCCTATGCTTCCATCCCCTCTCTCTCTCCATATTCCATATACACATACCGATATATTACTTGTACACCGCTAATTGTCTACACTCGTATTCAAGTAGATTTGATACATAACTCCATCAGCAGGCTTGCCAAGCACCCCTAAACCTCCACACGACTCCAATTGTGATGGACAATTTGTCAAAATATGCATAATATACCACAGGAAAGCTGCTGCTTTGGTAGAACTTGTCACCCATCTCTACTTTCACCACTTTTCTACGCTATAATCCATGGCCACCTTTAACGACATCCGCGGAAAGACATTGGAGAGAACCATCCACCTGTGCCTTAGGAAAATTCCTTCCTCTATTCATATTTGCGAGATCATCATTTGATGGGCTCTGTTTAGCTTGAGTCTGCAGAGAGTGGAGAAAGATAATTTTACCGAGATTCTATGAACACGCACGCATTACAATTATCTCTACCGATTCAACCTCCTAAATCGTGGAGATTTGAATATATTATAAGACTCATTGTGGAAGATGGCCTATCTAAATACACCCAGAGACTTGCTATTACTCTTCCAGGACAGATATATCGCCTCTGGTAATCTTATCACACCTTTTTATTTGCAGCTATTTACCAAAACAAACTGGCCATCTGTTCACACTCTACGCTTGTCAGAGAGCCTGGCTGCCTCAACAAATAGCAGGCAAAGCGGAATTAGGCGCCGATATGGATGATGCCATTAACCAATACCTTTCACACACATCTACCAGTCCTTGACATTCATGTCAGTCATATCATAATGATGCTATTAATACCGCACACCCTCCTTCCAAACTTATCAATCCTTAACCTATATCGACTCTCATATCTACATATCAAAGGAGCCCCAGTTAATTTCACTCACTATTCATTCTCAAGTTCACTTACCTACCTCACTCTTTATTTGAGCCCAGGGCAGATCACACTTCCGTACATATGCACACCGAATCTTCGCATATTGGATTTATCCGAATATTCCGCCTAATTTCTCATGGAGGTGCTTTTACTCAGAGAGTAAAGGCTCGTTCGATTTCTCAGAACTTCAGAGGTTGACGCTGCACTATTCAGCCGCTTCAAGTGATATGAATACAGTAACCTCCAGTCACAACGGCTATACATCCCACATGCAGCTGGTTTACGGAAGATCCATATGCCAAAAGTTGAGCGGCTTTTACTATCTAGCGTTCCTCATTCAGATATAACACTATTTACTCCTCCTCTTCTGTCACACCTTGATCTACTCAGCTATCTCTGGCAGCATTGACGATTTTACACAGATGGATCTGCGCTTTCCACATAGCAAAGGTGTATCAGTACTCTTGAGTGACAATTCTATCGAGGGCATTCAGGAATACAGCATATTCACAGAGATCCATATTCAGTTCATTCTCAACTGTTACATGGGTCGTTTTGTAGTCAGGCGCTATATTCCAGTATCTATTATATCTGCTGGATGGTAAAATTTGAACGAGCTATGTCTTTTTGCCTTCGTTTCTTGTACTATACTTTATCGCTTAGTATCCCAGCTGCCCTTATTAGAAGAACTGCGTGTGAGATATATCGCTCCAAATGACGAGCCATATCACGATAATAGGCAACAAGGGACTTTGCCATATTCCCTTAAGCAGTTCCAAGCTCAGCAGCAAACTACATCGCCTTGAATGCTTTTCCAACACATCTCATTTTCCTCTGCTTTCAACCTCGATCCGCTCTATGGGTTTATCATCAGCGTTCGCTACGCTAAAGAACGTCACAGTTCCAGAACGCTATCTTCAGGAAGTCCAGGACCAGCTCAGCCAAGCCAACATATGAGAATATCTTCATATTCAAAATATCCATTTTGATAAGAGCCTCGAGGATTTCCATCCATCGACTCTCATAAATGCTGACTAGAGATACATAAATCGCACATAGTCACCGAAAAATCTCTCCTACACATTAGATTCGGTTAATATATTCTGATTTTACAACCCAACAGATCCAGAAGGTTGGATCTTGGGTGACTAGAATCCATATTGGCATTGGCTTGGTCGCTGAATTGCGGTCCCAGCTGTGGCACTTGAAATTTTTCTCATGTGCTGTTCGACTTTCTTGTTAGACGACAGGTTCAATTTGCTATTATGTAAATATCAATATTGGCAGCTTAGTCGGGATTCTGGCGACGCTCCACACCTGGCCAGCCACATCTGCAGTCTGGCCTTGTTAACCTCGAGCCAGATATCAGCAACCGGCCGCTTGATCAGTCCCTTGCGCACTATATTCAGGTACGAGAAGAAGCTGCACACTGCGACCATTCCGTGCATGGCAGTGGTGGCAGATTGGCTTGTTGTCGTCGTCGTTGTCACCAAACCGCATTCCGGAACATATGCGGCCGCTTCTCCTTCTCCGACCCGCCGCTGCTCGATGATGCGACGCGGATCAGACATTGACGCAGATGGAGAGCTGGCTGAGGGGCGGTTTACCGAGCACCCGCACAGATAGCAGCCCAGAGAAAGCACACGATTGAGCTTGACGCGCGGCGAGTATGACTCGAGCACTAGCGTGTTCTCTTGCACGCCATGAAGTAGGCGCCGGTGCTTATTCCAGCCAGAAAGGGAAGGCATGCTGGTGGTAGAGTCTGCGGCGAGCGTTGGTTCGACATCTTCGCGCATGCTGCGCTGCATAAACGATGACTGCATCGCCTCCTTGTCCGATGATGCATTGACAAAGCCTAGAAACTCAGTCAGTCGCGTATCGGTGCGGGTAGTGTCAGTGCCAAAGTACAGTACACCGGCGATATGTGAATCGTTGGTGTATGAGACTGTTGCAGGTCGCAAAGCCCACGCTGTCAGACGAGTTGGATACGGACGGTGAAGTGCTGTTGCCGGTGGTCTGCCCAATGGATGCAGTGCTAATCGCACGCGCCGTGTTAGGCAGCGAGGGCGATTCAGCAAAAGCACTGTCCCGCAGAACTGGCAGATCTGGAACCGACACAAAGGACGAGACCTTGCGCTCAAACGCATGCAGTTCTGATCTCAGTCTTCTCAGCCTCGCCCTTTTCACGGTCGAGTGCCATGTTGGCACTCTCCAGGCTCTGCTTTCAGCGACTTGACCTGTGCGCGCTCCATCTCCATCAGCTGAAGCATTTCCTCCTGCTTCCTGGCCAGCCGCTCCAGCTCATCCCGGTGCTCGCGGCGCTCCTGCGCAACCAGATTTTGCGCTTCAAACTGAATATGTGAGCTCAAGCTCTGCCAGCTCACACTCCATCAGCGAGCACTTGGTTTCGGCAGCCGTGCGCAGCTCGTACTCGATCTTCAGCTTGTGCGCAGATACATCGATCTCGGCCTTTCAGATCTTTGATCTCGCGCTGGCTGGACTTCTGTAGATCATACAGCTGCTGCTGGATACTGTTAGCCTCGGCCATAGCGGCGTCACGCTGCTCTTGCGCCCGCAGCATCAGTGCTTCGTAGTAGACCGTCTGATCAGCACCCATCGCCGCTGGCTGCTTGCCGGATGGCAATCTTCCATGGCTACTGGCCAGTGGCGCGCCAGTGGCTGAGTTTGCCTCGCGTGCAGCAGCACAATCCGCCGCCACGCAGTGGTTCTGCCCAGGTTCCAAATCAGGAGAATCCCGCGATGCCACCACCTCGACAATGCTGGGGGCGACGCTGGGAGACGCTGAATCGGATAATTCGCCCTGGCCCTTTGCTCGCACACCTGCAACCCGCTTTGTGCTCAAATTCAGGACCGCTCCAGATGCTGGCCAGTCCTGCGACATGCGTGGCCTGGGTGCCTGCGGAGATAGCAGGTGGGCGGCTGCGGCTGCTGGAGTTACGGTGTTGGATGTGGACCGCTGGAGCTTCATTGTCAGCTTACTGTTTATAGCCGGCGGCGGCGATTGGGACCGGGTCCGGCGTAATGTGTCCTCAACTGGCGCCACCCCAAACGATTGCGGGCAGTAGCTAGATATTTTGAATGTCTTTCGCCGAGGCGGAGTCGCTGTTGTTGGTGTTATTGCCGCAGCAAATGTCGACGTTGACGGCGAAATTGGCGATATTGATGGGGCGTCGATGGATGCGCTGCGCTCAGGGTTGCTGTCTGTAGGCGTGGCCAAGTGGTCCTCGGCAGATTGAGGAACGACGATGCCCTGCCGCTTATTTGTAATGTCTGCTGTGTCGAGTTGCGTTGTCCACAGGGGTTCGAGTGTCGGGTGCTGTAGCATATTCGCCATCCGGTGGACTTGACTCGGCGATGTATTGAAGAGAAAGTGGTGCTGGAATTCAGGTGGCCCTGTGTCGTTGTCGATGTACTCCGAGATGAACACGGACAGCGTGCTTTTTGTGCTGATGCGTGGGGCTTTGCGCTTTTTTGTTAGCGGCGGAAAAACGGACGAGCAAGTCTATTGCCAAGAAAAACAGTTTTAGTGGATGCAGGCTGGAGGGATGAGGAAGGCGAAGAGGAGGAAGAAACCACTTGTCCTTGGAACACGAGCAATCGAAAAAGAAACTTTTACGGCCGGTTGTGTGCTGTAGCTAATTCAGGGGGAGAAGAAATGAACAGGTTGTTCGCCCACACAACCCATGTCTGTATCGCTGTATATGGCAATTTTCGCTGCCATATTGGTGCTCATTTACCGCCTCATTTTCTGGCGGTTATTAGGGAGCGAGGGGAGGAGGCGCGTTGTGAGATATGCAAAAATGCATGGTGTGAGGGACAGGTTATTTTTTTTGAATTGCACTTTGTACTCCACGCAGAGTGATGTGACAATAACAACACCGGCTTTCGTTCCAGCCAACCCTTGGAAAAAGTGCTCACAGAGAAAAAGCAACACAATATGCAAACTATTTGTAGCTGTGTAGAGGAGATGCAGAGGTGGGACACGAGGGAAGGAAAAAACAGCTTGCTTACTTTGTCTAGTCGAGCAGAAATTGAGGGAAAGGAGCAAGCGTATTACAAAGGGAAACGATGACAAGAGACAAGAGACAAGAGACAAGAGACGAGAGCGAACAAGAAGCAGGAGAGGATGTGTGCGTGCAATACAAAACCAGAGTCCTCAAGGCATTGTGCATGGTAGAAATTGTTGCAAGACAACAGTGCTAATAATATTGCCTTTCTCCACACAACAAATCCGACACCTCCCTCGCGGGTGTCCCGGCTGAATAAAGCCTTACTGTAGTGTCTCAAAAGCGAGTGCGTGTTTTGTATTTGCAGCAAGGAACAGCCAGCATTTCATTATTGATTATGTCCTCCGTGCTTACCGTTTTGCCAGCAAGATCAAGTGCAGGCTGATCTCCTCCAACAAATGGCGTCAGCAGAATGAAGGACATGTATTATGTGGAATATACAGATGAAATGAAGAAGAGAAGAGGCCGGAAACCCCAAGGAATAGAAGGCGAAGAGGAGCGGTTTTTATGGCCCGGGATATTGCCAAAACGCCATCAGGGGGAGGCAAAAGGAATAATTTAGAAACGGTGACAGGTTTAGCAGGCTGGGCAAATGGGCCGAAAGGGTGCTTCCCAGATATTTTATCATTCCAACCTCGAGCGCAGCTGCCGAGTGCAGTAAATATAACATCAAAGAGGCTTGGGATGTAGGGCGGACCCAGAGCTGTCAGAGGATGGACCAGAAACCGTGGCCGAAAAAGTTTGGGGGAGGAGTGCTAGTTTATTTTTGCCAAAACCGTTTAGCGAAACCAGGTTTTCTCTGCCACATGTCGTCACCCCATGTTTGTAAACGACAACGTGCTGTTGTCCAACACACCCAGGCATTATTTTGGCTCAGGACATTCAGAGGCCTAGCGCACGCACCTGTGCTAGGAAGGCGAGACTAGACATCAGAGTATTTCTCCTATGGGGCTGTGATCGTCCTGGCCTGCTGGATTCCTACTGCCATATCCGGAAGAACGGTTACCACTGAACAAGCCAGCAAGCGACAAGCCAAAACGTTGTTCATTCACTATTGCCTCAGCTACTCCCCGCTGCCCCTCCAGCAAAGAAACGATACGGAAAGGATGCGTCAGCCATTATTCATTGAAACCACCAGCAACAAAAACAACAACAAAAATGCAGCAGTCCTAAATATCCTCCATCACCAGTCGTGGCAGAATATTCATCGACTGCAGCTCCTGGAACAGTAGCTTGCACGCATACGGGATTTTGATCGGAGTCATGGTCTTGCTTGATCTGCACACCTGGCACCACCCCTTATAGCCGATGTAGCCGCACTTTTCGCACACATGCACCTCAAACACATCCGACGAGATCATCAGCCGCTCCAGCAGCAGCATCGACGCGCCGTACCCGATCAGGCAATCCTTCTCCATCTCTCCCAGACGCAGACCACCGTCGCGCGAGCGTCCCTCGGTGGGCTGGCGTGTCAGCACGGCACGCGGCCCGCGCGCACGCGCATGCATTTTGTCGGCAACCATGTGCTTCAGGCGCTGGTAGTACGTGGCGCCATTGAAGATGTAGGCGCCAACAGGCTCGCCGGTAATGCCCGACGTGACGTAGTCCTTGCCAGTATAGCTATAGCCGTTCTCCATCAGAATCCGGCACATGTCCTCCATCTTGCTGCCGCCAAAGCACGTACCGTACTGCAGCTCGCCCTTGATTGCGCCAGCCTTACTAGCCACAAACTCCATCAGCTTGCCGACAGTCATTCGCGACGGGAAACCGTGCGGGTTCATGATGATGTCCGGGAACACACCGCGGTCCGTGAACGGCATGTCCTCCTGCTGCACAATGATGCCACACACGCCCTTCTGGCCATGTCGAGACGAAAACTTGTCGCCAAGCTCGGGCCGGCGCGTCTGCCGCAGCAGGAACTTGATCAGCGTCTGGTCGGTCTCCGAGGTCGTAATCATGACCTTGTCAACGTATCCGTGGTCAGGGTACTTGAACGTGGCTGGTGTTGGGCGATATTCGACGGTAGCACCGCCCACTCCAGCATTGATGTCGTTGCCGCCATCGACCTGGCGACTGCTTGTGGAGGTACATCTGGACCGGTCTCAAGACGAGTGCCCGGCGGGGCCATGCCGTCAGTGTCGATGTGCGCGTAGCGCTCGGGGATCGTGCCGTCAGGTCATCATGGGCGGACCAACAACGCGGTCAAAGGTGCCGTTGGCGTACTTGCGCACCATGGCCGTGTACTTGCGCATAACCTGGCAGCGCCCAAACCCACGATCGAGGGACGACTTGTTGATAACCAGGGCATCCTCAATATCGTATCCGGAATACGACATGACAAACACCGAGCCGTTCTGGCCGGCAGGCAGCTTGTCGTAATTGATAAGCTCGATGGTCTTGGTCTTGACCATGGGCTGCTGCGGATACACCATCAGATACAGCAGAGTATCGATGCGGTTGAGCTGGTTGTAGGCAATAGCACCAATTGCCTGCTTACCCATAGCGGACTGGTACGTATTACGCGGCGACTGGTTGTGGTGCGGATACGGAATCAGCCCAGCCACAGCGCCCAGCAGCGTGAACGGCTCAATCTCGCAGTGGGTTGTATACAGCTTCAGATCCTTCTCATAGATGGCGATGTTACAGTCATTCTCCTCGTTGACATCGAGATACTCCACCAGGCCCAGCCGCAAAAAGTCGTCAAACTCGAGCTTGCCCGCCATCAGATCCTGGATGTGGTGGTCCTTGACGCGGCTCTTGCCGTTCTCGACGATAATCAGAGGGCGGCAGATGCGCCCGTTATCGGCCGAAATGTTGACGGTGTTGCGGTGGTCATCGATATAAATGCTGACAAATGCCGGGATGCGACCGCTGCGGCGCACCATGCGGAACTGACGCACAAACCGGAGTGCTGATCTGGTCACGCCAAGAATCAGACCGTTGAGGAACACAACATGCGTTCCAGGCGTGTGCAGCTCGGCACCAGTCATCAGCGCAGCGTCCTCGACACCCAGAGCAAAGGCCACGCGGCGGATGGGCTCCTCCTCGTCATCGGTAGTGATATGCGTCATTAATGCCAGGTTTTTCACCAGACCACACAGCTCTCCTTCAGGAGTATCGGCCGGGCACAGCATCCCCCACTGCGATGGCTGCAGCGCACGAGGGCCAGACACCTTGCGCGTCTTCTCAAACTGACTGCTGATACGGGTCATCATGCCCAGCGCCGAAATGTACGACAGACGCGACAGAATGTGGGTGACACCGGCACGCTCCATCTTGAAACGCTTCAGCGACCAGTTTCCTGTACTGATGGCGCGAGTCAGGCCCTGTGTGATCAGATCGCCGTGGCACATTAGCTGGTTATACACATCAAAGGCCTGCGCCAGGTTGGGCTTCTTCAGGACCTTGTCCACGTTGAGCTTCAGGTCGTAGTTGAACCGCTTGAACAGATCCTCAAACAGCAGCGACAGCAGCTGGCCGGCAAGCTCAAGACGCTTGTTTCCAAGGTAGTCCAGGTCGTCAGTCATGTTGTCGTTGTTGACTGCCTGCAGCACACGCCGCGCCATCATGGCCACGTACACGCACTTGGCGCGGAAGTCGCTGCCATTGACAGGCACATGGGCCAGCACCACGTTGGCCAGCACCTCCAGCGCCTCCTCGTAGCCAGGCCGGCGAGCCATGCCTGGGCGGCGAGTCACCTTAGTCTTGGATCCGATCCAGTCCAGCGCCGCCCGCTGCGTGAACAGCTTCGATGCCGAGCCCTCCTCGAGTGTTGGGGACAGCATGTCCAGGAACAGCGGGTCGTTTCCAGCTACCAGCTGTGCGATCTCCTTGTCCGCTGTCATGCCCATTGCACGCATCGCCACCACCAGCGGCACGTCGTCGCTGATCGAGTTGTGCTTCAGGTAAAGGGCACCCTTCTTGTACACAACATATGTCTTTGATTTGCGCTCATGCGTGCTGGACGTCACATTGGCCGCCATGAACCCCTTGTTGTCGACCTGGATGATGATACGGTTCTTGGACATCTGCTCCTGCACCAGAATGACTTTTTCCTGTTCCACGCACAATAAAGTAGCCGCCGGGGTCTAGGGGGCACTCCTGCATCCGAGCCATCTCGGCGTCGTTGCGGCCAGTCAGCACACAGCGCGCCGACCGCAGCATGATTGGCATACGTCCAATCACCACACCCTTGCGGATTACGCGCGACCGCCCACGCGTGTACTCAATGTCCACCGCAATCGGGGCAGCGTACGTCATGTCACGCAGCCGACACTCGTGTGGCGTAATCGACCGGTTTGGCTGCATCGGCATCGGTCCGCTCGGGCATACCCACGCGGATTCCAGTGTATTTCAAGTAGAACGACGGATCCACGTCCGACGTCACCACCTCGTTGGCTTTCACAATCTTCTTCAGGTCAACGTCGATGAAATAGTTGAACGAGTCAATGTGCTGTTTGACCAGTCCTTTGACGCGCAGGAAATGCCGGCAGCAGCTGCCACTTGTCCTCGGCCGTCGGGATCGGGTCAGTCAGCCCCTTCTTGGCCTGCGACGGACCCGCCCCCAGAAGCACCGCCGCGTCGTCCTCGCTGCCGTTCTGGAACCGCTGGTGCTGGAGAACCCCTGAATTGGTGAGCCGATCGACCTGCATTGGAATAAAAAAACAATGCTAATAAAAAAAACTGGTGGTCAGCAGAGGTGGGGCTTGCGGGCAGGGTTTGCTGAGAGCGGCTTGGTCTGCCAGCGGCAGTTAGAATTTTTTCCTGAGGAGCTGATTGAATCACTTGATCTAATCATAGGAAGGCGCGGGTCTGGCCATCTGGGAAGGAGCGTCATCACGGACACTGCATGTCATGCCAGCCACATATGTGCTGGCGCTGCCAGGTCTTGGAGAGGCCACAGACTCTCGTGATATTGCCAAGGGCAAGTCGGCCTGATCTCTAAACCAGGGCATCTGCCTGGTCGCTGATGCTGGCACATATGGCACCTTACATAATCTCTGGCCAGCCCCAGGGCGGATGCGGTTTGACAGGTAATGGTGCTTGTGAACCTCGCAACGATTGCCTTTTGTGCGAGAAAAATCCGCATTCTGCTGTAGTTGATTCTCTGAAAGCGGGCCACAAAGTGTTGCGGTACGCAATTCGGTGTTCGCTACTTTTCCGCAAGAGATGCTCTCTCTTTCTCGACTCTAGGGTTTTCTCGAATTTTTGTACTTTACGTGGCTAGCGCTCGCTGCCAGCTTGCAAGAGTAATCTCGGTGGTGCCTGGGCCATTTGACCAGCAACATCTACGTTTATTTTCTGGGCCTTATATTGTCCTTTTTCGCATATCGGTCGTGCAGTCATTCGCTACTGCGAGCAGTTCGCTCAGGTCGCTTTTTGTCACGCCTTTTTTTGATGACCAAGAGCCTGGATTCTGTGGTGAGGCAGCTTAATAATATACAAGGTAGGGGGCGAGATGTGCATAATTTCCGATCCTTTTGAGTGGAGGCGCATGTGGGGAAGAAGCGTCGCCAGGGAGGCATATTCCAGGAAAGCGCATGAGGAGCAGGGAGCAGGTTAAATTCTGCCTATCCATATGGAGTTGTTTGCAGTAAAAGGGCGCAGATTTGGACACCTTGAAGATCACCCTGCGGCAGAATGAGAGTTGCACCAAACGCCCTGTTCTAGAGCGCATGCAGAGGGTGTGGAAAATAGCACACCTCTCAGAAGCAGCGTATATGAACCAACGCAGCGTGGCCCGCACACGGGAAGTGTGCAGTTTAACCTACAACGTAACTACAATACCGACTACACCTACGACTCGCAGGCCACTTTGCTAACCACCGGTAATCATAATGCTCTATTTTCCTCTGGGCGACGTGCATATTAGAGGCAAGCGATACGCTCGAGTAGACAGCGACTCAAGCGTCACCCACTCGGTAGATCCACAGCTTGACACCAACCAGTCTGGAATGGGGCGGAGGCGGAGGGCTCAAAGCCATGTCCCTCTGGTGGCGAAACAAGCAGCGATGTAATGGCCAGAGACGACCCGACCAGCGACAGCTGCGTCACTTCTAGTGACTCCAGCAGCACTCTGAACCGCATCAATCACAATGCCACTGGCTTGGCCCAGCGGGCTACATCAGCAGCCGACAAGCAGAACTCGGTGCCGACTGCCAGACTCGTATACACCAATTCCAAGATCGTAAAGTACGACTCTGAGGCCGAGGCAGAGATAGAGCGGGAGCTGCAGGCGGCAGTGGACATGGTGATTGAAGGCAGCCCGCTTCAGGCCGAGGCACCAACAAGCTCTGCCCTGGTCGACGACAAAACTGTGATCTCGCCAAAGAAAAGCGCCTTCTCGCCTACCATGAGCCGCGTGTCCGAGCGCGACGATATCCAACTGCACCCATCAAATCCCTTCAGCCCTGTGCATCTGGCGGCTACCACGCTGTGCAGGAAATTTTCACTGAAGCGCACAGCGTCAGCGGAGGGGTCGACAAAGAAGTCCGGGGCCGACTCATCGACGCTGCTCGACAAGCGGTCAAAGTGCACAATGTGCGAGCCATACGACTGGGAAAACTCACACCCATTCATCAAGCGCTTCCAACCGGTCATCCGCTGGCTGCAGGAGCGCCCGCTCATCACATGCTGCATCACTGTCGGGCTGCTTGTTGTCCTGCTGATTGCTATTATCGTGATTCTGGTCGTTGGCGTGTTCCCGAACATGATGCGTGCGATCGTGCAGGACGTGTCGTTCAGAGTTACCAATCTTCATGCAGTGCCGCCTCCCGAGTACTTGATAGCGATTGGCGCTACGATAAATGACGGTACCGATGGCAGCAAGCGCGATTTGGTTGGAAGCAGCGGGGTTAACCCACATGCCCGCATGGCCGGAGAGCCAGATACGCCAGCCAGCGACAGCCTGGTGGGATCGAGTGTGCTCAGCATCCCAGTGTCACAGACATCGTCGATAGTTGCACTGGCCATACCATGGAGCACTGCGGCTACCCAGATGCCAGCACTTGCACACTCCAACTATGCGTTCCAGGCATCCTCCGCAGCTATCGTGTCGTCGTCGCCACCGCCTAACCAAGTCTTGTCATCAGCCGTTGTTCTGCCACAGGTATCACACCACGGTAGGCACAACCGAGCAGATCATGAGCCAACTATGGAGCCACAGCCTAAAGCCAAGCCAAGGCGCGGTGCCCTGCTGCTCCATCGTCGCGATGAGGTAGAACCGAGCAACGCTGGCAAGACTGTCGATGTAGTGATCCCAGTCACATTCACCCACACGGGTACATCGACTGTGCATCTGTCTCTGCCACACAGCACGCTGATGCCCAGGCAAACGGCTGCGGCCATGGAAGCTACCAACCGGGCGCTGGCCTCAGGTGAAAAGTACACAATTCAGATGTCCGGTAACATGACATCAGATGCGCCGGTTGGAGTGACGATGGAGTTCACTGAGCCGCTGCAAATGTTTTGGCGCGATGTCGAGATTGGCGTGGTGAACAAGCCTGAGAGCATACATTTGCCGGGCAAGGGGGAGACCAGGTGGAGCTGGCCGCCAGTCGAGGTCACTATCCCGAACGCTGACCTAGGCACGGGCGAGCGCAAGGCAGTGATTCCTTCGCCGGAAGAGCAGCCAGGCAGCAAGCGGACACCGTTTGTCATTACCGATAAGGACATGGTCCTGGGCGGGCTGGGCAGCCGGATGAGGAAGCGGGCGACATCCGATGGCAGCGTCGACAGCAGTCTAGCCGACTGGTTCGATACGGTGAAGGAGCTCCGGTCGTTTACCATGCAGTGGCGGTCAACCGTCAGAGTGTCTGCACTTGGCCTGCACACCAGCAACGTCAGGTTTGAGAAGACAGTCCATGTCGTGTGCAACAGCGCAAACCAGTGCTCGCTGAACGGCCCAGCGCTGTCGAAGCAGGCTGTCTGAGGCAGGGCTCCAGCTCGAGATCAAGCCAGATTAGATTCCCGTATATTTTTTCCCTCAATTTCTAAAATGTTTTTCCACCCCTTAGCTTGTCACTGGCCCAGCCTCTTCTCTACAAGCCGTCCCTTTGTTTATTCTACTCACCATTCCTACATTGCACAGTTCTGCTACGACATACGCACCATGCCCAGATATAACAATGATAGCGCTGAGAGGGGAGACACAGGATCGCGGCCGTATACAAAACAGCGCAAGCAGCTGACGAACAAGCTGACTGAGCGCAAGCTGCCGACCAGCGTATCGGCGTGCAAGAAACAGCTGCGTGATATTACACGTCTTGCACAGCGCGCAACCCTGCCGTCGACGAAGAAAGTAGAGCTTGGAGCGGCGGATCAAGGCGCTGAACGTGCACATGGAGCAGATGACGAATGCCGAGGTAAACAAAAAGAATGCGAAGCGGTACCACCACGTCAAATTCTTTGAGCGCAAGAAGGTGATGCGCAAGCTGGCCAAGGCAGAGAAGCAGGGGGACGAGGATGCTGTGGAGGAACTGATGATCAGCTTGAATTACACGACATACTACCCGGATGAGCAAAAGTACATTTCGTTGTACCCAACCGACCCATCGAAAGACGCCCGAGGAGGCGAAGCAGCAGCAGGCCAAGATCCGCGAGCTGATCGCGGTGGCCATGGAGAACGGCGATCTGCCAAAGGACCCGAGAAGGGTCAAGGCTGAGGACCGCAAGACGATTCGCCGCGCTAACCGGTCGCTTCTGCGCAGCGTGTCGTTGGCTAGTGGCCAGGAGGCTGCCGAGTCTGGATCTGAAGCCAGCGGCGATGAGACAGGGGAGGACGTGGACCCACAGAACATAGAAGAGGATGAGTTCTTTGCGTAGAGACAAATTAGCATTGAAAAATGAATATAGCACAAGAGTCTTACATACGTGATAGCAAACTGTCGGCATCCGTCTGGCTGATAGAATTCCGGTGGAGCAGCGTGCTTGAGCTGCTGTCTACAGCGGTCGAATGTGCGTAGACTGCAGACTCCTCGTCGCTGGGCTCTGGGAAAGACAAATGGTAGCTGGACTCGTGGGTATCCATAGGTGTGCAGTGTCTGGAGCGTTCACGCTCTGGTTGTGCGATGAATCAGAGTCGATGGTCTGGTTAGGACCGACCCTAGCATCATTGCGACGGGCCAGGCGCGGGAACCTGGTGGCCAGTGCCTTGGCTACTTCCCTGATGAACGCGGGCAACCGAGGGATCGCTGACAAAGACCACAAAGTTGGCAAACACGATAGTCGCCTGCGAGAACCACGCCATCTGCTGCATCGTGACAAACTTTGAGATGTCGCTCTTGAATGTCATGGTGAGGTGGTACTGGATGTGGTAGTACGCGATGTTGAAGCAGAACCATGCCAGCGGTGCAATTGGGTACAGGGCGAATGCGGATGGCGGCGTTGTACACATTGCGGGCAGCCTTGAGCCGCTGCTCCTCGTGGCGCATCTTGGCGCGGCCCTTTCCATCGTCCCTGCCGTTCGACAGGAGCGCCTGGCTCTCGGCCGAAATCTTGCTCAGCGTCTTGCTGATTTCACTCTGCTTCCTCAAGAGCAGCAGAACGACGCGAGTAACGGTAACAAGGTTGTATAAGAGGCAGAGTCCTGGGAGGAGCAAGTAGGCGCACACCACAAACACAGTGAAGCTTTTAGTCCCGGGCTGGTAGGGCTCAAAGGCCGAGCAGTATCCCCCGCTTCCCGCGATGCCTGTTAGAGTTGCAAACTGAATGAGGGCGGCCATGACTGGGACTGCAAAGTAGAGAATCTCCAAGTACCTGCTCGGGATCTTCAGCTTGGGCCGCAAAAACATGATGTGTCAGGTTGGCCGCAATACACGTGGACGTGTAGATGCTCGTGTATGTGATGAACCCGTTGAAGAAGTAGAACACGCGGCAGCCGGTGTTATTTCCCCTCACCAGGTCCTTTATTTGCACGAAGCCGAGGACGCTGTCCATTAGAGAGATAAAGAAGATCAGGCGGAGCGAGGTGCGGTTGGACCAGTGAGCGACGCCAGAAGAAAACAGCAATCAGGAATAGAACCATGGCTCCAGCAAGACTGCCAGCAAGGCTGAATGCCATGACCGTGATTTTGATTTTGCTGTTGAGAATCGCAAAGGCTGCGCCGACGGTTTGCTGCGGGTTTTCTGGCCCAACGGCAAGGGCGCGTGCAACAAGCGCTTTGATGTGCTCCGACATTTTGCCCGCAATAGAATACAATAGTACGTGATGTGTGTACAGCGATAGATCAATAAGGAGGTATGTCGGTAGAAGGCAAAGAGAGGTGGGCAGAGAAGCTGCTTTTAATAGGCACAGGCGCTGTCTTGCTGGTTTGGTTGCCTGGTCCCAGGCCTTATATATAGTTCAATTGGGTGCAGTTCGTGGTGTGACTTTATTGAGAGACATTGCTATTGTCCCAATACGCCTATCCTTTCCTCGTTGCACCATGCAAAAAGCAATTAACGTGACAGTTTTTTTTTTTGACTGGGAATGTACACTACAATTGAAGGCAGCACCAGCGAAAATCACCATTGCAATGGTGATTGCAAATATAGCAAACCTTAGGCAGGTAGACGGGTTTCGGTCAATACCCAGATGCAGCTTTAGCCGAAAATGAACAGATATAAAGTTGCAAGTGTCAAGAGCATCGCACGGTCTCTTCTTCCACGGTATGGCTGGCTGTCCTTTGCAAACAATACTCTCTTGGGAACGGGGCTGGACAAGAAGTGGCTGTCTCCCATGCAGTGCTTCACACATCATCCATGTTCTTTCCAATAAATAAGCTCTGCATGCGCTGCTGCTCACAAACCGATCAGTCCCCATCTGCCTGTTCTAACTGTCCTGGACTGTTATTGTCAGAGAAAACATGCGCCGTTTTAGAAAAGCAAGAATGCCGGCGTTCATGATTCCAAGGAGCGTTTGGAGGGAAGCGAAGGCAGGAGCTCAAGCGGGGGACTAATTGTAGAATAAACTGCATGTATGCCCAGGTGACCTTGCGCTATTGCAACAAGGCTGCTCACTCTTATTCGGACAATCCCATGTCGTGACCAGATGTTATTGTATAATAGCCGCCAAAGCGCGCGCACTGAAGAGTTACAAACCCGCATCTTTGCTGCTGGTGTTCTTAGTTCTGGCGAACGTGCGAGAAGATACCCGTGGCTGCTTAGATGAGCAGGCCCCAGGCAATCCCTCCTACACAGACGCACTAGGATGACAAGCGGGGGATGCATGCGCTGATGCTGACAAGGGTATTTTTGCGAGACTGAATTTGGCAGGCGCCTGCGCATTGGTTTCTGCAAACAGAGCAGGTGCTTTGACGTAGCAGGTTCTCCGCTTGTGTGTATGTCTGCTGCAATTGCGGAGCGGGTTCAGAGCCGACCCTTGTGTGGCTCACACCTGCATCTGCTGTCATGTGATATATGGGCCTTTTAATCCTGGAAGAGCTAGATTACCGCATTTGTTTGGTTCTATGTCACAGGTCACCAGCACGACCTTCATTTCAAGCCCCTTCAAGGGAAAAACAGGCTCGCAGACGCTTGGCATGAGCCAAAAATGAGCCAAAGAAGTATCTAATTTACAGCAGCAAGATTTCAAAAAGTACAAGAAAACATGGAGTACAAAACAGGCGCAACGGAGGCTGTTGTGGTTTTTTGCAGAGTGCTTTTAGAGCGACGCGATTTCCTGTGGATAGCGGCCCGGCGTGTGCACGTACACGGGCTGTTGCGGAACGAGTTTTTTGGTCGGTTGGAGGCTCGACTTTAGGTTGATGTGCTCGGGAGCGTGTTCAGACAGGTCGGCGGCAGCGATCCCGTTTTGGATGTGCGATTGGTCAAATGTGACGTGGTCAAAGTACTGGTCCCAGCTGCTCATCTCGCGGTCGCAGAGGCTGCACCGTGGCATGATTGAGAGTAAGAATGAGAGAGATATCGGATGGTCGTACATTAGCTATATAAATGAGAAAGTCTGCTTATCACGTATACCGCGAAGATGGCGAGGAAAGAAAGAGAAAATCAGCTATAGCCCTTGAAAACACAAAAAGAACACCGCATGCAGGAGGTTTTAAATGCCAGGGAGGAGGGAGAGAGGGCCAAGCATGTCACTTTTCTTGGCCATTCTTCTCTATTGAGCAGCATGAAGAAGGAAAAAAAGCGGGCGGCGACCTTGTGAGCACCATGGGATGCAGACGGAAATTATAGCTGCACGTAGGCGGCAGTTCTGTGGAAGGAGGAGGAGTGCGGCTAACCACGGGACACACGCCTTCTTTTTGCCTGTGCTTGGGTTGCTGACATACGGGTGATGCAAGTCCCGTCCAGGTTGCTGCTCTATTTTAGTACTCCAAAAGAGTGCCGGTGATGCCATCCACTGCCCTGGGGTGATGCCACCGCGTGCAGGAAGAAAAAGCGACTGCGGATAAGCATAAAGAAGGATTGGCCTTGTGCCCTGTTTTTTACTCAGGAGAACAGGCATCTCGCCCAGCTGATAGCCTAGATTTACCTCGTTCCTTCTCTCTTTTCCTGGGTTGTTATCCGGGTTCTTTCTCTGGCCGAACGTAGTGAACAATGTGAGAACATGCATCACGCATATGCATCATCCCAACGTGCACAAAAGGAGCGCCTGCCGTCTCCTGGGTCAGAAAAAAACAACCGCTTTGGGAAATCCGGCCCACACTTCACCACCTGCTTCTCCAGACAAGTGGCCGAAAGCAACCACACACAATGGGGGTACATAAACGCTGCCCACCTATCATGCATATCGCTCGTGCTGAATGTGCCGGCAAATCGTGCATTCATCCTGGACATTATACAGTAGCGGGCAAATGAGAAATATATGAGGTGTGATCGATACGGCAATTGCTTTCGGCAGCTTTCGTATAATGTCACGTAGTGGCGTCAATGGTCAAGCTAGAGGGTGGTAGACGGGGGTTTATTAGAAAACAAGTTAGTTTGCCTTTTGCCGCTTGGTCTCAGTTTTCTCGAGGAGCTCGGCCTTGCGGGCTTTCTCGGCGTCAACTAGCTCGGTCAGCTTGGCGTTGACGTCAGCTTGGGTCGCCTGCAGCGCGCTAACAAGACCCTTGATGTCATTGATCTCAGCACTGGCAACTGTGAATTCCTTGGAGGCGTCGTTGGCGTCGGTGTACACTGCGGTGATCTGCGACGACATGGTGATGTAAAGGCAAAAACGGTAGAGGCTTACGTGTGCGGCAAAGGCGAAAGCAGCGCGGAATAAAAAAATGCAGGCGTCCACAGCTAGAAATTAGCAAGTGTCTCGAACTGAGCCGGATTCGAGTCATCAGCTGGCTTTTGGGCTCAGCATTTCGGCTCAAGTGGTTTATTTTTTGGATGCCAGCATTTTGCCTTTTTGGCAGCATTCGCAGGCATTTCGTCAGTCTCCGTTCCTCTCGTTCTACCTTGCACCTTCAAAAAAAAATATACTTCTTGTTAATATGCAATACCAATACGTGGTCTCGGCACACAAGGCCAGCTCGGTGACAGCGAGCGTCAGCGGGGCGTTTGTAGCACCGCACGAGACGAACCTGGTGGTGGCCAAGGGCAATCGGCTTGAAATTCACACACAGACCAGCCACGGGCTAATGCTTGTGACCGAGCAGGCACTGTACGGACGCATCACATCGCTACACTTTTTCCATCCGACGGGGCGTCTGACAGGACTTGTCCTGGTGACTTCTGACAAGCAGCAGTTTGCGGTGCTCTCATGGGACGCGGCCGCGCAGACACTTGTGACGGAGAGCTCGGGCGAGATTGTGGAGCGGACGGGGCGGCCGGCAATCGAGGCGTGCCTCGTGACGGTCGACCCGGAGTCGCGCATGCTTGCCATGTACTGGTACCAAGGGATAGTGCATTTGTTCCAGATGGCCGGCGGACAGGCGAGACGTGGGTCGGTGCGCAGTGCCGGCGGGCAGGTGCGGCGGGCCAGCAGTGGGGGGATCGAAGAGTGGCCATATGCAGTTCGTGAGGAGATCATAGGCGGGCTCGTGGTCCCGGAGTATCTGAAGGAAACGCGTGCGGGCAGTGAATTTGACGCGCCTGCGGGCAGCTCCAAGGGCAAGTCGGTCGCGTTTGCGGTGCGCAGCGGCGAACTGTACCCGGCGGTTGTGCAGTATATTCATGAGCTGAAGGTGCTTGATATGCAGTTCCTGCGCACATCAGGCAAGCAGCCGCCGGCATTGGCGGTTCTGTATGAGGACGCGAATATGACGCGGCAGATCCACGTCTACCGGGTTGGCGAGGCACAGAGCGAAATGCAGCTTGTGTCGCTCTGGACCAGCGAGCCTGTGGACCAGACCGTATCGCATATTGTTGCATTGACGAATGGCGCGGTCCTGGCAATCGGCGACGATTCGGTTGCGGTAGTGGCACAGAATACGCCCATGCTGAGCATGTCGATGCGCGCGGCCAGCGTGACAGCGTGGGAGTGGATCGACCGGGAGCAGGGCGAGCGGCTGCTGCTAGCCGACGACGAAGGGGTGCTGTCGCTGGTTGTGTTAAAGTCCGCAAGCGGAGCAGCGAGCAAAGTAAAGGACCTATATGTGGAGCGAATGGGCGAAATCTCGGTTGCCTCCAGCCTCACGTATCTGTCGGACGGGTGCCTGTACGTCGGCTCGCATTTCGGCGACCAGCAGCTGGTCCGCTTGCACATACAGGCACTCAGTGCGCAGGAGATTGAGACAGCGGGCGCAGCCACTCTTGACCCGTGGTCGTTTGCCACTGACGCGCTGAATGCTCACCCGCTGTCCAATGTGTTTGGCACAAGTGCAGTGGAGCAGACAACAAAGGTCGATGCGGACACATTTGTCGAGCCGCTCGAGTCGTTCCAGAACCTGGCGCCCATTATGGATTTGTGCGTAGTCGGGATGGGCGAGCAGCAGCAGGAGCAGCAGCGGGTGGCGAACGAGGCAGCAGACATGGAGGGCGAGCCGGGGAATCACTCGCAATCACCAATGGCCATCGACAGTGAGCAGGGAAGCGGGCTGGCGTCCAGCAGCCATGGCAGCATAGTGACGTGCTCGGGCATGCGCAACAAGCCCAGTCTGCGCATGGTACGCAACGGGGTGGGCATTGATCGCATTGCAGGGCTCGACATTAAGGGCCTGCTGGGTGTCTGGTCGTTCACAGCCAGGGGCACGCCGGACTTGGAGCAGGTGGTGCTGGTGCTCAGCTTGTTCAACCAGACGCTGGTTCTGGGGTGGACTGAGCCTAGCGCAGGCAGGGAGATTGAGATGAACGAGCTGGATGTTGGCAGCGGCCCGCAGCCGGGCTGGCGCACCAGCGAGCTGACGCTGGCAGTTGGACTGACAGGGGACCAAAACCACGTTATTCAGGTTACTCCGACCGCAGTCACGCTGATCGGCATCGCTGGGTGGCAGCAGCGTGCGGTGTGGACGCCCGAGAGCGGCGCTCCAATCAGCGTTGCCTCGGTTTCGGGCGACCAGATTGCAGTGGTGGTTGATGGCAAGGCTGTCGGGTATCTGGAGGTGCAGGGCACGAGTATTGTGCCTGTGGCATTGCGCGAGCTCGGGCAGTATGTCTCGTGCATTGACGTGCATTCGTGGGACAGGCGGCAGGTGCGCTCATCGCTGGTTGCCATCGGGCTCTGGGGCACCAACGACATCCAGCTTCTGCAGCTGCCAAGCCTGGAAACGCACCCGGTCCGGAATCTCCCTGGGGATGCGCATCGGGACGTTCGCTGAGCCAGTGCAGCTCGCACCAACAGCATCGAGTGGGTGCGATTTGCCGCGGTCGATTCTTATGTGCATGCTAGGCAATACGCGGTATGTTCTGGTTGGGCTGGGGGACGGGCGGCTCCACCATTTCGCGGTGCGGCAGCTGGGCTCTGACTGGTTTGTTAGCGAGCACAAGAGCGTTGCGCTGGGAGCGCGGCCGATCCGGCTGACGGCGTTTGCGAGCCGCGGCTCGACAAGCGTGTTTGCGGCAGGCGACCACTCGGCGGTGCTGTTTGCAGGACGGCGCGGGGCAGAACGACGTAGCAGCGAGGCAGGGGAGGGCAAGCTTATGTATGCGAACGTGGACGCGTCGGAGGTGATGCATGTGGCGCCGATCGCGTCGCAGAGCTTCCCCGACGCGCTGTGCCTGGCGATGCCCGGGCAGCTGGCGATTGGCACAATTGATCCAGTGCAGAAGCTACACATCCGCAGCACACCGCTGCCAAAGTGGGCAGCGCCGCACCGCGTGGTGCATAATGTGGGCATGGGGATGTTTGGGCTGGCGACCGTGCATTCGCTGGGCAGTGCGCCTGGCCTGGCAGCGTGGGAGGCGCTGGGGCCGATGGAGACGGGCGAGCCGCAGGTGGGGGAGCCGGTTGATTTGCGCGCGTCTTTGGCGTCAGCGCCGCCGGTCGAGGCGGGGCGGTTCTCGGTGGTCGATGCACAGACAATGGATGTGCAGGCGTCGATGCTGCTGCGGCCATATGAGCTGCCCGAGAGCCTGTGCGTGGCCTCGCTGGCAGGCCTGGAGCGCACGGGGCGGGCAGCAGCAGACGGGGTGCCAGACGTGTTTGTGCTGGGCACGTCGATTGTGATGCCGAACGAGGATGATGCGCGACGCGGGCGCATCCTGGCAATGCAGTGGGATGGGCAGCGCATGCGGCTCATCGGCAGCTTCACAGCTCACGGGGCAGTGTATGCGGTGCGGGCGTTCCGCGGCATGGTGCTGGCGGCAGTCAACAACCACGTGATTCTGCTGGGCTGGCAGCGACGTGCGCAAGCACTGGCGGCGCCTAATGTGCGCGAGTTCGCTGGGTTGGTGTGTGCCGAAGATGCCGACTACGAGCTGGTGGTTTTGTATTCGCAGCAGACGCAGATAGTGACGGTATCGCTGACAGTCAGCGGCGACTACGTGGCAGCCGGCGATCTGATGTCGTCAGTGTCCATGTACAAGTATGAAGAGACCAGTGCTGACAGCAAGACGGAGCGGCGGCTGGTGCCTGTGACGCGCGACTACGCATCATCATGGGTGACATCGGTGGCCACGGCGCCGGCACCACTGGCGCAGAACCTCATGCGGATGTTCCCGGAGCGGATTGCCGACGAGGTGGAGATGGCGGGGCGGGTGAAGATATCCGACTACGACCGGGTGTTCCAGGATGTGCGTACCGAGCGGCTGGTGGTGGCCGATGCGTTCAGCAATCTGTACCGGGCAGCGCGCAGCAGCGAGGAGCATCTGGCGGTTGAGGGCCGCTGGCATCTGGGCGATATGGTCAACTGCATGCGCACAGGCTCATTGGTCATGGATATCCCTGATCCGGAGTTCCCGGAGCTCTTCCGCCCCGCGCTGGTCTTTGGAACGATCCATGGCGCAGTCGGCGTGATTGCCTCTGTTGAAGACGGCAAGCTGGGCCGGATCCTCGACCGGCTGCAGACGAACCTTGCGCACCTTCTGCCGACCGCCGGCATGTGGAGCTACGATAAATGGCGCGCCTACCATACAGGCCAGCGGCAGACCCGCGCCTTTGGATTCCTGGACGGCGACCTGATCGAGAGGTTTTTGGACCTGCCGGCGGAAATGCAGGAGCTGGTGGTTACGGGCGGCAGCCTGCTGCTGGGCGATGCCCGGGTGGATAGGGCCGAGTGGCGGATGAAGAGCCGCAGCTGCGCCGGATTCGCAAGAGTTGAGGGCGAATGTGACGTGGAGGTTCTTGGCTGCCAGGCGATTTCGAATATTGCCAAGCGCGAGGATGTTGGGGCTGAGTATGTAGTGCGGCTGGTGGAAAGCCTGTCACGGCTGCACTAAAAATAGAGTACGAGCCTTGGCGCTGTTTTCCCGAGGTGGTTGAGGAACAGCCGAGGGTCAGGGGATAGGAGCTAAAAATCAAGCGCAGGCACAGCCCTTCTTTCACCTGTGGTAGCCTGCTGAGCTTGGGAGTGTGTGCTGGCCAAGGCGCATTAATGCAGGCAGACCTGTGACTCTTGGGTTCGTTTCGTCTGTTCTCAGCTTTTCTCTTCTCTTTTTTTTTTTCATACTCTTCTATTTCAAAATAGCTCTCTAAATTTATAGCAATGGATTCAGGCAAGCAGAACGATACGTTCTCGCCCAACAACCCGTTCAACGACATCGCCCCTGGCGACAGCAGCAGCCAGCCAGCTGCCTACTCCAGCCCAGGCATGGCCCCTGGCTACCCAGCGGCATCGACTCCGGGGACCGACAATCTGGCGCACGCGCAGGCGCGCTTTGGCGAACCTGCAGCTAAACAGCGGGGCGGCGACACCGCCGCCTGGCTCGCAGGCGTACGGTGCAGCGTATTCGTCGGCTCCCGCACAGTCGGCTGGATATGGCGCGGGGTACGGCGTGACCAGCGGAGGTCAGCATGCAGGCATTGTTTCCAGCGGCTCGCCGCAAATGACTGCAGCGCCAGCGCATCCGCCGGCCTCTAGCGGCGCCGGGTATGCGCTCGGCTACGGCCCGCCGGCTCCAGCACCGGCTCAGGCTCCAGCTCCACCAGCTCCAGCTCCTGTATATTCCAGCGGGGCAGGCTCCACCGCCGATGCCGTTCCGTCCGACACAGACGGCGAGCAGCCCGGTGGCGGCTCAGAGGCCGCTGCAGCTGCCGGCGTTGGTGGGCCCGATGCTGCAGTTTGTGGATATAGATTTGACCAGTCGCGCAGTGGAAGGGGTCGGTCATGGTGATGACGAACGAGTCGCTGCTGCCACACACGGTGAACCCGCCGGCAATGTCCTGGCAAGCACATCGTCGTCAGCAGGGCCGGCGGCGTCGGCAGGCCCCAACATGCACATTCCCGTGATTGAAGTGTGGGATGACAACGTGCATGGGCCGGGGACGGGCAAGCCGAAGAGTTTCCAGGCAGTGGCACTGTATACGGAGCCGACGTTCAAGTACACGTTCTGGCGGGCGGATATTACGATTCCGCTGCATGTGACCGAGGAGCGCTCAGTCAAGTACCAAGTAAAGTGGGGCGCCGACGAGTACTCGGTGCAGTCGCCGTCCGCCAAGCCCACATACGAGTTCCGGGTAGCTGCGCAGTCGACGCACTGGCGGATGTGCATCACCAGCAACAACCAGTTTTGCCAGGTCGGTTCCCGAGAACATCCGGTACTCGATGCGTGGGTCAGGGCCGGTGATCACCGACTTGGCCGGGAAGCACCGCGACAACCCGTTTTTGGTGTGGGTGGGTACAGGCGGGCAGTTTGACGGCGACAACGTGTGGGATGACTGCGCGTACGTCCTGGCGCCGTTCATCCAGCCCGGTGGCAACGACCGGTCGAGAGTGCAGGTCAAGTGGACAGGCGAGATGGCAGGCGGCCGTGGAGCGGTGGTATCTTTTGGCGTACCTGCGGCAGTGGTTCGGGGTGGACTTGCGGGAGCAGTCTGAGCTGCAGGGGCAGCAGGAGTTTGCGCGGCTGCTTTCGATCGATTCCGTACTCATTCACAGCCGACGGAGACGTGTTCTCCGGGTTTGGTTCGTACCCGCAGGCGCTGCAGCAGTCGGCGGTGATGCAGGGGGTGGGGGCGATTGGCTAGCAAGTACTTTGCGTTGTTCCAAGGCCACTACGACTGCGGGGCTGGCGCACAGCGGGCACGGGTTCTACGGCGACGGGTACCATTCGCTGAAGAGGCTGGGGCCGTTCACAGCCCTGCTGTCGCTGGACACGCGCACAGGACGCACAGTTCCGGGGATCATCGACCGCAGCGACTACGACACGCTGTTCCACGCAATCCACAACACGTTGCCAGAGACCGTGTGCAATTTGATTGTGGTGGCAGGGACCGCCGGTGGTGTTTCCGCACACCAGCATTTTCGAGCAAGTGCTGCGCGGGGCGAACTCTGCAGGGCTGTCGACGCTTCTGTCGATGGTCGGAGGCAAGCATAGCGGGCGCAGCGAGATGCTGGGCAAAGGCCGGTTCGGGGAGTCGCAGACCGGCGTGCGGTTCAACGAGTTCTGGGCGAGCCAGCCACACAGCACCGAGCGGCAGTTCCTGGTCAACAGCCTGCAGGAGTTTGCGCGCAGCAAGTCGTGCCGGGTGACGTTTGTTTCGGGGCACGTCAACTGCCTGTCGTCGGGCCATTTCTACTCGTTCAAGGACAGCCGGTATGACCCGCGGCGGTTCCCCGAGCAGCGCGGGTTCCTGTCGGACTACCGGTCGATGATCCAGATCACGGTGTCCGGCTTGGTGCAGGCGCCGGTGGATTACCTGGCGCACAAGGCGTACAGTATGGCCAGCCGCGAGAAGCCGTTTGATGGGCATACGGGCGAGAGCCTGTACAAGACGTTCGAGCAGGATGTCAACGGCACGGTGCCGCCGTCGACCAAGATCCTTGCGAGACGCGGATACATTGCGGGCATTGAGAGCGTCATGGACAACAACGGCAAGCGCGACCCGGGGCTAATCTTCTTCGTGTATGCAGAGCACGAGAACTCGGTGGGCACCGGCTCGTATATGATCAACGTGCCGCCACTGAACTACACCCCGCCGCTCAGCCCGAACCAGGCGCCACCGCAGCCGCAGTATGCGCAGCAGGGACAGCCGCAGCCGCTGCGTCAAGCCATGTCGTACCGCGACCACAGTGCCCCTGGCGGATCTCAGGCAGCCGGTGGATCCCAAATGGCCGCCCAGCCAGTGCAGACCCAGCCAGCACAGGCGGCAGCCAATGCCGACCAGTACGACTATGACATTCCGGGCTACACCGATGCAGGTGCACCACCGCCGCCGTATTCGGCGCTTGCGACGCAGCCGCAGGCGGGCGACGGGCTGCCTGCCAGGAGCTCGGGCAGCTACTCGTCGTCGTACGAGCACACGGCGGCGTGGGTGCAGCAGCAGGCGGGGTCAGTGGGCAGCGCATCGCCACATGCCAACAACTCGGATGCTGCGGGGCCGACGTCAGCTGTGGTGTCTAACCCGTATGTGCAGCAGCCTGTGACTAGCCAGCCAGCGGCCAGCCAGCAATCCCCGTACGGTAAGCAGCCAGTGTCGAGCCAGCAGCAATCCCCATATGGCCAGCAACCAGCAACTAGCCAGCAACAGTCTCCGTATGGCCAGCAACCAGCAACTAGCCAGCAGCAGTCTCCGTATGGCCAGCAGCCAGGCAACTAGCCAGCAACAGTCTCCGTATGGCCAGCAGGGCCAGCCGCCGTACGGGGCAGAAGCAATAGGTGTTTTTATGCTTTTAGCACATTTCAAACAATCGTCGTTATCACTTTCGTGGGAAACAAACTCGCTGCCTTTTTCCCATGCCGTCGGGGCGGAATAGGGCCCCGGCGGGCTTAAAAGGCGGCCCGTGAGAAGTGCAGATAACAGCTGCTGGCAGATTTCCACATCTCTTCCCATCCATTGTTTTTTTTCTTTTCTAATACACCTATGCTTCGCAACCACCTCCCCCGCCTCCACCACACTTTCCGCGGCTACGCGACGGCGTCGACCAAGGGCAGCGAGATTCAATCGCGGATTTCGGCCAAGCGCCAAGCATCGCTGCTGGGCGGCGGGCTTAAGCGCATTTCGGCGCAGCATGCCAAGGGCAAGCTGACAGCGCGCGAGCGCATCGAGCTTCTGGTGGACCCTGGGACGTTCCGCGAGTACGACGCATTCGTCGAGCACCAATGCCACGACTTTGGCATGGCGAGCCAGACACTGACCGGCGATGGAGTGGTGACTGGCGTGGGCAAAGTAAACGGCCGCACGACCTTTCTGTTCTCGCAGGATTTCACGGCATTCGGCGGCTCCCTGAGCAAGACGTTTGCGCAGAAGGTGTGCAAGATTATGGACCGCGCAATGCAGGCCGGAGCGCCGGTCATCGGGCTAAACGACTCGGGCGGTGCGCGCATCCAAGAGGGAGTCGACTCGCTGGCTGGCTACGCGGAGATCTTCCAGCGGAACGTGCTGGCGTCGGGCGTGGTGCCGCAGATCTCGCTGATCATGGGCCCGTGTGCCGGCGGTGCTGTGTATTCGCCGGCATTGACGGATTTCACGTTTATGGTGAAGGACACGTCGTACTTGTTTGTCACCGGACCAGGACTGTGGTCAAGGCGGTGACGAACGAGACGGTGACGCAGGAGGAGCTGGGCGGGTCGTCTGTGCACGCAAGGAAGTCAGGCGTCGCCCACGGGGCATTCGACAACGACGTGGTGGCGTTGGCGCAGATGCGCGAGCTGCTGTCGTTTCTGCCGCAGTCTAATCGCGAAAAGGCCCTCGATCGGTTCTCTGCCGATCCCGTCGACCGCGCCGACCCTGCCCTGGACACCCTGGTGCCTAGCGACTCGACCAAGGCCTACGATATCACCGATGTGGTGAAGCGCGTCGTTGACGATGCGCGGTTCTTTGAGATCATGCCCGAGTTCGCCAAGAACATCGTCGTCGGATTTGCCCGCGTCGGCGGCCAGTCGGTCGGCATCGTCGGCAACCAGCCGCTGGTGTCCTCGGGGTTCTGGACATTAACGCGTCGGTCAAGGCTGCCCGGTTCGTGCGCTTCTGCGATGCCTTCAATATCCCACTGGTGACGTTCGTCGATGTGCCCGGGTTCCTGCCCGGAACGCAGCAGGAGCACAATGGCATTATCAGGGAGGGAGCCAAGCTCCTGTATGCCTACGCCGAGGCCACTGTGCCCAAGATCGCCGTGACCACCCGCAAGGCCTACGGCGGTGCCCAGTGCGTCATGAGCTCAAAGCAGCTGCGCGGCGACGTCAACCTGGCCTGGCCTACGGCCGAGCTGGCCGTCATGGGTGCCAAGGGTGCTGTCGAGATTCTCTGGCGCAAGGACCTGGAGGGCCGCGCCAAGGCCGAGGAAGAGTACAACAGGCTGTTCGCCAACCCTCTGCCGGCCGCCCAGCGCGGATACCTGGACGACATCATCCAGCCCAGGGACACTAGGCGGAGGATCATCGAGGAGCTGGAGATTCTGCGCTCCAAGCAGCTGGTGAATCCAGCCAAGAAGCACGACAACATGCCGCTCTAAAAAGTAACTGAACCGAGAAATATATTCAAAGTAGCTTACATGCAATCACCACTAGCAGCATCCACATAGACATCTTTGTTGTATGGCCAGCGTTGTCGCCGCCACCGTATTCAATATGACCGCCGTTGCAGTCACCGACCAGATTGGGCCTGGAGATCCCCGTCTTGCTGGAGATGAAGTCCAGGTACTTAGCCGCATGCGTGTAGAACCCGGCGCCATCAGTGGCCGCACACACGGCCTCGTCCGAGTGCCCCACGTTATCGCCATAGCTGGTAATCCCCAGCTGCACCCAGGGCCCGGTGCCCTGAATGCCGGTGCTAGACAAATCATCGTTGCACCGACGCAACAACGGCCCGCCCGAATCGCCTGAGCACGTATCTCTGCCATCGGGCGTCGACACGCAAATGTAATTGCCGTTATTGGAGTCAAACCGTGGTCTGATGGCAGAGCATATGGGTTCATTGCCGATGGTCAGGTCGACCTGCTGCAGCACATCCGAGGTGACGGTCTGGTCGAGCCTGGTTTTCCCCCAGCCGATGCCGGTCACAGTCATTCCGTCCTGCACCGAGTTGGTGTCAATGCGAATGGGCTGCACAAACTCATCGAAATTGAGCTTACTGTGCAGTTTCAGCACCGCAATGTCGTTGTCAAAGTAGTCCAGGTTCAGGTCCGGGATGCACATGCACTTCGCTGACCTTGTACGTCTGCATGTCGGCGATATTGGCGTTTCCGACGCCCACCACAATATTCTTGTTGCTTATGACCGGGTAGCCGCCCGATTTGGTCTTCTTCGGCCACCGGTGGCCTGAGCGCCGGTGCGCCCACAGCGGCAGGGAGCTGTTGGTGAGCTTGTTGCCGCCGTCCTCGGCCACCACACAGTGCCCGGCGGTCAGAATCCACTGGTGGTCAATGATGGTCCCGCCACAGAAGGCCGAGGTTCCGCCGCCCTCGTTAACAATTAAGAAGGCTGCGAACGGGTAGACCCCGGTGCCCGCGCTTGTGCCCCCGATTACCCGCCCCTTGTGAATGTCGTGTGGAAGCTGCTGCGCAGATGACACTGCTAGCCCAAGCACCGCCAGAAATAGCGACAATAGCATTGCTTGTGGATACTATCAATATTACAGGAAAACTACGGCCTTTTTGCTGGGCTGACACTACCTTAATACAAAAATGGACTATGAAGATAAAGATTCCGAACTAAGCTGAAGGATCGGGTAGATATGTCTCCGATACACGCCGGGTTTGGAAACAGCATATATACAGGAAGGCCTCAAAAATAACATCTCGCCCCTGTTTTGCTTCGTCGATCTGCCGCTTCTTGCTCTCTAAAAAGGTTTGACCTGCAGTTTCCTAGCGAAGCTCATCGGTGTGAGCAGCGAAAAAAGGGATCGGTGAGGAGGAACTGGGGATTCATACAAAGGCCTAGAAGATATTCAGAAAAACGCTGTTCTAGCCCCTATATGTCTTCCACTTTGAGTGATCGAGTTCCTCAAAGCTATCCAGCTGCGCAATGCGCACCAAATACTCGGCCAATGCAAACAGCTCGCGATCGCGCCGTGGCCGGCGGTCTGCGCGCTTAAATGCATGGATCTTGAGCCCATTCTGCGGATTCAGCGCAAAGTTCCTGCTCACGTCATCCACGTGCACCGTATTCCCGGCATGGTACATCGGCAGCCGCCGCCAAATGAACTCCAGCGGCTTCACCTGGTGCACCACCGTCCGCCCATTCCGCACTGCCGTCACCGAGAACATCGTCGAAATATCCAGAGCCGCCGTGACCCGATACAATGGGTTTGCCAGCATCCCCAGCAATGTGATTTTGCTCTCCACCACAAACCACTTGGTCTGGCTCCATATCACAATATCGTAGAACGGGTAGATAGCCGCCAGAAACTCGTGCAGCCCGGGCCTCGCCATGTCCGCGATATCCCCCGACACGTTCTTGCAGTCAAACAGCGTGTAGTCCAGATCCAGCACCACCAGCCGCCGGCCCGCCCGCGGCGCATTCATCACCCGCACCTCGGCCGTCAAAACCAGATTCGTCAGCTTCTCGCCATGGTCCGTCGACACCACACGGCTCGAGCGGTCCGGCACATAGTCCTCCTCCACGACCACCTCCTCGGCCCGCCGTGCCCGCAGCTTGTCTGCTGCCCGCGTCCCCATTAAGCGCACGCGCGTGCCGTCCGCCACCGACAGCTCCGACAATGTCGATGAGTCTGCTGGCAGCCGGCCCTTCACCAGGCCTAGCAGTTTCTGGCTCTCCACCTCTACCTCGGTCAGCTCCTCCAGCAGAACCTTCACGGAGACTACGGTTGCGTACTGCGAAATCCGCAGCGGGTATGTGCGCCCCTGCCACGTCACTACCAGAGATAGCGACGAGCGCGCCATCTCGTCGGTCCTCTTTGTATTTCGCTTCCGGGTCGCTCGCCCTGGTGTCAGATGTACTGCTCTCGACAATACTGCCTTCTGTGGCAGGCTGCTCGTCCGCTAGCTGTCGCTTCTGTGGCAAATTGACGCTCATTACTTGTATGTGAATTTGAATGAAATAAAAGATAGAAAAAAAGTGCAAGGGAGAGAGAGCCCCTGCACCACGTGGGCTAAAGGGAGCTGCTTGCGTCACAGTATTGTTCTTCCCTCCCCTCAGTCCTTGGTAATCGGTCGCGCGGGATACAGTCCACAGACACTGCAGAAGCTGGTGCCATCACGGAGTCCTAAATTTGCAGTCCGGGCATGCATCCGAGCCATAGCGGCTCATCTGGCCCAGCACCTCGGGCCGGATCGAGCACCTCGGCTCTGAATGTGCGGAAGTACGCGAGCCGCTCCTTGTCGCGCACCACAATATCATACTTTTCCAGGGCCTCCCTCGCCTCCTCGGCGAACTGGCCATCGGAAATACGCTGGGCAATGAACCCCTGGCATGACCGCTGTGCCGCAGCCCACCTCAATCGGCTCCTTCACGCGAGCTGCCGAGACAACCTCGGGGAACGCCTGCCGTAACACCAGCTTCCCATGCATCATGGCCCTGGAACTCGCCAATCTTGTTTGCCCGCTGCCCGCCGTTCTCCGACACTGCGTAGTCAATCAGGCGCTGGTCCTAGGTACGGCGACCACACCTTGGATGCCGAGCTCCTTGGCTAGGGGGAACGCGCAGAACTGCATGGTCCTAAGCATGTTCTCGGTGTACTTGCGCAAATCCGTGTCCTCCATCTTGTGCATGAACGAGTAGCCGGCGAAGAGCTCGTCGGCGCCGTCACCAGTGCAGATGCGGCGGCAGCCGATCTGCTTGGCAACCTGCAGAGCGTAGGCAATTACTACCGAGTTGCGCAGCCCCATGCCGTCGAATGTGCGCAGCACGCGAACGCATAGCCGCATGGTGTCACCGGTCAGCAAGTCCTCCAATGAAGGCGTCAGCTTGTGGTGCGTGAGGCCAAGCTTGGACGCAATCCTTTTGCGCGTACTTGATGTCCTCGGGCGCTCGCGGAAACAAATCCGGGCTCTGCTGCGGGTCAATAGGTCAACGTGAGGCCATGCGCGAGCTGCGCCCGGTGCTTGGCCTGCGCTAGCATTGCTTCCGACGCGATGGACGTGTCCAGTCCGCCCGACAGGAGTATTGCATCACATGTCAGGGCTTCGGGCGAGTCGAGGATCTCAAGCATTAGTTTGCGTACGTGTTCTGCCTCGCTGCCCATTTCTCTTTCACTCCAGTATAACAAGAAAATTACTGGTATGATCTTGCTGCGCACAAGGGAATGGGGATTCCATAGTGGCTTTTTTCTGTGTGGATCTGCACTTATACGGCAAAACAGAATTGACAGTCGTTTTGCAGTACACGTGTCGGTTGAACCGCCACTCCTCTCCGCGCATCCACATGTTTTGTGTCTTATGATAGGTTGTTGCGGCATCTCCACCAATATTATTTTATGTTACATCACCTACACCAGCGCATGTCCCAGTCTTCATACATGAATGCAGGTGTGGTCGCACATTTTATTCAATATTGACCAATATCATGCCACACATAACGATATGCATAATATGGCCGCGGTTAAATATATTCTCGCATACAGCGTGTCTTAATACAATACGCAGTAACCCCATGTAATCCTATATTATAGCATCGGTAAAAATATGTTCAAAAATCATCACCTGTCACTCCTTACGCTCTTGCTTTTCACTTTTAAGGAAAAACCCCTTTACGACACCTCAGAATCGCCTTAACATTCTTTTCTGCCCAGGAAGGTCGTTATTATGAGGTTCATTCTTTTCTTTGTCTTTGGCGCTGCCTGCTGCCGAGTCTCTGCTATCAGGAAGTGCGTCTGTGCTCTCCACTGACGCACCGGCCCTGTCGGGAGCCGAACCACTTGCTTCTGAATATGATCTCGCCCTCTCTGCAGCGGTAACAGTGCTCGCTGCCGATGCGTCTTCCTACGATAACCCTGAGTCGCTCACTTTTGATCCTGAGTCGCTTGCTTTTGATCCACGAGTCACTCTTTGACAGTCCTGAATCGCTTTACATCAGCTCCGAATATATGCTAGGCGAAATTGATGATTTCGGCGAGTCAGAAGGACTCCCTAGACCCCCTAGACTCCCCCTACGGCAACATCGAAGCCTCATCCTTTCGAATCCATCCGCGCCGAGCTCACTGCCCTGCCGCTATCCCTGTCCTCAAGCATAAAGCAGCCAGCACTGCCTGCTGAAATCGTACCACCATCGAATAGTTGCCAAATCTACACATTGAAGCCCGGCGACTCGTGCTGGCTTATCGCTCGCACCAACTCCATTACCATGGAACAGCTCGCCGCTTGGAATCCCGACATGAGCTGCATGCGCCTGCTAATTGGCCAGAGGGTCTGCGTGAGCCCACCGAGTAACTCCATTGGCCCATCCCCTACACAGCCTGGCAATGCATGCCGCGAATATGTAGTCAAATCCGGCGACTCGTGCTGGTATATTGGCGCCAGCATCGGTATCTCCCTGGAACAGCTGCAGGCATATAACCCAGGGCTAAACTGCCAGGGCCTGCAAGTCGGTCAGCGTCTTTGTTTGCCGTCGGGTTCGTCCGGCAGCCCCACTGGCTCGGTCACACCAACGCCAACTACTCCTAGCATACCAGTTGCGCCCAGCTCCTGTAAACTCTACACTGTTGTCAGTGGTGACTCATGCTACGATATCTCGCTGCGCACCCAAGTCTATCTGGTCGATCTGCTCTCGTACAATCCCGGATATTGACTGCAACCGCTTATACCCAGGCCAGGTGCTGTGCCTGAGTCCCGCAAAGCCCGTCCATAAATAAGCTAGCACCCGACGATAAAGGTGTCTGCGCATGGCACCGCATCCGCTCCGGTGAAACATGCACGTCAATCGGACAGCCATACGGGATCGGAGTCCGATGAGATCGAGGGCTGGAATAGAAACACCTGGCGCTGGTCCGGGTGCAAGAACCTGCAAATCAACACCAAAGTCTGCCTGTCGCCGGGCATACCGCCTCTTCCCTGATGCCAACCCACAGGTGGAATGTGGGCTCGAATCCAAAGGCAATCTCACATGTGCCTTCAACCTTTGCTGTTCCATGTGGGGTTTCTGTGGTTTCGATGATAGTTTCTGCACCATCTCTTATGGCGCCCCTGGAACAGGCTGTCAGTCAAACTGCAATTATCGCTCACCACTATAGCTTTCTATTTTTTTCCAAATATTTTGTGCGTTTGAAAAACCGCCATTCACCGCGGTTGCCTGTGCTCCACACGGGGGTTGCGCTAGTGACATCACACATACTGCACTATGAGATACCTATCAATTCAAGCACCTTGGGGATAGCTTTTGATAACTTGGATAGCCGAACTCGCGTGCCAGTATAAAATAGCTTCTGTGGAGAGATCACTTGGATCGGTCCTGGATTCCACAGCTAATTCATAATACACCGCCAAACTACTAATAACCAATGACTCCCCGAAGAGCATACTATATCTACCAGTGTGCACACTGCGGCATATCAGAATTAGATTTTCCTCATTTCATTGTTCTATTTTCTCTTTATATTTTGCTACCCAGTCCAATACCAAGCCGGATCCTTCTTGTCTTTCTTCTATATTTTTCTACTTAGTGCCCTTCTGCACTCCTTCACACTTTCTCAACATATATATCTTCGAGTGTTTCAGCCCGCTCTACATTCCACTTGTATCGCTTGTAACCTTCTGACATGTTTGATTTGTCCATATGATGTATTGGCGTCTATGACTCAACGATCAAGATGAAAAGTCAATTAATCGTGGCCTGTGATAACACATATCAGGAATGTGTAGCCATGTACAGCTACTGTGACTCTACAAGTGTATTGAATCAACATAGTAGATGAAATGTGTGCAGCAGCGGATTGCTCTGGGCAATTATAGTGGGGAGACTGAGTTCCAGTAAACTAGTATGCTTCTTTCATAGTACTTTCAGGGTTTCGAAGTGAACAGGCTAGTCGAGGTTTCTATACCACAAACGATGACCTGCACAATCACTATGTAGTTTGTCTTGGCTAGACCCTTGTGCCACCTCTAAAACCTGGAAGAAATACATGCTGCTTGATATGTATCTTGTGAGCACAGGTGTGGCATTCTGCATATTCTGTCACTCTGGCTATCTTGATAAACTAATCAATTCAGTGGCCTCAAGAACATGGAGGGTAACATACGCGTCATCAGTATCGCATGCTTACCTTGAATCTCGATGCCTGACACTCGTTCTACGGTCTGCCCAAAGATGCCAGCCATCATATTCTCTGTCACCGGCAAGTAGCCTGACTCGCGCTATACCCGAATCTGCGTTTTGCAACTTTTTCCCACGTGCCCTTTTTTACACTCTGCGCCACCGAGCCAGTGAGCCGCAGCCGTATCAGTGGTAGCCAATCCCACTACCAATTGTGAATTTGCGCCCCCCAAAACCAACGGAACTCGATGACCATCGGTGAGCGGCGAAATACCCTCCTGGGCTTATTCGGTGTGGACTCTCGAGATCAAGTTCCTCGCTTTTCTCCTTTCTCTTTAAATTCATTTTTATTCTAAACTGTTATCCTGCTATGCCCTCGATCTCTGATATTGCCGCCACCAGCCCACCCGAACCGCGGCGGCTTCGGACGCTGCTTGTTGACAACTACGACTCGTACACGTTCAATCTACTGCAACTTCTGGTACAGAGCCATGGCGCACACAAAGACGCACAGTCGAACATTATTGTGATCCGCAATAACCAGTACTCGTGGGAAGAAGTGCGTGATAAGATTCTGCCCCACATTGATAACGTAATCATATCGCCGGGCCCCGGCAACCCGTCGCGCAAAGAGGACTTTGGCATATGCGAGGAGCTGATCCGCAGTTCCCTCAAGCCCCTACTGGGCGTGTGTCTGGGGCACCAAGGGATTGCAGCGATTTTCGGTGCGTCTATTGTTCGTTGTCTGGTACCAGTCCACGGGCAGACGAGCAAGGTCCAGGTTGAGCCACAGGCACGGTCTGATGAGCCCGGGTTGTTTGACGGCGTCCCCGATCTGTTCGAGGTCGTCAGATACCATTCGCTAACGGTTGATGATAAGAAGGGAGGGCTTTCCGGAGGAATTGCAGGTTTTGGCGCGGGCTACAGGCACGGTTTGTGCGGATAGTGCAGAGGGCGCGAGGACAGTCGAAACATCGGATATCATGGCGCTCAGGCACCGAAGCCTGCCCCTGTATGGCGTGCAGTTCCACCCAGAGTCGATCTGTTCCGAGTACGGCGCGCGCATCCTTGACAACTTTTACCGCATAACCGAGTGGTTCGCTGGCAAGCAGGAGCCAGGGCCGATTCCCGCCCATGTGCAGGCTATGTCGCTGCTATCGCTGGACGATAAGGTGTGGAACAGCAACTCGGTGCATTCACCAAGGCAGCCTCGGTTTTCGCTTTTTGCCGATGTGGTCGATCTCGGATCAGTTCAGAAGCCCACGGATATCGGCAGCAGGCTGTTTCAGCACCTGTATGGTAATGATGACATGCCCCTGTGGCTTGACAGCGCCAAGGCAGGCGATGCCAACAGCAACATATCGGTGATGGCCTCGGGCAGGTCCACACACAGTGCGACCGTCCGGTACACAGTCCATGATCGCAAAATCAGCGCTGTCCAGTTTCCCGAGTTTGGCCAGGAGCATCGTGAACTGGACAAGCACCACTTGCCAGCAGCCGACGGGGTTAGTTTCTGGACGTGGATGCAGTCGATTGCTAATGACACGCAGATTTCGGGACGGCCTGCTGACGTGCAGTGGTGTGCGCAGGACCGCCGTTTGGACGACGAGCTAAGAGGACTAGGGTTCCGGTGCGGGTGGGTCGGGTATTTCGGGTACGAGATGAAGTCAGAGACAGTCGCAGAGGATCCCTTACACAAGGACCCTGTGTTTGTCAACGAAGAAGACGGCAGATTGCCTGATGCGCAGCTCTCGTTTGTTGATCGGTGCGTGGTGCTGGATCACCGGTGCGACCCCCCTCGTGCATTCATTCTTGCCTTGGCTAACAGCATACCGCACACTCCCAATGGTACGAGCACAGGGGATGCGTGCACCGCCCCGTGGGTATATCAGCTGGCGGGAACAGGTGACGATGCAATGCAGTGGATTGCTAAGCAAGTGCAGTCGATTTCATCGTGGGCAGCATCATGCAAAGAGCCTGCAGCTGTAGCAGCTGCCACTCCCCAGTATAGTAACGCGCTGAGCAGCCTGGAGCCGACTATGCCACGGGACACGTATATTTCTGAGATCCGCCAGGCCAAGGACTGGATTGCGCAGGGCGAGTCCTACGAGATCTGTCTGACTAACCAGTTCCATATTGCGCTTGACCAGCACCTTGCGCCGGTTAGATCAGCGCAGGACATGCAGCAGCTGTACCAGTTCATGCGGGCACGCAATCCGGCGCCCTATGGAGCGCTCATGTACTTTCCCGATATCAAAATGGGCCTGGCGTCGTGCAGTCCGGAGCGGTTCCTGCGCATCGAGCAAGCATCTGATTCGGGCGAGCGGTGGGTGGAAATGAAGCCAATCAAGGGCACGGCCCGGCGCGACCCGAAGCCCACTGTGTGCGGGCATTCCGCGTTGGCGTGCTGCTCAAAGTGCCGTGCAGTGTGGGCGGCCGAGGATGCGCGCAGGGCAAAAAGCCTGCAGGAGAACGTCAAGGAGCGGGCAGAGAACCTGATGATTGTCGATCTGATCCGGCATGATCTGAACTGGATCGCAGAGCGCGGCTGCGTGCAGGTTCCGCGGCTGATGGCAATTGAGACGTATGCGTCGGTGCACCAGATGGTGACAACGGTGAGAGCGCAGATCAGGCGCAATGTGGGCGATGTGGCGGCACTGGCCCACTGCTTCCCGCCGGGCTCGATGACCGGCGCGCCAAAGCGCCGCACACTGCAGATTCTGCACGGGCTCGAGAGAGATCAACAGAAGAGGGCGACGCCGCGCGGTGTATACTCGGGATGTCTGGGGTATTTCTCTGCTCACGGCGAAGCGGATTGGAGCGTGGTCATTAGAACAGCGGTGGTAGATCGGAGAGGCAGCAGGCTAAGTGCAGGTGCAGGCGGCGCGCTGACGATCCTGTCTGATCCTGAGGAGGAGTGGACGGAGGTCGAGACCAAGCTGCAGTCGATTCTGCCCGGAATCAACCAGTACATTGGAGCCAGGCAGATTTAAGAAATACATTGGTGAATATTAAATCTGTGTGCCGGAATGTGCCGGGAACAGGACGCTGAACAGCGTGGTGTCGGCCTTGATGTCTTGGGCGTCAACAAACAGCCGGCACACGTCAGGGTGCAGCCCGCGCGTGGCGTCGACATAGCGCTTCCAGAGCTGCAGGCGGCGGCTGTTCCTGACAAGCTGGGCCTCGGTTGGTGGGGGCTCGGGGATGTTGAAGCTGGCAAAGGACGAAGAGCGCGATGTCATTCCGCTGAGGTCCTGCTGCGAGCCGTACCCGCTGCCCGCACCTGAAGACTGGTCGCTGCCCAGGTGCAGCGGCACGGGCTGGCCATGTGCCTCGAGCGGCATATTGCGGTGCGACTGTGGCGGCGGCTGAGAGCCGTATGCGGGGCCAGCCTGGGCAGGATTCGGCTGTTGCGCAGCAGCCATATTCAGATCGGCTTCGCTCGGGATTGCGTCGTACTGGATAATGTGCGGGTTCGCTTGAACGGTGGGCAGGTACTTTGCTGCATGCTTGGCAAAGGACTGGGTCGGCGACACATAGAACTGCTGTGCATAGAACGCCATCCACTTCTGTGCCTGCTCACGCAGATACTCGACATTGAACGGGGCCTGGTTGGGCGGCAATGACGTGCCTGGCACAACATTCGGCTGGCCGCTATTCCAGCTGCCGGGCATCGGCTGCTCGCTGCGCATCTGCTGCACTGCCGGCGGCTGCGGTGCTGTGACAGAGGCATGGATTTGGTTGGGTTGCACAGCCACCGCTGGCACCGGGGGGTCGGAGAAGGGCCGGGGGCGCGGCGGCTTCGGGGGCGGCGCCGTGTGGTTAAAAGTGCTGGATGGCGACGAGTTGCGCAGATGGCTGGGCTTGGGCGGCACTGGCGGCGGAGCAGGGGGCTTGCGTCTCTGCGATGACACTGACGGCGCGTCGCTGGCGTATTCGGCGTCCGAGTCCCCAAACTGGATCAGATCAGCGGTATCCGACAAATCATCGCTGCTGACATTGCCTCTGCTGTTGCTGCTCACCTGCTGCAGCGGTTTGTTCAGTGGCTCCACGACGCCATAGTGCAACACCCCGCCGGTCGAGTTTGATGCCGTGCCCAGATCCGTCGTGATCGAGGGCACGGACAGGGGAGCGAACAAATCGCGCACGTAGATGCGCAGGACCTTGTCCGGGAACCGCCGCGCCAAATCCGTGTATGTCTCGAGATCGTGCTCGCCCGAGTCGCCGACGAAAATGTACTTGCGCTTGGGGAACACGCTGAACAGCTGCTCGATTGTGTCGCGCTTCATCTGCGGCGTGCCGGTGAAATTGCTGACCGACAGGAGGCCGTTCGGGTCAAAGGAGCGCAGGTGGGCAGAGCCCGGCGGGAACTTGTTCTCGTGGAAAAAGCCGTCGAGCGACGGATACAGTTGCCAGGGACTGTTGCTGACGTAGTGGAATTCGGCGCCCAGCTTGTACCATTCGCGGTACAGGTCAGCCATCCCAGGCACTGCCAGCAATGGCCGCGCAAAGACAGTTTCCAGGACGATGCGCTTGCTCTCGATGATGTTCGATGCCTTGATGGTATCGTCAATGTCCGAGATCACAGAGATGCCTTCGGGCTCAACCAGGTGTGCGACCCCAGCAACTGCCTGCTCGTCCCAGCCAAAGAGCCGTCCACGCATCTCGACCAGGCACCGCTGGGTCTTCGAATCCTGGCCGCCGTGGCCCAAAAAGCTCTGCACCAGCCATTGCAGCTCGTTGTATCCGAGCATGATTTCGCCCTGGAACAGCCCTTCGCTGATGACCAGCGACTGCCACGAGAACGCATCGAGCTGCATGGCGCGCTGCATGATGCTGGGCTCGATATCGTCGAAGCGGCTCTTCACAATCGTGTCGTGCTGAGTACTGCCCGCCGGGTTTGCTGGACGCGGGTCGCCGCCCATTGGTGCGCGCGCGTTGCGAGGATCAAAGTTGGATGTCAGGATAAGCGGTGCTTCCTGCAGATTGACGGGCTCTGGCCGCATAGGTGTGTCGGATGCCGGCCGGCTCGACGACACTGCGCGCGGGGGCTTTGGCGGCGGTCGGCTCTGGCTGTTGGGCACCGGCCGATACAACTCGAATGCCCGTGGCTCGCTGATGCCCGTCATGGCTGTCTGCACCATCTCGGTGGTTATTGGCGGGCCAGCAAACAAGTACGATATTCTGTCCAGCAACACTGCGTCCGACTTGTCGCCCTTTTGCATCCCAATGAGCCTGCGCATAGCACTAGCGGCTATGCGCACTCGGGTCGACGTCACATTGCGCTGGTATGCCCACCCGCGCACCTGCACGCGCCAAACTTTGAGCCGCTCGTCGCGGTAGGCGTATGTGGGGAACAAGAGGATTTCCTCGACTGGCGCGACCTCCATCGAGCGCTGGCCACTGCTACTGCTGCCTGCGTTGTTGTACTGCGACCACAGGCCCTTTAGTTTGTTCCGCACGCCTCCCAATTCGCTTTGAAATGACATTCTCTATGCGCAATCGATAGTGTACAAATAAAAAAGGCGAGATACAGGCTGTTGAAAAGAAAAAAGAAAAAAAAGATTGCAGAAAGGAAAAGGCTGTACACGTGTAGCCATGATCGCCTACAGGGAATTCATAGCCCGACCGCCCGCTGGCCTTTGCTCGAGTTGAGTGGGCGCAGGCTGAGTCACCGGCTGAAACAGGTGTGACCCCCTCCAAATTCATCAGTCATGCCCGACGCACCACAAGCCCTCCCCCTCCGTTGGGGCTACCGGCGCAGCAGCCAGCTCGCAACCAGCGCAATTATAAGCCAGAGATGCAGTCCAGCCATCGGGTCCACTGCCCGGGCGCCGCCTGATGGCTTTGGCGCTTCGGCCAACCGATCAAACTTGATCGGCTCCTGCAGCCTGTCCTTGGTGAGCCCGGTCGCCTGCAAAATGAAGTCTGTGTAATAGGCTATGTGTGTGCTGAACCCAAACCCGCTCGGGTCTCCACATGGCGGGTGCGGGTCGTGATCGGCATTGTCTCCGTACGATGTCAGCCCAATCAGCCGCATGTCGGCCACCGGCCCCAGATCCTGCTGTCTCGAGAGCCGACCAGGCGCTGTTTCTTGGATGGTGCGCGGCCTGCCATTGACCATGGTGATGATTGCTGGCGACCCACTATCGCCGTTGCACTCGTCCTTGTTCCCGGGCTGCGTCCCCGTGCAGATAAACGGACCGTTGTTGGAGTCGAACGTCTCGTCGACGCGCCGGCACATCTTGGCGTCGGCCACGTGCAAGTCGACGCGGTTCATGACCTGCACAGTATGTGCGCCAGGCGCATTCGAAGTCACGCCCCAGCCCATCGCTGTGATCAGCTGCCCGGCCTCCACCCCGCCAAAATACACCTGGAATGCGGTGTGCTGTGCGCGTCTGCTGTATCGGCTTGGCCAGCCGGATCACTGCAATGTCGTTGGACAGCGTCCGTGGGTCGAAGTCGGGATGGATGAAGTATTCGGCCGGCGTGCGTCCGCTCTTGCTTCTTCACGGCTGTGTCGCCGTATCCTACGCGGATTGACGAGGGCGACGGTGCGTTGTAGAGGCAGTGTCCGGCTGTGATTACGTGTTCTGGTGATACGAGCGTGCCGCCACACACCGCATGCCAGTTGGGCTTTGTCTCAATGCTCAAGTATACGACAAACGGGTACTCATGCGTGACTACCTGCTCGCCGCCGACAATAGGCTTTAGTTGGCCAAAAGACATGGTGCAAGATGGAAAGGGCGGCTGTATTTCTAGAGAACAAAACGTGCTGGGTAGATCCGAAGCAAGCACCGGCTATCGGGCTTTATGAGTAAACTGCCGAGCGGGTTGTAAAATGAACCGAGTAGACACCGGGATATGACATATAGTGCTTAAAAAGTGATCGGCTATCTCGAAGAAAGGGGCACCGCATAGCTACTGCGCCCATTGCCTCTGGTTTGTTCGCCGCTCACTTGGCGCTAGTCCGTGCATATCATCTTGCATCCTAATAACCATCATTAATATAAATGATATTAAAGCGGGACGGTGTAGCCAAGCCCTGGTGCGGGCCCATCATTCGGCAACATCCCAGATATGTGGCCCAGATCGCTTTGCTTTGAGTAAAATGAAATGCACGCGCAGTCTAGGCCGTTGCACGCCTTGTTCCTGGCACAAAAGAGGCTAGAAAAGGGGTGTCCGAAATTGGAAGGCTGACTTTTAAACCCGACTCTGGCGGGCTACCGCTCTCTGAACGTAGCGGATGGTGAATGGACAAGAGTAAGATGTAGAACTGTGGAAAAACAACAAAATGTTAAGAAATAAGCGGACTGGGCTTGCGACGGGATAAACTCTCTAGTTGCTGCTGTTGCTACTGCCTTGATTGGCCGCGCTTCTTCTTGATGACCTTCTTCTTCTTGCCGCCAGCGGGGGTAGCCTTGGTGTTGCTCGCAGCATTTTCGGCATCCTTTTCCTCGGCAGGCTCCTCAGAAGCATCGTCCATAGGTTTGTCATCCTCTTTGTCGGCCTCATTAACGGTTGTTTCCGCAAGGTCATCAGCCAATGCCTCAACTGGCGCAGCCTCAGGAGCAGCAGCGGCTTCAGGCGAAACAATTTCAGCAGTAGCCTCCTCAAAGACCTCGGTAGGTTCATCTTCCTTCCACCGCCTTCTTGCTTTCAGCGACGTCCTCTACAACGGGCTCAGATACTGCCTCCTCTTCCACCTTGGGCTCTTCAAGCTTCTTCTCTTCCACCTTGGGCTCAGCTGGCTTAGCCTCCTCCTCCTTAGGAGACTCATGCTCAGGTGCAGGAGAGATAGCAGCCTCACGAGCGCCATCAGTGGCGGCTGGAGCCTCGGTTTCTGCCTCGGAAGCAGCGGTTGGAAGGGCAGCAGCAACAATGTCCTCAGGCGCAGCCACGCCAACAGCCGGCTCGCCCTTTGGCGGGACTGGCGGCGCTTCCGCCTCGAGCCTAGCAGGCAGCCTTGGTGGCACCTTGGGCGGCACTGGCGGCGGCACATCGCCGTGACGCTGAGGCAAGGCGGGCGGAGATGAGGCGTCTCCGGTCTGCAAGTACTCAAACACAGTGGTATGGTTGACATGGGCCAGGTTCGCCATCCGGTTCATGTTGTCGACGACATTGAGCATCTCGGAAGCCAGATCAGTGCACTGGGCCTTGCGCTCCTTGCCCAGAACCATCTCAATCTCGCTGTTGAACACCGAGTCGAAGAACTGGATAAAGATCTGGATCACCGAGCCTACAGTCGACGACTGCGGCCCAGCGCTGCACATGGCCACGTCGACCATGGGGTTGGCTGACCGGGCGAGGTTCGGCGACCACACGACGGCCAGGTTGTAGGCAGACATGCGGTTGATTTCCTTGTTGCGTGCAATCACGGCAAGCAGCGCACACGTGAAGCAGAGCAGCTGCCGGTACTCGAACGTCAGCGAAGGGAGGAGCACTTCCTCGACGTACCGCGCGCGTACCGTGTCCATCTGCTTCGCCACTTCATTCACCTCGCTGTCCTCGCGGTCGGCCTGCGCTGTCTGTCTCGGGCTGCACCGACGGCAGTGCCAGGATGGTCTCGTACGAGGCGCTGCCAAACACGGGGCTGGGCAGTTCACGGAAAAACAGCTTCAGCAGTACCGCAGCTACGTGTACCCCCGACAGGGACAGGTCGACGTTGTAGCCGCGGTTATACATGTCCTTGGCTGCCCGCAGAGCAGTAGATGGCGGCGAGCGGCGGAACAGACCCTCGGTAGCTAAGCCGTTATAGCGGATGAACGAGATGCATTCCCGCACAGGACGCGGCAGAATTCCAGTGCCGTCCTGCATTAGCACGTCAAGCGGCACTCCAAACGCCTGGGTTGCCAGGATTTCATGCTCGGGCGTTGGCATTTTGATTGCCTGCTCGACGGTCATGTTGTAGCTATAGCGATAGGCGATACGAGTTAGTGGAACCATGCACGTAAAAAAAAGACTGCATTCATCTCTGCTCCGCCTTGCAATGGAGGGGCAGTAAGTAACAGCAAGTAGGTGTTAAAAATAGGACGAGTGCAAGTTGAATAAAGGAGCCATTTTTGCCCACACCATGTGTCAAAAAAACACATCCCAACCCCGCCGCCCGTCCAGCAGCGAGGTATGTGGGACATTGGCACAAAGGCGTGGATGACGGATGTTGTCACACGACACGGCATTAAAGGCCAAGAGAAACTTGGCAGACACTTACTCGTAAACTGGTTGCGGAATATTGATCTGGCTGAGCGGCACAAACGTCGCCAGACGTGACAGCGTATCGACCCATGTCACCTTGGCAAAGAATTTGGGGCTAGATGGCAGACGCGGGCGCCGCAGTTTTGATGGCCGGCGTGCCAGGCCATTATGTTCGTTGTAGCGCAGGTCGCCAGTTGACCGTGTCAGTAGGTTGACATCGAGCGATGGCGATCGTTTAGACAGATTCCATTGCGAGCGCGATTCGTTGTCGAGCGAGCCACGGCCGATGCGTTGGAGGAGTGATGGAATTCCAGGCATAGTGTAGAGAATAGAAGAGGGCGATGAACGGAGCTGAAAAGGTTAGTAACAGACAGCTTGCAAGAACCAAAGGACATGGACAGAAAGACGCCAAAAAGGAACCCGAGCTGCTCTTTGCGGACGCCCAATGCGCGAGACTGGCAAAGCAGAGAGTAAAAATATATAGACGCCAAGCAGTAATAGGGTGGAGAGAACCGAGAGGAGAAATAGTGGAGCACACTGGCAATGTGCTGGCCGCGGGCCCTCCCCACGTACCAGATGCCGATACCCGCCCAGTTTAGAAAAGCTCATGGAAGCGGTCCCGACAAAGCCACCAACAAGCAGCATGGTGTGTGTCTAGAACAACCAGCAGCGCATTTCCTTTGCATAGGGCGAGTGACAAGCCAAGCATGAACAAAGGCATCGCGCCTTCTCCGAAGGTGCTTGTTGCTGATCGCGAACAGAGCACCGCAAACTTTCCGACGAAAACCTCCTACCTGACAATGCGGCCTACGATCTGGAAAAGCAGCTTCGACCACAGCGACGGATGCACGACATAGACGCTCTTGACGTTCTTGCGGTACTTTCTGTCCAGCCGTTTGTACGCCTTTGACAGCCAGTTCCACCCGGGGTTGAACTTGGCCCCGCTGGTGAACAGCACTACTGTGTAGTCGTTCTCGACAAACTCGTCGAGACGGAAGATGATCAGATTCAGCAGCCGGTCGTAGTCGACGACCTGCGGGTTCGGCAGGTTGCACGCGCAGAACACCAACATCGGCCGGCTCTCGAAATCGACACCGGCCTGGAAGATCACATGCGAGTTCACGTAGTTTAGGAGCTCGCCGCCGTCGTTGCCCTGCATGATTTCGTTCTTAAAGTCTTCGTAGCTGAGGCGCTCCTGGGCCTCGGCGAGCGTGTCGCCGCCGAGAGTTTGCGCGGATCCGCTGTACACCGAGGCGCGTCGCTCGATTGTCTGCCGCTTCCAGAGCTCGTACTGTTCCTCCATTCTGCAAGTATGAGGAGTGAGAGATTGTGTTGAATTGAGGAGAGGAGAAATAAACGAACCGCCAGAGAGACGAGTGGGAGAGAGCGGATTTTTCCAGCGACTGCATGAACACCACTTCCAGATGACACATCCCCCTAATCCCGGATCGGAGCCACAAGGGTGTATGCGCTGCCAGCTATTTTTTATTCCTGGGCACGGGGTGAACTAGGCACTCATACCCACACATCTCGCTTTATACCGCAATGGCAGACGAAGTATCACTGTCGATTGAGGAGACGAATCGGCTACGCATCTCGCTTGGCCTGCCACCACTGGAAGTTGGGCCGCAAGAGTTCAGTCGACCAGGAGCGCATAAACTATGAAGCCCACGAGGCCGAGCGCTCCGCCAAGCGCAAAGCCGAAGGAGCTGCAGGAGCGCATCGAGAAATCAAAGGCCGCCCGCAAGGAGCAGAAGCTCAAGGCGTCGACACGCACACTAGGCGAGGTCAGCGACGATGACGACGATAGCCTGAGCGCGAATGCGATGGATCGAGCGCAACAGGCAGCGGCTGGCAGACTCGCAGAAGCCGCAGCGGAAATCCCCCCATGCCAAGCCCAATGAGCAATATTCGGCTGGGGATCTCAAAGGAATGAAAGT